ACAGTCGTGGAAATCAATATTACACTTGATTTCACTTAAATTAAAATCCAATGAAGCTCGACTTTATCCGAAACATACGAAATTCGCTTTATCTAATCGAAAACGAAAGAGAAACCGAAGAGAAACAATCCCCAGAGTAGTTAATGTATGAGAGTCTGTTAATTAATATTTGAACTAATCGCTTAAAATTGACATGTGTACCTGTTAAATTGACAATTGACAGCTATCAAAGAATATGACAGGTGATAATAATGACACACTTGAAACGTCAACATTGTTAAGACTAGGAAAATTATTTTTAAACGCGCGGGATCGGAGCAAGGATCTTTATATGAAAAGTTATCATTCAGTCGGGTGTAGTAAGGACAAAAGAGTGAACAGAAACGGAACGGACATTTGGGGCGCTCGGGCGAACACATGCTCGAGCTAGTGGCCCGGTGACTTATGGCTCCCCCGAGAAGGGGGGTCGTTTATGAGATGTAATTATTTATTAGGATGTTGTTTTCGGCCTCGATCATGTGGACATGTGGCGAGAATTTAAATTAATGATATTCCATTTCGGGATCCGGGTGTAATTGTTTGCCTTTTTATTGTCGAAGCAAAAGTTTCGGGTAAAGGAAATTAAAAGACGAATGTCGGGCGTAAGGGCGGCGAAAATTGCATTAGAGTTTGCGTCACGTTCGGGCGGTTATTTCTCGTTTAAGGCGTCCCGGCCGCCTTTGCTTTTTGATAACGCTGATTTACTTCGAAGTCATATATATAGATAATGTAATGGAAAAATATGGAGAGGACGTGACGTTTTTATAAGCCTCTTTTCCACAACTGCTATCCATGATTTAGTCATTAAGATCCAAATGAATTTTATTACTTTACTTTCTATACCCGACGCTGCAAGCCACCAGTTTGGGAGTTTATTGGAATCGGATATGGGGGAAGTTTTTCACATTAATGGAGATTACAAAATAGATAAATTTGAGAAAAAAATATCACGTATTTAAGATCTTTTAGGAATAGAGCAGGTCAGAAACCCAAGTAAGAATAAAGACAAACTCTCTATTGGAAATTTTCTATTTTACCATCATTTACCAAATCACATCATCTACCTAATTTTTGTAAAACTTGTAAGTAAGAGGATGTGATTTTAAAATAGCTGTGTAGATTAGTGGTAATTATTTTAATAATAGTAACAATTTAAATACAAATGAGAACCATCAAAAAAATCCGTCACTCATTCAAATCGTTTCCCCCCCCCAAAAAAAATAATTGATTAATCAATCACCGCTTTATTACATCTAATAACAATAGTCATTCCGACAACAACCAAAAAAAATATAATTAATTACCCACCTACCTGCCACGCCGCCCCCCCATCTCTCCCCCTTCTCCGACCGTCCGAAAATATATTACCGGCCAATTAGGCGAATATTCTTACAAAATTATGTCATAATAGCGGAGAGAGATGGCACGGGCTCGTAAAGCAGAAGGAACTTTATAGAGCTAGTTAAGCTAAACTGTGGGCCGTTCGCGGCGGGACCGGAGTGACAAAACGCACGACGCGCCGTTGCTAAGATACGGCTAGGAGTGGCGCGGCGGCGGAACGCCTCCTCCGGCGTCGGCGGGCCCCCACCGGAGCGTCGGCGGCGCGCTGGCCTTTCCGGCGCTGCTCCGAAGCGGAAATTCCATCTGCACGCGTCGCTTTCTACTTTCTACGTCCACGCGAACGCCGACTGAGCGATGTTTCAGTTAAGCGGGCGATGACGTCACGTTCGCTTAAAACTGAACGAGCTATATGCGATTTTTGGGATAATTCGAAGTCGGCTTCTTTTTGGAAAGATTTGATTGTTACCATATCATTACGAAATTCTATACAATATTTTCAAAAAAATGTAGATTATAACAACTTATTTTTAACAATATACCCATTTTATAATATTAAAAAGTATATACAAAATAAATTATTATCTTTATAGATCCACCGTAGACCTTATTTGCACATTTCTTTAATTTTCATTTACAACGTTTTCTTTTCATTTCAAACTTTCCTAATTTCGATTTTATCCAATCCCAATTTGAATTTGAAATATTAATTTGTAATTAGATTCCTATAATAATTGAAATATTTACTAGCTATAATAAACTGATGCTTACATTAAATATTAATTCGTAAGAATTTATTTCCGTTGTAAATGGTTTTTAAACATTAAATTTCTTGTTCAGTGACAGCGACATTGTCTTGTAGACATAGTTATTATGTCATTATTTCGAGCAGCTTTGAAACTGAAAAAGGTATTCTATCAACATTTAATTGCTTAATTTAATAATACTGTTTTATTTATTTGGTGACATGAATAAACATTAAATGTTAACAAGATTGGCCTTGGAAATGTATAGTGATGACTTTGACAATGTAACGAAAAATCGCAAATTTTATGGCATTAAAAAAAACTCGAGTTAAGTAAAAAAAACAACTACCAATTCGAAAACGAGTTCGACATATTCGACGAAAATTTAGTCATTTTCAACCAAACGAGCGTATCGGGTACGCTCAATATTAATATTATTATTGAATAATAAACCATCGAACGCGCGCACCAACTCCGGCATTAACTCTCATAAAATCTCACGTCAATTTTATCCTCGACGGTTATTTTAAGTTAACGAAAAAATTAACAACTACCATTAAAAACGGTTATTCCATACGAAAAATGTAATTTTTTAATTCCGACCTTCCTCGATATTTACGACTTAAGGCTGCACAATTATATTATCGAGTTTAATGTGAAGCTATTTTAGCCATCGGCGGCGGCACAGATAACGTTTCTATTACTATCAGGAAACTGAATTATTTTCACTATAAACTCGAGCAACCTTAGAATAATTTTGACTATGATTGGCAGGATCTCAACAGGGCATCAACTTAAAAATATGGCCTGAATATCAAGCAAATATTTACAGGATTTTTATACTTTGTTTTAAAAATTAGACTCTAGTTCTACTTTATTATTATTCCTTTCAGAATTTAAACTGAAGTGCCAATTGATTTTTCACTAATACCAATTTCTGTTCATAATCTTGCTTATTTTATTTCCTACAAATTAAATATCATCTTCCAAATTTTGCAACTCTATACTCGAGTCTTTAACGCTTTTCTTTAATACAAATTTACCCTACTCTGTCCACATATAACTCATATATCTACTTTTTTCAATTTTAAACTATAATATAGACATAAATAAAGCACTAAAACGGCCAGCAATTACTGCATTAACAACGCTTCTACCTGTACAAAATTATTAACTCCACAAAATTACCGGTGTTGTATTAAAAAATATTAAACTTTAAGAACAACCCGATATTTCACGGTCGTTAACTAATCGACAATTCGATGGCTTTATTAATAAATTTACAATTTATATGCTAATGCCGTATAATTTTTTCGAAACTAAATTGTAACGTAAGTACTTGCTGAACGTGCAATGAGTAAAGTGTAACTTTTTATTTTTTATATAAAATATTATAAAAGTCGATATAAAATGGAGTTTCCATAGGTGATACGTCAATTTTATTTCATTAATTCTATATCAATTAATTCTCATATTTAATAATTATATTGGGATAATGGAGTTGCTATACTTAGTATAGGTGTATAAATTATTATTTTTAATTATACTTTATTTATTGGTTTTTAATTACTCTGTCGAAAATAAGGATAATGTAGGAAAATTATCTATATTCTATTCTTTCTTTTCATTATAGTTAAATAAATAATAGTTTATTGACTGTTGCGCCATCTGATGTTGCTCAGCTTTATTAATATCACAAACGTGATTATCGAGCGAAGAAATGCGCATGTTTCCTCTCACGTGCTTTGAATAATTTCTCTGCTGTACAACAGATGGCAAGAACTCAATTTTTCAAAAATATTTACATATTTTAATGCACATGAAAATATAATTCACTTATGCAATATACTTACCTACAACCTACCACTTTTTGCTAGTTCAAAAAAAATCATTAATAAATTGCATAAAACATAAAACAATAACTACACATTCCATTTTGTTTACATGCATTATTACAACACTGTAACCGTTAATTTATGTTTAAATAATGCAAGTATTTCCTGAATATTTTCTTTATCGAAGGAGCGGTTACTTCTTCCATATAAGTTCCATGATTGTTCTCTTACGAATTCAATTTACACCCGATTTTGTACCCAAAAAACTCGGAGAAACTTGCGCTTAATTCGTCTCAACAGCCAACACGCCGAACCTGCCGAAATAAATTTCAAAAGGAAAGTGAAGAATGGAGCTTCTACCGAACCATCGCAGCCTAGTAATGCCTACTTACATTAGAAACCAGTGGTAACAACGTGTCAGTCATATAACCAAGTTGGTACTACTAGCCTCAGTTAAAGAAGGGATTAGGGTCTACTGCACCTGTTATTACATCTAAGAATCTTCATCCGGAGGTTAAGGGGATTTTTATGGAATTGTCACAAACTCGACTGTAGATTTAAAAAATATTTTGAATGATATTGAATTTGCAAGTTTAATAAATCACTGTTCTTACCAACCATTTCTTAATTTGGTTAATTTACAATGTTGGTGGGTTACTGTTCTGATCTATCATCTTTAATCTACATTATTTAACTTACAGAGCTTTTACAGTGAATCAAAAAAGTATTTGCGAAATTGCTAATAGGTTATCTTATCTAGCAATCTTTGTCTAATCTATCATCTTTTATGCACCTAAATATTTAGTCAACTATTCAGCTATCCGAATTAACAACTTTTTGCTAAACATTTTCCAATTTTAACAACAAAACCACACTGAACAGTCGAGCCGAATACTTTCACAATTCGCATTCATCTCTTCGGCTCGAGAGTCTCGAGACCTTGTATAATAGATTATCCATCCAACGAGTTTTGTGCAGTTTCACCTCGCCGGCCGCATACCAACCTAACGGGACGCACCTTACCTTACCTCACCTTTCGAGTCGACCTACCAGTAGAGTGTAGTGTAGAGTGTTCGCTATAACCCGAGTTTAAAGTGTCTTTTTGTAGATTGTGCGTTTGTTTTTCACGGTGTGGCATTGAGAAGAAAACACGGGGAAAATGTGATTTGGAAGTTCGAGGGAAAAGCGCGAAATTTTGGATTGATATACAGTGGAAATGGAAGGTGAGTTTGGCTGAAAAAATCTGGCGTGGTTTTTGCTTGTGTAGCGGGCCGCATTCCTGAGAAAATGATACGATGTCAACGTTGTGTGTGAAATTTGTTGGAATATAATGGTTTATTCGTTATTATTTATGGTTTATCTGTGACGAAAGTACGGTTATTATGCAATTACATAGATGTTGATTCGGTTTTACACCCTTTAAGTAGGTTAACTTTTCCATTGAACTCTCATTGACCTGTCAGTTGAAAATGTAAACATTTTAGAGGAGTTTATTTATACAACTTTCTCGTTACTCCTCAATTGGTATTAAATCTTAGATTTTCACTGTATAGACGTAGATATTTAAACGTGTAATTAAAAGTGCCAATTGAAAATTGCATAAAAAACTCACTACAAGCTTGTCTGACTATCAAGGTCAAAAATCAAAAAACATTTCCCATCGTATGGATGACTAGATTTTTTTTCCTCTAAGCTAAAAACTATGTAATTAAAATCGTATTTCGCAAAGATTTCTACAAATATATCATTAATAACGTCACATAAAAACAATACCCAACTCAGCATAGGATGTATTAAGTAATAGTTAACCTTTATCTATTATTAATGACAAATTCATATTATTTGAATAAAGGCTAGTCAGTCGGCAAAACTTATTGTATCACTCTGTAGGTCGAACAATAAAATACATTAACTTTCGAAATCGACGATGTTGACACCGATTCGCGAATACTTAACGAATATACATCGTTATAGAAAAAGAAAATTAAAGCGTTTTCACTAGATTCGATGCAAAAAACCCATCGTATATACTTAACCTACGAGATATTTGTATGCTAACTAAAAAAATTATAGTAGATATATAATAAGAAGAAAGTATTTTCAGCACGACGCTGAGACATGAGAAAGGATACGAAAAGATATATCTATACCTAGTAGTTGCTGAAAGTAATAGTATCATCGCCATTTTAAGTTATATAAGATTGCACTAACAGTAGCCTTATAAAAGGTTACTAACATTAGTTACGAAAATATCTAAATAATTACATAATTTAAATTTTGAGATTAGAATGATTAGCGAGAAAATTAGAGGTGAATTAAAAATGATAGGTCAGAACAGTAACCCACTTTTTAAATTGAGCCGTTCTTGTAAAAATACATACATAGTTCAGAAAAATAAACCGCTAATACTCCAAAACATATTCAGATTTTTCTAATACAAATGTAGAATTACTATTATACATGGTGATGTCCTACATTATCTATTAATAGCAAATAATCTATTAAATTATCCAACTCTACGTCTCGATTTAGATTTTATTATGTTATGTAGAATACGACACCTTGCAGATAATTAAAATTCTAGGCGAAATTCGCTCGACCGTTATAAATTTAAAACTGATTCGTATTTGTACATCCGTTTTTTTTAAATTTCTAATGACATGAATACCAATGGTCGTTTTAGTTTTTTTGTCGTCTGAGCGCTAATTAAAGTAGCAAGAAAATCAATAGGATTTCATTAGATACAAATATCGTGCTAAAACAAATATTTTTCGTTAAATTTTCGTTAAATCCTTTCTTCAACTACTAATAATTCAGTTGAATTAGTAAATATAGGTAGGTATAATAGATTTTTATGTAACTAGTGTCAGAAACATACCTGATTAGACACATAACTTTTATGTTATTTTCTCTTTACTATAAAATTTTACAATTGAATGACTCCTATCGAGTAAAAGTCGACACTTTTATCTAACAAATTCGTGATCTCTTGTAAGGCGATATTAATAATAGTCTATAAAATAACCATGAAATGATTGTTCATTATAATTGTCACCGAGTTTTTGAATAATAGAAACGTGAGAGAAACGTCGAAAAGAATGGGATATTGATATTTCTATCTTTAACAGTGATGTCAATGGATTCTTCTGTAATGTCAAGGCGAAGAAGGTAAAATGTATAGTACATTAAAAATAGGAAGATGTGTATAGGTCAACTGGTTTTTCTATCAAAATCAATTGTCTGAGTAATTTTTTGGTGTCAATGCGAGAAACGTGTCAATAACCATAACAGATGAATTCTTGAAATTATCGGGAAAACTTAACATTTATTTAGGAAGAGAAAAAACTTATTAAAACAATTTTACAGTTGAAGTGAAAGTATACATACCCATTACATATCTATCTATGTATAATTACGTTCCTCCGATTATAGCTAAAGTAATTAGTTAAATTCACAATTAAATAATTCCTTTTTAGTATTTCCTATACTTTCGAATGCGTTTTTAAAACCAATATATTAAAAATTTCTATACGTCGACTTTATTTAAAAAACCCGAAACTATGACAATGTCAATAAACGGCCTAAATACGAAAAAAGAAAGTCCAAATATAATTGATGAAAAAAAAAAAAATTATTTAATAGTCATCAAAAATACGTGCAGCATTTGCATAATTATTTAAATCTAATTTACTCTGCATTTTCGATTCGGATTTTGATTCTTTCGCGAATTTGCTCTCCAACAGTGTACAATAAAATTTCTCTCGTATAAGTATAGGTTAGTTCAAATGTAAATAAACCTAACCCGACAAGTCAATAAGAAATTTCTCCAACCCAAAAATGCTAAGTACTTACCTTTACAAAGAATGGAGCCCCGAAGGCATTCTCTAAATAAATTGCTATTGCTCACTTATAGCACATTCACGCTGATCTAGTGATGACGTCACGAACTATAAATAATAAATATTTTGTTTTAAAGTATTAATAAATAATGTAATGTGCTAAATTTTTTCTAATAATCGTACGTGACCTCATCACTAGGCTAACATGAACATAGTATAATTCGATTGACTTATATTACAAGTCATAATTCGTGAGAAAAACGCGTTAGAAAGTTTCATGTTCTAATTGCCCGATAAACGTCGTTATGAAAACTAAAATTACATAAAACGTGTTGCGAAACAAAAGAACCACTTTTTCGTTAATAACGTCATTTCAAAAATTATTCACCCAACCATCCAAGAGTTAAAATAACTCCAAATAGCTCTGTCGTATTCGCCCGATTTGGCACCGGGAGATTATTCGCAGGATCAAAAAATGATGCTTTTTGACAGACGTCACTTGTCAAGAGAGAGTACAGTAAGTGATAAACTTTGTTTACTGTGGATAAATATTGAAGGCCGCATTGAAAAAATGTTTGTTTGTTTATAATTTCATGTTTACACGCCATAAAAAAGTTAATTAAAGTTTGATAAATAACTACCCATTACACTAGGTATGTACGAGTACTTGTATCATGAGCGTAACATTAAATAAATACATTAAAATTTAACAAAAAAAATCTGCTTACCTAACCGGTTGTAATAATATCTATTAGTAAATCATAAGGATAAAAAAGAGTTTTGGACTATGAAAACATAAATTTAAACCTGGCTTAAGTCAAAAAATGATCAAGACAATATAGGTATTATGATTTGAAAATAAATTGTGATTATGATAAGATGAAAGATATTTGATTAAAATTCAAGCCCTTATAGATACAGTTCATACTGTTTTCAATGTAAATTATTATTAAGAACAACCGGAGTCCTTCCAAAATGATCAACTTCCAAGCATCAATACAGCTTTTTCAATTTTCAAATAATAATATTCTAGTATACTTTTTTCTTGTTAGGTGGAAATTACATATTTTCCGAATTTTCCGCGCCTCTGGTCGTACTGATAAGACTAAAGACATGGCATAACGAATCGCGCCGTGTTCACTTTTCGCGCAAATGCGCACATCGTAGGCGTGAAAGGCGATTATTATTATATTTATTAAGCGAAATGGAGTGTATATGTTTTGTAACCGAAGCGTAAGTCTCTCTTTTCGTTATTGTAAAGGTATTATTTTTTTTTTCGTTAATTTTAAATTCACTTTCGTCTGAATTGTTAGGCGTATTAATCATACATAACGGGCGCGAGGCGAAAGAATGTGAACGCTCAATGTACGGAAACGCGATTGTATGGAATTTATCAGGAAGTGTGTAAAAAAGGATTAATTAACGTTGAATTTTTTTTTATTTTACTACAGTGTGGCCCACTTTCATAGAACCATTCATTCATTCGGAGTTTTTCATTCTTCTCCGAATTCGATTCTTATTGAGGACGTGGTAGATAAAAAATGCCTAACCTACGCTTCGAATCATCGGAATCTTCATCTTCCCATTTATTACTAAAGAGCAAAAACGTACCGACATAAAATATTTATCAAGTTTTGCAACAATACAAAACAAGAATCCTGTTTTCAATTATGTGCCCAAGGTCGATTTTGCTTTTGCATTCCAACTGAACTCCGGCTGACGATCGACCAGAAGAGAGATTAGTCACTAATCCAACTCATTAGTAATAATATGCATGGTGTTATTACTTAATAGCCAGTTAATTCTTATTCAAGTAAATATATGTAAGTACACTTGGTTGGTTTCGAATGCTTCGTAAGAATTATTGCACTGAGGCAAGGTTGTCAGAAGCGGTTGGAATTAGTTTTGTAGTAGAAATTATTACTCCCAAATGTTCAACGATGTAGAAATTTCATTAATAGTATATTTTGTCGGGGAAACGTTATTAATTATTCGATTATATAGCAATAAATTCTCATGGGACGTTCCAAAACCGGCCAACATCTAACCAGACCGTTGTTATTATACTTAAACTTTCAAGGTAATAAGGCAACGGATTATAAATAAATTCGAATTTGACCGTATACGATTTATCGAGAATTAAATCCATTACAAGCGTATTTTTTTAATATCTCGCCTATTTGCTCCACATAAGTGCATATACTTTCAATCCAGCGAATCGTTCTAAATGGATTGTATAATTCATATGGAATAATTAAAACTTGTTACTCGATTAACGTTACAAAATCATTACGTTATCTTTTATGCATATCATTTTTATGTAATATTTTTAATAACTTTCTTAGATAATAACAAAGCTGAGGCTTGTCCACAAGCCTACCGTATTTTAATTTTGAAAAATAGTAGAATTTTTCTACTGTACTCGTATAAAGCGAAAATTCTTAATTACTCTAATAAAACAGAAATTTAACGTTTACCTGCAATCATACGTACATCGAACGTTCTGTAGGAGGTTGTTATTACTTAATTTGTATATAATCGACGGTATCATTAACCGAATACAGTTATACGGTCGAGCGCTTAGTATGCTCGACTCCGAGTCGTCTTCAATCCAAGATTTCGATTGCTCGCAAAATGAAATTTTATAGCAAACGCATACAAAACGACCACGTTCACCGTTAGAATGGAAATTCTTCGATGGGTCGCAAAAACATAGCTACTTAAAATACGTATAATGTCTTTCTACGTGACGTCAACGCGAAATTAAAATAATACTTAACTGTTTTACAGCCCAGAAAATTATGAAATCCTGTAACTGAATCTCCGACAGAATGGATTGGGTCACGGGAGATTTGATTTGGTTCGACCCCGGCTTGGGCCATTGGCTTCCCGGGGAGGTCTTGGAGTGCCACAAAAGCGCCAATGTACTCACTGTACAGGCCATCATCAACGGAAAAGTAAACCCTCCGTTAAATCCACATAAACCACCCTCTAATTCCAAAATAAAATTTGCAGGCTCAAACGTTCGCTTTGGCGGAAGGCGAAGGCCAAGTGCGCCGGCGCCAAGATTTGGGCGCCGAAGGCGTGGAGGACATGATCACGTTGTCCGATCTACACGAGGCCGCGTTGCTGTGGAACTTGAAGCTGCGCTACGACCACGATTTGATCTACACCTACGCGGGCTCCATTCTGGTCGCCGTCAACCCCTACAGAAGCTTCGACGGAAGCTACGGAATAGAGACTGCCCAGAGGTACAGAAGCCGGATGATAGGCGACTTACCGCCGCATTTGTTCGCTATCGGAGCCGCCGCTTACTCTGCTCTACCCACACCTCAGGTCAGCTATACTAGCTAATTCTTCAATAGACTTTCAGTACAAGCATAAAAATCCTTTACAGGTGGTGGTTATCAGCGGAGAGAGCGGTTCTGGCAAGACGGAATCCACTAAACTGATCATGCAGTATCTGGCAGCGGTGGCGCCTTCGGCGCCCAGAGGCCAGGCTCTCGTCACCGAGCAAATTCTCGAAGCGGCTCCGTTGCTGGAAGCCTTCGGTAACGCGAGAACGGCCAAGAACGACAACAGCTCGCGCTTCGGGAAGTACCTCGAGGTGTATTTCAAGTACGGCGCCATCGTCGGCGCCAAGGTGACCGAGTACTTGCTGGAAAAATCCAGGATCGTTACGCAGGCTCCCGGCGAACGGAACTACCACGTGTTCTACGAGTTATTGGGGTCGTTGAGTTCCGCTGAGAAGCAGAAATACGGGCTTATTGATGCTGATAAGTACTTCTATTTGAACCAAGGTGGGTACTAATAAGCTGGTGTCGAGACAATGTATTTATCTTACTAAATTGTTTAGGTGGAGGAGATTGCGGTCCGGGTCACTCGGGCTCCGGGGCCGATTGGAGCGCTCTATCCAGAGCTATGCAAGTTTTGGGAATCGGTGAAGCTGAGCAAGAAGTTGTTATTAAAATCCTAGCGTCTGTGTTGCATTTAGGAAACATTTATTTTCACCGAAGGCAATTAAGGTACGCCTTTCTCCAATTACCTGTAATTCAGTATTATATTGGTAGCAGTAATTCTCTATTATATTGGTTTATTTCTTAATAGACATGGTCAGGAAGGCGTGGAAGTCGGATCAGACGTTGAAATCAAATGGGCTGGTCATCTTCTGCAAATTTCCTCGTCAGGTTTGCTGAGAGCTCTTACGTCCAGAACAACCGAAGCTAGAGCAGAGAGGGTATACACACCATTGACCATCGATCAAGCATTAGACGCTAGGGATGCTTTCGCCAAATCCCTGTACTCCGTTCTTTTTAATTGGTAAGTAGAAATAAATCATTAACATCTTCCCAATTTCATGTATAGAGTTAAATGAGCTAAGAAATTCCCTCAATCAGACCTTCTTGTGTTTTCCTAATCTGTTCCTCAGCTAATTCTATCAGTGTTAATTTCCTCGACTAGCATCACTATAGCTATTTTCTCTTCAGGTTGGTAACTCGTGTAAACTCCATCATACACAAAGGCGGTCTCCACGACGCCGCTCGGATATCCCTCTTGGACATCTTCGGTTTCGAGAACCTCAACGAGAACTCCTTCGAGCAGCTGTGTATCAACTTCGCCTCCGAGTCGCTGCAGCTCTATTTCAACAAGCACGTTTTCAAGCTAGGTATTTATCGTGAATAGTACTGAGGTTGATATCGCATTAATGTGACGTTTTAGAACAACAAGAGTACGCCAAAGAACGATTGGAATGGACCAATTTGCCGTGGATCGACAACACGCCGGTCATCAATTTGTTGGGTAAAAAACCGGTGGGAGTGCTTCATTTGCTCGACGACGAAAGCAATTTCCCCAAAGCTTCGGATTCGTCGTTTCTGGAGAAATGCCATTACAACCATGCCTTGAACGAGAACTATTGCAGACCGAGAGTAGGCGGGCGAGAATTCGGAGTAAGTACATTATCAACTCATCTCATTTTACTCGAAAACTATTCGATTGGTTCTTGTAACAGATAAGGCATTTCGCCGGTCAAGTTTGGTACTCGGTGGACGGGTTTTTGGAGAAGAATCGCGACGCTTTGCGGCCGGACGTCATCGAACTTATAGCTTCGAGCAAAAACGATTTAATCAGCGCCATCGCCAAACCTCTACTACACCACATACAAACCAGAACGCTTCCCAGAGGGACCAACGGTAGATTCGTTACCATGAAACCCAGAACACCTACTGGTAAGCTCTTCCTCACTTCAATTTTCTATCTATTCAATCATCTAATAACCTTTACTAATAATTTGATATTTATAATGATATACATCGATATATTCAAGTAATTTTGGTCGTTAGTATCATATGCACGCGCAGCCTCTCTTTATCCGTCAACGTGATGATATCTTCCGGTGCACCCTCAACGATTATAACGCCGCAAAACTCCCGGTGAATCCGCACACCGTCCAGAGCGTGCGTTTGCAGTATCTCGTGTACCTGTATCTCCTTGATAAACTGCTCCCGTTGCTTCGTACCGGCGTTGCGATATCTCTGCCTGCACACCACGTTGTACGGTATGTCCCTCAGCTTGGTGTAGCTGGGCTCCATGCTGTCCCTGATGGACAGCTTCGGGAAGAACTTGTTGCGCTTCTTCTTCGGCTTCTTCGGCTGTGGCTGCTCCTTTTTTTGCTCGCCTTCCATCGCCGCTTCTGTCGCTTTTTCCCAAAAATATATCTGTCCAATTCGGTCTTCTAAATGATAGAGTATATGACAGTAAAGTCAAATGCTTTATGTCAATGAGCTATATGGTAAAATCCTCCTTCGTGTCCCTACAACTCATCTTGTTTTTGAAGCAAAAACATTAATAATGGGATTATTGCAGTTGCTGCAAGGTTCGGTGACAGCCTGCACACCCTGCTGGAATCGATGTCGAGGTGCAACCCTTGGTTCATAAGATGCGTAAAGCCCAACGAAGACAAAGCGCCGATGAGATTCGACATGCCCGTGGTGTTGGAGCAATTGAGGTACGCCGGAATGCTGGACACCATCAGGATAAGGCAATGCGGTTATCCTTCCCGGATGAAATTCCATCACTTCGTAGACAGATACAGGCATTTGCTGAGGAGAGTTCCCAGAGGCGCGCCGTTTAGAGACCTGTGCAGATCGATTTTGGAACAAATACCTCCTACTGGTACAGGTAAAAGTGTTTAATAACTCCGAAATGTTCCCACCGATAACCTAATAAAATTCCAGAGGGTCCGGATTACCAGCTGGGAGCGACCAGAGTATTCCTGCGAGAGAACCTGGAACGTCGTTTGGAGCTGACCAGAACGGACGCTCTAAAGGGCGCCGCCGTTTTGATACAAAAGAACGTCCGCGGTTTTTTAGCCAGAAAACGCTACAGGCGGATCAAACGAAGCGCCACCGTCATCCAAAAACACTGGAAAGGCTACAAGCAACGAACAGCCTACAGCAAAATCAGACGAGGCGTCATCAAGGCGCAGGCTTTGCATAGAGGCAGGTTGGAGAGGAGGAGATTCGAGAAGCGCAAGGCCGAACATAGGAGGAAACTCGAAGCGGAGAAAATCGCCAAAGATAGAGCCGCCAAGCAAAAAGAAAGAGTAGCCAGAGAAGCTCAAATGCAAGCTCAAGCGCAAGCACATGCTCAGGCACAGGCTCAAGCGTACGCTCAGGCGCAAGCCCAAGCTCAAGCCCAAGCTCAAGCTCAAGCGCAAGTACCCAAACAGCAAGCCTCCAAAATTAATTCCAAAACTAGCGTTAATCATTTAGATATACCGGCAGAACTGGCGTTTATCTTCTCCAAATTGGAAACTTACACAGCTCCTCACACCGAGAAAAGCCTGATGAAAGTGCTGGGCGGCGTGACGGGAGCGGCGCCGCCTCTAGACCTACCGCCCGATTTAGAACCGTACGAATTCTCCAAATTCTCCTCGGTATACTTCAAAGGCTCCGACATGAGAATGAGAAAAGAGCCCATCGCCACTCCGTTCCTGTCCAAAGCGGCGGCCAGAGACGAAGATTTCCAGGACGCCGTGGCCCTGTTCAAGCTCATCCTGCGCTGGTCCGACGACAGACAGCTGGCCGGCTCGGGCGCCAAGGAAAAAGCCCTGGCGGATTACATCGTTCACAAGGGACTGAGCTCCAAGGGGCTGAGAGACGAGCTGTTGGTCCAGCTGTGCAACCAGATGCATCAAAACGAACGCGCTGAGAGAGTGTGCCAGCTGATGGCGCATTGTTTGAGCTGCTTCCAGCCGAGCCCGGCTCTCTACAAGTACGTATGATGCTAGATTTTTTTGGTTAAAATTAACGAAAATTGTTGCAGGTATCTCTTGAAATACGTCAGCGACCACGTGCCGGAGAATGTTAGAGAAAATTTACAAAGGAAAATCACCAGAGGCTTCCAAAGGAATCCACACGCGCGAATTTATCCTCCGAGTTTATTAGAATGGCGGAGCATCAGGCAGGGTTACAACACAGCGTTGACGCTAACTCATTCCGATAAAAGCATATCAACAGTGATAGTAGATTCCTGGTCAACATGCGAAGAAGTAAGTCTGTTATTTTAAATTATATACAATATTTGTGATATTATCTTTTTCTTAAGGTTGCCTCACTAGCGGTATCATCACTTGGAGCAAATTCTGACGGATGGACTGTCATTATGGATGATTCTAACGTGATAACAGAAGGTAGCGGCTTGGACTACATACTCGATCTCGTATCCGAAATCGAATTACTACCGGCCTTCCCGATTCCCAAATCCTCGAAGCTCAAATTCGGCAGTAAAACCGAACCGCAACCGTCCCATTCGCCGGCCAGGCCTCAAGTACCGCCCCCCGAACCGCCTACGAGCAGAGAAAGGAAACCGTCCAACAGACACTCGACGCCCGTCCAATTACCATCGTCCAGAAAATCGTCCAAAGACGTGCAAGAGTACGCGCGACAACCAACAAACACCAGGAAAACATCGCACGACGCTCTATCCAGGAACTCCGCCCTGAACGAGCGCTACTTCGACGTCGAAAAGGCGCGATCCAGGAGCCTGGACAACCTGCTGAGCGAGCCGGAACCCAACCCGCTGGCCGATCTCGGTTTAAGCCAATCCAAACTGAACGAGCGCTACCATTCGGTGGAGCAGTTGAGCCTCATCAAACCCGTCATCGCCAGCCAGAATTACCTGCCGAAGCAGGAGGAGTTCGAGTATCCGGACGCTTCGAGCGTGAGCACCAAATCCAGGTACATCAAGTCGGCGCACGCCGGCAAGAAGGCGCCGCCCGGCTCGCATTCCAGCAAGGCGTACATCGAGAAATCGGAATTCGGCTGCGCCAGGAGCTCCGCCATGTCGGACACCAGCGAAGCGCCGAGCCTGGCCAGCCACGTGCGCAGAGTGCGAGTGCCCAGCCAGGCTTCGGACGTCGATCAATTCCTCGACGAGCTCTTCAGTCCCGTGTTGGACGGGAATCTGGATGAATTGAGCGATGCCAGATCGGTGGCGGCCAGCGTTAAAGGCGGCGATATGCTGGATAAGTTCCTCGATTCCGTTTTGGAGAATTTAGATTGCTCCGACGTTGATATGTCAAAGACCAGTACTATCGTTAACAACATTAAAGGCGGCGGTGATAAATTACGGAAGAATAGCGCTGTTTTGGATAAGGAAGTGGAGAATATAACGGTGCAAAACGGCGAAAACGTGGACGATTACATTAGCGATTTGTTCAAACCGATATTCATCAACGACAGCGTTAAAAATCTAACCGAAAAATTGAACCTAGTGGAGAGCATCAAAGGAGGCGGTACCACGCAAGGCGACGCCAGTACTTCCAGCTACAGTTTACCAACGATGCAACCTCTGATGATGCCGTTGTTAAGCCCGACGCAGGAAAATTTCATGCCGATCTTCAACACCGGTTCCCAACAAAACGGTACCGATTTGGCCGCCTTCCAACAGAACCTACAGCGCGCCTTCTTGCAATCAGCGATGGCCCAAAACATACAGATACAGCAGCAACTGATAGCGCAAAATCAAGCGCTCCAGCAACTCATAGCGCAACAAACTTCCTTACCGAACGATATCAACGATGCACCGACGACTACAGTGAAAGCTCAAGTGCACCAGTACACCCAAAACCGGAAATCGAGTTCCAACAAAATATCGCCAATCAACCGCAAAGCTAGCTCCGACTCCAACGTAAGTAAAAACGGAATTCCACCGCCTCCACCTCCGCCCCCGCCGATGCCGCCACCTCTGGAAGACACCGATCCAAGCGGAACCAGACCGTTCCTAGACCCTTACGGCAGAGCTAAGACAGTGAGAATAGGCAAATGGAGGTGGCCCCCGCCTAAAGACACCATCAACAACCCCGAAACCGGCGAGGATTTCATGCACTTCAAGCTCAGGCAACACAACCGCAAGGTCACCCCGAACAAGGAGCAAACGGCGGTGAACGGTCACAAAACTTCCCTCGAATGGGAAGACGTCGAGTACGAGCCGAGAGAAATCGAGAAAATCAGCAAGATGAACGGGAAGCGGGCCTTCGAAATCGGAGCGGCTCGTCCCACGCCGGGCAGCGTGGGCAAATTGAAGCTCAGCTCCGAAATGAAGAAACGATTGGAAATGGTAACCGCCAATCATTCGGTCCGATCCACCAGCAGCCAGGACAAACCGACGAGAACCGTCAACAAACTCGAAGACACCAGGAAAATGATGCTCGAACAGCAACTGGCCGGCAGGTGGGACGATTCGAGAGACAACAGCGGGAAATCCAGCCCCGAATCGTCTCCAATCAACGTAAGTTTTCTCTCATTCAACTCCAATAACTCTTATCACGAAGGATTTCTTGCAGAACGGCACGAAATCGCCGACATCGCAGAGCTGGGGCAGCTCCAACTGGAAACCGGGACCGCCGCCTCCGCCGGTGGGTCCACTGACGCCCGCGGGCCCCGCTCCGCCGCCGCCCGTCATACGACCTCTTCTCTCATCGGCCCAAGAGCCGTCGTTCATGTCCCAGCGACAGGACAGAGACACTTTCGGCGTGCACCAGAACAACTTCAACCAAACCAATTCGAAGAGGAACTCCTTCAGCACCAACTGGGACGTGCAAAGCAACGCCACCTTGGACACCACCGACGACGTGCACGATTGGTCCAAGGACAAAAGGGAGTCCCAACGGTAAGTTGTTCGCTCTATATCGAATAAACCTTTAGTGAATCGGTTTAATTTGCAGCAAAGATCGCCGGGATAGCTGGGACCTGGGCGAAACCGTCACCAACGGAATGATGGAAGGGAAGTATATGGTGGATATGTGGGATAGAGACGTGAAGGTGGAGAATACGAGGAAAATGCGGAAGGTTTCCGACCAGGAATCCACCGACAGGCCGACCTTTAAGACTCACATGCTGTCGAAAAGCGCTCAGGAGCGAGAAAAGAAACACTCGGTAGGATCCACGCAGTTAACGGAGAAATCGGAACGTATGGAAGGTAATTTAGAACTCTAAAAGCTTGTAAAACAACCGTAGATTATTAGTTTCCCTAATCAATTTCTTTTGATATCTTTCAGGAACGGATTGGCCCGAGTTTATGCGACCGATACAAACCCCACCGGCGAAACCAGCGGCTGCTTCCACACCGCTGGAAAAGGAAAAACCTGTCGCGAAAACGGCCGCCGGCCTTTTACCATTGGGCACGTCAGCTTGCGTTACCTACAATCGCGTACCGTGGTTGCTGCGAGTTAAAAAAGAAGTGTTCTCACCATCCGAACCCCTGGGTCATCTGACCACCATGCATTTGATCTTCTGCCAAGTCGTTATGGACGTGTACGGCTTAACGCCCTGCATTCGGTTAGTGTTTATATAACGTAGAGTGTTCATAAAAATGATCTTTAGAATCTAATGCCTACGAGATAAGTGTGATAATCGGTTTTGTTTTGTTTGCAGGTTATCGCAGAGTGAAAAAAGAGCAGGGGTGAACATGTTGTCCGGTTATGGCGTGACTGCTGATAATTTTAACAATAATCACAGAGCGAACGTGAAGAGAAACGTCATAGAACTGGCCAGGACCTGGCCTTTGTACTTTGCCAGGCTTTTCCCCGTTTCCGGAGCCGCTCAGGTATGACCTAATCAACAAGTCCCAAATATAAAAAAACGATCAATTACTCGACAACACTTCATAAACGGACCTTGTTTCTTCGTCTTCGTCAATTTCTTTCACAACAGCGATTGTCTTATTGCGATTATCGTTGCAGTTATCGGATATTCAGTTTGTGGCCGTTTCCCATTGGGGTGTGCATCTGGCCAAACGCGACCAGAACGCTCTGCAAGTGTTGAAATCCTACCCGTTGTCCGATGTAGCCTCTTGCACGGCCCCGAGACCGACGAACGTGGTGCTGGAGGTGCCGCAGACGAAGTTGAGCTTGTACACGCCCAGGGCGCAACAATTGTCCGAAATGGTGATGAAATTTTGCAACGAACAGCGAAAGGTGAGCGTTTATGTGCAATTTTTTATTTGGTTTTGATGTTTGGTTGAATGCTTAGTGATTTTTTCGTAGTGTAAGATAGTTGTTTCTCTTAATGTGGTGCATAAATCGTGTACAATGTTCTTGTATAAATAGGATAGTAATTATAAAAAAAATCATAAACAAGTTAGGTAATAAAATTAACAGCAAAATTCTGCTGGCGCAACGGGTTTAATCGCGACTAAAAATCTCACCGTGCGCGTTTTCTATCGTTCATCTCGCAAATAATTTCGATGATAAAATGTCGGTTATTAACGATTTTCTCTGTACAGTTTGTACGTACTTTCGTAATGTAATCTTATCGACTGGTTGTAGCGCTTATCATTTTTATTGCGAATCGATTAAATCGCGTAAAAACGGGTTGCTCTAATAAGGAAAACGAACGGTTTCTACAAAAGTGAAACCGCCTTTGCGCGCCGTTAAAAAACCGGAGAGAAATTTTTTGTCGTAGAAACACACAAGCGGGAAATTTGCCATGAAAAATGTGGTTTACTGAAAATTCAAATGTTTTTATTGTAAATAAAATGTGAAGTGTTTGGAACATAATATTCGTACATTCAAATTCGTAACAAAAATTGGTACTAAATAAGGTCAAATTTCTAATTTACCATATCTTACAAGTATACTACAAAATATCCTCAACTACTTATACCACTACAATATTAAAAAAAATAAACGACCTTAAAATCGCCATTAATAATAGGTAAATTTTCAATTTTATTCTCCCTACAATATTTTCAAATATACTGCAAATATTGAGATTAATTTAAAAGTTGCAGGTTTTTTGATCGCCAAATTTAGTATGAATTGTAGAGGAAGGGGCAAAAAATCCACTCAGATATGAGAGAAAACATTTAATTTCGCATATTTGAAAATTTAGTGATCAAAAAGTCTGTAACTTTTAAAATAATCGCAAAACTTGCGAACTTCCTTAACTTTTGTGGAGCAGTTTATATTCACATATAGTGCGTTTACTGACAACCGAGCCTGACGTCACCACCGAACTAATTCGACCACCGTTTACAAAACGCGTAAAGTTCTTCGTGTCTTCGGTAAATACCGGACAATTCTCATCGATGTCCGTCCCACATACGCTTCTCCGGCACACAACACAAAACAGTTATACACGCCGTGTGCAATGCGTGCATCAACACCGGACTGACCGCCGGATCTCGATCATTTGTAACGCGAGTTTCGCCGCGAATCGACGGTTTCGATTAAAAAGAAAAAAATAAATGCCGTACCGCAACTCGCCCGAGCGCTTTCGTGTATCTCCAGTGTTATGACTGCATCGGACGGGCTTCGATCAAACCGAATCGAATCGATTGAAATGCTGGAGTGGTTCGCACCGAAGAAACATGCAAAAGACCAGCTGGTGTCGACTGAACCAAGAGAAAAACCTATCGGAAAGCTACCCGGCCAGGTCCCTAGACAGTCTAGCGAATTCCTCCAATCCGTCCGAGCAGAGCGCCAGCGATGATTCCAACGATTCGGACTCGGGGGCTGACACCAAGCGCTCGTTTTCGGCGGAATGCGATGTTTACCAGAAGCCCAAGGTCCAGCAGAAGCTGCAAGCTTCGTCGGCGGGCACCGTCAGGAGCGACGCGGACTCGAATCCGGCCCGTATGGAGACCATTCCGGAGGAATCGGAGACGGTGAAGGTGTCGGTGAAGGCGATTTTGGCCAGATTCGAGAATTTGAACGGGAAAACCGATGGTTGTGTGACCGGCAAACCGAGGGACTTGAAGGAGATAACGAGTGGTAGTGAAAGTGTGTCGGGAAGTTCGATGAAATCGGGAGTTAATACCAACAATACTAATAATAGCATTGACAAAACGATAGATGTGAATAGCGATGATGATGATGATGATGAAATTGTTGAGAAGAAGCAGGTATTTTATAATTATTATTTCACACGATTGGATAATCCTGTCAAATTTAGCTATCGTAAATGATTTATTGCGCCTATTCATTATAAATGAAATTGCTCATCAATTGAATCGTGATGAGTTTCTTTTTTAGTCGAAGAGCAAGTTTTTTTATCAATTTTCCTTATGAGGAGTTAAAAATACTGTTTTATAATGAAAATTGTAAATGAACCAGTTATGTTCATAAGGCGAAACTTATACTGAATTATAAAACAAGTTGGAAAATTATTTGAATTTCATGTTTCATTATAAAGCATACGGTCCAGAAATCTACTTTAATCTAATAACTTCTGACCTAATATTTACAGGTTTTTTACAACAAAATTCACTAATTTTCTTATGTTTATTTCTACATTTCCTTTAATTTTGTAAGAAAATAAAGAATGCAATAGCAAATGAATATATCCCATAACTAACAGTTTTGGAATAGAAACCATTATCAAAAGTTAAGAAATTTATTTCGAATAAATATTAAATAAGATTTTCTCTTACTCATATTCGAAACTTTATTATCATATTTCATCACTAAATTAACAACTATGTTTTTATCACATAATTGATCTGTATAGAAGTTCCTCCAAGGATATTATGATAAAAAATAAAAAAAAAATCCAAAATTTCTGCATTAAAATATCAATAATCCACCTCTGTGTTTGAGCTTGTAAATATTTCCAATACTTCCCTGTGCTTTACAATTTGTTACAATAACCAAAAACATTTAAAAAATTTCTGGAAGAAAAAAGAAAGACACAATTTGTTATTATATTACTGTAATTATTATTACTGATTTAATTCAAAACAGAATCCATTACAAATAAAATTGGCGCTAATTTTGTAAATGTTACTTTCATTCAATGTTTTAGCTCCACCCTAATATTAAAAAAAAGAAGAAACGAGTGGTTTTGCATTGTCTTTCAAAGGAATTTCATTCATAATAAAATTCTGTAGTACCATAATAGTAAATTCTTAACAAGGTCGCTAACTTGTTCTCTCTCTTGTAATTTAAGTGAAATAGTATTTTATTATTAATATGAAATGTGGAAAAAATATTTCCTTAATATATGATTTCAGTAACATCCATATGTATATTGAATAAAAAACTCTTTTATTTTTTATCATAATATCCTTGGAGGAACTTCTTTACAGATCAATTATGTGATAAAAACATAGTAGTTAATTTTATAAGGTCATTTTACATAAAATAAATAAAAAAACCAGATAGTTTATATAATTAATTCAATATTTCAAAGTATGTCTAGTTTAGTGTGAACGAACTTCGGCAAATAAATATGATTATTTTACTTATGCAATAAATTTTCTTGGCAATTTTATAATTTTAATTAATAGCAATTTATTACGTGTCATTAGCCATTATATTCGTAGTTCCACTCGATACACGAGAAAGTGTGTTTGTAAAGTTAATTGGCCATTCGCATAAGCGGGTTGGATTTTTTCGTTCCAAGAAAGCGACGTTTTTTCCGAAAAAAACGACTATCTACTTGTCGGGAATGGGAACGCAATTTTAATTTCAAATTATATTCATAATTAGTAAGGTAATTAATACTTACGTAGCGAATATCAGATGGCCAGTTGAACGCGAATAATGGACATCTGGAAAAAGAAATTTGTACGGTTACAGTCGATGAAAATTTTCGTAAACATTAATAAATATTTAACTGGATTCTGATACTTGAGTTCCTTAAGCTCATACAAAATCATAATCATCAATCTGTTTACGAGGAAAATACATCAAGATTACGTAAAGTAATTACTTATAGCATTGAAGACGGTTGCTCAAGCATGTAATTCACAACTCATCAATTTAATTCTCTTCGTATTGTGTCATACAACATCAATTATTTATTCGACGAATGGATAAAAAGATCTTGATAAATCCGCCTCATCTTTTAATTTCAATTATGTCAACTTTTTCCAGAACTTCTACAATATACATTTTAAAATGTTATTCCTCCAAGGATTATTATTGAATATATGAAGAATTCTTTTTTTAATGAATTCTTTAGTTGTTAAATCAGCGCTATAACTCGATACTTTCTCTTAGGTGTACGTTAATTTCGAGTAATTAAAGCACGCCATAGTAAAATAAAGACAGCGTGCGTATAATTGTAAAGAGATATGTTTTTTTACACGCCGAGATTTTGTAGAACAGATCTGCGTAATCTTTAACGTTATCAATAAATATTTACGTTCCGATTAAGGATATTTAGGTAGCCATTATTTTTGACCTGATGGTAGCCAAGCAGAAATAATTGGAATAATAATAACTATAACTATTTTACTGGTCGACATTTCAGCAGTCTTTTTGAACTAGATATTCGGCTGTGTTCGCATTTAATTAGCCTTTATATGCACAATTATTCCCGTATACGCCATTTTTACGCTTCATTTTATATATAGAACTGTTACAAGTGGTCTCTAACCCTTTCGAACGAAAGTATTTCGTACTAATTAATTTTTGGTTGCTAGATAACAAAACCATTCACTAAATAAACTGCTTCACAAAAGTTAAGGAAGTTCGCAAATTTTGCGATTATTTTAAAAGTTACAGACTTTTTAATCACCAAATTTTCAAATACGCGAAATTAAATGTTTTCTCTCATATCTGAGTGGATTTTTTGTCCCTTCCTCTACAACTCACACTAAATTTGGCGATCAAAAAACCTGCAACTTTTAAATTAATCTCAATATTTGTCAACTTCCTTAACTTTTGTGGAGCAGTACTCGTATATGGTTATTTGCATTACCAAGCAACATTTCTTCATACTCTATATTTTATAGCTAATATTTACACGGAGCTTTATGTTATAGCTCCAATCGAAGACCCATTGGGACGCCTCGTCTCCACATCAACGAGCCAGGTCTCCGCCAATCGAGCAATTCGAATTGCTGTTGAACAATTCCAGCCACAATAACGTGGCGAAATCGCCCCCTAAGCACCAGCCGCGTGATGATGGCGGGCAATCCCCCAGCAGCCCCTTGCCCCCCAACGGAAGGTACTCGTTGCTCCAATACGCCATGCACAACTTTAGACAAGCCGCTGAGTAAGTAGATATTTTCTATAGCCCATCTACAGATTGGCGAGAATAGCGTGAGATGTTCAATTTTTCGTTTGAATGTTGCGCAGGTCATGTCTCTAGCTATTCCCGTCGCACTGTAGTTGTTTTTTTATTAGAAATTCGCTCCTGGTACAAATTTAATTGGTGATAAAATTATAAAATATTTGATGCAAAAAGAGAATTGTTTATACAATAAGGATTAGAAAACGGATTGTTATCTAATAATTCGGATGATGAAGTCACTCCAAGTCACGAAAATTAAATACCTAAGAAGACAATGCGCTATTTTTATACATTATACTTAGATGTATATTTTTCTAAACTGTAATTAATATCGCTTTATCGGGTTAATTAATCGTAGTTTGAGCAACGATGTGCAACATAGTAAAGTGTATAATATTCATACATTGTGAAAAATTAGAAAGCATGATTATAAATCGCGTTTCTTTCTCTTCTTCACGATTCGATCTATTTTTTCGCTCAGTGTTAACGCGGCGAAGTGGCCGAGTTGTAATTAAAAAACCCCGCGTGATACTCCGTATTTATTTAATTTTTAATCATTAATTAGTTATGAAGGTAGGCCATCGGTTATTATTGCTATTATTTTTTGCAAAACTAGACTAACTCGAAGTTCGTTTTATTATTATTAGCGCGTGCGTTCTACATCATTTAACGCGCTCGCGAGTTTCGTTTAAAATTTTTAAATAATCTAATTATTCAACGCTCCGGCGAATTTGGAATGTGTGTAAATTAATGGTGTATTTCGTTCGTTAATTAGATGAAAAATGTTTTGCTCAAAACTCTGTTTTGATTATTTATTTTATTCAAACATTAACATAAACGTTTGCAATATGGTTAATTCTTTGAGCTGAACAAAGAGAGATAACAGTGGTTAAAAGAACAGTGATTAGAGTGAGAAAGTTGCAATCAATCCACAATATCACTTTCTTTTTCCCTTATAAGAGACGAATATAAGTTGTCTTTGTTGCATCTATAGATCATATTGCATACAAATTTGCACTTACCATTATATGAAGTTTAATTTTTTTCTTGAAAATTATTAGTTTTTAATTTTCATCATGTTTGTATTCTTTTTATTAATTCTTTTATATCCTAATGTTTATTCAATATCTGACAATTTCATGTCCTTTTAGGCTACAAAACAGGTTATATGCAATTTCTGCTTCTACAGTAGGGCTAATTTATGAATTATTATTGCAGGTTAGAACACCTGAAAATGGACTCCATGGTGAAAACGAAAGAAAAGAGAAAAGAATGGACCTGGAAGCAACACACGGATTTGATAAAATGGCAAGGAACCCCCATCGATGGACCTCTACTAAAATTAGAAGAACCCGAGCTCTATCCCCTAGCAGTCGAATGCTTCGAATGCATATTGAGGTACAGCGCAGACCTACCTCTCACCCCGGAGATGTCAGAAGTCAAATGCGTCTACACCGTTCTAATGGTAACCAAACTCCTCATTACCTCCTTTTGCATGTATCGTAACAATCCACCATTTTGCAGCACTGCCATAAGTTCCCGCGGCTGCGCGACGAAGTCTACTGTCAGCTGATGAAGCAAACCACCAGCAACAAGTCGCCGAATCCAGAGTCGTGCCAGCGCGCCTGGCGACTGCTGAGCGTCGTCGCGGCGTACTTCGCCTGCTCCGATCAGCTGCTGCCCTTCCTCACCGAGCACCTCACCAGCGCCGCCAACGACCGAAGGAGAGTCTGTCACGGAACGGCCGCCGTCTGCCTCAGCAATCTGCGAAAGACGCAGCGCTGCGGCGGCAGGAAGAACGTACCGTCGGTGGAGGAGGTTACCGCCGTCAGCGCCGGCAGGAGCGCCAGGCGGCAGATTTACCGGTTGCCCGGCGGCGCCGAACGAGTTGTTAATACCAGGTACGTTTTGATTCTCATACTCTATTCTTCTGCAAGTACCTTTTATGCACCTTTACAATCCTTATTCATTGTTTGTATTTTGTTGCAGATGTAGTACTGTAGTAGCAGACGTAATTGCCGAGCTATGCGCTCTAATAGGCATTGCTGGCGAGGTGGAGCAACAGGAATTCAGTTTGTACTGCATAGTCCAAGGCGACGCCTTCACCATGCCTTTGGCTGCCGATGAATATATCCTAGACGTGACCACGGAACTACAAAAAGCGGCGCAACCTTTCTACCTGATCTTCTGCAGATCGGTGTGGTACCACCCGTTGAAACACGACACTAGTCCTTTGTACACCGAAGTACTGTTCAACCAAGTGGCTCCCGATTACTTGGAGGGACTGCTGCTGAGATTGGGTAGTACAAGTATTCCGACGAGCGCGATTAGAGACATGGCGCTGATAGCGGCTTTGCTGCACCGAGCCGCCGATCTGAGCCACTCGCCCAATTTGAAAGAGGTGAAATTCCTGCTGCCCAAGCCCGTGCTGGCCATCAGGGAGCCGAGGCCGGCGCAGTGGCTCGCCTTGGTGCAGACATCCTGGGGCCAGGCGGCCAACGTGCCGGTGTCGACGGCCAAGCACCGCGTGCTGCAGGTGCTGAGCAACTGGTCGTTGTTCGGCAGCTCCTTCTTCGCCGTGAAGCGGGTGATCGGCGAGACCGACAACTGGCAGGAGCACATTTTGGCGTTGAACAAGAACGGCGTGCACTTTTTGGACATGAACACGCACGAGACGGTGCATCAGTGGCCGTTCGCCGAGGTGATCAGCACCAGGAAGGTGCGGTCCGAGGACGGGGCGCTGTTTTTGGACATGAAATGCGGCAATTTGCTGCAGCAACGGGTGACGAGGTTGCAGACTGAGCAGGCGCACGAAATCTCCAGACTCGTAAGGCAATACATTAATTTAGAACAAGAGCACGGCACTAGGGAGAGAGATCATTGAAATTAGGACGTCGCTGTTATTAATTACACTTTTGCGTTCGATTAATGAAATATTATTATGTCATCTCGTGACGTTTAGCATGTTTGCACTTTACGTAGTTTATATTAACGATTTGTTCTGTATAAAGTCCCTAGATTCTATAAGTAGCGCAATAGTCCGCCATGTTTGGGATTTTTTTAGCGGAAAATTCAAATATTGCAGAAAATTTATTGAACACATTGTATAAACATGTCACATTGGACGTCATATTGTTAACCAATAATCTGACATGACAGAAATGTTAGGATATGTTTACTTCTGTAAAATAAATTGTCAAACGGCAGCCATGTTTGGGATTTTGCTAGCTAGCTTTTTCTATCTTATAGGCCTAATTGATTGGGCTACTTAATAGTATCTAGGGATTTTAGTTCTGTATAAAATAGCTGTTGCACATTGACATATTCACCTCAATAGGCTAGTTAGCTTATTTTAAATATAATGTTATGGAGAAGTCATTTTGTTGCTCAATTGTATTGGTTTTTTCAATATGAGAGAATATGAAAATTGACTGAATTAAAAATAGTCGATTTAATTTAACAACGAATTGAACCAAATTTTTTTACACTCTTAACTTCATTATAACAATATTATTTACCTACTGATAAAATTTTGTAATGTTACAAAAAATGTGTGCGAAGGTGTTGTTTTTGAACGTGTAGTCAAAAATAATTGTTATAAATTTGATTAAATTTACAATTATGTTTATATTATTTATATACAGAGTGTATCTATGACAGGCGCTTTGTATGTATATCTAATTATATTTTTATGTAAATGTTATTATAAATAATTGTTATGCGTTTATATTTATTTTAATTAACCGACAAAAAAACCATGTAAAATAATTCACATTAACTCGTATATTTTGTTATTGAAGTTACAATTAAGGAAAATCACGCCCAAATTGCTCTATTTTTGATCGAATTTATCTATTTTTCTAGTGGTGTAAGTAATAAAAATAAAATATTTGTAATCGAATATCACTCGTTTGAATTCATTTTCCTTACCTTGATTGCGTAATGAAAGAAGTACAGAAATAATAATATGTGGAATAATAAATTTAAATTACGGCACATTATATGGTGTTGGTAAACACAATTGCCCTACCTTTAAGGATACACGTGACATTGAAAACGATGAGTATTACACACTCGGTAAGTATGAAATAATATTCATTAAATATTACAGTGAGTTTATTTTTTTAAGATATATTGTGCACTCCTACTTCTTGGAAATTTATTGCTTGTTATTCAATCTATTTTTCCAGATATACTTCAAGAGATTAATTTATTGAGAATGTTTAGTACAATTCATATATTTAGTAAAATGGCCTTTCTGTAAAAACACTCTGTATTTGAAACGTAAAAATCTGCATTGCAAAGTAGGCGCTTTAAATCGAGAGAAACTCTCGAAATATGTTCTTAATTTTATTTGATTTATTTATTTAATACGGTAAATCAACTCGATTATACCGGAAACTCTGAATCTCTTATTGAGAGAATTAAAATTAATGAAAACTAGAGAAAGCCAATTTTGCGGTAATTTTAAACCTGAAAAATTATCGAGTCGAGTATCTGGAGCGTTTAATACAATGCATTTTAACGTGTATTAAAAAAAATTAGCTAAAATCGCTTTAGTATTTCAAAATCGCGCGATTTCTTGCTCGTTTAAAAGTCTTAAAGACTTTCCTTGTTTTCGATAATTTATTGTTATACAAGCAAAGTTCAAATTAGCCGTGTTAAGGTCGGTGTATTTGTGTGCACACCGAAGAATAAGAGAAAAAAAATGAGATTTCGTAATGGAATTCTTGTGTCAAGAGAATTTTCACACGCATATGCATGATGAATACTTACGTGTGTTTATATGGCATAATAGTATTTTTTACAAAAAAATATTGTTTGCCTAGAAGGTCGCAAATTAGAGTATTTTTCAACTGGGTTAAGGTGGAATAAATGTAAGAAGTATATTCAAATAATTCCTCTTAACAAGCAGGAGAAAAAACGTCTAAAATCCCTAAAAAATCCTAAAATACAGGGTGTTCTCGAACTTATGGCACTAAATTTTAGGGGTGGTAGTTTGCATAATTTAAGATCAAATCAAATAAATTACTAAAGTCTAGGTCTTATGCAAACTAAGGTCTTATTCAAACTACCACTCCTAAAATTTAGTGCCATAAGTTTGAGAACACCATGTATAGTAGTTTTTACCCTAAAATCCATCGTAGAATGAAGCCTTTAGGTAATTTCAAAAAAGTTTTTCATATAAGAAAAGGGTTGAAACAATTTACCCCCTTCACTTCTCCTATTACTTTTTACGAAAACTTAAAACAAAAATTATCTTTAAATAACTGCTGTTAAATAAAATATAAGATACACCCTGTATTGTGAATCATGATTCATAGAGTAGAGATTTAAACATTTTTATTCAATAAGTGCATATGGGAGTGCATCTTATAAACCTGCCAAGCTTTGAGCAGTTGTTGTATTGCATTCTGCAGTTTTAATAATATGCAATTAATACAGGAAAATAATGAACAGAAAAAAAATAAAATTAATATCTACCTTTTTCCGGTGAATTGTCCCCACTCCGAGGAATCCCAGATGTACGCCCCTGAAAACGAAGCTATATTGAGTAAAATGCTTTCCTTCAGTTTCTATCGGCGTCTTATAGTGTGCGTTTAACAGTTTTATTGTTTGATATACAGTGCGTTCTGTACAGTCGACTATTGCGGTCACGGTGATAATAATAATCGTGTGAAATAATTGCTTTTATTTTTTGTGCGTTCGTTTCGATTTTTTTGCATAAATTTGCGATTATTTATATCAATAAACAGGTAATTCCTACTTTTTTGAGCCGCGCTCTAAAGGGGTGCAAAATACAAACATGACATCCGGCAAACATATTTTAATTACGCGGAAATTAGAGACTTACGTTTCATTTGAAACATCAACATCTCGAAAAACGTTCTACTTGAGACCCCCTTTTTGATCCCCTCAATTCTATTAAATTTTCCCTAAAATTTCATTCATGCTTTTTAGTACGATATTCAGTAAGTAATTTTTCGATCTCCTCGATAAATAGTTTAAAAACCACACCTAAATTATTTTAGACTTAACGGTTATTAAACAAGAAAATTGGTTTTTCTGAGGAAAACCAACGACATTTCTTCAAGGATACGTTTCGTCTATAATTTGTTATAAAAATAATAGAATTCAATCATCTTTGAGACATAGAAATTATTTTTTGAAAAAGCTATCACCCTTTCTATTTCACGTAAAATTTTCTTGGTTGATAAAAAGAAAATATAAATATTTTGCAATTTTCAAATTTGCTAGCTTAAATCGAACTCCCTTAATTATTCTCGTACGTTTACCTCGAAAAACAAAATTTAACAAAAGCTAATAAAGAGAATCTTATAAAATTCCCACATAAAAAATAATGCCGGTAATCAATTTAATTGGGACCCCAGCAAGGACACAACGTGTACAATATAAATTAAACGAACAATCAAATAGTACCTCCCAACAAAACCATTTTAATATTCCAAACATTCCTAACATTGACGCCCATTTTGGGCGCTTATTCCAACAATAATTAACCGTCAATACCCTATTTAAATGCAACTCAATAGAAGCAAACGAATAATATTCCAATTCCTTCCAGACATGGAAACGTAGCGATCGGAAACTATACAACAACATGGCTCAATTCAACAGGTGGACCTTCATAAAGCTATTAGAAGTCGTAAGTTCAACGTTACTTCCCACCTCAAACTAACACCTAGCACATCCACCTATTCGTTTTAGATTCTAGTATTAGTCTGCGTCATCTTCAAGCGGGTCACAGACGACGAATCGTCCAGAGTGTTCCTCTACTTGCAGAAGCTATCCAGGGAATGGCACCTGCTGAACAACATCACCTGGAGCCGCGTGGGCGCCGCCGTCGCGGACACAGCCTACGGCGGCTACCTCATCATCACGGGCGCCCTCTTCTTCGCCCACCTCTTCGGCGAGCTGCCCACCACCACGAGGATATTCGAGTACATCGTGCTCGGAATCGGCACCATTCTGTTCATCGTACTAGGTCAGTTGATTACAGTTGATTACTCTAGTGATACAAACAAATCCTCGTGCATCCGCAGGTAGTTTATCGTTCGCCGCCATCGATTCCGTGCCGCACAATCTGATAGACAACGCGGCCATCGTGGGAACGGTGTCGCTGGTGGTGGCGGCGCTGTTCCTGCTGGACATCGGCGGCCCGAAGAGGAGGACGCCCAAGCAGACGGCCGCCAAGCTGAAGAAGCCGCCCGATTCCAAGGTGATCACCAAGCAGGTGTACGAGGCGGAGAAGAGGAAGAAGGACGAGAGGAAGGCGTCCGCGCCCGAGATGCAATTCGTTCCGAAGAAAGCGGAGAAGAACGAGAGAAACGGCGTGACGACGATGGAAATGCAGACGATGAATAACGGTGGGTGTTCGTGAACGATTCGCGGCTCATTTTTTGCACTGTGATTAATTGATTGGGTTACTACATCATAGGGGAGCAGTAGCAATAGCTTTCTTCATGCTGCTTCATGAATCATATTAACTTTTTATTAGTTGAACTCTTGACTCCTAAATTATCCTAAATTTATTCTAAATAATCGATTCACTTGGGTAGATAAATATTTAGTGGAAAATTCGTTTGGCTTTTAAAAAATCTCGAAAACGAAAACATACCTGAGACTCGCACCTCCAGAACCCCTCCAATGTAGTAACCACGAATTGAGAGGATGGTAGTTTTAACGTTGAAATTGCATTCGTTCTGGTCGCAAGGCGGCTATCAGAGGATGCACGACAGCAGGGACGATTCGTTCAGGAGATTCGGCATTTACGGGCAGGACGTGACCGACGAGGGCGCCACCACCGATGCGGAGGATATCGAGATGCCGCCCAAGATGGAGCCCCACTCGCCCATATGGAGCAATATCAGGAAAGGTAGGTACGTCGATTTTCCAAAGCTTTTAATACCTGCACAATTATACACTGTGGGGTTGTAAGAAGATGCAGGAAATTAGGGGTTATTTTGGATGTATAGGGAGAATATTACGGATACGTAGTAGAAAAATGTATACGAAAAAGAAACGTCAAATCACAGAACACATTCACCTTCTATCGCTTTTAGTATTCTGTGTTACTAATAGATCAAATGTCACTAACATGTCAAAATGCAAGTTCATGGAGCGCCTACTTAGTTTAAATTGTCTTCATAACAATGTAGTTTTTACGAATAATATCAAATTCATCTACATTATAATTTTTACTTTAATGTATCAAATATTCGGCAATTTCATTAGTAAACTTTTTAACATATTTGACACTGAACACTACTTAAACCCGACCCTAAACAATAGCGTTTTTTTTATAATTACCTTCTTTCAGGCCAGTATGGAAAATCTGACATCGTGAATCCGAAATTAATGCTGCAACGTAGCGACTTTCCGGAAGACTTCAGACCGCCTAGCAGCCCCGGCGATCCTGGTTATGTACAATACACCGCCCAGCATTGGGGGCAATCGGGCGCCAGGACGCCCAGGCATAGCCCAACACAAGTTTAGTTTTATGTTCGTTAACATCTCCCGCGAAAGACTAATTTTCTTCAGGTATTGACGACCGGTTTGTTTATAAATTTCACCTGTCAATTAGCACCCAAGTCTGTGCATGAGGTTTTTAGTTAATTTTGAAATAATGTTAGTTCGTTGAAACAAGTAATTAATAAAAGAATTATCGGGTTGGCTTTAAGTGTAGAGTGTAGCGAATTAGTTGTCGCCGGTTTAATAGATTTGTAAGTAAAAAAGAATTGACAGCAAATTTGACAGTTCTTTTGTTAAAAACTTGTTATTTGTTTACAATTTATTGCCATATACTAATTTTTGTAATAAATAACGCACCGTTTTGTAAAAATATCCAATAAATACTATACACCTTTTACCAATCCCCACTTTCAACTACTATTTTCAAAAGTCTTGTCAGTGTCAACTGTCAAGGTGTCACGAAAATCTTCTGTTTGTATTTTGTGTAGATTGAACCAATTAAGGTAAAACATAAACAGTTTTTTCATCAAATTTGATGCAAATCGTATAATTTTCTTCGACTTTTAGATATATTCATAAAAAAGTACAAAATTTTAGTCTTATAAATTTTCGATGCCTTTGAGAAAATCCCGGTACTCTTTGATAAGTGTTCGAAGGCGCTCCCTGGTGGCCGACGTGATATTTTCCTTAAGCTTCTCTTCAGCATTCGCCACGTTGCTCCTGTAGCCTGTCACGTTGTGGAACACCCGAATCTGCTTATCCCCGGACGTGAGCAGGTATCGCCCAGTCGAATCGAACATCATCGAAGTTACTTTATCTACAACACATAAAAATATTAAATCAAATAATTTGACGTACCTAACTGAAATTATCGAAGATAGAGTATCTTCTAAAGGTTTTAATATCTGTACTAGAGTATTTACCGAAATATATATTCTCTAAAACGTAATCCAGGCGGTTGTTTCTCGTTGAGTACAGCGCCACATCGGCGCCGGTGGCGATTGCTAGAACTTCTGCGTCGGGGGATAGGGCGATCAATGCGTTGTTGCCGGATCTTTCGTAATTTCCGCTTTTCAGGAAACGGGCGTTCTGTCCCAATTTGTAACTCACTAAAAAAAATACATTATTTACTGTAAGCGGTGGTGACATTTATGTAGATTAGACACGTAAATTTGAAGATTTGTTACTAACCTTTGGTGTCGTAAAGGCGCCAAGTACCATCTTTAGAAACTGTAGCCATGTGTGATGAATCTACATCAAATGCAACGTCGTACACACCAGAAGAATGCCCGCCAAGGGTGAGTTCCTTTATGGATTTCACATCCTTGAACTCACCGGAATTATCGAAAAGCACCTCCCATATTTTAGCTTCGGGGCTGAAACCTACAAACACAATAAAATCATTGTTAGTTGTGACGTTATTGCCGGTTTAGCATGACCACATTATATTAACAGCGAGCTTAACGATCTGTTAAAAATTTGACGAGCCGTTTAATCGGTCTTTCCTTTTGACCTACCTGTGGCAGCGATGAATTTTCCGCATGGTGAAATTTTGGCGCACGTGTTGTTCATTAGATAAGTGTCGATTTGCGCCAGTTTTTGCCCTTTCAGGTCCCATATCACTAAATCAGTACGGTTGGAGCAGGTTATTATGAATTTCCCGTTCCTCTGTATATCTATGCTTATGATATCAGTCTCGTGTTGCTGAAACGAAAAATTAACGATCAATTAAACGCTCGTTAAACCCTAAATACAATCGCTGTAGTGTAGGAATGGGATTTGTTTCTTAATTAATTTTAATTTGTTTAATTAATTATTAATCGTGACTTTACTAGATTAAAGTGAACATTATTTAAAGTTTTTTTTTAACAATAAACGTGAGTTTTTTGCTAGTTATAATTATTTTTTTATTGACCTTTTCGCTAGGGTAATTCAACTGTATACGTTCAAGAACGCAGTTTTTTGCAATATTAATTCCAATTTCAAGGGAGCTGTACTAGTGCATGAGTTAAAAATTAAACGATTTTTTTTTGGTAAGAAATTAGAAAAAATATACAATGAAATTATTGCAAATTTATTGCTAGTTCGTTTATTTATAAATTCATTAAAAACCGCTGCCAAAAATTATTTACTTGCCAACATAAATACTAATTAGTTTTATTTTTAAATTTATTGCAATTTTAGGCTAAATAAAAAAATACATTAAATCAAAAAACATTTTTTTTAAACCAATTGTATTAACATAACTTCAACCGCCTAAATAAAGTGCTTGTACTTTCGGTCAGTCAAAACATCCGGTCTAATTTTGAAACTTATAAACCAAAAAAAAATTAATTAAAAATACGAATTTAGTCAACAAAAAAACGCCCATTTGAGATAATTTTTTGAGAACGTATTATTTGCGATTATTTTCGGAGCAGAATTATACAAAATTATGGCAGTTCGTTGACCGTCCCACTAAGTAGTTTTTAATTAATATATTTTGCGTTGTATATTTTAAAATAAAGAACTGCGCATTTCTTGCACACTTGACTTAATTAATCCCACGCGGTTAATGACACATTAGGGGGATGTGATAATTAATTATTACTTATTATAAAATTCCTCCCATATTATTAACTGCAGTAATTCACTATGATTTGTTCATTTCGAATTTTACCTCTTTACTCTTAAATTAATTGTTTAGATAATTAAAACGAATAAGTAATTAGTACAAATATGCGAATTTTCCCTATGGATAATGCAATTCAAATAAAAATTAATGTGTTAAGCAAATTTAATGGATAATTAACACAAAAAAAACCAATAATACAATCAAGGATTCCTCTCTATATAATAGATAATTAAACAAAAATGTATTATATTTGTTTTAAAGAATGATGCAATGCGAAATCGATATTGCCGCATGGCCTATTGTTAAGATTTTTTTCGTAACATTGAAGCGCATGTATTTGTTGTAATCAATTAAAAATTAGAAAAAATAAAGACCAACGGTCGTCATACTGATTATCTGAACAACCCACTCATAAAATAATTGATAGAAATGACAATAAAACTCGTTTGTAATTGGTTGATTTAACGAATTATTGCCAACTAAAAATTTCATTGACCTATTGAATTTTCAGGTACTAAATTAATTGCACATTGCACCAACAAATTATTAATAAATCTCACCTACTTGACTTAATCAACGTAATAGAATTATCGACAATTTTTCATTACGTTCCGGATTAATATTTAATTTATTTAGTGACATTCGATAAAATAAATTAAACGTCTATTATTGATAAAAGTAGAAGCATGACGTACCTACCTTATAAGTTAAATGGTTGTTTTACCAGTCATTTTCCCCGTTTCATTTATAATTCCACGTCATTCTAAAGCAATGGTAATGTTATTGGTTTGCCTATTTATGTACCTACGTTTAATTTAATTAAATACCATTATTTTAATGAAAATGCTGATAATAAAAAAATAAATAATAAATAACAATAATTTCCATTAATTTATAAATAGGTAAAAATTTAGGTAGCCTTGCTACACTAGGTAATGAGTTTTTGTTGTAAATATAAATAAATTAGATGGTTGAGGAATTCATAATTCAATCAGTCAGTCAACCCTTTATTGACCCAGTACATTTTTTATTTCCTTTGTTGTCGAGGCATTGATCACAGGAATACATTATATCGTAATATTTTATTTATTTTTTGATTAAAAAATACTGTCTTCTTTCGAAACCAGGATATTTACCACCGTCTTTAGACCTTTGCGAATAAGTACTTTATTCAGTAGGTCATTCGATTATAAAAATATTCAACAATAACAACGCTAACAAACACGAAAAATGTTTTAAATGTTCTTCGACAAAATTTCCTGCACAATTACATACTTAAACAGCCGCACATCCTAGATACTTTACGAATTTTTATTCGTCGTTATCATACGTTAGCTAATTGATTTTAATATTTGAACTGCGATTGAAACGCTGAGAAGGCTAATTGAATCAATTTACACGTAGCTAGGCATTCGATGTATTTTGAGCAATTGTTCAAGGATGCAAAAGGAATTTCGGATGAAATTTCAGAAAAATCTTGTTTCAGAATTTCCCAATATCAAATGGAGATTCCTCTACAAGCTTTACCACGAACTTTCGATTTCAACTTTTAAATCGGCCTCGGTTTCTACGGTAAACCGGCCAACAATACAGCAAATTTTCTTACTTTGGGGAATGTAAACGCCTGGGAGGCGGTCAGCCAGCCGTCTTTCTTCTTCTCCACTTTGTAAACCTCCACGGTGTTGTCGCTGTATTTGTTGATGATGAACGCCTTGGAGTCCGGGCTGAACTTCACGTGGGTGGCGTGGTCGAATTTGATGTTCACCCGCACGGATTTCCTGTCCTTCTGCGTCAGGTCTTTGGTATCCCAAATGAAGACAGCTCCCACTGAAACATGTCAATTTTACTCAATTGGCTGCAACTATTTTGAATTTAATGATATTAAGGATAATTTCATAAACAGAAAGGGATTAGCATTTGACATTCGTTTGACATGTAACATTCATTTGACATGTGATATTCATTTGACATGTGACATTCGTTTAACACAGACATAGTTGCTTTGACAGCGATAGGGTTACTTGAATATTTTCAAATGACCTATAAACCAACCGTAAAATAATTTTGGGAGCTTTTCATTTATAACATTACATACATTTTATTGGCGCAATAAACATCCCGTGCAGTAAAAGTTTAATTAGTTTAGTTAATTTTACCGACGTACAAAAAATATTTGACCTATTTATATCGACTATAAAAAATCGTAAGGAATATTCTAAATATGCCCTGACCTTGGTGAATTTTATCGTTATTAAATACGTGGAAAATAAATATTGTGACAAAAAATTTACTACATGCGTAGTTTTCGATTAATTTTGAAATTAAAAAATTCCGATAACGATATGTTTGTTTATTGAAAACTGGACGCTTAAGTGCAATTTAATCCCGGTTTTTTACTAAACGAGCGGAAAGTAAAAGCTAAAGGAAGTAAAGACTCGAATTCAGACTTTATCTTTCGATATCATTAAATAATGCAAGTATGTAGATACGCGGTAAATTTGTAAATTAATTATACTATTATTTCATATTTAATTCACCGAAATCCCACTTAAAGCAAAATAAATTTTTGAGATAATTAACGAAACGTGATAAGTCGTATAGCAATAAAGCAGCAAGGGTAATTGACGGCGAGTGAGTGAATTATAGTATGGCTAAATAAGTTATTAGCATGAAAAATTTGTAATTTAATTTTTTAATGCTTTAAAAATACATATTCCATGAGCTGGTGAGTTGAAATAATGACATTGTAACCTAACAAATTGAAAAATTTTTATACGTTACCCATTATCTAGTATTTTATTGAAATTTTGTGTGTGTTTTGATAACAAATTATTGCAATGTATAGTTATCAAAGTTGCAAAATAAACGTGTTGTTTTCGAACAACCTGTGGCTCCAGACAATGTGTATTATGTTGAGATTAATTTCGTAAATATTCCGAAATTAGTTTTTTCTACATAGGTACCTATACATTTATTTAAAATTATTTAAGTTGTCGTTTTGTTTATACATATGCAAATGGCCGAGACACGAAATCATAAACATTTAATTTTCGTCTTTTTAATTATTCATGGAAATAAATGATTAATCGCATTAATCGAACGGAAATATTATCGAATTAATTCGTATAAGAATCATTTGTTTATTTCGAGTATATAAGCATGCATTTCCGCTCTAATTACGCCAATGTCCCATTTAGTGTTCCATTCGTGATTTTTGGAAGGTTGCTGAATTCTATTTAGGTACATATGAATAAATTATACATATGTACATATGTATATTCGGAATATTGTAAGATTTACAACAGGAAAGTTGAATATTCACGAAATTGGTGGAAAATTACACATATCACTTCACCACGACATGACTAAGACGGCCGTGATATTATCTTATCAGAGGAATAAAAGCAAATAGGTACCTAATAAATTATGCATCGCCTAAATTTGAAAAAAAACAGAATGACTAAAGAGTTTTTGGGAATATACCTTTACTCATAACAGCTATTTGTAGCCAATCCACATTCAACTAATACTCGAACAGAGAGATGCGTAGTGGACACTTTTAAAATGTTTTTGTAGCGCGTTTTAGCCATTTTTAACAATATGACAAATTGATATTATGACATAAGTCTATGTTATATCAATCTTGATCAGTAACTTCGTATTTTCGTATAAATTAAATAAAAAGTTCAATAAAATCCAGTACATATTAAGTTGTTTTGTATCCATTTAATTTCAATTTCGTAACGATCAAGTCATCGGAACGACGTAACTATAATTATTCGCCTAAATAATATGATTTTTGAAAATAATAATAATAATACTAGTATCAATTTTTATACAACGTAATAGGTACTTACTGTCTCAATATAAGGAGCACGAGTCCATTGAACTGGATTTTTTGTACAAAGGATGATCTGATTGATGTATATTATTAATAAAAATATTGTTTAATTGTATTTTTAATTATATACATAGATATCTTAAAATATTATAGTATTTTTGCAACAAGGTCAGATGAAACAACGCTGTTTGTTATTGGTGCTTGTGAGAGCAATAAAAATGTTAAAAATATTTTCTTATTTTATTAAAAAAGATTTTCCAAGCTGCATAATTCACAAAATTTAAGTTACATTTAAATTTAATGTGAATCTAATTTTAGTAAAGTTTATTATTTGATGCCGTAGATAAGTCATATCATCGCATTTGCTCTAATAATAGTTATGCTATTTTTACAATCGATCACTTTTACGTCATATGCCCGCTTGTTTTTCGAAGTTATTTCGCAAATCTTCTACTAATTTTTTTTCGAAAAGTATTCAAAACACACCAGCAAACAAGCCAAACAAGAAACCGACAACATGGAAATACATTAAAATTCGAAAATCCTGTGTTAGCAATGTTAGCATAGGACCAAAACCGCATAATTTTAACATTGTTTACGATTATTTAAGGTCAAAATTCTAATGTTAGTTAAATTATAGTTCAATAAACAAACAACCCACTGCTGTCGAACTCGAAAAACCCAAACAAAATTCAAATTGCCTTTTGGAAACCTGTTTAAAGGATCAAAATTAACAGATTTAGTAGAGGTTGGATCAAACTCGAAATTCGTGACGTCACCAATCTACTTAATAACTTTTTCTCGTTCTGTGTTTAGTGGATTGTGAAGAGACAACCTATATGACATTTACTAACCTGGGTCAAACAGGCAACTGGACTTAGCGGTAAATTTTCCGGTCCTATTTTTATTATAAATACCTACCTACAAACAATCGAAAATTCAATGACCTTTTATAACGAACGATTCGAAAACTTTTATCGCTTTCGTACATTTAAGTACCACTTCAGACACGTGGCGAATTTTATCAGATTGTACTTTATCTAACTGGGATTTCTGTACTACGTTTTAATCGACTATGGAACGTGGAAATGTACTACAACGTCCTCAGTTGATTGGAATCAAGTAACTTGTTCAATGATTAAATCAAAAGTCAATTATCAAAATTTGAATTTTTCGACGGGATGATACAAATTTACTAATCTGGAACGTTGTGAATTAATTTATTAAATAAATATTAATTTATCTATTAAGGAAGATGGGCAATAAAAGTAGGTCGTGCATGATATAGCGAATATTCATTGCTAACGAAATCTTATCGAAATTATGACTGGCACAATAATTAGGTTAGAGATTAATTTAATGAATAAGACGTCATACTAAAAAGAGTATTGTAGTAAAAATATTCTCCTATTTCGCAAATTAGCTATAATTATCATTCAATAATCGTAATTTGAATCATTCATTTTCACCGATTTAACCGTAATCCAAATTAACATTTTACGCGGAATTCAACTGGTTTTTGTCGTTAGAAAAACACACATAAGAAACTCGTCGTACTTGAGAGAAGCTAATTTCCACACACGTTTTGTATACGTTAAAACCTAATTAGAATTAGTTTTTCCAAATGAAAATTATCGATTAAATTACGTCAAAAGCATCGTTAAATGCATTCAAATAATATCGCAGGAAGTACACACGACTCTACTTCTTATTCACAAGGCCTCTTACTTGTCTGTGCGACCAGTTAATTTATCGAAATTTATGATTATTGAAAAGCGATGTATAAATAATTTATCCCAATGCATCTACTCTCTTACAGTAAAGAAATCTATTGTTTTACATCGAATCTAAGCACTTTCTATACCATGGTAGAACCAGCTCCGGCGTGCTCTCGCCGACCATTTACCAATTTACATTTTACGCATACACGCAGATTTACGATATTTTTTATGTCAGTGTCGTGTTATTCGGTTACGTATTCGTCGACTTTCTACTTTCACGCGTTTCAAGTACAGGATCGGCCGTATCACTACGAATTTTAATTGTATTAGGTCAGTGCGAACGTAACGTAATCGCAATCATTTCCGTTTTGGGGTGCATTATTTTCTGCACTAATTTAGATGCAAAACCTGCACGTAATACGCACGCTTAATTGTCGACGTCATTGCTGGATTAAGAGCTTGGGTATAGCATTTAACACTGTAACAGAAGGAAGATCTGATCACCATCAAAACGGCAAATTAATTCGAAACCTACATTGTTTTCCATACGTGCTCTTTATACCGTTTGTTCGATTTGAAATAGGAAGTGCCATGTCAACCGAGGTTCAGACCTTGCATGTTTTATAGTATTTTTTTTAAACAAACATCGATTGCAATTCGAACGAACGGTAGCGCGATTAGCGGGGTTCACGGCTTTTTCGCAGACCTCAACGAAAAGCATATCTGCACCTTGAAAGGAGCTGTTTGGATGTTCGGAAAAAAATGTATAGCATAAGCGAATTCATGCAGATAGACAATGAACAATGGGTTAACTCGTGAGGCAACGCATGAGTCATTGTTCATAGTTTTGTTAACTGGTATATTTATAGATTACGCGACAATACGAATATTATATCTTGCCGAACCTCTTACTTCTTGACACTATTATTGGTGTTAATGGGTTGGAAAAGTACAATTACAAGTTTTTAGTCATATTTGCTTCTATAGAAATGTTTTAGGTTGGCAATATTGCCAATATTGCCAATACTGCGATGTGAAGAAAAAATAGTTATGGTTTTCTCGGTGGCCGATCTATTTTAAATCATTAATAAGGTCACAATATGAAGCGCGTTATGTGCAATGTTTTGAAATTTTGGCGATTTTTTTCTACTCTTACAAAATTATTCTTATTTCTCTCGTAATACTCGAGTGGAGACAGATATTTTGATTCTGATATTAAAATGTACTGAAATCGGGCCAATATTAAATTTCCAAATAGCGGAAGAAACGCCATCAGTAGTATTCCAAATTATTCATCTACTTTAGAAATAAATCTGATGTTTATAAGTAAAATAGGGCAGTGAAATAGAAGCTAAATATACAGTAAATTGTCCAATATCACGCCATGCACAATTTTTGCACAAAAATCGATAATATTCGTCGAAACCGTCGATGCGTGATTGCCACCCAACATTGACCTCCGAATAATTAATTACTAAAATTAATATTATCTGGATATTATGTAAAGAAAAAACCAATAACTTACCAAACACGTGTCTCGTGTAATAAAAATCGTCCTTTAAGTCGTCGAATTTAAATAAACATTACATTCAATGAATTGGAAAATATTTAAATGAATTTACGATTTGAATTTCCTCTTTCTTTGTGTGCCTCTTTTAGTGTGATGTCATTACCAAATTAGCTTAAACGTAATATACCTATTGATTTTTTACTTCTATTCGTATTACATTTGTTTATTCCTATGCGAGTAAATACGATAGTTTATCGAGCGTCATTTGATTTGGGTTTTGCAAATCACTATTGTTTTCAAATACAAATAGACGTTTAGGAGGTTTAGGAGTTCGCTGAAAAAGTTCTACATTTCGACGCGTGTTTCTGTAGTGAAAATTCAGATTACGCAAATTGCAATATTGTAGATAAATTCGATGACGTTTATTACGCATCTCAGATAGATCGAACTTGATCTTTCGTTACGACACTGGGTTAAATTGCGAAATTAAATTCGAACGAGTATCTCGACTTTGGAAATTGAACACAATTCGTCGAAAAGATGAGCCTAAAAAGTTGACAATTTCCCAACTGTTTAAGATGTCGCAAATGAACACTGTAAAAAGGTTTGTTATATTAGGTTCATGATAATTTGGCGGTGACATCACATCCATTTGTTCTCGGCTATTCAAAAGTACCTTCCCAAAGACATTAATATCTCGAATTAATTACACGATTACATAATTGCCAATAACAAACCGTGACTTAATCTACAATTGTGTGTAAAGCAAATGAGTTCTTTCCTTTTACTTCCGTATGAACGCCCGTTTTTTCGCAAAATCTTTCGATTGTACCGTCGGTACCCACGAAAAAGAAACCGTTTTCTAACATTTCAGCAACGTACTGTCGAAGAAAGTGCGTACTGGACACATTCTATTTACTCGACGTTACGTCACCGACGTTATTTCTTCATACACGTTTCATACATCATTTATATTTATAATAATTTATAAAGGGGCTTCCTCGCTACTTACGTAACATATCGGCGGTACTTAAAATCGAATTATGCTCTTGAAAAAAACACCCAGAAATGAACATTTTGAGTTAATCTATACGAGTTAAATTTTACGTATGTGTGACGTCATTGCCGGGTTAGCGTGAACGTACTGTACTTACTTTTTACTCGAAATTGAATGCACATTTCGGCTCTGATCGTGATCCTTTGCTTCTTCCATTTTAACGGTAATTTGCAACAGTAACTTGCAATTGCACATTGCAATTACGCAGTACGAGCTAGTAAAACGTTTCTCAACTTACCAAACGTCCGTATACCGTTTGGAAAAATTGCCCAACATTGCCTAGTACTCTATGTAGGTAAATACATCGTTTTTTTTTCTGACCTATTGCATCTTTATTACATCTTCGGGCATACTTATGCTATATTAAACGCTATAAACAGTATCGACGACATTCCTCATCTTTTTATAACAAAGTGTAATAATATAGTAGGGTGGATAGAGAGAAATTTTCTTTGTGTATTGACCATTTAAGTTATTTCAGTGATGAGGTCACATTTAGTTATCGTTGAAGATAGTATAGGAGATATTTATATCACACCTACTTCAATTTATTTTTAATCAGATTTTACACGCTGTTTTCATGAAAACTCTAGTTACTCGTATTTCGTTTCCTGATATAGAAGTATTTTGTAACAGAACAGCTCAATAACATCATTATTCTATTATTTTATAAGTGTTTTTTTCGTTTATAAGTTTCGACTCGACTATTGTCGATGAATGGAAATCGAAAATAACTGCAGATGCGGTTTTAAAAAGGAATGAGAACTTGCGGTACTTTTAAAGCCAGCATCACCAATCGAATAAAATTCTTCCCATCAGTTGTAGAAATGACGTCAGATCAATGTCCGATTAGATTGAACACAATTCGCAGTTATTCAACCGGATGGTTGTTATCTGTAAATTTATAATTTGTGGAATAATAGAAAAAATGTTTAATATTAAATTTGCTCTTTATTTTTGAACAATAAAGTGTACAAAAAATTCGTCTTATTACTAGGCGTAAAATAACCTGGACATTATCAACAGAACAATTTTCCGATTTTTCCGCGTAAACAAATCTACGCGGTTTTGTTATAGATATTTTTTGTAAAATAATATCAACAGATTTATATCACAAAATTTTTAAGTCGCGACGAACATTATAAAAAAATCCATCTTGAAAATGTCTACAGGTCTTTATCGAAATTGCTTTGATAATAATTAGACATTATTTACAATCACAAAATCAACCTCAAAATCTTAAAAAAATTTCGTTCAATGATAAGGGTATTGCACCAATTAATCCTACCGTATAATCATTAAGTGGTAATCAAAAAAAGTTCCTTAGTTAGAAAATAAATGTCTTATAGTGCATTCACGCTAACCCGGCGACGACGTCACGACTTATGTTACATTAAACGATAGTAAAGCGTGACGTCACCGTCAGTTTAACGGGAACATTTATACTGCGATTGAATTTATTCATACACATAAATATCACAGTACTGCTGCCTCACTGATTTCACGCAAATAGGGTGAAATACCCTCACTTAAAACTTACAAAATACAAAAAAAATGAGATTCAATTTTCGTTATCACTAACTTATAAAAAAACATGTTACAGTCTTACGCGAGTAAGTACAGGATGCGGATGAGAGCGTTTTCAATAAATAAAGCGAGGTGAAAATGAAAATTAGTGAACATAAATTAGCAAAACTTCCGGAAATCCTTTCTCACCCGCCACAACATGAGTTCCATGCAAGCACCGGCGTCCTCGTAACTGTTGTGTCCGTACCGGCTGCACTGGATGTTCCTATTCAAGTACGCCGAAGTCAAGCTCCTCAAGGACCTCCTGTAGGGCAACCCGTGGAAATGCGGAAACGAATGGGCGGTATCCACGTTGATGTAGTGGACGATTTTCAACGCGCGCAGGTCGTTCTCCAGCCCGTGCCCGATGAGGATGGTATCGGCGTTGATGAAGCCCATGAGGTCGTTTTGCACCTCCTTCAAGGACTTGGTGGGGTTGCGTTTGAAGTCTCTGGCGGTGATGCCCGAAAATTTGGTGTTATAGTCCACGATTTCGTCGTCGGGTTTCACGAAACTGTCGTACACCAATCGACCGTCCATGCCCACCACAGTGACCTTGGTCAGTACTAGTCCGCGCACCGTATAGCACATTTCGCAATCTAACGAGTACACTCCGTAATTCCCGTCCGGCGGGGGGTTCTTCCTCTGCTTGGTGAGCGTGAAATCGTCGTAGAGTCCGTTCATGCCCACGTGGAGACCGCACCAAACGTGCAATTTGGCCTCGGTGCAACCTTTGGTGTTCACTTTGCCCAAACAACAATCGTATACCATTTCGTTCTTTTTCAAACGGCCCCAATGGTAGTAGCACTTGTCTTTGGTGATGTACTTATCGGACGTGGTGTAGAACGTGGAGGTGCATCTTGAGCAGGTCCTGGCGAAATAGGAACCTTGGACGCCCTTCGGTAGGGAGGTAACGGGACGTTCCGAGCAGTCTTGATCCGTGGAATCCTCGCCTTCGCTAGAATTCCCTGATCCATGTCCACTGTCGTTGGAGCTCCAATCGTTCTTAGGAACAAATTCTCTGGCGTTTACATCGAAAACGGTCTTGTGCACCGGGATAATAGGCACCCTCGGGCTCTTGTAGACCACCACCAAAGTAGGCTCCAAGGAGGATTGTATAGGATAGCCCATCGCCATCATTTGGTCCAATGTCAGCAGGTAATTCCGCAAGAACCCTACGAATGCCTTTTCGGAAACATTCAGTTTCCTGTATTGTTTGGAAGGTACCGAAGACATGATTTGCTTCTTAGTCAATTCGGGGGATTTCTTCGGCTTGGGCTCCGACGAGTCCTCTCTCCTGCGGTTCTTGCGTTGTCTCCTAGTCAAACCCTTGGGGCTAGGACTGACCTCTATAGGGATGTTCTCTTTGTCTAAATCGCAAGTGTTGCGTTGCGCTGTATCTCCACCTGGGTCAGGATCTTCTGCACACAAAAATAATAATTCACAATTGCGCTTCATGAGTTCAAAAATGTCTTTGTTCACTTAGCACCTCTTGTTCTCACTCAATTAGTAAATTTCTTGTATTCGAATGTATCCACAAACAACCTTTATATACAAGCAAATGAACAAAGATAAGCGTCTAAATGCAAATAAGAAGTGCCAGTAGCGCCGCCTAAGCGCTAAATAAAGAAAGTGATTTCGAACTAGGCCACGTTTTGTTAAATATTTTGAATATCGAGGAAGGAAAACAAAGAAAATCGCGACCGAAACGACGCGATAACAGCACAAATGAATCGGATTATCGCACGTTTACTGTATATTTTTTCGCTTTATCTGGACTAAGCACCGCTCGAAGGAGGAGCACTATTTTTATTCGATTCTCCCACTCCCAGGCGAAATTTTATTTGTTTGTATTTTTCTAAAAATGCGCGTACTGATTACTATTTTTATATGTATAAGTATGCTCTAAATCGTGTTATTCAATTACTATGTTATTGTTTACATTTTTTTTATTTATAGTACCTATAATAAACAATCCAAAAAATATTAGACTTCATATCTAAAATTATAATTTCTTTGTTGCAATTTACAACCTGACTCAACAATATTATTGTTTATTTATTTACTAAAAACCGACTATTTTTGTGCAATATAATCTGTCTATGAATTGGTTTATTTTAGAGAGCATTATTATTTTAAATTACCGAGGTAAATTATCATAATTAAAAATTCCTCCGCATGATCAACCAATTGGAAGATAATCCTATTATTTTACTCCATTGAACAAAAGTAACATTTTGCAATAAAAAGGTAATTGAACAGTTCTAAATAATAACATACAATTTTTATAATACTTAGAATTCATTCACTCTACAAATAATACTAATCTACTCTACAGGTATACGAATGGGGTTATTCGTACGGATTAGAGTCATTACTGATTGTTTTGAGTATTTTTACTACATACCGAAGTCAATAACCTATAGGTCACTTAGGTGTATAGGTAAGTACAACAAACCTGAGCTTACCTTTTTTATTTATATAAATAATTATAATAAAAATTAACTTTAGAACGAGGTTGTTACCTTGGATTCTTGAGGTCAGTTACTCTATTTGCAAATATGATTAATAAGAAATTACCATAATTTATTAAAATACTTATTGTTTGTGCTGCGGATTTTCGACGATATATAAAAATAGCGCGATAAAGATAATTACTCAGTTTCATTACAGTTTTCAAACTCTTCGTTAGCAATTATTTGTAAAATGGAATGGTAACTGGTACTAGAAGAAAAAAGGTAGGAAAAATTGGGTGTTGAATTTCAGAATTAGTTATTAAATTAACCAAAATTAAATAATACATTAAAGTAAAAAGTAGTAAATTAACAAATTTGTTTATGTCAAATTATAAACGTCAAATTGCTAATGTCAAATTATTCGAATCTTCTTTTTCTATACTTGACTCATACATTTGGCACATTTTTATAATTGTTAACCATGAAGTTTAATAAATTGAATTTCAAGGTTTCTATTTGCAATATTTGTGTATTTATTTTAGATAAGAATTTAAAAGGATATTAAGTTTAATTTTTTTGTACATTTGTACAGCATGAAGATGGATACAAATGTGTCAAGTAACGTGCTTGATGTGCATTTGATACTGGTAAAAATGATGCAATATTACTTTTAATATCAATGCATGATGATATTTAATCAAATAAATGCTATCTGTAAAGAATATGAGTTTTATTTTTGATAATAATTGAAATCGAAATTAATTCTTCTCGTTTTTCCAAAGAGGCATTAAGTGAGAAGTGGTCTCTTATATTTCAGGTTTCAGCGCTAATTTTTAAGTGAACCGACGTCTAGTCGGTAAGTTATAATAAAATATTGACGATTAAGTAAAAATAATTAGAATACTAGTAATTTTGTTAAATTCAAATTTTAGTAATATTTTTCTATCAAGAGGGCCGTTTTAAAAAACTTAGGTTTTAGGTTAGTTTCTTATTTCTTAGTGAAAAATACTGACCGTCATCACACGAAGTCAAATATTTCCCATTGCTACTAAAATCCATATCCAGGATATTCCCTGTATGTCCTTTTAAGGATACCAAAAGCCATGGATGACTGTAATTGTGTTTATCATGCTTCCCGGCCCAACAAGTCACCTTGCTCTCCGCGGCCTTTTTCTTGCGCTTACCGCCCAACGATTGCTCCTTATTTTTCTTGTCGAGATGAAGCTGAGCGCCGGACTTGTCTACTACAAGAAAATGCGACATTTCAAACCAGGTAATTATGTAATATTACAGAGATATATAGATAAGATTAGCAGTCGGCGAGCGGCGACGATCAGAACCTTACTTTTAGACTTGTCTTGCGCCTGCACGTGCTCGCCCGCATTTCTGAACGAATTAACGAAATACAACAAAATCCAAACACTGGCACCGACGAGCACCGACAACACGAACAACGGATTCGTCAAATAATCGCTATCCATCGCAAACCAAACGACCGATCGCGGCAAAAGAAATTAATAATAAAATAAAAAGTTTATGAGTCACCCTACACGAGGTCCTCGAGGATCCGCAACTGACGCGCGACCGAACTTCGGCGAACGAAGACTGACTGTGACAGACGGAGACGCAGAGCCAGAGATGTTCGGATTCCGTCCGGGAAACGCGCGGCAAACTTGAAATTCCGACGCGGCGCCGTTCCGGTGCATCTCGGCCCCGTTCATGTCCCTCGGACGCTTTCACCGCTTCGCTTCTGGGGGGCGAAAGTACACGTCAGGCGCACGTTTCGCACTCGCAGGATATCTGATACACGTCGCTCTGACCGTCTATTACGCTCTGATCGATTTTATAACAACAAAATTCTTTTTATTACTATTACCTAAGTTTTTCGAGTGGGTATCCCCTCTCTGGTGACGTCTCGCACACGCATTTTACGCTCGGTACACATGTGTGGCATCTGCGATCTTTTCGAAATGGTCCTGGATGGTGTCCAAAGGCAATTCAATTATATCGCCGTTGAATAAACTACGAACCGCGCGCGGGATGAATAAAGAATAAAATTGATTCGATAAGAATGTGTGCCGCGATAGTGTTGCATGAATGTCGGTCGGTAAACGAATGAATGACTAATTTCGTATTTTACGATTTATCGTAACAAACCAGTTCCTGAAAAAAGTGACGTACGCAGAATTCATTTAGTCACCGGCGGAATTTCTGATAAATCTCGACGCTATCTGATGCAAGGAACGCGTCGGGAATTTCTCTTAATAAAATACCCGACTATCTGCTGTTGTAGATTATTATTTGCGACTTTATAAAATGGGTCATTCTCGTTTTTGATATCTACAAGTTGAACTTCTTTCTTACATCATATGATGTGATAAAAACCTTCCTTTTTAAGCCGTTGAATTGTTTGTTTTAAAATATCAAAATTAATATAATAACTAATAATAACTAATAATTATATAACTTTCTAAAGAAAATAAACCAATAAGAGATTACAAAAATATATCCTTAAATTCGTTGTTTCATCTATATTCTACAGACAAATAGAGTATAAATTAGAATTCTAAAGTTAACTTTTATCAAAGAAACATTTGCTCATTTTTTTACAGCTTTCTAAGAAAAATAAACCAAAGCATCCTCAACAGATTACAAAAAATATCCTTATTTTCTTCATTTCTTGCATTTTTAATACAAACATATCTTCACCATATAAATTATAGTTCTGCGATCTTAAAGGTTTCATTGTGAATACATTAGAAATTTGTTTGAAACTCACATAAGGTGAAATTCTCTGGCAAATTTATTTAACCAAAATTGAGATGCAAAAGTGCCAAGTATGCAGATTTTCGTTGCAATAAAACTGTGTTTACTTACTTTGTAAAGGCCTGGTAATTTCAAAAACTGGAAACTGTTTACCCACTGAAACTCTCAAACACGATGTAATGCAGATTGTTGAGGAAAAGCAACTGTGATATTATTTGCGAATATTAACCAGGTAAAAGAACAAATTAGGGGTGGCATCATTATAATAGGGGAGGGAAGGGGATAAATGCATTTTACTGGTGCTTGAAATCAATCACTTTCAAATTAGGATCCGTTTGAATTAATTTATGCCTCAAAAATAACAACAGGAAATATTAGGGATTTAATTTTACCATTAGTAAAGGATTTAAATACGTTGTTCTTTCAGTTGTGCATCCAAAACTCGAATTTTAGATGTATCGTATTGATTCTGTTGTATTATTTATTTCATTTTTAATTCCTCGTTATATTTTTTTTATTAACATTGATTCAACATCAAATCAAACCGAATTGTCCTTGATTTCTAATCGTACGATGATCAAATTTACCGCATGAACGATCGTTTAATCGATTATTAAATTTACAACGAATCGTTTATTTTACGCGATAACATTGGTATATTTTTAATTCAACCGTGTATCAAACGCGAAAATCACAATTTATTGTTGTTTTTCTATCATTAGCAAATACATACGTAAAAATGCGCAAAAACATCAAAGTTGTGTAAAACATGTTTTCCTCTTTAAATGTTTATGGTTATTTATAGTGTTTTTAAGTTAGATTCAGCATTTCTTAATCGTATTACGATTTACTCTCTGGACTTTTAGAGTAAAATTCAAAATTTCAAAAAAATCCGCCAAAGATCCGTATTTGTAATCGTGTCAAACGTGTTGCATACCTCACAGATTCACATCAATAGATAACTCAAGTTACAGTGTATGTAAATAGTGTTGCCTAACATTAAGTTAATAGTAATTATTCAAAAGTACCTATCCTACCTTTTGGGGCAATTTCAAATTGAAATTGCATAAAATAATATTGGTCACATTTCTTAGTAGTTTGAGCTGATAATTAGGGATTCATAATAGTGAAAACTTAGAGGAAAAAAAAATTACAAATTACATAAAAACATAATTTACAAGTACCTAATTATTTTATAACTTGTCTTATAACATGTTTAAATAATCTATAACAAAATTTAATATATTTACAAAAGATTGTATGATTTAGATAAATAGAATCCCAGTAAATATTGTCGTACAACGAACGAATTTAAATCAATGTGGAGAATAGAAATTCAAAACACATCATTTCTAATTCTTTCGATCAAAAATCGCAGCCAGTCGGACGGCGTCGCCCGAAACGACGCTCCCGACGCGGCGTCGGACGCCAGAAGTCCTAAGAATTAGTTGGCGCTAAGCTGGCTGGCTGGCTATTTTTATATCATTCGAATAACAGGGCTATCAATTATTTATCAATGGGGTGTGTATGTGTGTTCGTTGTTGTAAAGTATAATACGTTCATGATAATCCGTAGATGATGTCACAGGATGAAATAATACAACGTTGTCATATTGAATTTTTGTTTGGTTCTAGAGATTTTTGAAAATTTTCTATAATAGTATGAAGAGTGGGTAAAATAAAGTTTAACTTGGGCGCGTCATTTTATGGATTTAAAATGAGAAAAGTTTGAGTTTGGTTGGTTAATTTACTAATCCTGCTAATGACTCTTTTATTCTGAGTTTTTGGAAAGAGGAATTAAATTAATCGCTATATTTGCATCAATTTGCCATTCTTATGGGTTTTCCTAACTACTTTATTATAAGAAACCGAATTCCACTTTATTATAATCTATTATACAGGGTGTAATGGAGAAAATGCAAACTGATGGTACGAAAGGAATGAAAATTTTCAAAAATTGGACATTTCTTGGCACTCTAGCTTTTATAAAGTATTAAATATACAGGTACTTGTTATGTGTCATGTGTAACATTTGAAGGGTACATGGGGAAGAACAACAATAGTCCATCCAAAAGATTTTCGAGAAACATTAAATTATAAGTTTACTTACTCGTTAGAAAGTGAAATTAAAGGTATCTTTTAGCTGTTGTTTTGCGGACTTCAGCAATTTTTACCATTTAACGATTTCATTATCTGATAGTAACTACAAAATGTTATAAAAATAAACTGTGAACTTAGTTTTGCAAAAAAAATGGACTATTGTCGCTTTTCCCCTGTAGCCTTCTTTTGCAAGAACAAATTTACTTAAAGTAGCTCAATAATAGTTCTAAAACATGTATACCCTCTGTATACATTTGCGAATCGAAAACAACAAAAGTTCCTCGACTACACGTTAAATCATCGCGTTTTTGATAAACAGCATTTCCTTTGGGAAATTGCCCGCAATAAAAATCCGTCTTAGTTTTAGTTCGGAAGTTTGTTTTTAATACCTCGTACGTACACGATCGTTTGTCGCAGACGGAACTTTTTACCGTCACAAATTTCCTCCGAACTTACAAACACCCTGTATTTATTTACTTGCCCATTTCCCAAAACCCCTAACATCCTGGTTCTTCCTCTATGAAAATATCTACAAACTCAATGTAAATAAGTTCTAATGTAGGTTATTCATAAATATAATCTATACTTATGTTAAATTAAAATAATTACAGTTCATTCAATATTTATCGAAAAAAAAATCAACAATAATTAGTGCGTTGTATTAAAGTGTGCGTCGCGACGACAACAACGTCGCGCCAACAGGTGTACGCTAAGTACACGCATTAACGCGGAGCGTCGCGACGCCGGTATAGGATATTTCCAGCAAATAGCGCGTCGCGATATTAAATAATCGGAGTTAATCAAAAAGGAGGGTTTCGAGAGCCTTTCGCGAGGCGGTGGCGTCGTCCTCGCAGCGTCCGTCTGTCAGGCGGCGTCCGAACCTAACGACGCCGCGACGCTTTCGCCGGAGGCGCCCATCACCAGCACCGGCCGGCGTCTGCTTTGCTGTCGAAGAGTCGTCGTTACTCCTATACCAGCCGGCACTGTGCACTCGATGCACAATCCAGAAGGACGAATAAACAAGAAATTTAAAAATGAGTTTCATGTAATCAATGGTTTAGCAGGTCTAGGTTTTCGAGTTAACAAAGAAAATTAGAGGTTAACATAAGATGGGGTAGAGTACATTTTAAGTTATTGACAAATGCCTCCCTATTCTTAATTTGGAAATTAAAGAAAAGACACTGGAGATCATTTTAAGAACTGTAATTGTTTATTAATGATGTGCAAAACGAATTTCTGTCCAGCTATATGTTGAATTTGGAGAAGATTAAAAAAACCGCCATCGTTTGTCAGTTTGTTTGCGAACTTGCCATTAATTTTTCACTGATGTACACACCATTAGAACAAATAACCCGTATAAAGGGAGTATACAGTTCCTGCACTCAATTTCTGTATTTACCAGAACTTCCAAGGAATTTTTAATGCGACAAATATACTAAAAAAATCACAGAAAAAAACAATAAACTCTAAAGTTAATTTATCACTTAACTTTCGAAATGAATCCTAGATAGATAGTTTACTTTTTACAACAAAAATAATTTCGAGCTGCGCTTATTACCGGCAGGATGTTAAGATATCACACGGTAGATGAACCCGATTTGGAAAATAATCCAAACAAAAAACCACCCCTCGGGCAGGACCTCCTCCTCCGCCTCCTCCTCCATTTTCCATATAAAAATATACGGACGTGTTTGTTGTTTTCGTCGGAAAAGAGGCGACACCGCCGAGTCGCCGGAGTTCTGCCAAAAGCTCCTAGTGTCGGCTCCGGCGCTCCGGAGTTAGACTTCTTTCCTGGCTCCGGTTAACCGGACGGAGGCGCCGCTTGTCCCCCTTATATTCGGTCGCGGCGCCCTCGCCCTCTCGCGCGGGGCCCTCCTTCGTTTCGCTACCACCCCCCCGAAGGCGATATTAATTCCACGACGACCCCTTATAGACAGACGGAAGGATGTAATACCGGGCGAATGTAATTCATCGGGGACAAAAATTGTTGTTTATTTCGAGCGATGCATTTAAAATTTAGGAAATTAATGAGGTAGAAAGTTGGAGATTAGTTAATTTAAGTTTTTATCTATGCACTGTTAGAAATTTGTGCACAAAATTAACTGAAAATGAAACTTAATTGGTTACATAAAATTCTCTGCTATAGGTTTTAAAGTGTACAGTGGAAAACGTGTTGCCTATCTTTATGCAGATAAGGTTATTAAAAATTTATTTTTATTAAAAAATGTATTTTTTAATTCATCAGAGAGGCGTTTGAAGACTATAAAAACAAAATTATACAAAAAAATGTATAAAATATAATGATATTTCATAACCTGGGTTATCTATCCCATTTGCATTTAAATTTCTTCTAAAATACCTAAAATACAAAAATTGTTTATAAAACTTTAAAGCGAATTTAAATTTAAATTAAAAATCACATACGAGGGTAATGTGATATTTCATGAAAATATTCAGATTCAAATAATTTATTCTACTTACTAGAAAATAAACGAAAAAAAGACAATAATAACCCTTTAGGATTAATTATTACATATTAAAAGTAATTTCGCAAATAGATACGAGGAGCGTTCGATATACATTCCCGCGCACGAGAAACGAAATTCTAATAATTGATAAGATGTAAATTTCATTGTAGATATTATTGTTGTTCGTAACTTAAATAAAATTGGCGTCTTCTTGATGGGGTCCTAGACTGATTGCCATTGTGTCTCGACTTGTTGACTCACGAAAAAATATGTCGCGACGGTCGTGTTTATTGCCTTATTTCGACCGATTTACGGCACCGAAAATGTATCGATTATAGTTTAGTTTCGAAATCCGAAAAAAAATGTTTATATTTCATTTTAATGGGCAGTGCGTATTTTCAGGAAGTGTAGAATGGCGACATAAAAATTCGGGAAATTGTCTATGTCAAGATTAGACAGAGGGTTAGAATTTAGTGGTTAGGTTTATTAGAGAATATGGAAGTTCTGGTAAATTAATTGCATTTTTGCAAGAGTAAAAATTTGTTCTTCTTAACTTCTTATTCTTAGCAAATATTTTGTACTAACTTTTCAATATTTGAAGTTCATTACGATTATGGAATTGCTCCATTCAAAATATACAGGGTGTTAAATAAATATTTGAGGGCAATAACTGAACTAAGATAATTTTGAGAAATTGTCAGAAGATAGTCAATTTAAAATTTAGACGACAAACAAAAACCGATTCAGATAAATAACAATTGTTTCGGTTGCTCTACAAATAAATATCGCATGAAAATTAACTTTTAATGACAATTTTAATAATCGCTATCCTCGCATTTAATCATTTACTGGCGTCAATGTAATTATTATTGTTAGTAATAAATAATAAATCGTGTAGTGGAAATTATTATTAATGAAACAAATATAAAATAATTAATTAAGTTAATATTGGTTGTATACATTTATGCCATTAGTCAGAATACATTTTGTCACAATGTATATTTCTAACTAATAATTGTATAAACCTTAATAATATTTATAAACTATTTATATACTACACAGAGAAATTTTATTGCTCAAAAATACATTAAAATTAGGAACCTATCGACGTTCCCTTGTATATCAGCGAGCCCAAATGCACGTAAAAATGTCATTATAAAGTCGACCTGGGCAAAATAATACTGGTAATTTGGTGAACCTGCCGGTGCCACAAAAAGAGGCGACCATTTTTTTTTCCTCGGTTTCACGGAGACGACAAGTCGAGACAACAGAAATCTGTCGCGTTTCAACCGGTCGGAAGACAAATAGGTACATACGAAACAAATGTTCGGTGTCTTTTTCCGCGTAAGCCTATTATTAACGGAAAACCGGAGCGTGTAATTGTCCCCCGAAACTATAATTGCGATGAAGAATGAAGAGTTTGGTGAACAGGACGCGGGGAAGCCCGGACCTGGCGTTGCGGCGGCGCCACCTATCCCTACCCAGAAATCTTATAAATCACTGAGCAATACACGATGTTTATTTCGTATTTTTTAATTAATATTTACAACCGAAATTCTTTATATACCGGGCGTTATTTATGTATACCGGCTCGAATTTTTCATTCAAATTTTACAGTAAGGAAGTAAATGTGTTTTTAAAAATAAATCGATTTAATTAAGATATCACTTTAACGTGTCATTAACACCTTATTTAGATAATGATTTATGCATTCTTGTTGTTAATTCCATATTTCTTGTCGTGACGTCACGGTCAGTTCGGAATGAACATTCTATACGCAGAGTATTTTAATTCATTCATGAACCCTAAGGTATTCGAAATCATTTAAGTAGGTATTTGCATTTGAATTCCCTTTCATGTTCACCTCTCTAACTGGAATTAATTATTGTTGGGATTTCCGAATTTTCAAGATAACAACGATATTGTTAAGGTAATAATAAAAAGGGGACAATTTAATTACATTTAATAGCCGCAATTAAATTCCGGTACGGCCTGTACATTATGCAAATTGTAAGGAAATTCATACCTTGAGAAAATGGGTTGTTTTATCAGCGCATACATTTGTGAATTTTGGGTAGTTTTTTTTAGGATAATTTAGGAAAAAATCTTTTTTAAACGCATTTAAAGGATATTTTGCTATTATAAGGGACTTTGTAATTAACTAAGTCATATTTTTCAATTATATTTGAGGCATTTTTTATATACCTACATCTTGTTTTTGGACAATTTTTTCATTTTTATTTATCTTCATTTTTTTGATTATTTAAGTGTAGTATTTTGTTGATTTTGTTAAACTATCTAATACATAAGATAGATATGTAAAAGTGTGTTTTGTGAATTATAATGAATATTTTTTCATAATTTGTATTTATCAGTTTCACTCTAAAAACTCGAAAACAAGGAAACATAAAAAAATTCAAATAGAGGTAGAGGCTGTGTAAATGTAAACCCCGTCAAAAAATCTGTAAAGAACCATTTGAAAATTTCCTAATATACCGAAAAAATCGCTTAATAAAGCGAGTGCAAATAGCTTTTCCGACTAAAACAAGTAACCGAAAAAAAAAACCGAAATTCATCGCAAACGGAATGCGCGCAGCAACAGCGAATACGCCGGAATCCGACCCTGTCGGCTCCGTTGGCGCCGCTTATCCCTACCAGCAGTCTAGACCGGTCTCACTCCGCCGGTCGGCGGGCGATACGCCGAGCACAAGCTCCCACAAGGAGACTTCCACTCAGTCAAGACGAAGACGTCGAACGAGAACCACTATCGGTCGTGCGTGCGGTCGCCCAATTCCCTCAAGAACACCACAATACAAAAAAAACCACCCCGAAACGATCGGGAATCCCCGCGTTAAAGTGCGCCCTCGAACCAACCTAGTGCAGTGTACGTGTACCACAACTAGTGCGCCTCTAAATCCGATTGATTCGAGCATTTCGATCAGAAATAAATAAAGTAAAAGTGTGTGCGATACGACCGAAATCGACAACAGTGGCCCCCAAATGCCCGCCGTGCGCGCCGCCACCGCCCAAACCGTCCCCCTTGATGTTCATGTTCCGCAGCAGGAAGACGAACCTCACTAGGCGCCTGGTGAAGGCCAGGAAGCGACGCGGCGGCAATGAAACCGGCCGGCCGGCCGACGACGATCGCGACCAGACGGGCGTCTTCGAGCTGCTGAAGCAGCTGCAGGAGAACCAGCTGGAGATGCTGCTCCGAGCCGTCGACACCCGCGGCCAGGACGCCGGCAACTGCGTCCTGGTGGCGCGGACGGCGGTGGCGCCGTCGCGGCGCGTCGACTACGACGACGACCGCCAGCCGCAGCAGCCGCACGTGTCGTTCTGCCGGGCATGGCGGTGGCCGGATTTGAGAAAGGGCGGTGAACTGAAACGGTTGCCGATGTGTAGGTCGGCCAGCGATTCTGTATACGATTGCTGCAATCCGTACCATTGGAGTAGGCTCTTGCAACCTGGTAAATATATACTTAATTTATAAACAAACATCTCGCTAGGCTATGCAAATTTTTATCAACACGTCACACCATCTAAACATTGAATGAACCATACGCATATATTCTTATACTTTCATTCAAACTTACTGTCAATGTAACTTGCGGATTTTTATACAACGCTGTTAATTTAACCGGTCAAACGCAATTTGAGAATCTTATTTTTTTTTATCAGTTTCGATAACCGGTGAAAGATGATTGATTGATGATGATAGAGGTTTTCTGCACCTTGGGTGGTCGAAATTCTAAACATAAAAAGCCTCTGCTATAGGTAACTGAAATGCAGCAGTGCTTCATAATTCGAGTAATATGACTTATAAATAAATCTTACGAGGGAAGTCGGAATTATTTGCGTGCATAGGGTATGTTGAAGAAAGTTGAGAATCATCCTACATCGATTTTTTTTTCAATGGATGATAATTTGTATATTTTGTTTATTTATTTATGATTATCGAATGTTGAATTAAAATTAAAATCGATGAATTTGTTTTATTCATCAGATTATGTATTCGTATATGCCGAACGATTAACAAGCTATTCGAAATTGTATAACCTTACCAAGGCCTCACTCGTATTAACATGTTTTTGTTTATTCAAACAGAAACTTTAGATATACTATATGTTGTATATTTATATTTAAAATTCGATATATAAAAGCGATTTATTTACACTCCCATGCGTAGTATACACACACATTGTGCATTGGTTCTTGTATTTAATACCTGCAAAAATCTATTATCATTATAAACATTATACTCAATAATCACATATTTTTCAAATCTATTGGTTCTTTATTTTTATATCTAGTATTTTTAAACAATTTTAATGTATGTAAATTTCTTCTGATTATTAAGCAGCATAAAATTAGTTTGTTTTTACTGAATGGCGAAAAGACCACACATCATTCGAGTTTCGTATGCTCGTAAATAAAATTCATTCTCTCGATAAAAATCCTCCCAGATAATTTTATAATTTAAAGCGAAGTTGTCAACATAATATTAATATCTCGTTCGACTGAGATACCACAAAGTATTTTTTCTAAAAAGTATTCTCAAGGTTAATCGCAAGAAATTAGACCTAATATTAATTTAAAGATTTTTAGATAAGAATTAACGCTTCCTGAAATCACTCTGTACAAAATATTCTCGTTGTAATTCTGCGATTATTATATTTTGATAACCATTTTTTTTCATGTAGATAAGGGTTTAATGTTAAATAACGGAAAACATTTTGCATGTAACCTATGCTTTTATTATGTCTGAATTTAAATTATAAAGAATTATAATTATTATTACCGATGATTAAAACAAATTGTAAATAAATTCCAACTTGATTATGGAATGATGTGCACACATAACGAACACAATGATTTTGCAGCCTCATTTTCGCATATGGGACTTATAAGATTTGCAGACGAAATCTCTAATTAAATTTTGTGCATTCTAATGCACATTATTCTCGGAATTAAATTATAATTTCGATTGTTTTACAACAAAACACTCGCATTGTCAAATTCAAACCTATCATCGCTTCACGCTAATCATACCGTGACATCACACATCGAAAACATTGAACGCACCATGTGAATCACATACGATAGGCTCAACAATAACTAGAAGTGACGTCATCGCTCTATTAAAAATCCGCATTTAAAAAATGCCATTGTGGAACACCACCTTTTCGCACCAATTATCCGCAGTACAGAATGTGCATTATATTCATATTAGCGAGCAAAATGTATGTACATTTGAAGAAGCTACGCGTACGGTCGTCGTATAAATAGATTCGTATTTTTGGCGTCAAAACAGAAATTCAAATCATATTGTGCCGGCGTTGACGCCCGAATTGTTTTCGCTGTATTATTTTCTTTCTACTCGGTCATAGCTAAAAACCGAGAATAGGTAATAAATTTTTTGCCCGAGCGCATTCCTTGAATAATTCCCTTTGTTAATTTATCAGAAAATAAATCATACGGGCCAAAATAACCATACTACATGCACATGTATGCAAAAAACTTTTGAATATAAATGGCAAACAAGTAATATTGCACTACATAACGTGCCGCAGGAGCGATCTTCTTACGCATGAATCTCTACTAATTCATAGCCTTGTTTCATTCACAAAACTCGAAGTGACCGAAAAAAAAAACGAGGAGTAAAGACACCCAGTCGATAAGAGTTTATCAATTTAATTGTCCACATGTGGAATTCCATTAGTATAAAAGCGTTTTTTATGAATGGGACGGACACCCCCGGATTTCTGTCACTAATATAACCGGAATTCTTCTCTGTGCTATCTACCTGTGCTCCATTACGGGGTAAAGGCGATTTAGATTAGTCCCAAATTGACCGGAAGATTTTCCCATGATCGACAAATAAGCTTTTAACAGTATTAAAATTATACGAGGACCTTTCCGAATGTTCATTAACCTCAAAATAATTATTGATGCAAACTGTTATTATAAAAAATCGCAACGAATGTGGGATAAAGGAGTCTATATTTTACTCGTACAGGATTGGAGATACACCTACTGAAATACTGCATTAATATAACGTGCGTTATCAGAAGTCATGGCAAATACGCAAGGATGTTGTTTGATAACGAGACCTTAAAAAGTTGTTTGTATTTCTTTTTTAAAAATAGCCGTTTCGCTTACGAAAAATTGTGCGCTTATAGTCCGGTGATAATTGCAAATTTTTCGCAAATAATCTTATTTCGGTTATTGAAATATGTAAATACAGGGTTATTCACGGTATACGACACGGTCTATATCTCATTAACAGTTCATTTTATGAAAATTTTGTAAATGTAACTTTTGTGTATGTCTAATTAAGCTACAATTTAAAATTAGTTTCAAGTATACAGGACGTCCCAAAAAAAAGTTACATATCAAAGTTATGTTTTTTTAAATGGAACACCCCGTATATTTTTACATTTTTGGATTCTTCGTTTAAAATAAAGGTTATTTTCAATAGGACTTGCTATACCTAAATGTTAAGGTTTCGTAAATAATTAACATTTTGTTAAAATGTAGACCATTTTTATTTTTTTAATAACTCAGGCCGTATTTCAATTATTGGAACGAAATTTGCACCAGATCATGAAAATCAATCATGTTTTATCGTCCAATTTTTAAAATATCATTATTACATACAGGGCGTTCAAGATTTTATAACCAATAATGTATAACTTTAAACGTGGATAAGTTGATTAATTTAAATGAAACATAGTATTTTTGAATTTTTCATTAAATAGGGCATTTAATTCACTATCAATTGATATTAGCATGTCCTATACCTAACACGAGCCCTTTTATCAATTTTTATAAAAAAACAGCAATAATTGCATTTGGTGTTAGTAATGAATATGGAATAACTGTAAGTTACTCGTTGCAATTATCTAGATGGCTATGGACAGTAGGTAAGAAATGTCAATCAATTTATTTATTTGACATTAGTGCTGTCAACTAAGATAAAAATCGATTTATTCAAATTGTAATTTCCGTTTTTGTTGTGTATTTTGTTGTTCTTTTATGTTTTTGTTATTGTTATTGAATTATCTTTTGCTTTAATTAATTCGTTGAACAAATTGGAAAATGAAAACTTATTCCAGAGAAGAGCGCGTTGATATGATTTTTATTATTGGAGAATGTTCTCAGAACTGTTTGTTAGCATCCCGAGTTTATGCTCAAAGATTTCCCGAAAGAATTCATCCAAATAAAATGGTGTTTGAGAGATTATTGAGGCTTTTTAAGGAAACTGGAAGTATCCAATACCAAAAACCTTCAACCGTGAAACCTATAGCTGAAAACGAAGAAAATGTTTTCTCAGTTATTGGTGCTGTTATTGAAAATCCGAATGTCAGCCAGAATGAAATCGCTCATACCATTGATATTAGTCAAAGTAGTGTTTCAAGAATTTTAAGAGACCATAAATTTCATCCCTATAAAATTCAAATGTGCCAAGAGCTCTACGGCAACGATTTTGAAAATCGTATCGATTTTTGTATGTGGGCATTAGAAAAAGTTGGTAATAATGAAAACTTTTTTGAAAGGGTTTTATTTACCGACGAATGTACGTTCCACAATAATGGACTAGTTAACCGAAGAAATTTTCATTTTTATTCCGATACAAATCCTCACGAAATAAGGGTAATTAATAATCAACGTAGGTGGTCCGTGAATGTCTGGGGAGGGATAATAGGCCAATATTTAATTGGTCCTTACTTCTTTGAAGGTCCAATAAATGGTAGGATCTTTCGAAATTTTTTGGAAGAACATTTACCTTTATTGTTAAAAGAACTTCCATTGAATATTAGAAATACAATGTGGCTTCAATTAGATGGAGCGCCAGCTCATTATCACCGCGATGTTCGTCAATTCTTGGACTTAATTTTTCAAAATCGATGGATCGGAAGAAATGGAAGTCAAAACTGGCCTGCACGATCGCCAGATTTAACCCCATTGGATTTCTTCTTATGGGGTTACATTAAAGGAATTGTTTATAATTTACCTCCAACAACTCCTAATGATATGAAAGAACGAATAAGAGACGCTTTCCAAACTGTAACACCGGATATGCTATCTAGTGTAGGCAGGGGTTTTGAAAAACGAATTGCGTTGTGTTTGCAAGAGAACGGTCAACATTTTGAAAATCTGTTATAATTTAGTTTGTAATAAATTAATTTTATGTTCAATATTTTATGTTATTCTATTTTTCTGAATCATTTACTCTATTTAACTAGACTACTTTAGACTACTATTTTTACCGCCCATAGCCATCTAGATAATTGCAACGAGTAACTTACAGTTATTCCATATTCATTACTAACACCAAATGCAATTATTGCTGTTTTTTTATAAAAATTGATAAAAGGGCTCGTGTTAGGTATAGGACATGCTAATATCAATTGATAGTGAATTAAATGCCCTATTTAATGAAAAATTCAAAAATACTATGTTTCATTTAAATTAATCAACTTATCCACGTTTAAAGTTATACATTATTGGTTATAAAATCTTGAACGCCCTGTATGTAATAATGATATTTTAAAAATTGGACGATAAAACATGATTGATTTTCATGATCTGGTGCAAATTTCGTTCCAATAATTGAAATACGGCCTGTGTTATTAAAAAAATAAAAATGGTCTACATTTTAACAAAATGTTAATTATTTACGAAACCTTAAAATTTAGGTATAGCAAGTCCTATTGAAAATAACCTTTATTTTAAACGAAGAATCCAAAAATGTAATAATATACGGGGTGTTCCATTTAAAAAAACATAACTTTGATATGTAACTTTTTTTTGGGACATCCTGTATACTTGAAACTAATTTTAAATAATAGCCTAATTAGACATACACAAAAGTTACATTTACAAAATTTTCATAAAATGAACCGTTAATGAGATATAGACCGTGTCGTATACCGTGAATAACCCTGTATAAAGGAAAGAGAAACATACCTTATAATAATTGCTGTGGTTCTGCTACAGCTGAGAACTTTACAAAAAATTAAAAGGGTAACTAATCTATGCAAGGAAAGTTTCCCTTGCATACAATTTCATGGCAAAAAAGCGTAATTGTTGAAGATAAGGCGATAATGCGTTTACGAGGGGTTACCGAAAAATTCGGTAAATTTAACCGGGCTATATCCGATGAATTCTCGTCCGTCTGGGTGCATAGGCGGTCAGCCGGCGGCCTGTCGAGGAAAGGACCGTTTTCAAGATAGTGCAGGCGCCACGACCGATTCAGATGGGTGGCATGCCGATCTCGCCGTCTCTTTCCGACCCATTCGAGGTCGTGTCTCTTTTTATATACCTACCGGACTCGAGGAATAATAATGATCGGCCGGCGACCGAGAAAAGTATTCGTAATAACGACTTTTGTTTCATTTTTTTTTCTGTCGTTCGAAAATTGGATAATCGATTCTCTGTTTTCATCGATTACGTCGTCAAATGGCGAATGATTGACAATTTGACGTCGGAAAGGGCTATTTTGTGAAATTTTTTAAGTATTGATTGGCTGTCATATGTAATAGAAACATTTTTTAGGTCAATCAAAGCTTTACAATTAAAATCCAATCTATGTAGGTTCAATGAAATTGGTTACCTATGGTCCAGGCCTCAAAGTTCAAACTTCTTTATCTACGAGTAGAAATAGGAATAAGAGAGGTGGATTCAAACAATTATAAATCATCCCTAAAAGGATTAGCCGTGTCAGGTTGGTTTTAAATCGGTGCAAAATTAGTCATGGATGGTGTAAAAAACGGGCCAATTGATTTTCTGAATTTTAATTAAGAATGCCTATTAGCAATTCCGAGTTATTCTCAAGAATTCGTAAAAAAGGTCGTTTAAAAATTAATAAAAATCTACCTACTTTAATCTCGAAAACCGATCATCATTTAGAAACCTTCAAAGAATTGATTTTAGAGCTTTTTAACAATTCTTTTAAATCCAACGAAACCGCATTAGAAACCGCGAATAAACCATTAAAAAAACATGAATTTCCATTCGAACATTCTCAAAGACAATCTCGAAATAACTATTAAAAATCTCTCGCAAACCGATTGATAAATGAAACAAAACCGCCTATCGAATTTTCCCAGACTATCACAGGGTCCTTTTCGGCGAGACGAAAACCGTGGGCTCGGAAATTCTATATACTTATCTGCCGGTATTTTTTTTTTACTTTCCCGCGTACGATTACAAGAATGAACGTGCACGCAACAGAGACGGCGAGAGAGACGGAGGACTTCGTAAACGGTAAAAGATACAAGGAGTGGGCTCAAAATCGAGAACGCCAAATATTTTTACCTACGGAGAATATCGGCTATGGCCATATTGGTTTTTCGCTTGGGCGCCACCTGTGGGCAGCGGACGGTCATCGGTATTTATTTTTTTTTTCCTCGACTTGCCTAATCGGGGTTAATACGCTATACAGTACGTTTCGAAATTGGTGTAACGTGAATGAAAATAAGGAATTACATTAAATCTGCGATGACATCACGCTTTGTTATTGTTGATACATAGTATATGTGTATTTGTAAAAAATGTATATGGTTCATTCAATATTTCAGGGAATGTTGTATAAACAGTCGTTTTTTTTTTGTTTCAGAAACACCTCCTCCTCCATATAGTCGAATAGATATGGATCAATTAAAACCCGAAGGTAATTTGGTTTTTTTTTCTCGATTTAATTATTTTATAGTTAGGTATTATATGGAGTAGATACACTTGCGAATCAATGGAAGATAAACGCTAAATCAAATTCCTTATCGATAATTTGCTTATGACGTTAAAATAAAAATACGACCGATAGGTTGTGAATTAATACGAGTATTTAAAAGCGCTCGAGTTTCGAGGATGCTCCTGCAAAATATTACTGTTCGTTTCTATCGCATAATTACCAGAAAAAAAAAAGATTAACGGCTTTTAAATTGGATTGAATGCGTTCAATGTGAACTTGAGCCGATGGTGATTCATATGGGAAAATCTGTTGCGATTTTATTTATTGCTAGGGCCATAAATTCGAATCGCAAAAACGCATTTAAGACCATTTTAACCGCCGTTTTCAAGGAGATACTATATCGAAATTATCCTTATACTTTTTATGCACGTGAAACAGAACACCTGTTTTACAGTTTCGAATAATCAGAACCTCCATATACGATAACAACACAACAACAACACCACAAGGAATCGATTAAATTCGATTTGGAACTCCTTTCCAGCGGCGATGACAAGCCAAGACAACGCAAACGAGCAACTCTCCATCGTTTCGATTCGTTCTAAACGCTTTTGTGTACTTACACTTACCACGCATTCAAAGCATTCAAACGCACACACACACACACACACATGTTTTCATTGCGTAATTCTTCTGTGTATAAATTCGAATGAATGGAAAGTGTGACACGAACTCTCAGTTAGCCTGCCCACGAACCTCTCCGTATATCGAAAACATTGAAATAAAATAAAATGCTCGAATGGACTAAATAGAGGAGCGGTCCATTAGGACATGAAATTGTATAAGTAACGGCGATGTTCGAGTTAATCCTCCGATTAACGTCACGGTTAATTATCATCGATTATCAAATGCGAAATTCCGTAAACTATACGAAAAATGTAGCGTGTGGCAACGCCGCTGTTTGTCAGAATGTGTGATGTCATGACCAGTTTTGCTCGAACATACTATAGAAACTTAAACACAACAACTAAAGGGAAGATACATCGAGGGGTGGTTGCTAATGGGGCGAAATAACGGAAAAAACATTGTCTACAAAGTTATGGAATTGGAGCAGGCTAAAAAGATTCGTTTAGCAGTACCGGTGTAAAGATATGGCGCCTATTTGTTCTTTAGATGTTTCTGTTATATTAATTTCATATTGTGAGACTCTGTATAAAGTCGGTCGGTTTGAACTGCCAGAAGATTGGAAAAAAAAAACTTTCGAGTTACTAACGGAAACCGAGAAAACAGCGTTTCCGTAACGAAACGAACCGTCTTGTTCGAGTACCGACAGTACCGTTAACGAGGAATGTTATTTATTTCCACGACGACGAGCAGGTGTCTTACGAGGGGGATAAGGTAATTCGTTTTTTTATTGTTCAAGAATATTTTCCTTTGTGTTTTCCTTGACCCTATCGTGGAAAGGAAATTGTTTCGGAATTGTGTATAGTTTATAATAATTTTGTTAGTGGTACGAAAGGCAGTTATATTGTATAGAAAAGCGCTCTTTTCTTCTTGTTTATATTCCTTTTAATAATTTGCTTTAATGTTTTAAACTATTTTTTCCTAAATTCGCTCCTGTACACATACAAGGGAAGTTCGATAAATACTCGAAATTTTAGGGATGCTAAAGTATTCGAAACATTTCGACGTTTCTCGGAAATTGTTCTCCTTTAACGTACGACTGGTGTTCGAGCGCTTTCCGGCAATTTAATAAGCGGGGGCCCGAAACCGCATGATGAAAGGCATTTCTCACCGACACTTGACCACATTCCACTAAACTTTTAGTTCAATCTCACCATTCTCGTCTAATCGCAAAAGTTAGCTTAAGGATTTTTTTACATAATAGTTCATTCAATATTTCCTCCAGTGACGCCACCGCTAGAATATTATGAACGTTCTATAACAATCTGCATATAATTCATTCAATATAAAATGTCGTGACGTTACCACCACATTAACTTGAAGTTGCAACGCGTTTTTATCGAGTATCCAACAACTTTTCCTCTAGAAATATCTACTGATACACACACACAAGCAGCTTTCGTTGCAAAAAGAATATCGGGATCGATTTTACCTACTACGCGCACATACGAGAGCACGCATAATAATAGTAATAATAAATAAATAATAATATAATCTGCGAGAAAATGAACTGGGGTAACCTTTTAGGTTGTTTGCTTTTGCTTTGCTTTCGTTTCATTGTTATTCGAGGCGACATTCGTGCGAGCGTTACGCAGGGTCGGACCGACCCGGTGCAGTCCAGTCGAAGGTTATTCTTGACTCTGTCCCATTTCCGAAGGTGAATTGAAATTGCGCGCGTTGGACTAGGTCAGTTTCGGATTTTACGGTTTGGGTTTTGGTTGATAAAAAAATCGATCAACGTCTCTTTTCTTTGTAGAAAATTACCGTTGGTTTGACCCCATTGAAATATGGAACCATTCTGGAGTTTACTGAGAGATTTTTAGATACATGCGATTAGAACCATCCAGAATTTTTGTTCGGAGATATTCAGAAATATAAATTGAAGTTTTCATTAGATAATAAGTAACTTGAATTGTGGAAGATAAAATAAAGTTTTTGGTGCATCTGTCAAAGCTTGATTGGTCAGTCAACATCAAATTCCTACTGATAGTATTTGAAGTAAATCCAAAATTAGAGTGCTAAAATAGAAATAAAAACAAAACTATATAATGCCAATGAAACCTTTGGTCAATAACTACCAAATCACTATTAAACGTTCATTATTTTTATTTTTCTGGATTAACATAACTTTTCTTCTTAACCAATTAGCACCTTAATAATTAACGATAAAAATCTTGATAAACCCACCCCTAAAATCAGTCCTATAAATGTACAAAACGAAACTGTCGAGTTATATTTAACTTGTAGAAAACTTTAATACTTGCAATACTTACTAGTTGGTGTATATCTCGAGTGGATGTCATACCTATTTTTAACAACTCGTTTGTTGCAACGAAATGAAAAAAAAGTCGACACAAACAAGAAACGTATATTATATTATTATTACAATATGGCGAATGCCGTTCATAGAATGTGCAGTAAAAATTACATTTCCCATTATAGGAGTATTTATTAATGCGATTAAATACTTGTATATACGTATTATGGTGATAAATTTCTTTTTTTAATCGCGTGTTAATTGGAAAATTGATTCGATGTATGTATATGAATTTATTTATTATTTATAAAATGCATAATATGTTATTATAATAATCTTGTGTACCGAATGTAGGTTTTGTAAAGTGTGGGTTTCTTTATGCACTTAGTGCGTAGAATGAAAGATATAAGTTTATCTTGGAAATTTGCTTAACAATCCGAAATAAAACTGAAGATATTTAATAGATACAGTACGGCATGAATAGCTGAAGACGTGTGAATACAATGCGCAAAAGTTTTTGCTATTTGAAGGTCGCGCAGCTCACATCATCAGCTATTCTTGTTGCACTCTAGCTTAAAATTTGTGATGGTCGATACCTGCAAGATAAACGACCATCAAAAACGCATCTAATAACTCATATTATACAGCAATCTTTGTTTCAGAGCGCGCTCCCAGCGAAGTCCCTCTCGTTTGTCGAGATTCCTATCCCGGTTCGCTCACCACGAACGGAGGTATGTACTCGCCTTGGTTTTTTTCTTCTCTCCGCTTTTTTACTCGCCGTCGTTTCCTTTTTCTTTTTCTTCTGCTCCTCTAGACCGGCCGCTTTCACTCCACATAGAATTTTAACGAGACTTCATCAGTCTCCGCGGCCTCTTGCCTATTAAGTACAGGGCACGTTATACCTACTCATAAATTTAATAACGCGTATACGCGCTCGCTATGGAGTCGAGATACTCGGCTCGATAACTAAAAAAAACTGTATCGGAAAATATTACACTCAATTGGGTTTATACAAATTTAAGTTTTTTGTTAGAAAACGAAACTAGTAGAGTAGAGAATCGAGGTATATATAGGTGGAGCTCCGCTCCCCGAAGAAGCCGAACGGGCCCCGGGGGCCTCTTCTACGACGGTTTTACAGTTTCGTACGGATTCGTGCGGTTCGGAAGGAGAAGGTGAGGCCACCATCGGGACACCTCTTGCGCGTGTTGGTCACCTTGAAGACTCGCTGGAAGAGTGGAAGCGTAGAAGGAGCAACGAGAGAGGCCCACGGTGAAGGTGCGACGGAGACGGCGCGCTCTCGTGATGTCATGTTTACCTACTAGATAGCCCGAGAGGATTACGAAACTCGAACTCGAAAACGGTGAAGTTCACGAAACCATTAAAATTCTTCGGCTATGGGCTAGGGTAAACATTCGGATTTGCTTTTTGTGTGTGTGTGTGCGTTTTTTTTATTTTCGTTAATAGAAAGTCGCTGTTAATTCGTCGATAACTTTATCAATAAGCTGGCCGGATGACTCGGTAGGCAAGAGGCCGTTGAACTGGCCAAAGAGGAATCGCTATTGAGGACAATCTCACAAAGTCCCGAAAATTTTCGCTTGATTTTTGATGCAAATGTACTCTTTAGTTTTAATTACTTTCGTAAATTCAATCGTGTGAAGAATTATAGAATATATAAGCTAAATGATTTTCACAAACTATTAATATTCTCTTGTAATTTGAACACGTATTATTTACGATATCGAGTTATTACAACCTATAGGTTACCGAATCTGTAACCATCATACAATTGTACACATATCATACCAATCACTATTTATAAAAAATAATGGCAAATATTTGAAATAGCCCGGTATACGACGAGCCGAATCGTACATGTGTAAGTATGAAATGCGTAAAAAAAGGCGTCGAGACGCCCGTCGTAGCGCCGCAGGCGCCACACTTGTTTTCGTGCAAGACAATATGCGCGCTGGAAAAGTTTATTTTTAAATCGTTCGACGTGCATGATCAGAGTTTAAGTATGCGATTACGGTGTATATATGTAGTATATTCGAATCGGCGCCTCTGGGTTGTAAACATTTCGAGTCGGTCCAAAAAGTCCATTCGAAATGACGCGAAAAAATTCCGGTGCATTTCGATCGGTCCTCGTATGTTCGGTTATAATGCGTTCGTTTTAACTCGGACATGACGTCACTAGATCAATTCTTGATTTTCATAAAGGCTTCTATACTAAATTCTAACGTTTTTAGTAAGGGTAGAATAAGTTACAATCTATTCGAGTGGGTATCAAATAATTTCATCTTTTAAACTGAACCATTTAATTTAATCTAAACTGCGATAAAAATCCACCCACTCGAACTCGAAAAGTACTAAAAATACTCACATTGCACAAGAAAATATACCTATAATACATGTTCGCGCGTTTATTACAAATGACCTTTTTCTTAGCTAATATACATATATTTGACTTAAATACCTACCTTTATTACAATGTAATTATTAGCATACTTATTTTACTACAAACGTACAGTGGATAATATAATTACACGATAATTCTTTTGGCAGCAATTTAATCATTGATAATATTTTGGCAAGGCGAGAATCTCGCTCATACACTGATGTTAATAATATATAAATCATTTTTTATTTAAATTGTTGAAGGAAAATATCGAGGAAATTTGGATTATTTTGATGCATAAAATCGACGATAAAGCGATGAAAGTGTCAATTTGTATACTTAGGTACTGGTATTGTTCTGGTGAGTGATTTTATATGCGTTTTGGAGATTACTCGAGGTTTTTTAAGAATATTTGATTCTTTTCCAAAACATTTTTGATAGGTTTTTGTACCGAATTTTAAAGAGTTCCCTTGATAATTGAAAAAAAAATGTTTTTTTACAATTGAAATGGTTATGGAAGATTTTGTGTAATGCATTGTGGTTTAAAAATCGTCTAATTTCTTCAAAAATCTAGAAGAAATTTGTTTAGAACAAACAAGGGATTAAAAATAACCTCTTTCATAAATAACAAATACGAGAATACCTATAGTAGTTTTTCTACGACCTTGCTGTTTTCTATGACATTTTTTGTAAGAAACACTCATGAAATGCACAATGCAATATTTGCAGTAATACATAATACATACATAAGTGAATGGGTGCGCTCTGAACCATGCTAGATATTTATGTATGTACCTGTTGCCATATATCAATATGAATTTAATTATACCTAAAAATTAACATTTATAATGTATTTAATAATCACTTACCAAAGAGAAAACTAACAAAAAAAATCTAATAAGATTGTATCAGCAACTTAAAAACTTAAAATTATAGAATATAACCAGTTATGTCACAGTTTAGAACCGATTGGCTTCGTTCATATGTGTTTTTAATAGTTTTTCAGTAAAACCATTAATTTTCAATTCAGCTCAATTTTATCCGTTAAAAAATACCTACATAGCGACTTTTCTAGTAGTTTTTCGCAGCGCAAAAGTGCCGCAATGTAACTCTTTGCATAAATAAAACATACAGCAAGAAATTCCAATAACCAGTCGAAAAATGATAAAGTGTATTTTAGTTTATGTAGGTTATCGATTACGACAGAATCGATTTTTGAAATGCGATTATACACAAACAAGTATAGGTACAACACAAACAATGTTACGGCAAAGGTGTTGTACTTTTTCATACGGCAACCGCTAATTATTTATAAAAATTCGAAATAAATTTCGAACTCTACACGAAAAGAAACCGACCAAGATTACATATTTTTCTATTTATCGGAATTATTAGCGACAAGGTCGTCGTTTCCAAGCAGAATTAACTTGATACTTAATCTATTAATAATGCATATATTATCTAGTCGGGGTCTAATTTTATCCTAACTGTATCTCCGCTTTGTCGAAAGGAAATGTTCCGAAAAAAACCACGAAATTTTCGAACGCTATGCGGGTAAAACCCGCACGAATTTTAATTCAACCACACAGTGAGCCTTGGAAATCTAGTTGGCAACATTGACAATTAATAAAAACATATCTACAAATCAATCAATATCTAATAAACAACCGAATCATTAACTCGCAATAACGGCCTACTAGGTACAGCGATTACTATTCCCGGAAAGCAAAGAAATCCGGTGAGACGCGGCAACGTCGCCGTCGGGCGAGATTTTAACATGGCACGAACGACGGACGGGGCGTTTAAAAATAGATATTACGAGTTCACCGCTGGCGCCAAGATTACGACCGATCGCTGCCGGTTACGTCACCTTGTATATACTATACAGTACGCTCGAAATGTTTTTTCGAGGTGAGGTTATGTACGGGGACGAGGAACACGAAATCGCAGGCGCCTCGACGGCCAATCGGTCGCGCGCGCTTCGATGGAATAAGCTCGTGGCTGGATAGCCCTAGCAGGTGAAGCTCGAACGAGAAGAAAGAAGAGGAACTGGGTGTAAAGTACCTAGAGTTTTTTTTAACTTGAAGCACTAAAGAAGCACTAAATCTTATTGGTTGTTTCATTAGTAACCAATCAGTGATACCATCTGCTTAAATTCATATCAACAATTGTATGATCCAGTTAGTGGCTTTAGATAGATATCTCATTCTTTATCACGTTTTCTTTAAAGCCTAATTTATTATCATTTATTTTTCACCCCTCGTATTTGCAAATTACTTCAATGAAATCCCGAACGCCATTTCTATGATTAGATGATGTGATATCGGATAGTTCGCGCGAAATGAAAATTTCAAAAATAAACGTTAATTTAAAAGCTCAATAAAATCCGAAAAACGCGTCTAATAAAACGTTAAATTGTCCGCATAATTTACTATAGTTAAGTTTGGAATGAGATGATAGACGGCTTCAATTACGGTGTCATCCAGTAATTCCGACTAGACGACGACACGTCGATTTTTTTTAATAATATACGAGGCATGTCCGAAAAATATTCAATGACATTTAAATGTTAATTATTTATAAATTTGCATAAACCCGTTTTGAATCAGCGTCGTAAATTTATGATTATATTGAAGAATTTGGAACTTCTGTTGGATTTGTTGAACTACCCTCTAGAATGTTATTAGATTCGATTTCAAATTTATAAAGAACATTCTGGAGTAATAAAAAATACTGAAAGTGATCGGTAGTGTAGAGATTTGGCAAAATAAATAATTTTTGCCTAACTATATCCTAACTTTTCCAAAATGTTTATAGTCAGTTCAAACAATAAAATAAAGGTACGGCACGTTTTGTTATAAATTAGGCGCCAGAAAAAATGCTAAACATTTTGAACCGGAGACTAAATAATCAAATAAATTTAATTAGAATGCATTATTTAGATTATATGGACGCATTATTTATGCAAATTGAATGTGAAAAAATTGTCTTTTCAAGGGCGCCGTTAGATTAACACAAACTCGAATTTTTCAAACAATCGTATTTTTAAATTCACTTGCTTGTTAATAAAAATTGTATACAGAATGTACCAGTTTGTTTCAATAGTTGAGCAAAAGAGTCGAAATTTATAATTGTGCATGGTAATTTTTTTCCAAACTTCTGAAATTATACTTTCCATTCTGATTTGTTGTATTGTTTATTCTTCGGTTACATAAACATGGTGGATAAACACCAATTTACGTATTAACATATTCATCCACACCCTCCGAAATTACTCATACCTATACCAGAATATTCATTATTGAATCATTTTGTGAAGAAAACATCGTTTCCATTTTTCTAACATTTTTCTTATTACGATGCTTCCCAGGAATCGAAAAAAAAATCGTGACTCAATTAACATTTTTCCCAACATCTTCATCATTTTTATTTCAGCAGCTAGAAAAAACTTTATTCTCTAACCTCCTTCATTCATATACATCTCGTTACACTTTTTAAGAGGCGCATCTATTTTCGGATTTTTTAGGATATAAATATTTAGGAAATAAAATAAAACCGAGGCGCCTGGCGCCGGCGCCGGCGCCGGCCCGATTGCTCGCCGTCCCAATGTCGCGCTCCGTATTTTCGCGCATTTATAAATTAGAAAAACCGTCGCGTTCCTTGCGAAAGTCGCACATACGAAAATGCAAAAACCGCTGTCCGTCCGACGGTCGCCGCTCGATGTTTACCTATAATTCGATTACGATTGTGTCTAGGAATGCTCGACGCGCGCTAGATTAAAAACGCCAACCCAGACGAATTATAATTAAAAGCGAGGAAAGGCCGACGAGCCGCGTTCGTGCGAAGAAATTCGCCGATTATTAAAAAAAAACCCGATCGTTTACAGTCGAAGAACTTTCTCTAATTACCGCTGTATTAGCAATGCCGGACGAGCGTCGGTAAAAATCGAAAATTGGCGACCTATTTACGCTATTTTAGCGTCGATTTTGCAATGTACAATACACACTATACAATTTATAAAGTTTATCCTTAATGTTACAAATACCTGGAAGGGTGTTTCACATTATTGGTAGACTTTCATCATGAAAATAAAACCTCTTGTATATGCAAACTTCAGATTCGAAAAGATGAGTTTTGGACTTGCTTACCTACAATTTTCTTCTATTACCATCACCATTTGTTCAAAATACTTAACTCTTGACTTAACTATCTGACTCTTGACACAGGTCATTATCACCTTGAGTGGTGTTTAGAAGAGTTGCAGGTATAATTTCAAAAATTTAGTAACCTCGAAGATTGGAATTTAAAGATGTAACATCGTCCACAAGGCAGAACATTGCAATTAAGATCAACTTCCTGGACAAAAATTCCAAACCAAACTTCTTCTGCAAGGCAATACATTAATAAACCATCTGCAAGGAGATGGATTTTGTCTTGTACAGTCTATATCACATCCAGTATATTCTCTGTAACACCAATGCTAGTTCTTCAAGAGACTATTTAGAAAGTTTCTTAACATTTGATAGAGGTACTTAGTTAATTTCTTGTAATACTCTGTTGTATTGCACCAACTTGATACTGTTAACCAACTAAGTGGAGTATAGTCTTTTCAACTCTAAACAGAGGTCATTACCACCTTGCCTAGCATCTTTTAGAAGAGTTTTATGTCGTTTGCATAATTACAACAAGGCTGCAAAGGCTCCTTGTGCAAATACCAGCCAAGGTAGGACTTTAGCTCGCATCGCAAGCTCGATTTTCCCGGCTCAAAGAGAACGAAACCGTTGAAAAATCCACAACGCCGGCCCGTACAATACATTCAGGCGATCGCATTTTTTCGACGATCCACCGGCACACATTTCATTTTGTATTATTTTACGCGATCGAGACCGAGCCGGCGGGGTGACGTCACGCGAACTCTGGCGCCAGGCGTCCATATGCCGGCGCCCGTAAGGTGCACGTAGATCGATCACACGTACACCTGGTACCTCCGATCTCTCTCTCTCTCTCTCTCACTCTCGCTCGCTCGCCCATGCCACTTTACACCTTTCGTTTCGTCGGTAATTTATCGTTCGGTTACGTTTCGCCTGCCGTTTAGGCGACTCGCCCGCCGAACGGGGGGGCCCCTTTTTACCGCCGTTTCCGGACCCGCCGCAAGGGATGAGGGCCCGGGTTATTTATACTAGCGAACGATTAAACTAATCGCGAATTAATGCCATTATTTTACTTGTATTCTACCACAAGTTCCACCTGAATACCCCTCATCTATTTATATATTTTTTAAATAATTAATAATTACATAGTTAATGGAAGCTATTATGTACAAACTTTCATACGATCCCTCGTAAGTATTTTGCACTTAAAAAAACGAATCTTGAATCTTTAGGTATTTTATCAATATCGGCGCGATAGGAGCGCTCTCTTCGTGGGATTTTAATGGGTTTTCCGCGAATAATCGCCCTGTATTTGTACAATATAATAACGATTATTAGCGATGAGTAACCGAACGGGTCCGGTAAACATATAACAGGTAAATAGACGGCGCCAGAGTTGTTATTTTTTTTATGTGTGCGCATAAAATATTCAAATTAAAAGCGCACTGTTATCTCTACGGATGGCCTACGCGTACGCGAGCAAATACAGGATGTACGTTTTAGACAATTTACGTAAATTATACGGAGGATTCTCAATGGGTTTCTGTTAATGGTTTCCCACAATATTCGTTAAATCAGAAAATTTGTTATTTGTGTTAATTAAGAAGTTAAACTAGTAATTAAACAGACAATAAGTAGTATAATACAAAAAAGATAGTAAAAGACTCTGTTCAAAAAGATTGTTTTAACTTTGAGTATAAGGACTTCTCACTAAATCTAAATAGGTTCTAACTTATCTTACATTTCTTTAGAATGTCAAGAATACTACATTTCTCAAAGATTGTCCAATCGTAATATATTGTGACGTTACAAAGCATAGAGCTTTCGTTTTTAAATGCATTTATATAAATTCTCAAATAGATAAATATTAATATTCCATCGAGTCGAGCCTTCCTTGAACTCTGCGCGTAAAAAATAGATTAAACAAATAATAACCCGTATGAAGATAGACGGCGATTTCAATCGGCGATCTTCGCATTTAATTAATTAGATTTTCTAATTAAATGTTATATGTTTTAAAAACAATCCGATCGGCTCTTTTTTTGTCCTTATCGCCCGTCGATAATTTTTTTTCTCCTTATTATACACTCCCGTGAACCCGCTCCAAAATGTTATCGCACTCCAATGTTTGTAAATTTAACAGGTTGTCTCTTAACGACCAATCGGATCGCGAGATAATCGTGACGCCCGTCGTCATTGATACCAAAAATTACGTCAATATTATTTTAATATTTTTTTGTTTATAATTAAATAGGAAGTTGGTAGATTAAAACGAGTGAAAACAGAACGATATTTTTCGATTGGTTATATAAAATCTAAATAACGCTTTTAATTTTCCAGATTCCGTGAATCCTCTGGAATGGTGCAAACTGGCCTACTGGGAGCTGTCGGAGCGCGTCGGGCCCCTCTTCCCCGTGGAACCACCGGCTGTGAATGTATTCGGAAACGTATCCCATCCCGACGGTCTTAGTTTAGAAATGTTAGCTCAACATAGTTTTAGTCCTAGCAAGTCAGCGGTCCAGAAAGCCAGGTGTAAAATCGGTTTAGGTAAGTTCACGATCGCATCCAAGTCGACCGCGCTTCGTTTTAATCTTAAGTTGGCTACACTGTTTAGTGACTAAGGAGATTTTTAGAAACGCCTAAGTTACAAGCATTTGGCACTATATTTCTAAGGTCTGGAAAGAGCCTATGATTTTGCATTAGAGAATGAAGTTAAATGAAGATTTTTTGAGCTTCACTTGGAAGATCAACTTATCTCAGCCAATCAACTTCGCGCTTCATATAAATCGCTATTGTGAGACGACAGTTCAAGCTGTCAAAACTTCAAAAAATATTTTTTGACATTTCGATGAGAAAATGGAGAAATACATTAACCGAAGATACGTGAGGCATGATGTTAACAACAAAATCATAGCTCATATCATTTTTATATTTATTTATGTATTTATTTTTAGTTTGAATAACGTAAGTCATCTTGGGAAAAGAAGAATTATTTTGGGTTTGACAGATGTTAAAAGTCAATGGACTGTCAATTTTCATTATTACAATTTTAAATAAATTTAAGTGAAAAGTTTCAGTCATCTTGAGTTTTTTTGAGCTATGGGAGAAGGAAGCGTACAATAAAACCTTTCTTAATGCTGATTCTATATAATTTTATATTTGTACGCAAAAAACTGTGATCCTTTACAACATCGCCTCCTAGCGGCCATTTTAGGAATCCTGTTTTATCTTCAAATAACGGGACACTTTTTCGACCTATGTTTCCAGACCTTACATTAGAAATATACAACCGCGGTCAAAAGAATCGATTATTTTGAATTAAAGGTAATAATATTATTTTGTTGGTTTTAGGAGTAACGCTATCTCGAGAGGGCGGCCGCGTCTGGGTGTACAACCGCTCGGACAATCCCGTCTTCGTGAACTCGCTGACTCTGGAGGACCCGGACTGTCCTCTGCCTACGCGCGTACCTGCCGAGCACTGCCTGTGCGTCTTCGATCCGACGCGGGCGGCTCAACGAACGTTCGGCTGGGGCTTCGGCCACCGGCCGCCGATCGGCCCCGTCGATCCGAATTCCATTAGGATCAGCTTCGCCAAGGGCTGGGGCCCGAACTATTCCAGACGGGAGATCACCTCCTGTCCCTGTTGGTTGGAGATACTGCTGGCGCCTTGCAGGTGATCCGGCACCGGCGGTTCGTTCGCATCGGGACTGTCGGTTGTTGTTTTTTTTTATTTTTATTGTTGTTTTATTAATCGGCCGTCGGCCGGTGTTCGAGCAACGGGAGTACGGAGAAACGGGGAAGGCCGAGCGATTATTTAAAGGCAGTTTATACGGACGCGTCGTTTGAGGAGATGTACGGTTTTTTATTATGTATCTTTCGATGTCATCGAGGTGAATGATGATAGCAAAAGGCGAAAATTCTACCGGGTTTTTAACCGGCTTTATTTTGTTTGCTTAAATGATTTTTATCGACGTAAAAACTAATTTAATGCAACTTTTAATTCGTTTAGGACCGATTTCTAATGTTCCATATAACTAATAGGAATATTAGAAATTCATGAAATTCTATTAGTGAATCATTATTATCATTTATCTCGACGTGTGCACTAAATTCAGTAATACCTGGAATTATTTTTTTATCATTCGTTTTGGGTCAAAATTTGAAATCTGTAAATGTTTGCTTCTATCTTGTTTAACGATTGTTAAATCGAAGAAACAATTCCGTCCGAAGTCGAAGAAAGCAAAAAATTCTTAACAATAAAATCAGAAAATTAAACGAAATACATCACAATTTGAATTTCCAACTGGATGAGAGACAATAAATTGAATTTGCGGCAAAATGTTATTGCAATTTCAATTGAGTATACAGAGTGTTAATTAATTGAATGCCAATATTTCAGGATGTGAATATTTGGATGATTTTAAGAAGAAAAGTTTCTATCAATGTATGTCCTAAACCTCTTAGTTTCTGAGTTACAGGGTGTAAAAATTTAGAAAAAAAACTTTTCTATCATAATTTTCTTATTACTCATGAACACACTGTAACTGAACAAATTTATAGTAATTGCAATAACGATTTTGCCGCGTTTTGGGGTGATAAAAAAATAAAGTAACTTAGACTTGAAATTTCGAATCGAAATTTTCCACCCGAATGCCTTATTCGCATCTCGTTCGAATGAGATGCAGAATTTTCTTCAACCGATTAACGTTTTGGTGCTTTGGGGCGTTTTTTAGCTAAATGCCTTAGTCAGGGACCATAATGTTCGATTTTTTTTACATTGTTCCATGGAAGCATTTTTACTTATTTAAATAAGTTCGTTAGAAGAGAAATTCCCGCATTTGTCCTGTCGCAATAAATCAAATATGGGAATTTGAATTTGTACATAATATAGGTATGGTTTTGATTTGTGCTAAAATATGTTCGTCGAATGAATACAGGTTTTTTTTCCAAACAGAATGTATACGATAATAATAATTAGGTATGTTCTAGCACAGGACCGTCATGAAATTTTTGTGATTTTAAGTCATCAACGATTCTTTATGATGCTGGAACACACCTGAATATTAATTACACAAGCAGGGTGGTACCGATGTTCCTAGATTACTATTATTTTTGTAGCATATGCGAAATTATTAAATACACAGGCTATTCGACGAATATTTTTTAGGTACATACAGTAAAATCCATTTAAAATTATGTTGGAAATAAATACATGTAATTGCACCAATCACAAACAATTATTATAAATTCTACTGATTAATAAATGGAGAAAAACACTAATAAAATGGATTTTACTGTATTTATTCGGATTTGTAATTTAATAATCAATTGTGTCACTAGTCATTTTGGGCCTTATAGGCTAGTCTCGGCGATTTAGATATTTTTTACTACAATGTATAGAGTGCCTTTAACAAAATGTATAATGCAAGAAATTCGTAATTGTATAAAAATTCGTCTATTTATTAATCCATATATGTTCCGTTAGACTTTTCAATTTGTATTCAGTGCCTTGATGACCTATTTATTTCCTAACCGAAATACAAGGTGTTCCATAATGACATGCTAATATTTAAGGGGGTGATATGAATATGAAGTTTTTTTTTTCTTAATATGGGCTCAGAAATCACACCCTTAAATATTAGCATGTCATTTTGGAACACCCTGTATAATTTTATTTCCTTTGTCGAAAATAAATATTGTATTTGTATTTTATATTAATTTATTTTGTACGCAGAAGGGCCTAGGCAAATCTTGTTAATACTCAATTTAGACTTCCTCTGTTGTCGAATGGAAAAATTTTATCGAAAGGTAGACAATCAGAAATGGGATGTACTGTACTTTCGAAAAAAAATGTAAAAAGTGTATAGTAAAAAAATCTACAGCACTAAAAAAACGAAGGGTATAATCATATCCTTGAATCCTAAACTAATAAAGAAATTAATTTCTATAAAATGGTTGTTTTATTACCCTAAGTCGCTGGACATCTAAGTAAATTTGATTAATTTTGTACTATGTACTCAACAATTTACTCAACCCGCATTTCTAATAACGAATAAAAAATAAAGGATAAAAAATACTCTTGAAAATACTATATGAAAATTTTAAAATCAAAGAAAACAAATTCTATAAAACGAATTCACCTAAGGATAATAGGTTTTCTCAAACCTATACGATCCTCCTTTAACGCGCTTCACGTCCTCCCTGAATTTCTTCGGGATGTACCTCGGACAAGTCTCGTCCAATCTCCTCTGGTACGGATGCTGGAACAACTCGAAAGGCCTCAGCCTCTTATCCATAAACCTCGTCTTGTTGTCGATCTTGTAAATTTTCTCCCAAGCGTATATTTCGTACACGAGCTTATGTCTGGGCCGATTCGACATGAGAAATTTGAACATATCCTCCAGCCATTTTCTCTTGTGGTCGTCTTCGTAATCCGAGCACAGTTTCTCCTCGTTGCTCAAGTACGGCGTGAGATTGATGCCCAGCGGGGATTCCGGTCGGTTGAGGTAGAATTTCAGTAAATTCTTCAACACTTCATCGTTGAAACCTATCAGTTTTCCATCGGCGATATCTTCGAATAGGTCCATTTGATCGGTTGCCCAACAAATGTTTCTTCGTGGATTCGATTTGAAGAATCTGCAAATGAGTTAATTTAGCGAATTGGAATTTCTATTGTCGGTACAATTACCTTTCGCACAGCATTGTAGTGTTCATCTGGTAGGTATAAAACGACCAAGTCTTTCCGTTGGTAACTACAGTTTGGGTAACCAGGGGGTAGGTTAGATCGTTGAAAGTGTTGAATCCCAAGTAATGGGCTTGGGCCATCAGCCAACCGAAAGCCGTTAAGATCCCTTGTCTATGGATAGCTTCTTGATCATCATTCAGATCATTATACCGATCCTTCCTTAAGTGCATGTAGCCCCGTTTGTGGTAGGAAAGCAGCCCGAATGTATGAGGATCACCAGGCCAAAATCCTGCAAACAACCATTAGTATTATTTAAGTACTAAAGTACTCTCGAGTGAAACAATCACCTGGTATATTGGTCATGTGTCTATATTCGGTGGTAGTTCCGATAGTACGAGGATCGCAATCGAATACTGGGACATCGAGGTCAGGATTTTCCGATTCGCTTAACGGAATTACGGATTTCAAGGGAAGCTTCGATCGTAACGTAAGAATAGGAACTCCTTTGTATACCATAACTCTGTCGGTGGGCTCGTCGATGCGGTCTTTCAGCCAGGGTACTCCTTTTCGGGAGTTTACTACAGAAGATGGCGGGACTATTCCCCCTACGTTCCAAGATGCTTCTATTCTGGGCTCAATGTCCACCTAATAAATTATAAATTAGAAATTACACTGGTTAATTAACTAAAAATATTATACCTGTGTATCTTGTAAATCTAAACTTAATTCATTCATAATGATTCGATTAATTCGTTTAATTAACGAACTGCTAACTATGTCTTCCAAATCTTCTTTTTCTAATGCTTCATTAGTAAGATCATGTAATCTCCTGAAAAAATAAATGTTATCATTTGTATATTAAATATGTTAAAGTAACTAACTGGTAGCCATCGATTTCTATAGATAAAGCTTCTTCCACTTCCGATTTAAGCTTATTAGCCAATTCATCTACATTAAATTCTTTATAGTAATCTGGTAAACCCTTGTTAACTACAAGATGGGTTCGCGTAGCGTGTTGAGTCATAGGTAACATATTATATCCGCATTTGTTTTCTAGCAGCATGTAACTTTTGAAGCCGTAATATTTGGGCATGTTCAACTTAATTTGCTTTTCTTCCACCGTTTTTACGGCTTTTATTTGATCGTAGGATTCATCCTTCATTCGTTCTCTTTTCTTCTCGGGAGAAAGGTCCAAAATAGGTGGATAATTTGGGGTTGATGTGTATTCTTCTTCGAGCCGGGTAACGGTTGACGAATATCGACAGGACCGTAGTTTTTGGTAAAAACGATTATTAAGACGTATTACACTCATTTTTAAGCTGTATTTCTATTAAATATTAGGTTTATAATATAATAATTGCACTTATTTAAAACATTCATACATAACCTTACACTTCTCTTTTTTTGAACAACTGTAGATGTCAACTGTCAGTTGTCGTTATTATGAACAGTAACACCAACATAAAAATGCAAATAAACGCCCTCATAGTTAGGCAATATATTTTACATGAGTACTACAAATAAATAATTAACTTTGACTAAAAATAAACAATTAATGAATTTTATAGCCAAAAAGATTACATATACTATAAAAAAATCTTTAATAAGATTGTACAGCATCGAAAAATATTAAGTATCACATAAAACGCGGAAGATCAGTATATTTACAAAAATATCACATTTTAAAGTATGCCTGTCGTTCCTATTCCTTCGATAATTCCACGGACACGAACTTGGAAGTTTCTTTAAGTTCTTGATCGCCATTTTCATCAATATCTTTAATCTCTTCGGGATTCAGAATACGTTTAAATCCCAAAAGCCAACATTGACAGACTATCATCATGATCGTCGTTAAACCGAACGTCCATATTGTCCCGTATTCTTCGTAAATGTAAGTCACGAACACGGGCCCCATTACTCGAGAAAGACATCCGGCGCCAGTCATCAAACCCATCCAAACTCCCTGCAAATCAAATAATTATTAACAAAAATATGGCAACACCGCATAATTTGTTTGTTAGTTAGACTGCAAATGTCATCTGTCGTTAGCGTCATGAATGTCATTGTTTGAATTTTTGAGGTTAAATTTGTTGTTATTAAATATTTAATTTTTATTTTTAATCGTAATTACTTATAATGTCTGACGATATAACATTAGAAATTGAAGGTACGTTTATAAAATGTAATAAAAACGACCTAATGTCCAATAGCGATTATTTCAAAGTAATGTTTGAAGGGGATTTCGTAGAGAAAAGCAAAAATACAATTCAATTACAAGTAAGTAAAATTCATAAACTTCACGATACCCCAAACTAATTAATTATGTTACTAGGATGTCGATTTAAAATCTATGAACATCATATTAACGCTAATATGGGACGAAACATATTACATAGAAGATGAAGATGTTTTGATGGTGTTACAAACGGCCTGTATGCTTCAATTCGATAAAATAAGGCGCGTATGCATAGACAAAGTGATCGAAATACTTTCCGTACGTAATTGCCTGAAAATATGGGTAATTGCCGAGCAATTAGATTTAAAAGTGATATCTCTGAAAGCGAAAACGATGGCTTTAGAGGAGTTCCTAATAATCAAAGACACCGATAGTGTACTAGAATTATCGCTGGAACAAGTATGCAATTATCTGGGAAGCGTTCATTTAAAAGCCGATAATGAATTAAGCGTTTTTCAAACGGCTATTAAATGGTGGTACGAGAACGGTGAACATTCCAGTACTCATTTAATTAAACTTCTAAGTTGCATAGACTTTAAGAGTATCATACCCGATCACTTTCGAGAGATACTCACTTACCCTTGTGTAGCTAATACGGATATCGGAAAATTATTGAAATGTTTATCCAATTTAATAAGTAATATTAAACCCGAAACGGATTCGAAAGATATATTAGACAAGGCATTGCTGTTGAAAGCTTCAAAAACCAGGATAAAACCCAGTTCACCTTGTATATTAGTTAAATTGGAAGATAAACATGCAAACAATAGTGAAGACAGTAAGGAAGGTAATATTTGTAACATGCAATGTAATTAATAATAATTTTGTAGTAACAGTTAAAGATAAATACAACAGAAAGAGACATTACGAAGTGATATCACCGAATAACAACGTAGGTTTATACATATTGCATTTAGGTAAGTAATGAGTAAGACAAGACATTAATTTTATGTTAAAATAGTATTATTATTTCAGAGAGCAAGTCGAATAAATTCCTAGAGTTCTTTTCTCTCAAAGAAAAAATCGAAGGCTTCAAACTAATCGGCTACAAGGAGTACATTTTCATGTACGGCGGGGAGTATACATTGGGTAGGGGCGATTGGAACAGGAGCTTCTGGGCTTACAATACCATCAAAGATGCCTGGCAAATGAAATCTAATCTACCGTTCCCTAGGAGGCATTTCGAAGCTTGCATTGTAGGTTCTAAAATTTACACAGTAGGTATGTGGTATTGTTGATAGATTTAATTGATAATATGTTGATCGATTGGTAATCCAGACGGTGGTTGTAGGTGGAACGGGACCGTTTAGAGTGAGTCAAGAAAATCTATTTTGGTACGATTTCAAGGAAGATAAATGGAGCAAAGAAATTTCAATACCGGTGTTCGATAGGCACATAAAATGTTGTACCTTTATGAACAAAGTGTTTTTATTCAGCGTAACGAATTGTTGCGGATACGCCTTCGATCAAACGGAAAATTGGACCATACTACCAGCGAAAATCGATAGACATGCCTTGGACAATCAACAAGGGTTTTCTTTGTTTACTTACAACAATAAAATATATCTAAAAGGTGTGTATTGCAAAGATGATATACTCTAGAGTAGGAATATTATTATTTTTTTTAATTTTTTAGGCAAAAAATTAATAGAATTGCATCTAATACAAGATCGATTGCAAGTTTCGACGATTAGGAAAATCACGAATAAAACTTACTGCAAAATCGAGTCGATTGTTTGCGACAATTTAGTCTTTACATTGTACGGATATTCGGAAAATGCCGGCATTGCCTCGGCAGATTTCACCTCGTCCGTATTTTCTTTGGAAAAATACAACTTAGACTCGGGCGAAATCGAATTCGTCTTTGAAGACACGAATTGCATACAAGTCAACGAGAAACTATATTGCATTAACGAGAAGTTTCAACTGTTCCCTTTCGTTCACTACACTCTAATGCAAGACGACGAACTGGTTAATTGTAACTTGTTATTTTAAATACAAAAAAAATTAAGAAACTGCTTTGTTACTCACCTGCGGTCGCGACCCCAACAACTTCGAAAATACAGTCTGCAACAGGGTCACCCCGATGGGATACCCGAACGAAGTGAGCATATAACCGATAATAAACTGCGATAACTTCAATTGAGGAGTGTACACGCACCACTCCTGATCGCTGGGACATCCTAGCAAGTCTTCTCCGCAGTTAAACGTCGCATTCTTCACGTCCGAACCGGCCTTTAAGCTTCTTCCGAAGGTGGCCAACGTTTGGTTAAGCAGAGTCACGTTTAAGTCCCCCGAATCTGCGTGCAACGTGGCGTCGCAGTAGCGGGACAGGTTCAATTTGAATCCAGAATCGTACATTTTCGGCGGATCGCCGGCTAAAGGTATCATGCTGAAGCGCCCGATCACCATCAGGAAGAATCCCAGCCATATCATCACTTTGGTTTCGGAGAAACGCTTCGATAGGGGGGCTATCGAGGAGAATGTCATGATGGCTACTACCGCTCCTACGGACATTAGAATGCCCATGTACCTGTACACAATTAAAGGTAATTGAAATTGTTGTATAAGGAGTAAAGGAAGTGTTTATTAAGTAAGGATTTGGTATAGTTATGATTGAAGTGAAGGAACAATAGAGAGATCAAATAGGCTACATACCAAAGGGAATCGCTCTTGGACCAAGCGAACTGGTCCATGGTGAGCGGCGTTCCCAAAGTCTCCAGCAACATAAAATTAAAAACCAACACAAAAAACGCCACGATCAGCGTCCAAGCCGACACGTAATTGGTCCTCTCCTCCCTCCACACGTCGCTCATGTTGTCCTTCCCCGCCTTCAGCATGGCCTCCTTCACGGCGATCTTGTGCTCGCGGAACACCGACGGGAAGAACAGGTAGATGTTGACCAGCGTCAACAGCGAGTTGATCCAGCCGGAGGCGGTGTACATGTCGAGCTTCAGCCGGCCGGGGATCAGCCAGACGCCGTCGCCGCCGAGCGGCACCACCGCCGCCTGGATGGCCGGGCCGATCACGAAGCCCAGCACCTGCGCCAGGGATATCATGGAGACGGCCTTCGTCCTCTCCGAGTACTTGGTGGCGGCCGAGAGGTACGACCGGCAGGCGGCCACGTTCGCTGCGAAATCGATGTCGATTAGTTTGTTGGTTTGGGGGTTTTATTCGGGGGTTTACCGGAACTCACGCCGACCAGGAACCTCGACCAGAGCATCCAGTGCTTGCGGTACGACGGGAATGCTTCGAGGGAAGAGTACGTCACGCTGGCGAGGAGGAAGACCGTTAGGGAGAAGATGAGGGGCAATCTGATGGAGCCCAGTCGGTTGCTCCACCAGCCCACCAACGGGGAGAAGATCAATTGGCCTAGAGGATTCGCGGCCACCACGAAGCCCATGAACTCCTTCCCTGCAGTAGGATCCAACTGGAACAGGTCGAAATTGATGTCAAAAATTCACCAAAAGCTTGGAGATTTTCGTATTAGTTGAAAGAAGTCAATCTTACTTTGTCTAAATAGGGCCAAACGCCTGTAACTATTATGCTGAACCCCAATGAAATTAGGAACATTGTAAAATAAATTATGTAAATAGATCGCCATCTTTCCTTATATTCCTCCAACGTTTCGAGATTTTCGTCAAAGTCCGATTTATCATCAGATTTGAAGCGAGCCCGAATTTGCTTCGATTTTTCTTCAATCCACGTCGTCATTCTAAAACTAACAAGAATACAAAAAAAAGATTATTTATTAATGAATAGATTTAATAGAAAATTTATCAATGCAATGAATTACTCATTAGTAGGAAAAATATGTTTCTGTAATAACATTATTTAATATTGAAGTGAGTAAATATTTTCTTTATTTTTGAGGTATGTAGGTAGATGTTAATTATGTTATATTTTATTTTAAAATCGTTTAAATTACATGCAAATTAATTTTTGTTTAATCGAATCTTATCGGTTACAAATATGCGTTATTTAACGAGCGTGATTGGCGGTAATTATCGTGGAAATTGCACGTTTAGTAAAATAAAAACAGGAAATTTGTATTGTCACAAATAAGAAATTGCTCTAAACTTTGTACTGATGTCGTGGATTCGCAAACCAATTTAGGTTAATAAGTATAAAAAAATGTAGTTTTCATGAAGGATTCTTAACATTTCCTATTCTATTACCATTCAATCAATGAACGGTCCCTAATAGAAAATAATAATTGTGAAGAACTAATTTATGCAACGTACCAAACAAAGAAAATTAATTAATGCGGAAATGATTCAATTCGTTAGTGATTAAAATGGTCTTTGAACTTTCTGATAAAACAACACTGAATTTTTTAGTTGTGCTAAAATAATGGAACACAACTTAATTTACGATTAGACAATTAAAAATAAGCGGTATTTTTGAAGCACTTAAACAATCACATTGATGGTACAATTGATGCTTTTTATGTATTATGTTTATGTATGTATTTACTACAACAGTTCATAAAACGCATTAATGTTTGGCGTTTATTCAAAAAATTCGATTTTGGGAAAACTCCAATACCTAAATATAAATCTAAATGCCTGATGATGAAGAATAATTCGTAAAATATTTTTTATTTACGAAAAAATACTCTAGTTCAAAAACAATATTGACCTGCCAGTGACCCCTCTCCAATATCTTACACAATAAATTAATTAATAAAATTTCGAAATTATGTGACACAATTTTTTCGATTTGTAATTTTAGTATTTTATATGTAAAGGTTAAATAAGTTAAAATGTCACAAAATGATATGGAATTTATAATTTATAGCATTTGGATTAAATAATAATTTTATCTTAAAATATTTTTATGAAGCAAGTAAAAAATTCTTGTGTAAGGTATTTTTTATGTTAAACTGGTTTTAAAATTAACACAAAGAAAAAGATAAATAGAATAAAAATTACCAATTCAAATTTACCACAAATATTTTGAACCAAACTGTTCAAAAATGCCAAAAAATACTGTTTTATATTTACATTTATTCCGAATAAAATTAATAATAGTAAAAATGTAAATATAAATATGTGGGTAATAATTTAGTTAATTACCAAGAAAAAAATATTTATACTCAATTAACTAACTTAAATATTTAGCAAATAATTATTTTTAAATTTGACTATTATGCTCTATTAAAATCGTTAATATTTATTACATTGTTGTTTATTTTTATTTTACGATTCTACACAACTGCACTGTTACTTATTAATTAATTAATTACGAATAAATAGCTTTTATTAAACGAATCAATGAATCAATTCGTCCTTGCACCATCGACCATTTACATAACAAAATATTCAAAGTACTCTTACTTTCTTTGTTACTACTCGATCCAATTCTTTCAACTATTTAAGAAACCCTCGAATTTCGAATAAAACCGCAATTTAACAATTTCATCCAAGTCCATATCTGAATTCATTAACAATATCCCAAACTCCAATCACCCAGTCACATTTCCAATAAAACCACGAAAAATCGAGCACCCCTCGACCAAACGTCAATTCGCCAGCAAACTGAAACATAAACTGTCAGAAACATATGAGATTTGTATTTTGTTTTGATTCCCACTCGACAACGAATCCATTAAAGCCGACCTTGGAAGGAGAAGCAGCTGTAAATAAACAGTAAATTTTATTTTCATACATGCTCCACATTCGCTTAGGCAACTCGGTTTACAGTACTGTAGAATGGTGCGAAATTTATTGTAGTATTGTTACAAAGAGTATTGTTACAAACGTCACCTGTCATTTTGCTTGAAATATTCAGTGGATGAAGTACAAACTGGATCCAAGATGCACAGAGAAAAATTGTTTATTGCTTATGTCCAGCAGTGGACGAGACAAGCTGCTATATGATGATGCAGTACTAGATGAAGTTAGCAATCTTTCATAAAAGTATTGGTTTAAATTATTTGATTGAGTAGATTAATTAATGGTAGATATTATTAGTTGGCCCACTCTTCTATTTCTAATACTGCACTAATACTACTCTAATCTTGCTCTAGACTTCTCTGGTGCAAGAGATATCAAACACCATCTTTAGAAGAAAATAAATGCACCGAGCATTATTTGGAACAATACACACAAACATAAAACAACAAATCAAACCGCCCGAAAGTAATAAGAATCATATAATCAAACAACAAACAATCTGGACATCAAAAAACGGGCCTGGACCCGTGATAGGAGGGCTTCCTGAGGCTGCCGTCGCGCTTGTTCAGCCGGAAGGCCTCCTGCCGCTTGAGCGTGTTGGGCACGAAGGCGGTGACGAAGGCGCCCATGGCCAGCAGCACGGCCAGCGAGGCCAGCGCCCTCAGCGGCCCCACCCACAGGTTGACGTACCCCATGGCGACGGTGACGACGGCGCTGAGTATTTGCGTGCAGGCGAAGAGCACCCCGCCGGAGGTGCTCTCCTCCAACGGGAACGTCAGCTCCATGCTGAATTCGAAGCCCACCAGGATGTAGGCGCTGGTGAATAACCTGCGGAAGGTACCGTTGAAGATGTAAATCGGTGTGATTGAATGTAACTTACCCCAGTAGCACGCAGGAGATGTAGGTGAATAGTTTGACTCTGTATTTCAAGGAAAAGATGAACGCCACCACGCTTAGAACGCTCAGTACATAATTTATCAGCGAAGTCTCCCTATAAAGTATGAAATTAAACCACACTACAGTTTTATGCAAATGGAACTGACTTGTATTTGTGGGTTTTATCCAGCACGATTCCGATTAAGAGAGTTCCGCAAACTCCCGACATGACGAGCAGGAAACCCATCAATCCGACCTCTTCGTAGGCACCCTGGAATAAAACTCAACGTCAGAATATTTCCCTGTATACATCGATGCAAAGCTCGCCTCGTAAAAAGTCAATATGATCCGGTTCTGTAGAGTGCCTATGGCGGAAAACACCGCCATATTGACGGAATATGCCAGCATGTTCACCACGAAAGCTTTGTTCAAAAACAAATCCCTCATGGATAAGAAAAAGACCTTCGTATCGAACTTCGGTTTGGTCTCCCTAAGCTCGGCTTGCACCAAGGTGGGCGGCAGGGGAGGCTCGTTAGGAAAATCTGAAAATAAGCATAAATACAACAACAAAAATGTTAGAACAATAGAGATACTTACAAGCGTACGCAGCAATTGTAACAGGCACCATCGCGATGGTCAATGCCCAGTTAATCACCCTCAAATTCTCGCCGATATCCTCCGGATCGGGGTGATCGTGCACCACGAGGGGCAGCAGGATGTACCCGATAGCCGTGCCCATTTGGGTGCCGAACATGCCCAGCGAGCAAGCCGTCGAAACCTTCAAACAACATCTAATTAGAGCTTGAATCGCTCCGACTATTCGAATGTTACCTCCGAAGACTTGAACCACAAGGACGCCAATTTCGGCGGCAGGCTGCTTATCATCACGCAGGCCGAGGAGACGATGGCGTTGCCGGCCAAGGCCACCCAAAATCGGTCGTTGCGAATCGAAAATATCTTGATGGCCGTGCCGAGCAGCGTCCCGGTGCATCCTGTCAACACGGCGAACCGAATTCCCTGTGAAGAAGCGCGATGACGTCACGATTAGTTACCGGTGAACATATCGTGTGCCATTTTTTTTTGACAGTCGTGACGTCATCGCTTCGTTAGTTTGGATGTATCATATGCGAGAACTAGGTGACGTTCTACAGAAGTGAATGTATACAGAGTGTTTTTATTTTTTTTAGTTTAATGGTATATTTTGTTAAGTATACAATTGATAATAAAATGATATTGGTCTACCTATTGTTTGGTGTGTAAATATGCTGATGTTAAAAGAAAGATTGATAAGAGCAATTAAAGTTGATTGTTGTTTAACTTTTGGTTGGAATTTCGCAATTTTCGGCTTAAAAATTTTTGTAATAAATTCATATATCTTCAATTTGTGGGTAAATTTAATGTTATCTGGCGGTTTTTGTGTGCCTACCTAATTCGCTTATCGTTAAACAAAACGGGTCATACAGGGTGTTTTTTTACAAATAAAGTTTAAATTCTTTCTATTTCTACAATAAATAAAATGTATCGATGATATTCTAAATAGAAAGTGTTAATAAAAATAATAAAAAGCTTTCAATAAATACATATGTACACAATAAAGTAAATTTTAGGTAAAATTTCAAACGTAAAACTAACTTTTCTCTAAAAATATGGAACACGTAATTGTAAAATAAACTCAATAATTCGCTTCTAAGTGACCCAGCAATGATGTAATTGTATACATATGTGTGTAGATAAATTTTAGATGCAATTCCAAACGTAAAACTGACCTTTTTGTCGATGATATAGGATGCAGGAACGACCAAAATGGGATAAACAACCATAAAAACGGTCGATGTCCAATCGACAGCCAGCGGACTCACATTATAATACTTAACGATAATCGGCGTGATACTACAATATTGTATCCATTGTAGCGCGTTAACGCCCGCATAATAAGAAAATACTGATATTATCCACCATCTTCTTTTGTACGCTTTAATTCGTAATTTATCGTTAGGTTTATTCAATAATTGTCCCTCCGCTTCCATGTTAAACTTCGCTCTCTTTTATGCCGTACTCTTGTAAAATGTTATAATATTTTCGAGCGATGATGATAGTTGTAATATTTTTCAATAGTGCAATATAACGCTCATTATCCGATGGGATTTACTTGTTTACACGCCATGAAAATATAAAGTACTTTCTGAATTAGGTAGATAAAATTTAAATTGGGGATTTGACCCGTTGTATTAACGGGCAACAACATGTAGGTAGCGCTGTACCGTCAGGTGTCTACTTGTTACTAATTAATTGTACTTATATGTGTTGTTACAGATGGCGGTGCTTGTTCAATTTGTACTGTTAAGTACCGCAATGCCATGTACTGTCATTTTTTATTAACTTTAGGATTATGAAACTCGAAGTGCTTGTTATTATATTTCTTTTCCTTTATCAAAACTCTTCTAAAACCCAAAAATGATTTAAGCGAGAATTGAAGAACTTCAAAGTTCTTTCAATATCTCGTCAATTTTCATTCGGAAATCTTTGAATTCTCAAGAACATTAAACTTTGAGTCTTCTATGAATGTTTCAACTTTAATAGTTTCTCAATTATTTCTATACAGATAACTGCAAAGTTATACGCAATATGGGTTTATGGATGTAACAAAGACAACTTCCATTAGTTCATATAAAGGAAAAAGAAAGTGTAATGTTGTGTGATTGTAACTTTCTCACTCTAACAACTGTTATTTTAATATCTTTCTTTCAAATAAACAAGTTATCAAAATACTATTCATAATCTTTGATAATTCAGTTTTATTAATAAAACAGTTAAAAAGTGCATATTATATTATTTATAAATAACAAAATAAGCATAATTGCAGGTGATTCTACAAATAAATATAATTAGCTGGCTCAAAACAAATTACAAGACGGGTAATAAACGAAAACAGTACTAAATATACCTTGATATCAAGTCATAAAAGTATCTACATAATGCAAGCACACATTATGGAGTACTATACTATAACTTATATAAAATCTGGATGTATCCAGATTCGACCGGAATCGACTTTTTCGGTGAATGAATTACTATACATAATAATACTGCTGGAGGTTGTTTCAATATTTTTCAAAATCAAATCACTAGATTAGATAGGAAGCGCACACAGTGCTTAAAAGAGCATATAACTTACTAAAAAAATCAATAACGAAATAAGTAAAGAAAACAAATTGAAAGAATCAACAATATATTAAGAATATGAAAGAAATGTTTCCACTAAATGTAAAAAAATTACCTTACATTTGAATTAGTTGATGGCTTTTACTGTAAGTGATAATAAAATTAATCATATATATACCAATAATTTTTTTGTTTTATTTTATATAAATTTCGTTTTCTTGTACATTTTTTTACCTCACTTTCTCCCACTCGTCAACCGAAACATCAACTGACCACATAGGATTTATTAAAGAATTTTAAAGAAATTTAGGGTTAAGTGGAAATGATTCTACAAAAATTCCTTAGAAAAGTTTGATGCGGAATATTTTAAATGATCTATTTTTCAATATTTAATTAACATATCAATCCATTATTTTTTAAAGGCTGTTATAAAATGTATAATCTACACATGTATAATAAAAATTTGTTCAAAAGGTTCTTTTTTTAATTTACGTAAGCAATAATTTATGTAGAATAAGATTTTATGAACATAATTGCTATTGTATTATTATTAATACATGCAATATATATTTTATATTATATTAAATAAATTTAATATATTGAAACAATGATTCTGGGAATATTTTTAGTTTATACGTAAAAGGACGATTTTTGTTAATCGTTGGTTAAAATTAACAAATTAAATATTCTCAATATAATCCCCCTTATCTCAAGTACGTACACGGCATTTCCATTTGAAAATATTTGCAAAATCCTCCCAACAATGAGTTCAAACAAACTTCCATGACATGTTGATTTGTTTGCCATTTAATAAAAATATTACATTTTTTTCGTGATATATGATATTTAAATAATTTATTAAAAAAAGGAAAACGAGACAATGTATATCTACCTCACATTATAAACGTGTGTGCCTTAATCGTAAAAATAAACAATTCCTCGTGGAGTATAAAACGCAGGGCGCTCCGTCCTATCCGACATAACCCTGTTACTATGTTCTTTGGTGCACTAGTGCTACAAAACATCAGAGTGTTCGCCATCGTATTCTCAAACGGCAATGGAAAAAAGAGAAGAGTATAACGGGAGTTTGCTCGAGGGCGGCTACAAGATCAAAACCTACAAAAGGCGATGGATTATCCTCATCCTTTACATGATATACAACGCTGTAGGTTCCTTCCAATGGATAGCCTACTCCAGCATCACCAATTTGGTCGTCAAGTACTATGGTGTCAGCAGCATGGTGGTGGATTGGACCTCCATAGCATACAACGCCATCTACCCTCTCTTCGTCGTACCTGCTTCATACATCATCGATAAAGAGGTATAATATATCAACCGTCTGTAACTTCATTGTATCAATCGAAATACCATTTGGTACTAAATTTGTTATAAAACCCCCTAAACTTGTTAGGAACTATTAACTAGTGATACCTCAGATTTAACAATCTTTTGTATCTTCTTTATGTTACTCTAAATACCATAGTCAATTCCATCTGGATATACTATATTTGATCCAGAGCTTCTTAAACTGAACAGAAATCAACATCCAGTGGTACCTCATAGATAATATAGGTTCCTCAATCTTCTATGCCTTCTTTATATCATTATAAACAGCAGAATCAATTCCATCAACTGGTGGTAGCTTACATATAAAATATGGCTTTAATGGAGCCCATTTTCTCAGGGTCTAAGAACAGCAGGAGTGTACGGCTGCATCCTCACCTGCGCCGGTACGACGCTAAAGTTGTTCTCGTTTCACCCCGACCGGTTCTACATCGTGGGCATCGGGCAGGTGGTTCTGGCGATAGCCAACGTGCTGGTGGCGTGCCTGCCGTCGAAATTGGCGGCCGTTTGGTTCGGTCCCGACGAAGTGAGTCTATATTTAAAGAGGCGACTTTAATGGAGTCTTAGTTGTTTTGTGTGTCCGTTTCAGATAACCATAGCGTGCTCTCTGGGAGTGTTCGGCTCCCAGATAGGGGTGGCGCTCGGCTATATCGTGCCGCCTTTGGTGGTTAACAATCATGACAGTGCGGAGACCATAGGTATCGGTTTCCATAATTTGACTTGGATGCTGACTCTTATTATAGTGCCCGTGACGATTTGTATTCTATTTTGTAAGTAGTACCTGCGTAATTGGAACTGTTGGTAGTTATTACAGGTGTTGTTTTAGATTTTCCTAGTCAACCACAAATGCCTCCGAGCATCACGCAAGCCAAAATACGAGATTCCAAGGACGACTTCACCAACGAAGCCTTCTTCTCCTCTTTGAAGGATTTGTGCACCAACAAGGCTTTTCTCGTTTTGATGGTGGCTTATGGCATCAACATTGGAGTTTATTCCGCCGTGTCCACTCTACTCAATCAAATCATCCTCCAGTATTACGAGGTAAACTATTTTATTTAATACAACGACGTAAACATAATTTGATAATTTCTGTATATTTAGGATGTAGATTCAGATGTTGGTATCATGGGTTGTATAATGGTCATAAGCGGTTTGTGTGGCGCTATCCTATTTAGTATAATCCTTGACAAAACCCATAAATTCAGAATAATCACCGTCGTTATTTATTTGTGCTCCATAGCCAGCATAGTTTCTTTCATGTTCGCCCTCGAATCCAGGATCAAACTACTGACTTATGTCACTTGCGCTCTAGTAGGGTAAGTGCAATATCACCCCTAATTATATTTATTATACTTACCTATACTTGATATATTTGTAGTTTCTTCACTACTGCTTTTATGCCCGTGGGCTTTGAATACGCCATGGAATTGACCTATCCAGCAGAGGAAAGTACCACTTCAGGTCTGCTCATGGCGATGACTCAAATAATGGGCGTCGTGTTTACCATTTCATTGGGCTTTCTCAATTTGGAATTGGGAAGTTTTTGGGCCCTATCTAGTCAAGCTGGTCTGCTCATCATAGGAGCTCTGGTCAATTTCTTCGTGCCGAACAACATGCTATTGCGACAAGAGGCCCTGCGCATGATGAACAGTCATACGCTCGAGCACCACAGGTCCTCCAGATTGGTGTATATACAGTGATTTATTGTGTAATGTAAGGATTGTGTTATAGCAATGCTTTGTTTTAGTTTAAAATATATGTATAACTATATTGTTGTCATGATTTTTTTCCTTCCCAACGATTTCCGTTGTTTTTGTTTGTAGAAATAAACAAGATATGTTTGCTTGAAAAAAAGGGTTAAAGAAGACAGTGAAACGATTCGTATAACGGAAAATATTTATTTAAAAACAACCATTCAAAACAGTATAGGTAAACATTAGCTCTCACTGTCCGTTTTATTTAAATTAGGCTCAGACTCTGATCTCTTTATAGTCTCTTCCGGGCAACATTCTATAGGTGCCCCTTTGTCCGATAATTCGCTTTTTATGTCCGGATAACTTCTAGTTACCTCCTCGTTGGCCTCTATCTTTATGTCGTCTCCTTCGATTTTCAGCAACTCATCGTTGAGGGTGGCATTTTGAAGGTCGACATTGCTATTGGCGAAAATTGCAGCGGATCCTACAATTATTGCCACTGTTATTACCACTGAAATTATTGCAGTTTAGGAACCAAATTCACCTAAATCTACAGGTATAGGTAACGGCGGTTCTATTTTCCCGTTGTCCCGTTTCTCCACGACGATATTTTGAAACACCACTATAGGCTTACTGGTAGGTTGATCCACTATAGGATGCAGGGGACTTGTGCCAGAATCCGTCCTCGATCTGGTCAACAAAGGACTATTGCATCTAAAAATCATAATAGGTAAAATTGTAGACCTTCGAACATGTTTAACTTCCACATTATCTTAAGTTATGTAAACAATTTACACTTCTAGCATTGATCAAAAACAATGAGATTACTAGATGAATAACAATGTAGACATCTTTCTCCTTTTTTTGTGTGTAGAGAAGGTTATCTATAACGTAAAGAAGGTCAGTAAGTTCCACAGGATTTAAGTCCTGTTTAACAATATTGTATTGTAATTGAACGGTACAAATTCAAATATGGATGTATGAGAATCAAACATTAAGATCCCCAATTAGAGATGACTATCAGTTAGCATCACCGGCATCAAGTCCTGAAAGGAGCTGTTTAACAACTGTTAATCAAACATTAATATAGAAAAGTAGAGATCGTCAGTAAGTCCCACAGGCATAACAATCAGCAAAGTGCTATCAAGTCCTGAAAAGAACCGTGTAACAATATTGTATTGTAATTTGGATATACGGAAATTATACATTAACATCCACAAGTAATCAATACCTATTATAAGTGGGCGAATTTAACGAAGACGCCTTCTCGAGCCTATGTTGCGCTATCAAATAGCAGGCCCTCGCCAATATGACCAGGCTGTTGAAGATCTTCAGGGACGTAAGGAACGTGAAAATCAGTATTAGAATGATAATGGAGCCGATGTTTTCGATTTTAACGCAATGCACGAGCACCCTTATAGTAACGACGCCCAACGGTAGCGGTATGAATCCCATTCTTCTCGCCAACAGATCGCAATGATCGGAAAAGGCGTGCTTCTGTCTGGTTTGCGCCACGTCGTAGGCCAGACTCGTCGTGTAATCTCTGTACACGTCGAGATTCAACTCGTTGAATCTGGTTATGAAGGCGTGCTTGATCCAATCCACCAGCATTTCGGCTAATAATATGCACAAGCAATCCGGCAGCATGACCCAGAAACGCTCGGACTTCCAACTATACTCTCGCATCGTCTGTAATATGACGATGAATAGGAGAGTGCACAAGTGGAAGCGTTCTCTGACGTCGCTGCAGGACACTTGGAAGAGGTTGTTGTTGTTGAATTTTTTGAATACGCTGCCTTTGAGTTCCACAAACTGCAACCAATTACAGGAACTTACTAAAACGTTGATGCCACTAACGTGGCACAACTTACATTGTTAGACATCATTATGGTTAGTAGAGCTTTGTTTCTCGAATTAATAGCCACGTTTATTGTCGTAGCTTGAAATAGTACCAATAACCCGTGAAGGACTAGGAATTAGTTAAGGAAAAATATTGCATTGAACAATATAGAATCTAAGACAATACTTATTAAAAAAAGGATACCGACGTAAATAATAGCAAACAGCAAATGCGGTATTGTGCCTAGGTGTTCTCTTTTTCTTCCTCTGGGCTCAGTTGCTGTCCAAAATAAAGAATCTATAGCGTCTTGTCCGAAAGAAGAAAATAATCTATCGCCAATTTCAAGCATATTGAAAAACATGTACAGTTTTATAACCGACTGGCTCTTGATTAGATGATACAACATGTTTATATCTAAATACATCATAATAATGCTGCACACAAGGAGTATTAGTCCTTTGAGTAAATCACAGATTTCAGCAGGTGTTAATATACAATTAGGAGGCCTTTTACCAAATCTGAAATTACAATACATTAACTACAACATTACTAATAATGTGAAGTAAACATACCCGAAACATTTACAAAGCGGTCTAGTGATCAAAGCCCATAAAGCTAACAATACTCTCATAGGTAAAAAAGTGTAGACAAACAAGAAGGCGTCGGCGCATTGCATAAATCCGTATAGCATGAATCTCTCTACTTCCTTCGGAATCTTCATAAAGGAATATATTTTTTCTCTTCTGATCGAAAATCTATCTTCCGAGTTGTCCAATTCGTATCCACGTGTCAGTTCTTGATTTAAGAAGGACCAAAGGCTGGGCATTTTTTCTGCAAACAAATGATATTGTGAACGAAGCACCACCACACGTATGGTTCGAAAATTCGTTCGATATTAGAATTTGTTACATCAACAATGAGAATAAGATTAATCATGTCAGATATTTAATAATTTAATAACGACGATGGAAATATAATAGAATTATTTTGAAATGAGTAATTAACAATGCAAGGAATTCGTATTGTTTCGACTAACTTTTACAGCTGGTATCCTTCTCCCTGTCGGGTTTCTCATATTTGCCTAGGTCTTCCACTTTGCTCTCGGAATGAAATAATACTTTCGAAGCGGACAGAAACCGCAGCTTTTTCTCACTTTGCATTTTATTTTTGAAATAGTATAAAAATATTTATATTTTGGTTAACCTCTAGTTGTTATCATTATGTCAAAGTCTAGAAATTATTTAATAGTGTTGGGCATTGTTGCCAAGTTCTTGTTTAGTTTTGTGTGGTCTTTGATGGTTTAGTTATTCGTAATCAATATTTTACTGAAAATAAATTGAAGTATTTTGCATTATAGTATTTATTAATCGAATTTATAGTAGTACAAATTACAAATCGTTTTTATAAATAACTTTGATTACATTTTTTAAATTAAAAAAGAAAGAAGAAAGAAATCAAGCATGAAGAATTGACAGTTTCAGTTATTTGTCAATTGTCAATTAAGACATGTGACATTACATTTTTTATATTCGTTTTATTTTTTATAAATTTTAATAAATCAAATAGTTTATATACATTTTACATTAATTCAGCATGTTAAAATAGATAATGGACTCGTCGAATTTACAAATAAAAATAAAGGCCCCGAATTTAGAAGGAGAAGCGACCGATGAAGCTAATAACCTCCTAAGAAATGGCATTCTCGTAGAAACGAGCAAAGGGTAAATATATAAACGCCAGCTAAATGACGTGTTTATATTCCATTCATTCATCTAAACGAATATTTATTTTTAGCTTAATTTGTATGTCCTTAAACGATGCACTATCGTTGGATCTGAACCTCTCCGTGGACGATTTACGTAACGTCGCCGCTCAGTTGATATCGCAACAGAATGTGATTACTCATACACATTCGACGAAAACGCCGCATATCAATTTGAATTTCGATAGCGATGGATTCTCCAGCGAATGCAGCGATATCAGTACCACGACGTCGGGCTCCACTGTACATTCGAGCTTCAAACCGTTCCCGCCGGCTTTGAGCGAAGTGCATGCAATTCACGCGAACATGTTCAAAATCGATAATCAAAACGCCACTAACAGTAAGGAATGCGTCAAAGTAATGCTAGACGAAAAGCCGACCGATAGCAAAATCGAAGTTAATCAAGTTGCCGAGCTCGTAACTGTTATAGAAAAACCGAAGAAGGGCAGAGGGGGCTGGCCGAAAGGTAGGAAACGGAAGCCGGAACTTCTCAACCTACCGCCCAAAGCTCCCGCTACCGGCTATACTTTATATCTAAACGAACAAAGAAAATTGTTCAAAGACAGCTCTTTGGCTTTCCACGAAATCACCAAAATCATTGGCAACAAATGGTCGAGTTTAACGCTTGAAGAAAAGAAACCTTACTTAGAGAAAGCCGAGGAAGACAAAAAGCGGTACAGAGAGGAGTTAAAGCAGTACAGACAATCAGATGCTTATAGGGCTTACCTAACAAAAAAACGAAAGAAACGCTTGCAATATAATGTTATGTCCGAAAGCGATATGGATGCAACCGATGATTTCGACGTAACTTCCTAACCCTTTATCACATACAATCAATACTAATCTTACGTTTTCAGGAGGAAGATAACGAAGAGTTGTACTGCAGGACATGCGATCAATGGTTTCACAATTTGCACAACAAGCGAGAGCATTTACAAGGCAAGCAACACCTGCAATCGGTTGCCGGGGATATTACTCGAGAATTGAGTTCCGATCCGGAGGGCTTGAACATCGCTAGTACCGCTTCTTTCAGTACTTCTTTGGACGAATCCAGCCTGGACGGTATGCCCAATACGAGAATATCCAACACAACAAATACGATAAGCGAAGCTATGAGCAGTTTAGCTTCGATGGTAGCGAGTAAGTAACTTAACAATACTAAAATTTTCTCGATATTTACGATGTTGTGGGTTTTGCAGAAAGAGAGAGCGAGATAAAGACGTTGAAAAACAGACAGAACGAATCGATATCGCAACAGCAGGCCTTGTGCAATCAGCTGCATCAGCTTAGCGAAAGGCATAAAAAACTCCAGAAGGATTTGCTGCTGCTCAAAGAGAAGGAAAAGGACGTCGAAGGTAAGGTTTTCCATCTTTGGCAAGTGCCCAGCTGGTTCATAATAACGGATTTGAGCAGCACCGATTGTAACGAAAGTACCGAATGAAGTGCAACCGGCTTGTTAAAATGTAGACGCGGCGCGCGTTAATTGTTGGCGAGAAAAACACGAGGTGGTGCTGATGAGGTTGTTAAAATAAAAATTATCGAGACGAGACTATCGATAATGAAATTTGTCCTCGCTTAAATAACTTAGAAGTTATTCCATATTGTAGGCGATAAATTTCGAGGGCTAATTTTATTATTGAAAACTTAACCAATATATCAAATAATATTTGATCTAATGATCTAAACTTATTGAATAGTTTTATTATACAGGTTGATTCATTTTAGTTTGCAATATAGGTTATGTAGGCTATGCTATGGGTGCGATAAAGAGAACTTCCAGACACTTATAAAGGAAAAAGAAAGAGATATTGTGTCAACTTTTCACTCTGACAACTCTCTTTGTTCAACTCGTAGAAATAAATGACCATATTGCAAACTGAAATGAACCAAGGTGTATAATTTCAAGTGGCTAAACATTTTTATTTGCTTATAAAATAGTCTCAGTACGATTCGAGAGGTATCTAATTTTCGAAATTCGAATTTCACATTCAGGGAATTAGATGCCGGTTGAAATCGAAGTTATTTTTCGTTAAGACTATGCAGGTACATTTGTTAAAAATGAGTCTGAATAAATTATTTAATCTTTTGAACTTTATGATTACAAAACATGCTTATTTGTATTTAACCTTGAAACAATTTAACATGAAAATTCCTCTGGGTTTGAGACGATGAATTTTCTATCAGTTTCTCTTGTAGAGAATAGCAGAGAGGTGTTCCAAATTGGTGACATCGTTTGTAGTTATATCGAGGAGTTTTTACAAGCTCCTGCTAAATTACAATTTATTTTGTAGCGGTTATTTGACACAATCGAAGCAACTGATTAATGTATAGCGAATTTACATTTACAATGAAATAATGTTACAGCCCAACAGGCCTCTTCCCATCCATTTCCTCGGCACCAATTGCACCACAAACGTTCTACTGCCCCTTTTCAATCGAACGTTGAGTTGATTGCCTTCGGAATGCTGCACTACCGTGGCTATGTCGGTGATGTTTTTGAAATTGGTGGAGTTTACTGAACCGAATTCCACCAGCTCGTCGTTCGCTTCGAAACCGGCGTAATAAGCCGGCGAATTGTCGCTGACGAACGTGATTTTAGCAAAAGGAGCGGTGTATGTGATAGTTTCCGCTTGGGCAGTGTCCATTGGGGTGGGTCGTTCGCAGGCCGGTTCTAACGATGTTGTTCCGTAGTAGCCTTGCAAACCGTTCTCAATGTCTTTCATTATTTTTTTGTGGTCGTTTTGGAGGCATATGATACGGTGGCGAGCGTGTCTCACTTGATAGACGTCGATTTTATTGCTTGGAAAACCTTCGGAATCGACTAACGGGTCTTTCATTCCTACGCCGTTTTGGGCCAGAATGGTGTTTAATTCTTTGATTTGATTTTCGATTTTTTCCTTTTGACCCATCAATTCGAGAACGGTGTTTCTAACGTCCTCGCGATTCATTGTCTTCGGTATTGTCGATTTTTCTAAAATATGCAATTGTAGTTAATCGATTGTGGAATAATACTGCATTTAATTCGGGAATGTAGTTTTAATATTTGATATCTAGAAAGGTTTGTTTACGAGTGTTGTTTATTGGAATTTAATTATAACAATAAAATATGTGAAAAACGTAAGTAGAACAATTTGTGAAAGTAAATACAACAGTCGTTACAGAAATACCTTCATTACAAATAATTTGGAAAAATACTTACACAAGAAGAATATTAACGCAATAACACATATAAATCAATCGAAAATTAATAATTAACGTGGAAAATTATAAAATGACTTGTTTAAATTTCATCAAAACACTTCAACGTCAAAATTATCAAACCCCATATTTGTTTTCTTCTCTCCGTGAAATTAATCTTATCGTACTAACTAAGCTATTCAGCAAATGAATATTTTTGCCGAATAACTCCATAAGTGAAGGAAACAGATTGAAGAGTTTTGAGACTTTTGACATAAGACATAAGTCAAAACAGCATGTTTCAAAGAGGTTATGTTATTTATTTTGCGAACATTTTTATAATTTAAGCTATTTTCAATTAAATAACAAAAATGTCAGACGAAGAAGAAACTAAACCGTGTAATTTCCACGAAATGGAACTAGACGATCGCATATTGAAGGCCATAGCGAAACTGGGCTGGCAGAATCCCACAGCTATACAGGAAAAATGCATTCCGCTGCTGTTAGAAGGTAAAGATGTGCTGGTGAGAGCCCGAACAGGATCCGGTAAAACCGCCGCCTTTTTAATACCTGTTATACAGAAACTTTTAAACATCAAACAAACGGCCGCCGAGCAAGAGATAAAAGCCTTGATATTGGCCCCGAGTAAAGAATTATGCCGACAGATCTGCGGCGTGATCAAAGATTTAACGATAAAGTGCTCCAGGGAAATAAGACATGTAGATATCTCGCAGCAAGTCGATCTAAACGTGCAGAAACCCCTTTTAGTCGAGAAACCTGACATAGTAGTGGGCACTCCGGGTCGAGCTTTACAGCATTTAAACGCAGGAAACTTAACACTAAAGAAATCCCTAGATTTACTAGTCATCGACGAGGCTGACTTGGTATTCTCTTTCGGCTACGAAGAAGAAATGAAGAAAGTAATCGAGCACCTCCCGAAAATCTACCAAGCTATACTAGCCTCGGCTACGCTTAGCGAAGACGTGAAGAATCTAAAGAGCTTGGTGCTTCACAATCCCGTTATACTCAAGCTAGAAGAACCCGAATTAGCACCCGCATCTCAATTAACCCACTACCATTTAAACGCAGAGGAGATGGACAAAGCAGCCATACTTTATGCGCTATTAAAACTACATTTAATAAGAGGAAAAACTATAATATTCGTCAATTCGGTAGACAAGTGCTATAAAATCAAACTGTATTTAGAACAGTTTGCTATCAGGACTTGCGTGCTTAATTCCGAATTACCCGCCACGATTAGATGTCATGCGGTTAACCAGTTCAATCAAGGTAACAAAAAATTCCTATTGTATCATCCAAAATGATAACACGCTTATTAATTCGCAGGTATCTACGATATAATAGTAGCCTCTGATGAAAAATCGCTAGAAGAACCATCGGCGGGCGGTAGCCGAGAAAACCCGAAGAAAAGCAAACGAAGAAAAGACAAAGAAAGCGGTGTATCGAGGGGAATCGACTTCCAATTCGTCGCTAATATAATCAACTTCGATTTCCCGCTCGATGTCCAATCGTACATCCACCGAGCCGGTCGAACGGCCAGAGGCAACAACCAAGGCAGCGTTTTATCTTTCGTGAGCATGAAGGAGGCGCCTTTGAAAGAAAAAGTGGAAGAGGAGCTGCGGCAAGGCGAGCACGACCTGGCGGTGTTCAAGACCTACCAGTTCAAACTGGAAGAGGTGGAATCGTTCCGGTACAGGGCCAAAGACGCCTGGCGGGCCGTCACGAAAATCGCCGTGCGCGAGGCCAGATTGAAGGAGATCAAGCAGGAGATCATGAACTGCCAGAAACTGAAGAGCTACTTCGAGGACAATCCCAGGGACCTGGAGGTGCTGAGGCACGACAAGGCCCTGCACACGGTGAGAATCCAGCAACATTTAGCCGACGTGCCCGAGTACATAGTCCCTCCTACATTGAAGAGCCTCGCGAACGTGGGCAAGAGCAAAAAACGCAAGAGGGAATACCAGAATAGCGACAGCTCTAATTCGAAATATCAGATGAAGAAGAGCAATCCTCTGTTGAGCATGCAATTCGAAGGGTTCAGCAAGAAGAAAAAGAAGTAATGTAAATCGTTTTATTCAAATAAAATCGTTTAATTGTTATTCTCATGTTTATTAATTCCTATATTGAGCAGTCTGAAGACAATACGATTATTCCTCCAGGATCCTATAAGTGTCTGTGTAACCTATTGGAATGTCTGGTGGCTACAGGGCTCTGTAACATAAGCCTAGATTCAACCTAATTCTAGCTACTTTATAGTGTAATCTAATACTCTCTTCGAATATCCACGACATGAGCTCAATGTGGACATTCTAGCAGGTCTAATGAATACCTACTGTTAATAACATGGCGCCGTTAACGTTCCGTTTGAACTCCTCCTGGCGCTTTCTGATGTTGGGCACGAATTGAGTGAGCAATGCGCCGATCAAGAGCAGCGCGGCCAGCAAAACGAGGCTCCACAGCGCTCCGAATCGCAGGTTGAAAGGCCCCAAAGCCCAGCATACGAAGCACCCGATGCCCTGGGACGCGGCGGTGAGAATGCCGGTGGCCATGATCTCGTCCGCCGGGTAGGACAGTTCCACGCCCAGTTCGATGCCCGTCGCCCAATAGGCGTTCAGGAAGAACCTAACGAACTGGATTTTAGTGCCCCAAACGGGCGAATAATCGTCCTAAAGGCGGCCTTACCCGATCAGCATGCAAGCCATGTACGTCCAAGTCATGTTACCTAACCAAAGAGATCCGACCATGGCGAGCACGCTCACTACGGACATATAACAAACGATTAGATTGGTTTCCCTGCAAACGGTTAAAAACAAGTTTATGAACATTTCAAAGCTCGATACGTTTTACTTGTATTTGTGCGTTTTGTCCAGTATCGCTCCTGATATTATGGTGCCTACCATTCCGACGCCCACCGAGAATAAACCCATTCGTCCTGCGTCCTCTTGCCCGTCCTGTAAATACCAAAAAATTAAGCGTACCATCACCGAACAAGAAGAGGTATAACTGTACTTTGAAGTGCTGCAGGACGAATTGATTCAAGAACGTTGTAAAGGCTGCGTAGCTTCCGATATTCGTTCCGTAAGCCAGAGATTGCAAGGCGAAACCGGGTTCCTTCATTATTTCGATAAAACGTATACAAAATTCGCGAAATGTCGGTCGTTTCTGGTTCTTGTTTTCCGTTTGTACCACGCTCGGCGGCAACGGAGGCCGATGAGGAAAATCTACCAACAAACAAGCGAGCTTGTAATCCTTCTTCAGAAGAACTCCTCGAGGAAAGGGATGCAATTAACTCACAGAATACTATAGCAGTAGCTACGGGTACCATATAAATTGCTAGCATCCAGCTCAGTTTCCGAAAATCGGCCGCAATCGACTTCATATCATCGATATCTCTAATCGTCATCGACGGTACCAGAAATCCCAAACCGAAGCCTAATTGCGTACCGAAAACGCCTAAAGAATTCGCCAACGATGCCTAAAACAATCAACAACTTAGATGGGAATTATTAATCAATAACTAGCTCATGATACCTCGCTAGGTTTGAACCATACAGCCGCTATTTTGGGCGGCAAGCACAGGATAAAAACCTGCGCGGTCGAGCCTAAGGCTTGTCCCAGCAATATCACGTAAAACAGATCTCTATCGATGGAGAATACTTTTATAACTGCAGCCAGAGCCGTCACGATTCCACCTATCAGAGCGGTGACTCTCAAACCCTGGAAATTGATAATTACAATAATTGATAATTAGGTAGTTCCTTAATAATACGTGCAGGAATTAATAAAGAAATTTCATCTATCTGTTATCTTATCGCTTATTTAGTTCAAATGATGCTGCTTATTGTTCTCAAGTAGATTTATAACAATTGCTTTATTGCACGAACATAAAGTACTGATTTCGTAGACCTTTTTATAAGCCTTTTTCTAGTGATTCTAGTGATTTTTCCATAGCATATTTTGCCTTAAAGGTCTGAAACATGCACTAGTTGATCTTGTTTTAGTTATACCAGCTCTTTAGACCAGCTTAGGTTAGAATTGCAGAATTTCTAAAGACTCCCTTAGAGACTGCTGGTATCTACTTTCATCATTATCTCTTCTGATGTTCTCCTCAAAGTCTTTTGCTAAGGATTCGATATCTTTCCGAGGGATTTATGAATCTCCCTCTTCTACCTTTGGAGTTCTTATCCATATCATCGATTCTTCTGGTTATGTTCTAGCAATATGAATACAAATGTATTTACCTGAATTTCAATTACGTAAGACACGGGTACGACAATAACTGGGTAAATGCACAAATAAATAATAGCCGTCCAATCCACGGCCAAAGAACTGACGTTGTAATATTTCACCACCATGTTGGTGACAATGCTGTACTCCACCCATTGAAACGAATTGCCCAATGCGTAGAGAATAAAAATGGTGAGGATTATCCATCTTCTTTTGTAGACTTTGGTGTTGGCGGTGAGTTGCTTATTATCGAGCAGGTCCTCGCTTGCTGCCGGCAGCATCTCGACTGATAGAGCAGTAGTAACGTGTAAAATTAAATTTTAAGTGGTTAATGATATTAAACGAGACGTTTAATTTAATATGGACGCGCTAATCACATCGGGTAGATATTTATGAAATAAAGTGGATTGTAAAATGTTTAATGTCAATATTAGCTGTGTAATAATTGAAATGTACATTGAGTTTATGTGTGTTAAGCTTGCGATATTGAAGTGAGAAAAGTAAATAGAGAATTGTAAAAAGATATCCGAATCATTTCGAACAATGTTCGAGAATTGTGCTGGAACAATGTTATTAAAACAATTTTATATAGGAAATATTAATTAATGCACGATATTAATTCATCAAAGTATCATAATTGAAACAACTATGAACTATTTTGGTAACATACAGGTAGCTTTTACAAGGTGTCTTAAGATATTTTGTCTAGTTTAAGGAAATTGTTATGTAGGTAATCTTTTTTAAGAAATATGTGGGTTTGTATAGGTAATCTAATTACCATAACGGGATTAAAAAGGCGTAATAATTTGCGAAGATTAATATTTTGCTTATTGTGTTCTTCATGGAAGCACAAACATGGAGAAATCAAATTTTACGATAAATAACGTCAGTTTTTCAAGCAATTCTCTTCATTATATCAATAACAATTACGATGTTTTCAATTTTATAATATGGTGCTCTTATTGGAGTATTTTATGGGTAAGTAATAATCGCTTGAATAACATTCCCTTATGAGCAAACACTATGTTTTAGAACACAAAATCCCAATACCTCAAGTACGCTGTAATTTGCATATTTGTACCAATTTTCGCAATCTCCACAATTCTGTGCCACATTTTCAAAACATCAGTGAGCTTTTATTTGAGGTTGAAGTACAAATCTGATTTTAAAGGACTTTTGCTTGGCTCAGACGCCGTTTGGGCGACTGAAGGGGTACCGAGGAGCATCATCAATGTTATACTAAAAATAAAAACTCGGGAAAATTCAGATTTACGCGAGTTCGAAACTAATTTGAAATGTTTTTTACAAACCACTTTCTTCGACAACGCCGAATCGCATCCGAAATTAACTTGCGCCTTGCACAGGTTTTTAGGGTACAATTTCCTGGTCAAGTCGAATTTTCCAGTAGAAGAATGCGTCACTTCTTGCAACGAATTTAAAGATGTTTATCACTTTTTAACCAACAACCCTTACAAACACCTTCCAAGGGATAATCGAGTATTATGGGAAGTTATTTTATTCGAATTAAATAGAGGAGAAATCGCCATTTTATTCAGAGTAAGTCACATTATCGGAGACGGCGCTTCGTTAATACAACTCTTCATTAACACTTTCACCGACAGCACGATTGAATATCCGTTTTCTAATCGCCCATTTAAAGAGAGGAGTTTATTAAACACTGTTAAAACTCTATGTGATTTACCAACTAATGTTATCTATAAAAATCTGTTGAGAACTAGGGATATAAACGCGTTACATCCCTCCATTTTGTCGGGCAAAAAGTTGTTTGCGAGCGCTGTTGAAGAGGAAAATCGACGTTTAATCGAAGCTGTTAAAGCAGTCAAGAGGATAACCCAAGTGAGTTTTATGGATGTGCTTTTAACAGCCGTTTCGGCCAGTTTTTGCAAGCATTTTCGAAAGGTTAGTGGACATATTAATCGATTTATCACACGCTTTATCAATACCATTCTTGTGGTATTCCCCTAACTTTTCCTTTGTTCTTTCATTTACCTCTTCAATTTTACACTTTATTATCACACTGTTAATGCTAGATACAAAATCCTTCTGTTTCATTCAATTAGTGCAAATTCAGGTTTTATGTTCCAGACATCTAGAGTGCTTCCTCGGTACGTCACGAGCGCAGTTCCTGCATTTGGAATTGAAGTAGGCGAATCCGGGGGTTTGAAAAATCGATTTTCCATAGCTCTTCTGAAAATCCCCATACTGATAGAATCGAATTCGCTATTGGAGCGATTAAGGAAGGTGAAAGTGGAATTCGATGCTTTGAAAATGTCGAACGATTATCAAGTTAGTTGGTTAACGTTGCCTTGGCAATTGAATTGTCAACTGTCAATCGTTTTAAATCTAAATTTGACATTCTACAATAATTTTCAGGTAAATTCGCTGTTGTTATCGATTTTTTCCGGATTGATTCCTTCTCCAGTGTTAAAACGATTATTGAACATGGATTCGTTTACGATGACGCTGAGTAACATGCCGGGAATTCCTCGAATGAGCATTTTGAATGGAAATCTAGTGAGCGACGTCGTGTTTTTCACGCCTCAACGCGGAACCGCAGGTGGAACTTTAACTTTAATTAAATTTCTTGTGAATTCGTAGGTATTTAGGAGGTTTTGTGTGAAGATTACTTAATTTTCAGGCGTTGGTATCACTGCATTGACGTACGATAATAGATTTCAATTAGGTTTGAGCGTGGATGAAGCGATTGTATCTTCAGTGGAGGAATGTAGAGAGATTTTGGATGATGTTTTTTATTATATCGAGTGTTTAAGAGAAGAAATTATGAAACGATAAATTCTTGTTCTTCGTCGTTTATCAATTTTATTATCTCAACAATAAAATACAACAAATCCTTTCCTGTAAAAAATGAAAATGTCAAAGAAATGCTATTGTTAGAAAAATAATAATTTTTCCAATACAAAAACTAGGAAAGCTTTTTCCCACAACGTGTAGGCATATCATGCATGTACACAATAATAACATTGGCCTACTTCGCGTTTTCCCTTCTGTACTCGACCTACTTTTTCCGCCTACTTCGAATTTCCATTTTCCGGAAAGGGAGCGCAGAGATGGGACAAAACCACCCACAACATACATTTGTAACCAAACGTTGGCAACACTGATCGTCTCTATACCGCAATAACAGGTAAACAAAGCGCATTCTCCCAGCTCTATTTCCACTCTAAACATTGGCGCGCGCGCTCCTTCGGTGTTTATATCGACTGGTGGCTTTTCCACGCGCGATTCTACGGCGGAAAAGCGGCGGGCATACCTGTATACGCGACGTGCGTGCACTCGAGATGATCGCGTGACGGAAAACCTTTTACGAGGATTTCCCGGCGCGAACTTTCCGACGGAAACCCGATTAGCGATACGCTTATTTATCGTTTCGGTTTAGTTTTCCGCTCGATATGCGAGAGGTGGCAGGGCCGATTGCCAGGGAAAATGCGCAAAAATGAAGGCCGATATCCCGACGAACGTCAACGAGAGAACACATTGGGTAAGACACTTGATAGATAAAAAAATAGCTATAAACTGCAAGTTTTATAGGTACTAGATTCAGTTCATTTTTATAAACGTGTTGCATAAAGTTTTGTTTTGGAAAATGATGCTTTTAATGGGTGTTTGTTATTACAAGATAGTGGAAGATTTTTTGTCATTATATTTGTTTTTTTTTTGGTTGATTTATGAATGAATTTTCAGTCATTGTAAGAATTTTTTTAAGAAATCTTATATACAAATGATGAGAAACTCTTTATAACTACAAGAAACCCATCAAAAATCAATTAATCATTCTCAATATATCTTAATCGAGTATCTGAAAGAATGTAACGTCTACAGGAATTTTTAATTTATCTAATGACTTATTAAATTGATTACAGGTGTCAGTGTCATTCGTATTGATTGGCCTGGGTGTTTTAGCTCTCGCTGTATTTTGGATAAGAAAATGCAGGTAAGATCACAGTAATTTAAATAAAACAAGGATTTTTTGATATTTTCCTGATTGTTATATTGCTGTTTATTTATCAAAATCAGGTCAATTTTGAGATTAGGTGGATCACAATTGTACATTCTCATCTCTATTTTTTTCGACTTAATTTAAGACTATAATAAGCTGTAAAAACTGTTAAAGTCTCCTAAAATAATTCAAGAAACTAAAAGCAACCTTATAGTAATACATTCACATACTTATACAGGGTGTTCCTAAACATCGTGTATATCCGAAAGGGGGTGATTCCTTGGCTTATTTTATGACTAAAAGTTCATATAAACATAGGTCTTGAAATTTTGAAATTTCAACACCCTGTAGATCGTTAACGAAGCGTTTGCGGATCTATGTTTATATGTTTATACACGATGTTTAGGAACACCCTGTATAAAGTCCAATGTATTAACCCTTATCCTCATACCCCCTTGAGCTATTTCACCATTCACCACCCTTCCCTAAGCAGCCTAAAAAAAACCTCGATACAAAAAAAATTACAAGCAAGAAATCATACAACGAACCCATCACCAGTCCGTCTAACGAGATTAAACGAACCCGTACAAGCGTCGCGACGCGTCGCACGTCGAATACCAACGCTCAGTACAATCGCGCCGGGCACTCGATCATGTTCAACCTCTACCAGAACATCAACAAGAAGGACGAGCCGGAGAAGGAGTCCGACGTGATCGGGCACGAGCGGTACTACCAGGCGCGCTCGCGCAGCCTGCGCAAGAAGAAGAAGGCGCCGCGGCGGACGCGCAGCGCCGCCGAATTCAACCCGGCGGCGCTGACGGCGGCCCACAGGCGCGTCGCATTCGGCGCCGTCCGCAGCCGCAGCTCGGAGAACCGCGGCGGCGAGACGGACGCCAAGGCCACCCCGCCGAGGGTCGAGTCTCTCACTAAACTGTTCTTCGGAAAACGGTATAATTTTTTTGTTCGTTTACTTTACGAAAAATCTAACGTTTTTACTAAGTTTGTAGGAATGAAGAGGTCTTTTTTACTGCTTCTTTTATTAAGTGTTGTGTATGGTTTATTAGATAAATAGGTAGCTTTGGGTGAAGGTTTTTCGTGCGTAGGTGAGGTGTAATCGTGGAAACGTCGATTTTTCTTTTTATAGAGCGGAAATGCTCTTAAAAAATTCATGAATTTCGTACGTTTAAATTCGAAACGATCAATCTTTGTGGGAAAATATCGCCCACCTGCAAGTGAATGGAACTTAGTCAAGTTCTATGTTATATAATAAAAGCGTTCGTATTTTCCGCATCTACTCTATTATCTCTTCCTTTTATTTATTACACTTTAGTTTAATATACTGCTCCACAATAGTTAAGGAAGTTGACAAATGTTGAGATTAATTTAAAAGTTGCAGGTTTTTTGATCGCCAAATTTAGTATGAGTTGTAGAGGAAGGGGCAAAAAATATACTCAGATATTAGAGAAAACATTTAATTTCGCATATTTGAAAATTTGTTGATCAAAAAGTCTGTAACTTTTAAAATAATCGCAAAATTTGCGAACTTCTGTCGAGCAGTTTATTTAAATCGCTAATAGGATGTTAATTTGAAATGAAAATTGTGATGAAAATAGTTGAACAATTAGCACCCGGTTCTCATTGCAGAAGCCAAAGTCCTGTCCGCAAGCACGAATACAGCGCCCTGAAAACCGATGGCGGATGCGAAAAATTCAAAATCGAAAGGCAGATCCGAAACGGGGCGTTCGTCGCGTGCAGAAATAATCTCGAAAACAACGACAGATACGAACTGAAAACGCAACTCGACGATATCGGTTCCAGGGCCGACAAACACTGGTATGTATATCGCTATCTTATAGATTTCAAAAATTCATTAATATACAGGGTGTTAATTTATAAGTGCGACAGACTTCAGGGGGTGATTCTGCATGAAAAAATAATGATATTTTGCTATATAAACATATGTCCGCAAATGCTTCGTTTTCGAGATAGACTGGGGCAAGGTAGACTGGGGCAAATCGGTTGTAAAATTTGAATAGTTCTAATTAAATCCTAAAATCCTAAAATTAAATCCTAAAAATCCTTTTTTTTTTAAATTCACAACATTAAATTCACACATTAAATTCACAACTTCCTAAACTAAAGAATCGAGGTATTAAAAAGTTTTTTGAAAAAGGAAGAAAACGATTTTACATATTTTTTAAAATGTTGACAATATGTTACATTTACCCCGTACTATGGGGTTGTGTTTTTATCACAATATCATTATTTTTTCATGCAGAATCACCCCCTGAAGTTTGTCGCACTTATTAATTAGCACCCTGTATAGGGTGTTGCCTTTTATTTCCTTAAAGAAGAGGCACATGCAACTTTTAATGGTCATTTGATATCGCCATTTTGATATTAATTGCCTCTGTACACTGTTAAAGTACGTACAGTTTCTCATGACTCCCCCTTTATATCCTGCTAATATTGATTAATAACATAATTTATAATGGAAAGGTTCATCGTCCAAGACAACAATTTCGGTGCCGAAAGACTGCTAGCTTTGCTCCCGTTGCCGTCCGGCTGTCCCATCAGTCCGTCCCCATCGACGAGAGACACCCTCTTGGCGCTGTTCGGCAGCCTCCAGCATCCCTACATCCATCCGGTGTTCGACGTCGATTTCTGGGACGCCGGCGCCGCCGTCGTCAGCCCCCTCAATCCCGCCGGCAGCCTCAAGGATCTCATCTACGGCACGGTCAGTATATCTATCATTACTAAGGGTCCATTTTTTGTCGAGTTTTTGTCAAGTGTTGCGAGTATACAGGTTGCTCCATTTTTGATCGCAACATAGGGTATATATGCCATGGGTGCGATAAAGACATTTAATAATATTTCTTTGTTCAACTCATAGATATGACCATGTTGCAATCAGAAATGGAGCAAGGTGTATAAACTGCCCCACAAATGTTAAGGAGGTTCGCAAATTTTGCGATTATTTTAAAAGTTATAGACTTTTTGATCAACAAACTTTCAAATATGCGAAAATAAATGTTTTTTTCTCATATCTAAGTGGATTTTTTGCTCCTACCTCTACAACTCTTACTAAATTTGGTGATCAAAAAACTTGCAACATTTAAATTAATCTCAATATTTGTGAACTTCCTTAACTTTTGTGGAGCAGTATATTTCATTGGAGTGGCTCCATTGGGGAATATTTGATGTATGTTCCAGGCGTGGCACGACCAATACGATAAAAAATATTCGTCCAAAGGGGAAGGCCTTCCATTACGAACGGTAAGTCTCCAGCGTGGTAATTTAGAGTGTGGTTAATTCGTGTATTTTTTAGATACAATGCTTAGGACGCCAGATCTTAGAAGGACTGCTATTTTTGCGAAACCGCTATTTCCTGCCCATCTATCACCTCCATTCAGGTCGATAAACCACCACTAATTCATTTAACCGAATTTCCGAACGATTATATCTATCCGCAGGTAACGTAATCATTCAAAACGGAGTCGCCAGACTGGCCGGATTGGAGAATCACCTGCTGGGCATGGCGCCCAGGGCTCCGTCGGCGCCCGAAACCCTCTCCTTCGGCTATCTGCTCTTCGAAATGACCGCCGGGTACGAACTGACCGCCCCCCCGACGCCCGCCCACCTCCAGCTCGAGCTCGACAAGGCCCCCAAGGTGGCCGAAACCATCGAGTTCGTCTTTCGCTCCAGCGGAACTCCCACTCTCGACGAACTCGTCAGGTAAAGTAACTTGGAGTGTATAGGGCGTAGGTTATATAGGGCGTAGGTTATAAAGGGCATAAGTTATATAGGGCGTAGGTTATATAGGGCGTAGGTTATAAAGGGCATAAGTTATATAGGGCGTAGGTTATATAGGGCATAGGTTATATAGGGGATGAGTTATATAGGACTTTGATGATCCTTTGCAGGTGCGACCTGTTCAGGGGCGTGGAATTGCGCGAGCTGAGAGGCGCCGGGGTTAGTCAGAGCGCCGCGCCGCCCGACGTGCTGGATCTGCTGGAGGCGGTGAAAAATCCGGCGCCGGCGTCGCCGCTGAGGCGGTGAGTGCATTGGAGTTTGATAGTTGTTGCGTTTGTAAATGTACGTGGCTTTTTACGATTTTCTTGCATGCAGTCGACGTTTCCCGGACGATTTAGAACCGTGGTTTGCATGAATATAATCCGGGTGAGATGTCACAGTTGTAGTATATCGAAAATTAATCTAGTTATTGTAGATGTTGGTGGTGTTTCGAGTAGAATTCGATGATTGTTTTAGAAATTGATAAAATCGATGGCTTTTAATTGAGCAGCTAGATATATTTAGAATAGCTCTTTTTTTAGAAAAGATGTAGTAGTGGTGATAGAAGACCGGAGACTGGAGGACATAATAGAGGAAGACAACGAAGACAGCGATTGCAATAGCGTCATAGATAATAATAAGAATCGGTAGTAGTTTGATTGGATTTATAAATGATGTAGTGAGTAATATGCTAAAGGTTTATTTATAGAGAGTGGATTTTTAGGATATTTTTTTTGTATTTTTATCTAGCTAGATTCAGTACGATAAATCGGATCTATAAATGATATATATATATATATATATATATGTATATATATACAGAGTGAGCTAAAATTCTATGAGCTTGTAATAATTGCTCGATTTTACGAATATGAATTAATCCTATTACAAAAATAATTACAAATTGTTCACCAAAGTTAACTCAAATGTTAACGAAAATGTTTAATATAAACTTTAATCTATACATTTTCTAGATCTAATTTAATTTAACACTGCTAATTTTTAACTAACGATTTTGATTGAATTTTATCTCTACTTGATTTCAAAATATTCTGAATGACCTAAGTATGATAGGTACAAAATAATCCATTGTGTCGCTTGTTAATTATTTTTAAACAATTTCCTAATACATTGTATGATGTATCTAAACGGCCTGTAACTATACAAAGATCCGATTTCGCATTTTTCATTAATTTCGCCGTAGAATAACAATAAAAAGCGCTGTGCCCTCGCTTTAAAACCGTGGCCAAAAATGATTGGACCATTTTACCTAAATCATAATAAAAAATGATATATTTTGCAACGTTGCAGTATTGTGATTGTGAAATAATATTTTCGTACGTGCGCACTGTATATGTAGTTGTAATGAGTAATAAGAGAATTTTTGTATTAGTTTTGCGGTAAAAATTTACGGATTTTTACCGAAACGTTTCTAAAATATAACGAATATGTGTGAGCAATAATGATTAGAGAAAAATATGGCAGAAAACATATCCATAGCCGTCCCGAATGAAGTCAATTTGTTCTTTTCTTCGTTGTTGAATAGTCGAGAATGCCAGGTCAAGTAAAAAAAACCCTAGGTTTTATTTAAAAATCACTTGATCTCCGAAATTAATCTACATTATGCAACGAAACTTTCTAAATTTAGCAATTACAGATAAAATTGGCTCAGCAATATGACTTCAATGACTTAAAGATTTTTTCTACAATCTATGCCTAATTATAAATTAGTTTATAGAAAAGAAGATAAAACCGTTGCAGTTTTGTCGAATTTCCGAAGGACCTGGCAACCTCGATAGATTAAGTTTTTGTCTGTTATAGCGATGCCTCATCGTTACCAACGCTGATAAAAGTGATCAAAATCAAGGGAAAAAAATCAAAGTACACTTACCTTCGAGTGTACGAGTCCGACAAACAGAGACAATCGCAATAAAACGAATACGATATAAACGCAATAAGTACCTCACTCACTTGTATAAAAAAAGGCGTACTGAAAGTACTCGACTTTCAGTGAATCCTGTTAACTTTCAGTAGGACCTTCTTCTTATTCTATGTAGGTAGGATGTAACGTTTATGCAATCATTTTATGTACTGTAAATCGATTGTTTAAACTAAAATAAAATGTTAGTGTTTCAATTATATTTCAATAAACGAACGTATTTGATTTTTGAAAAATTTCCTTTTTCTTTGTTTAATGGTTAACCCTATTAAGCAAGTTATAAATTATTTAATATTTTGAATTTTGACACATTTTTTTAAATATTATAGGTACTTGTACTCTTTTAATATCGTCACAATAAAGTTATGAATTTGTTTATTTTAATCCAGTTATGATATCACAATAAGAAATAGGTAGGAAATTAACTACAGGATTATTAATTTATTAATGTATTTTATTAATTAATAGTAAATTGAAGAATAATCCTATTCAAAATATACTTAGTTTAAAACAATTAATATTATGCAACATGTTATTAATAACCAATATTGCATGTATAATACATTCCCTTCGGCTAAACTTAATAATTACAGTATGAAGGGTATCTGACAAATCCCATTAACAATGACAATGACAAATCCCTTTAAGTTTTAACCCCTCATAAGAAGCATTATTAAAATTACCGTAGCCGAAGACAATCTATAACCATTTGCTTATTTTGCATAGAAGAAACTTCAACGTTCATTCATCCGAACCTCCTTCAAATGCCGCATTTAGGATCGGCCCTTTTGTACCCTCTCAACACCCTATTGACGGTCCTGAGCAGCGGGTACTCCTCGCAGCCGCACAGGTTCCTGAAATCGTCCAAATCCAGCGCCCACGCCATCCCGCCGCCCAATCCCATCCGCCTCACGTACTCCGACTTGCGCCTGATCGCATTTACATCGTCGAACGACGCCCATTGATCGCCCGAATAGGCGTACGGCCCGATCCTGCCTCGCTCGTCTCTGACCAAGGTCCAATTCTTGCGCTGGACGTTCGCGCAGACCTCGTAGTAGGCCAGGAAGCCGCGAGAGCGCGTCGCGACGCCCGCCTCGCCGCCGCCCGACGTCGCGGCGTTCAGCCCGTGGGCGGCCGGGTCGCTGAGCGTGAACGATTGGGCGTACATCGGCATGCCCAGCACCAGCTTGCTTCGATCGGCGCCTTTTCCCAGCCAGTAATGGACGGTGAAGTTCTGGAAATATCCATCAGTCAGTGATGACGTTTGTAGGTTTATAAAAGGGTGATGTTTGGTTCTGATGTAGTACCGGAGTTATACGTACTGATTAATAATGTAAAGAAGCAGCAGCAAACTTATTGATTATATCAAAACACAAACGATTATAAAACAACGAACTTCGAGTACTATTAAGAGGCCATTTGAGTCATAGGCAAGAGTACCATATCTAATTTGACAACTTTTTTAGCTTAATTAAGCCAAAATAAAGCGAAAATGAAGAATACATTTTTTTGATATCTCGCTTCGTTTTCGAGATATCGATACTTGAAGTTGAACATTTTTTTTGCATTATATTGATAAATTAGAATAAATTATAGTACAATATAAATTTAATTTACAATCTCTATTGACATATAAAAAAACCTACCCTACCGTCCCCCCTTCACTACCTTAAGCTCCGCTCCATCCCCCTACCTACCCTACCCTATTACACTACACTACACTAAACGAATCTTGAACTCACTTCAAGAAGTATCGATATCTCGAAAACGAGGCGAGATATCAAAAAATTTTATTCTTCATTTTCGCTTTATTTCGGCTCATTTAAGCTAAAAAAGTTGTCAGATCGCAAAAATCGTACTCTCCCCGAGTCATAAATCAATCAACAGGTACTATCCTAACATTACCATGTTAAATTCATCGTCGACGTCCTCCGGATGGCGATGCATCGGAGCCACGTGTCCGGTAATCCCGTCCCATTGGCCGTGGTAATCGTACGCCATCACCCCGATCCAGTCCAAGTACTTGGACAGCGTCGGGACGTCGTACCCGGCGTCCACCACCTTCCTGCTGGAGGACACGGCGGCGGACAGAAGGAGTCCTTTGGGCGCCAGCGCCTCGGACAGTTCCTCCACCAGCTTGGCGAAGCCGGCTCTGTCCGTCGACGGGCCCCTGTTGCAATCCACCTGCCAGCATTTGGGGTACTCCCAATGCAGGTCCAGCCCGTCGAAGCGGTTCTGCTCGAGGAAATCGGCCGCGTGCGCCGCGAACCGCCTCCGCGCCGATGGGTTGTTGACCAATCGCGAGTACTTGTCGCCGGCGGAGTCGTTCCATCCACCCAGGGCTATCAGTACTTTCACGCCTTTCGCTCGCAAGGCCGTCACTTTCTCGTAAAATTCTAGAAGAAAACAACCAAAACTGTTGTATTGAAGATCTACATCCTGGTACTACTCGAGTACTGATCTAAAGATCTAAAAATAAAGTACTTACTGTTATCGAAGTCGGTGAAGCTGTCGTGCGTTTTTATGATCAATTCGTCGTCACTAAGAACAGCAAAACTGTAGACTACGTGGGTGCACAAATCAGGATCAATATTTGCCGGTACGAATTTACCGACGCCCGGTCGGTACCAAGCCCAGTTAGTGAAGTAGCACACTACTTTGAATTGAGACGTAGGATCGACTAGCGACTCGAGTACCGGATTGTGCTTGTTCTGTTTTTCCTGCAGCAGCGCTAAACTGTTATCTGGTTCCTGATGAAACGGTGGATTAGTACTTGTTAAGGTTACCTTAAGGAAATTATGATTGGTACCGATTGGTTCATACCTCTATAGTGTTGGGTAGAAGATCATCGATGGGTCGTTGCTGTCCATCGCCCGCCTCAGCCAGGGTGTTTCTAATGATGGTGAGTAATGGATGTCTACCTCTGCCGCATCTGTTCTTGAAATCGTCCAAATCCAGTGCCCAAATCATGCCGCCTCCGAGGTCCATTCTCCTTATGTACTCCGATTTCTTCGCGATCATCGTCTCATCGTCGAAGGATACCCATTGGTCGCCTTTGTAGGCGTACGGCCCCATCGTACCCAGAGGATCCTGTACCACCGTCCAACCTTTTGTTTGTATGTTGTGGCATATTTCGTAGAACGCCAGGAAACCTGCTGCTCGCGTGAATTCTCCGGCTTCTCCTGGTCCCGGAGCGCTGGCGTATAAACCGTTTTCGGAGGCTTTTTCCAGCCGGAACGATTGTCCATAGAGGGGCATACCCATGATTAGCTTCCTTCTAGGCAGGCCTTGTGATATCCAATAATGGATCGAGTAGTTCTGTACAAAAAATTAGGTTACCTACAATGATAAAATCAATAATAATCGCTTACCGAATTGAAGAAGGCTACTTCATCTTTGGGATGCAAGAACAACGGAGCAACGTGACCTGTGGCTTTGTCCCATTGACCGTGGAAATCGTAAGTCATCACAGCCACCCAATCGAGGTTTTCAGCTATTATGGGCACATCGTAACCAGCATCTATTACAGTTTTGCTGGGCGATACGGCGGATGAAAGCAAGTAACCTCTAGGTCTAAAGGCGTCTTTCAGTTCTTTGACGAATTGGGCGAAAGCTGGCTTGTCTGAATCCGGACCTTTCTTACAATCCACTTGCCAACATTTGGGGTACTCCCAATCCAAATCGAGCCCGTCGAAACCGTATTTATCCAGGAATTTGACCACGTGCTCGATGAACCGCCTCCTAGCCTCCGGATTGTTAACCAGCTTGGAGTACTTATCGCCCAAAGAATCGTTCCAACCACCAATAGCAATCGATACTTTCACCCCTTTCGACTTGTACTCGATCACGCGCTTGTAGAATTCTGGAAAACGCTAAAAGTTGAGTACCCGAAGGTGCTGCAGCGAGTTTACCTTACGGTTATCGAAGTCGGCCCAGGAATCGTGCGCTTTGATCACGTAGTTCGAGTAATCCAGAACGGCGAATCCGTACACAATGTGGGTGCAGAGATTTTCGTCGATATCTTCAGGAAGGTACTTACCCAGCCCCTGTCGGTACCAGGCCCAATTGGTGAAGTAACATACTATTTTGAAATAGCCTGATAGAGGTTTCAGGGGCGCTGGAAGGGGCGGTTTTTCTGATGTAGGAGGGATGGGTGGATGCCATTCCCATTGGTTTTCTTAAAAAGATTGTTTCGATGATTGATGGTACCAACCAATTGTCGTACTAAACATTTGTAGTAAAATGAAAATACCTCCTGACGATTCGGTTGTAGAAGGCGGGCTCCACTGGGTGGAACTCGTAGAAGGAGGCTTCCATTGAGTAGTGCTAGGTGGAGCGGTACTACTCGGTACGTCCCAATTATCCGGTGGCGTTTCCGGACCGGTATCCACATCTAATTCGTTGTTATCTACGTCTTCTGTACAGTGAGCATTTTGCGGCCAATCACACAAATTCTTTTCCTACAAACGAAATTACTGTCATCTAGTAGGTACCAGAAAATGTAGTACTCACGTTGTTCCAGTGTAATCCGGGAGCGCATTGCCTTATTTCGAACTTGCCCCATTGGCAATGCATGTACTGGTTGCAATCACCTGGAAGCGCAGCGAAGGTGTTGCCCTCGCATTTCGAGTAAGGTTGGGGATCTAACCAAGGTTGTCAAAATTAGAAGAGTGATAAAATAAAAGCAACCTAACTTACATTGTCCACGTTTGATCGTATACCTTTCTCCCATTTTCCTCCTGTTCGTGCACTTCACCTTGAAGCTCCAATCGCACATGCCGCTCTGGGCGTGGAAATTTAGACCCGGAGCGCAGACTTGGTCCACCAATCTGTTGTTGAAGCACACGTAGAAATGGTTGCACAATTCGTGCGGGTAGTACGCCCCAGATTCGCAAGTACCGCTCGAAATCGCCGGCTGGAGAGTCGTTGTTGGAGGTTTAGTAGTTGTTGTAGTAGTAGGTTTTTTTGTTGGTTTGCTTGTCGGTTTATTAGTCGGTTTGCTTGTTGGTGTAGGTTTCTGATGATCTGTAGATAGACAATAAGTATATTAGCAGTAAGATTAAGTCTTAGTTTATTATTCTTAAGTTTTAGCAATTTCAGTGAGGTCACCAGATGGTAATCAAGCCACTTCCACGGATCTTTGGTCAGTAACAAGACCGATGATTCACTTTTGACTTACCATTGGAAGTTTTACAATTGGCTTCTCTTGGCCAATCGCAAATATGTTTGTCCCTGTTCCAATGCAATCCACCTGCGCAGTACTGCTTTTTCAGCTCACCATCGACGCATCTATAGAACGCGTTGCAGTTCATCTTGTCGGGCAAGTACTGACCTGGCTCGCAACGTTTGAAAGGCGTTTCGATCTCCGGGCTAATGACAGCCGGTGGTGGTATTACCACAGGATTTTCCGGACGACTTGGTCTGCAACAAACGTTCGTTACTTAAGAGGAAAATTCCTACATACCTTCTCATTGGGTGCTACCTCTTTGTCGTCGTCGAGGTGGTAGTCCACCAAGCAGCGGTGGTGCTGGACTGCTCCCACCAAGGCGCGGTGGGCTTGCTTGTACTCGTAGACGTCGTCCACCAAGGAGTCGTAGAAGTTACCGTGCTGGTGTCTTCGTGATGATGGTGGTGATGGTCGGATTCGGCGCCCGAATCCACGCCGGTGGTGGTTTCCGGAGGAGAGGGCGTAGACGGCGGAGGCGGCTTGGTGCAATCGGACGCCGTGGGTTTCTCGCCCGCAACGCCCAACTCGTAACTGAGCGTTTTCAACAAAGGAAACGAGCCTTCACAACAAAGATTATTGAAGTCGTCTAGGTCTATTGTCCAAGCTACAGCTCCTCCAAATCTTCCGGACCTTATGTAAGATGCCTGTAAAAAACGAACCCTTGTAGTATACTTCTTTGGCTTGGTAAAGGTAGTACCTTTTCTTTAACGGAGGTGACATCTTCGAATCCGACCCATTGATCGGCATTGTAGGCGAAGGGTCTTCCCTCGTTTCGGCTGACGCTCCATCTTCGGTTTCTGATGCGATAGCATATCTCGTAGTAGGCCAGCATTCCTGGTTGCTTGGTGTACTCCCCTGGTTCGCCGGGACCGTTTGCCGGAGCGTTTTCGCCGGAACCACCCTTCGATTTCAACTCGTACGATTGCCCGTAGAACGGGACTCCTACCAGCAGTTTACCGCGAGGAGCTCCTTTGGACACGAGGTACTCCATGGTGAAATTCTGGGGATTAGTAGAAGATGGTAAAATTTGATGCTGGGTGCTTGTTATTAGGTACTTACGACGTTGTATTGGGGGTACTTGTCGCCTGGTTTGCTATACAAAGGGCTGACGTGGCCTGTTTGTCCTTCCCAAGCTCCGTGGTAATCGTAGGTCATCACTGACAGGAAATCGACGTTTTGGCCGAGTACTGGAAGATCATAAGCCAAATCGATGACCTCTTTATAGCCGGAAATGGCGGCCGCCAAAATCAAAGGAGGCGATTGTTTCTCGAACTCCTTTCTCAGTTCTTGAATGATTTTGGCGAAGTTGGCTTTGTCCGAGGACGGGCCTCGTTTGCAGCTGCTCTGCCAGCAGGTCGGGTAATTCCAATCGAAGTGTAGCCCGCTGAATTTGTGCCTGCGCAGGAAGCCTACGACGCCGATAACGAACCGTCTTCGTGCCGATCCGTCGCTCACCAACCTGGAGTACTTATCGCCCGTGGAATCCGTCCAACCGCCCAACGACAGCAGTACTTTGGTGTCCTTCAAGGAAGTCATCCTTTCGTAGAGGTCTAGAAAAAAGTATGGGTATGTAGCACTTTGATAACGAGCCTTCGTAGGCTTTGAGCCTTTCTAGGTTTTGTGTCATTCAACCTACTATTGTCCAAATCAGCCCAAGGGTCGAATTCCTTGATGAGTAACTTCTCCGCATCCAAACTGGCGAAGGCGTATACCACGTGGGTGCAGAGCCTTTGATCTATGTGCTCGGGTACGAACTTCCCGTCGCCTTTTCTATAAAACGCCCAATTCGTGAAGTAGCAAACCACCTGCAAAATTGAACGAATTAACCTATTAGAGTAATAAACACTAGGTACTCACCTTCGGTTTGGAATCCTCTTCTATCACGTTTTCCTTTTTGGTCGGTACTTGGAGTTCCTTCAAGGCGTTGGGGATGTAGACTGTTTCCCCTGGCCTGCAGAATTCCGGACGTACCGGCTCGCATTTGGCGTTAGTGGGATTGAACATCAAGTCGTACCCGCACGATAGGTGGTACAACAAGCCATTTTTGCAGATGTAGTACGAAGCGCAGTTGGTCGAATCGCTGAAGTAGCCGAAGGAGTCGCATCTACCTATAGGTTTAGTCGGTGGCATGTAGGCATCCGTCAGAAATGTCGAAGTAGTACCTAGAAAACAGGAACGAAGATTGTTTGATATTAATTGTTTTCAATTTTTTTAGGAAAACTCTATGTTAGCTTAAAATTAACGTTTATGGCTTCTTAGGTAGTACCTATGTAGATAGTACCTTACCTTTTAATTCGTTGTTAACTAGAGTAAGCAAAGGCCACTTTACTCCACACAAGCCTTTAAAGTCATCGAAATCAGCAGCCTTTACTGTTACACCGCCAAGATGATGCTCCTTGACGTATTCGATCTGTAAGTACGACCAAAAATAATTAATGAGGTAGTATTAATAACAATAAGTGATAATTAATAATATTACTAGCAGTACCACATGTGGTACTTCGAACACGGGGCGAGTACCTTTCGTTTCAAGCTCTGCTCATCGTCGTACCCGACCCATTGGTCGCCGTTGACGATGAAAGGCGAACCGGAGGCGTCTTCGCTGCGGAACCAACCCTCGTTCAAGATCATCTCGCATATTTCGAAGTACGCAAGAGTACCGGGCGTCCTGGTGTAGAAACCCTCCCGACCGGCGCCGCTGATCGGCGCTCCGACATCCGTCTCGTTGGAGTACCGCAATGTGAACGACACGCCGAAGAAAGGTACGCCCAGGACGAGCTTCGAGCTGGGGAAGCTCTTTCTCAGCCAGAATTGGACGGCGTAATCCTGGAAATGAATTGATTAGATAAGAGTGGTACTAAATCGTACCTGCGGGTGTTAACTTACCACGCTTAGAAAGATGTCTAATCCCGAATCGTCCGGTCTGCTGAACAAATTGGAATGATGGTCTGCTAGGGGCTGTTTCTCTAAATGGAAATCGTACGCTTGAATGGTAACGAAATCGACGATGGTACCGAGCTTCGACGGTTCGAATCCGTTCTCGACTTTAAATCGAGACGCAGGAGCCGAAAGCGCCAGCACCCAACCGTAGGTTTTAAATATCTCCGATATTTCCTCGAGGAAAACCTGGTAGAATTCCTTATCAGTGACTTGTCCGCCTAGTTCTTCTGCACCAGGATTCGACCAATCCACCTCCAACCCGTCGAAGTTGTACTTAGCGATGAAGGCTATCGCGGACCGAATGAATTCGGCGCGTTTCTTGGCATTGGACACCATGGTACTGAAACGACGAGAACCATCCGTCGGGCTTCCACCCACTGCTACCAGTACCTTCAGCTGCGGGTTCTGGTCGCGCAGCGTAGTCGCTGCTTTGTAACCGCCTGAAACCGAGCAAGTTTATTTTAAGGTGATGCTATTGCGACATCTTCTGCTACTCTAATCTGCTTCTGAAGCTGCAATCAATAAGAGCGTAATAAGCTTCAAACCTTGAATGATATCGTAAGCTTCGTCGTTCGAAGTGAGAGTGTAAGCGAGTGGATCAATTGTGGCGTATCTGTAGACCACGTGGGTACACAGGTAAGGGTCCAAATCCTCTGGGTTGAATGCCAAGGGTTCCTTTCTGTACGAAGCTACACCGTTTATGTAGCAAACTATCTTTTTATCATCGTCGGCGGTTTTCTCTGAAACAGTCCAATGAATAATAATGGTTGGTTGTTATGGTTGGTATTTTTTGGTACTTACTCAATTCCGGCCTCCCTATAAAAATCTGCGCAGCATCTGGATTTCTTCCGGCTGGTGAACTTGGAGGACTGGCCAAAAGACTTTGGTAAATGTTGCTGATTCTGTACGGTTTATAATCGTTCAAAATGCTCCGGAAATACTGGAAAGGTGTGTAGTAGGTGCCCTGAAAAGGGTAGTACTGCGGATAGTACGCGTATTGGGGTTCCTCCGGCAGAATTTCGACGGTGTCGTCCGAGTATTGGCCGCTTCCGGACGAAGGCGAGTACCATTTCCGTTGGTTGTACCAACCGTCAGTGTTTTGGTACCGGGATAGTTCGGGAACGGGGCGTTTTTCCACAGCGTCTCTGAGTGGCAGTCTTTTGGAATCGCTGGTACTAAAATATTAACTTCTATAATCATCTATTCAGTTAGAAAAATTCGTACTTACACATCAGGCAAGCTTTCCACGGCTTTCCTCAAAGGCAGTGTAGTTTCCCCGTACTCAGCTCGTTTGAAAAACGGACGTTTCCGGTACTGCTCCGGTACTGCTCTTCCAGGTAAATCGTCATTTTTCGTCGATTTGCCTTCGACCAACAACCAAATCAAGCACAACTTTACGCACACCGAGACCACCAGCTTCATATTCGTACCGGTACTTTTGTCTATTCACTCACTGATGTCTATTCACTCATCCAGATTTCATGGTAGCTTCGCGAATTATTTTACCTGCAAAATAGCATCGACTGCGAACGAGGTACTGGCACTGGTACTTGTATCTCGAACTTGAACGAGTACGTGAGTACCACTGACCAATATATACCGATGATCCAATGGCGAGACAATGGGTCGAAAATTTGTATTCGATACAAGTAGGTACTGAATTCGGTACTTGTGCATTTGACTTTCAGACGAACAATGTCGTGCAATTGGAATAAATGTAATTTATATATTTATCCAAATTGTGAGTCAGTATTGTTTATATTTTTATCAATACTTACTTTTAATCCTTTTATTAGGGATATATTGGTAGAGACCTAAATATTTATAAAAAAAAGAAAAATAAATATTTGTCATCAAACAAAATCCTCTGATTATTAGTTACACCCAGAAATATTTTTTATAAATAAAATCACACCCTATTATAAATATGTAATTGATTAACATAGAGATTAGTCATAGAATATTAGTTGACTTGAAAATGCTGTGTAAACGTGATAAAAAAAACATTTACACGATAAGTTCTGATTTAATTTGCAGGTGAAAATAAATTATAAATTCATGGGTTTTTTTTGTTCGATTGTTAACATATCGGTTATTATTATTGTTATTAAATTAACGGATCTGAATTCTACATAACATGTCAGGAGTGTTTAGACTTTAAAATTAGATTGACTTATAATGGAGAATAAACAGCGAAAAAAAAAGTGGCAATGGCCCGAAGAATTGGATTTATTTAAATTTGTCATTTATATTCAATAGCTGAAATAATATTTAAATTGGTTCTTGTTCAAATTACATTGAACTTGCAACTACCCACCTACAGGGTTATTTTTACGGGGTTATTGTTTAAACCTACAGGGTTATTGGTATTAATTATTTAAACGTTTTTTGGAACACCGTGTATATATTTTAATATTCAAAAATTCCCGTTTAAGTCCCTAGTATCTGTCATTAAACTATTAAAGTAATATATTCTATACAGCTTGTCTAACTGGTCGTTTAATTGCGATACATTGTTAATAAAAAAAATTGAAACCAGTGTCTACAGGTTCATAAATTACAGATAATAGGTACAACTTGCTTTATACGTGAGGCTTGAATTAATCCGGCGTTATCAGCCCCTTCGGCATACGTCCTATACAATTTTTAGGTAGATTATAGTTATTTAAAGTTTAGTCAGTTGCTCTGTGAGTCAATTACTAATGGAAGGTTTGATAATAATAGAGCGCATTTTAAAATTTAATTAAAAAATCGGGCGACCTAAATGATAAATCAATGCTATTAAAAACTCATTATGCGAAGACTAATTACCTCTTTTAATTAGATAACAAATGAATCTCGGTCATTGCGCATTTAACTCGATTTTTCTGATGCCCTTAATTCATTAATCAATTTTTCTCAATTTGATTCCTCTTTTAAATATTGAATTATCAATCTTGTAAACAATCCTATCTCTATATTTTATCTTTCACTCAATTTACATTAATTTTCACTATAAAATTAACCCTTTACTGAGTTAATCCTGTACTCAAAAACAAATTAATCTCCTAATGAATTAATAATACTCAGTATTTATAACAATACAAATTCATCCCTTAATTCATTTCAATCGTATATCTGATTATATAAAGTATATGCACAATAATTAATTTTCTTACTTATTAATTCTCCTTCCTTAATATGCACACCTTAATAAATTTACCCTTACCAAATAACCCCTTATTTATTTTTTTTTATTCCAATTTCCACCGAGTATCTTACAAAACTGAATCATATTTATTTACCTGCGATCTGAAAAAACCAACCACAAAAATTCACGACCGGACGATCCACAACAAATAATCGAGAGCGCTTTGATTGACACCTTGACAATTAGACAAATGAGCGCGGATCTTCAGAGCCGCCTTCTTATAAACACGTCGGAACCCGTCCGAAATTCTCGGGGCGCGAGATTTTCCGCTCCTTCTCGCCTCAAATGGCTCAATTATCGTCGATATATTTTTAAATTTCACGGTTTGTCAACCGGTCGAGCGGACGCGTTTGTGCGTGCACAATCGGATGCAGCAGAATTCCAAAATGGCAACGAATCCCCTTGAACTTGACTTTGAGCTCTCGATAAGCCAGCGGGAGTCGAAGACGGCTCGACATCGTTCGATCATCGATGAATCGAAGAACAAAACTTTATTGTGTACATGCCCAAGATTTTTTTAACGCTCGGTGTGCGGTGCATACCAATTAGAACATGTACAGACTAATGGGTTTTTGTAATCGTGGCCTTTAAGGTGCTATAAAGGCGTTCGCTAATCAAGTTCCTTACAATACTTATTCTACTTTGATGTCCTTTTATCTTGTAATCCTATAATAGATAGGACGAGTTCGCGTTGTAAAAAACATGTTTCTTTCCAGTTTGTTGAACTTTTATCGTAAATAGATGTTAATTTTACTGAACCTACCTAAAATCTTATGTATAAACTATAAACTATAAAGTCTACTGGTGTTTGATATAGAAATATTGGTGAAAATTTATTGTTAATAAGATGTCTCCTTACATCTCTAATTTCTTGCATGAAACAGTTACAAAATAACCGGTTAAAAAGTAACCTTTCACAGTTTTACATATAACTCCAAAACTATTATTGGAATAAAATTCATTGTAGGCTTATTTTATAAGGAAAACAATCAGCATCTAGTTGATGATTAGAATTTTTAAAAGTTGCCGTTTTTCTAGATTATAATCTGGGTTGTTATTTGGGTATATATTTTTCGAATAATTTATGATTTTTCTACGCCACTGGATATTTTTCCGTAAGAAAACGAGTAATTTCGGGGGTCAATGAATCAACGACTGGCCGAGATGAATCTGAATTTATAATCCTTTTCTTATCGTTCTAGGAAATCGAAAATCTCTCGCATTTCGTTCGATTTGATTTTATAAAACTGAAGCAATCTCGTCGATACATCGTTACAAAAAAAATTTTACAACTTCACATAAATTTACAAACAATAATGACATGCAGTTAAAACATTTTCCGATCGATTTAATCCATTTTAGCATCAGCGGTCGTATTCGCTTGAACTGCCGGTACATCCCTGCAAATCAACAACGGCGGTACTTTACACTCGCATTCAGCGTGCTGCGTTTTTTGGTCGTAGAATCGCTTGAAGCTCGTTTGAATTCGTTCTCCCAACTTTAAGGATTTCGTCCCAAAAGTGCAAGTCAAATCTACAAAATACACGAAATTATCATTAGAAGATACATTAGAAGTCGCAGTACTATCTAAGTGTTACCAACAAACCTAGGTATACACTTTAACCATAAACAACCAACCTGAATTCGCGTCAACATCCGGATTAGGAGGTACTACCTTATCGTCTTCCGAAGCTGCAACAAACAACTCGAAATTTACACAACCAAACCAACAGTACTCGCTTTTACTTACGACAAATCCACTCGTCAGGGCAACACAGAGCGGTCTTGCTCGCTATAGTACCGCCATAGTACGGCGCGCAATGGTTCAGTACGTCCTGCGTGTGCCTAACTTGAGCTGCGCAAACGTGTTTCTTGCAAAACGGAGCCACGTGCTTTCCCTCGAACCCTTTCTCGCAAACGCACTCCAAGCACGTGTCCTTCGGGTAGTACCGCTCCCCTTCCACGTGGATGCCGCCGTCTACTTTGCATTCGAACGGAGGGGTCGATTCGGTAGCTGCGGAAACGAGGAAATCGCTTGAAGAGGTCGAAATGGTGCAAGAAGTCGGGCTAGTTGAAGGTTGGTGTTGATGATGGAGATACAAGTTGGCAAATGTAGTTTGATGAGGTTGATGATAGACGATGAATGGTAGATGAGAGGATAGATGACGAATGGTAGATGAGAGGATAGACGATGAATGGTAGATGAGAGGATAGACTATGAATGGTAGATGAGAGAATAGACGATGAATGGTAGATGAGAGGTTAGACGATGAATGGTAGATGAGAGGATAGATAACGAATGGTACATGAGAGGATAGACGATGAATGGTAGATGAGAGGATAGATAACGAATGGTACATGAGAGGATAGACGATGAATGGTAGATGAGAGGATAGGCTATAAATAGTAGATGATAGATGAGAGGATAGAGAATGAATGATAGATGAGAGGATAGACGATGAATGATAGATGAGAGGATAAAAGATGAATGGTAGATGAGAGGATAGACGATGATGAGAATATAGGTAGATACATGAGATTGTTGTAATACGATGGGGTCGGGGAATGATGAAGAAGGTGTTATAAAAATCTCTGTTGATAACTTACGGCAATTTTGTCCAGCAGAACAACATTGTCCCACTTCGTACTTCCGATAACAACCAAATTTCACAGGTACTCCCAACCATTCGGGGCAATCCAATATAGCGCAGGTGAATTTGTTGCTGCAAACGTAATGGAATTAGCTCGGAGAGATTGGAAAATTGGCAAATGAAAACTCACGTGCTCGTACATCTGCAGCCCACCGTGCAGGCGGCGTAGGTTTCGTCTTCGGTGAGCGACTCCCCGACGGGCACGTGTCGACCCCTGAAGGTGCACGTGTCGTTCTTGGCGACGAAATTGCATTTGTACTGCACGGGGCAGGCGCTTCCGGGGGCGCGTACAGCTTCGCAGCCCAGATCTTCGTACACCAGATGCGCGTGAAAATCGCAGTTTACTGTGGATGAAGAAATCAAGTGAGTTGTGGCCGTTTATTTGACGGTTTATGTCGTTTTGTGGAAGTGACAGGTGGCGGTTTAAGGAGAATTTGTTGTTTTTTTTTAATTTGAAGGGGGTCAAATTAATGAAATAAATATTGGTAGCCATTAAAATGGCAACGTCATAGTTTATCAAACTTGAAGAGTTTGTCAAAGTTTGATAAACCATTGACTCTTGACTTTTAAACATTTTTAAAAATAATTGTTTATAATTAATTAGTTAGCTGATGTATTTTTAGTTACTAATGTCGTATTTTTGAATTATTCAATAAACTATTGGAAAAATACAGTGTATAATGAATATCAGTTTTTTACCTTCATCTTTATCGGCCCACGAAAAAGCCACGAAAATGGCCAAAATCGCCGCAATTACAAACCCAATCCGGTTCATGTTCACTAATATTTATCACTAAATTAAACAAATACTGTTACTTATTACACCAGTATAAATTCGATAACTGAATTCTTGTAATGGTTTCTTCCTTTTAAATACTTTTATGTATTGGAATAGCTAGAATTGTTTATTAATATTGAATATTTTAATGAGTATGGTATATGTTGTTTTATTTAAATATCAAATTGATTTAATGTTTTTCGATATTCACTGCTTTATCAATATAAGCTGCTCCAATTAATTAACTAGCTATTTCTGTATACCATTATATTCCATTAATATTACAAAATTAATCGCCTAATAATTAAACATATAAGTACAACTTTTCTCAAAATTTAATAGTATAAATAAAGGGATGAATTAATGTATTATATTATCATTATGAAAGTAATAATAATTAAGAGCAGTGTATACTTCTTGAAAATCGAATAAATCCTCTTGGATTGAATATTAAATAGGCATTAACCTACAAACATGTTTTTGAAGGTGATTTATTAATTCAGTAACAACGTATATTTAATTTAAAACTCACCAGAAACTTTTCGAGAAAACCCATATACAAACTTATACTGCTTTACTTCAAGGTCTGTTAAGCGATGACACTTAAATATTTCTTTAACAGCACTGTATATAATTATTAATTTATCAGAGGATATTCGCCGATAATTAATGCATAAATTGCATGTAAATTAGAAAAAAACTGAACTTTTATCCAATTATAATATATTTATTTATTCAGATATACAATTGTCAACAATTACGACGTTTGAAACTCTTTAATCTCAATCGCTCTAATTCGGTATCATAATGAAATAGGCATATAGAATTTCGGAGCGCAGCGTCGAACCGGCCCGGGCCGGCTCAGCGACCCTCCCGGTACATTTTCTGCGACTCCTCCGAGCCCATGATGGCGTTCGACACCTCCGAGTTCCTCTTGCCCTGGATGGGCAGCCGATACGGTATCACCGGCACCTCCACCGGTATTATCTCCCTCGGGCGCAGCTGCGACGCCAGCCAGCTGGCCAGCTGATGAGCCCCCGGGCTAGCCAACTGAAACAAATCATCGACAAAATCACCACTGTGAAGAGGACGAAGCTGAAGTTGCTGCAATTGGTGGTTAAAGTTGATGTGGTTGGATTTGAAGGGAGCATTAGAAGGAGCGATTAGAAGAGGATAAGAAGGGAAGATTAGAAGGAAGGATAAGAAAGGAGGATAAGAAGGGGAAATAATAAGGGCTGTATTAAACGAAGTTAAAAAAGGTGATTTTTCAATAGATGAATTAACTTGATCCATAACATTTTTTTTGGAAATGATTTCAGGAATTTTTCTCTAACAAATATTGGCTATTGTTTGTAATAAAATTGTGCTAATGTTAGGAGAATAAATGAGTCTAAAAAAATTGAGATTGATGGTTTTTAGGGAAAGACGGAAATTTTAATTTGATTCCAATAAGCTTTGGATACTTACATCCCTGTCTATGTAGCGAAAATCTTCTCCTGGATATCCTTGAGCACAGCCCATGACTGTACAACAGAGAAGTACAGGTACCAATATGAATTTCCTGCTGGTTCTTCCTTCGGATATGTATCTGAAAAAAATAATCCTAGTTTCGATATCTCCGTGATGTAGTTATATAGATAATTGTAGTCGATTTGTTATGAACAATATATTATCAAAAAAGTACATTAAATTGTTTAAAAAAATGCTTACTTCATTTTGTAAAATCCGGTGGTAGCTCAGGGTGGAATCTAAACTGTGACTGATTGAAACGAGCATCGAGGTGCTCCTTAAATATGAAAATATCCGCGGAAATGGATCAGTTAGTTTTTGTTTCTGACATTTCAATGACATCCATCACCCTCGTTGAATATTTCGTAGATATTTTATGTTTTTCCTTTAATAAGAAAAATCGCTTTCTCTTGTCAGGTTGATGTGCGTCATTTACCGTCAAGTCTAATCGGAAAATGCATTGTTCTTTTTATAGATCTACCTAAAAAATCGCTGCACAGTTGCTGTCAATTATAAGTATATTATTTTATTATTTAATACTCTAAGATTATCTGGACACGAAAATAACCGCTTATATCATATACATTTTCTCATTAATAACCATCGGGAAAATAATACTCGAATTCGTTACAAAAAATTAGCTTTTATTGATACTAAAAAATATCACAAGTCGCGAACTCGCCGTTCTATTGCGATTAAAACACCGGTATGTCCATATGCTTTTTGTCTATTATATCATCGTCGAGAACCATCAGGTACATGAAGGTGAAGTAAAGGGCGGGTGCGCTGAGGAGGTGCCAAACGTCGTGCTTGTCGAAGAATTCGAACAGCACGCAATCCTGATTCCACTGTCTCGATTCCGCCGGAGTCACCTGAAAAATCGAAATCCAAAATCGATTTGTGTCTCATCAATTTCTTGGTCTATGAATGCACTCTAAGTGTGTTATGTTGTCTTATAAAGAAGTATGAAGGTGTGAAGGTATAAAACTTTGAAGGGTTAAATATTTGAAGGGTTGAATATTTGAAGAAAATTTAAGTATATTCTTAAGTATCGTTGGAGTTTTGAGATTCTTACCGTCCATAAAGTGGCCGCATCGAAGAAGTAAATGCTAGACCATACCCAAACTCCTATGCTTAGCAGGCCGTAGCAAATAGCTTCGGGGCACATTTTTTCATGATTCACCAACTGAAATAAACACAACGAATAAATATCTATTAACAACCTAGCGAAAAACTCCCATCCTACCTTCATGGAAGTGTAAAATACGGTGTGGATGATCGCGTTGCCCATCAGCAAACCCAACAGGAACGTCCCGAAATCGGTAAAGTTGCTGTTGTACAACAACAAACCTACCACCAGCATGGAGTAATTCGCTACATTCGCCAATACTAATAGTAAAAATCGAGCTGAAAAAATATACAACACGACAATAGCAACAAACTGACTGAATGACTGCTTTATATTCTTACTTTTCCTTATAGGCATAATTGCTTTCGAGATGGATTCTCCATTCGTTAACGTCGTACGGAATTCGTTCAATCCGATGATAACGTAATTTAAAAAGTAAATTTTAAACGACAATATTACAACCAATATCGAGTAACAAATCACGAATGTTATCCATATAACCAAATCTCCGTTCAATATGCCTATCATTGCTGAAATATAATTCCATAATTTAACTTTACAATAACGAATGTCCCGTAACTTACCCATAAATATGGCCAAACCTAGTATTGTAAACGTAGTGTAAGCGGTCGCGTTAATTTCAGGATGGCGATTCTGATACAACTTCACCATACTCAAAACAGCCATTACGTACATAAAACTGGTATCTGCAACGATTAATCGATCAGCAATCGATACGCTGTAACCCAGGGATAGCCCACAAAAGAATTATTTCTAAACGAGCTATCCACCAATGTGTATTACCAAATTGATAATTGGTTTGACTCGGACAAATGTGATAGCAAGCCGATAGCAGTCCTTCGATGATCAAAGCGACGCCCATGGCGTGGAAGAGACCGTAATGGACTGGAATTCCTCTAATCTAAAACGTAAATTTTCGCTCAATTTCACTTAATCCAGTAGTTAATTCACACTATTGTTGTGTTGGGATGTGTTCTTGTTGAGATTGTCAAGGATTACCTGTGTACTAGCTAAGAAAAAATCGTGTAAAGGAGAATAAATACTCACTTTCCGTATTTTGATGAGCCTATGTCGGTCGACAACGACGCAAATGAAGAGTATACCGAATATAACGTAACCCAAGTTGGAATAAATGTGATTGAAATCGCTGAAGCCGAGCAAGGGATGGGCGCAAAGGAAGTTGTAATAACACATATCCTCGTCACCGGTTTTATTCACAATCTGGAAAAGATCACAATTACCTTGTGGATAAGGCTAGGATAAAGCCTCACTCTTTGGTAGGTAAACACCAACTGCACCACGGGTATGCTGTAGAATATGGCGATGCTCAAAGTGTGCCACAGGTAATTGTACGATCTCCGTTTGATCACATCCGGACATCCGGCCAGCAGGGACAAATTTAAATCGATGGTTCTCAGGATTCCAGGCGCGTTTTTCTTGGAAACATGCATGAAATTCTCCTGGACGTCGACATCTGCAAACGCCAGATCAATTCACGGAATCTCCTGCAAGTCAGTCGCTCACCTTCGTGTCCCCTCTTCGATATGGTGCCGTACCGATGGGAAATCAAGGCGGCGAATAGGATCAAAAGAGCCACCACCAACAGTATGGCGATGGTGATGGTGATGGCCATCGCGTAATTTTTGGCGGTTATGCCGTTTCTCACTTTGAATTTGATATTGGACGCGTTAATGGCTCTATAGGTGGTGTGGAACACCGGCCTCGTCAATCTGGGTATATAAGAATTGCGTTGGCTGCATTCGTAGTTGTCTGGCTTGGCCACGAACACCAGGAAAAATCCCCCGACGTATCTTCTTCTCTACATAAAAACCGGGGTAAATCTTGTTGGGTAAATTATGAGTAAAGAGTCGAGAGATCTTTTGCTGGGATATTGTTGGTACTAGAATTTAACTTACAGCTAAGGTAATGGCTCCTTTGGTGTTGATGGTTTCGTAGATTCCCTCATACTTTATATCTTTGTTCAAATCGAATACGGGACACTGAAAAGTAAATTTTAAAAGTAATTCCAACATAATCCAGCCTCGTTATATTAGATTTTATAAAAAGAGCCAATGTTACAACCGGGTGAATTCATTCAAATGACCTATTTACGTAAACCGCAACTCCTCCGAACGCCCCCAAACGCCCCCCTTTCACGTCTTCGACGGGTCCGTTTACGTACTTTGCTGTCCTGCACAGAAACGATAAGGCACTTCTCGTCGTCGGATTCCACCTCGACGACCACTGTATCTGACGTGTTGCTGTCGAATTTGTAGAAGACGTATCTCGACTCGCTGGGCGACACGGACAGCGAATAGGTTTTGTTCAATTCCACGAAAAAATTCTTCTCTTCCTTCAACTCCACCGATATCCTCAGCGACTTGCTGCTGGACGTCGACAGGCTGATGATGAAGTTCTGGGCCAGGTGCAGGGGCCCGAACGAAAATGCTGTCGAAAAAAAATTATTGGTATTACACCATTATTATCTGGATCGTCAATAATCCCAATCGATGACTATCCAATTAATTAATAAACTATATAAATTATATTATTTAGTGAACTAATTCATTAATTTTTGTAATTAATACATTGGCTTTTATTTATAGAATTATTATTACCTAATTCTTCAAATATACCATTAACACTCTCAATTACATTGAAAAAAACTATTATCTATAACTTGACAAATTCAGTTAGTAATCTTTGCATTATTTGTAACTTACGCGACGATATGATGTCATCCATGTAATCGTGACATAGGGTTTTAGAGGCCGTGTGATAGGAATACTCCGATTGATTTGAGGCTATTAATGGAGATTCGACGAGCAAGGGTATTGACCAAGCAGTCACTTGCTTTTCTTGTCGAGCTACGATCAGGATGGGTTTCGTTCGTTCGGCGTCGATCGATGTGGTCTTCACTCGAAATGCATTGATTGACTGAAAATTTATCAATTCGTAGTATAATTTTTTTTAAATCAATAAATCAACAATTCACGCTAATTTGCGACCATCGAAATTTATTAATTCATCATTCTCGTAATAATATTCGTAATTGACATTCGATCAATTATCTAATTTAGGAATTAATTATAGAATTCCTTTACTGTTCATTTTATCGACTACTTTCTGAATAATTCATCAACTGAACCATTCTTATAATTGCAAATTTACTTTGTTAATTATATTGTTCTTTATACAATTTTTCGAATGCACAATTCATCAACTGTCAAAAACATCATTTATAAATTCACTGAAGTACGGTGAAGTAATAGTGAAGCAATAGTGAAGTAATGGTGAAGTAATGGTGAAATTATTTACCGTAAGATTGTCGTAAATTAAGACGTACTGATGACTCGAATTGACAAGGAACCATTTCTCTGAGATGTCCCTCATAATTTTTTGTTCAATATGAATGTCTTGAGCGTATACTTGCGTGTAAAACTGGAGAATCCATAGCAGGCACATTCCTGTTTCTGTTTACGATAACGTAATTATTTATTAGCTGGTATAATTGAGTTGAACAATTCACATTTACCGCAATAAAACTTCAGTTGAAGGACTGACTGAATTATTGATGGACCAACTGAATGACTTATTCTTTGTAATTAATTTGATACAATTTCGACTTACCTAAGGAAAACATTTCTTTGAATATGCCGCTAAACAATGCACCTACATTAGTGTGACTTATTCACTTTTGCGGTGTATTCTTTACACCGGGATTGAGAGAAGTTCTTATCTTATTTACTCTAAGTGTAGATATGATGTTTGATTATCAGTTATCACTTCGACAGGTACGAAATATTGATCAGGACTGTTCAAATTGTTTTAAACACAGAAAATGCATCCTGGAGAAATTTAGAATTACGTGGAAAAATAAATTATTAGTTCGAAAAATATTGGGCGATAATGTATTAGATATAAAGCATTTCAGCACTAGAAGGTTAACTTTATAAAAAATGCACAATATAATCGAATGAATAAGAAGAAAACCCATTAAATAATCAATTAAGTTCTCGAAGGAAATTTATAGGCATGAATAATTCAATATTCACCTATATATTGAAATTTTGATATGAAGTAGATTTTTTTTCCATAATGTCTTCGTAATTTTCATAATTCCTACTATCTAGATAAATTGTTTATTAGTAATTGACAGGTGCATATTTTTTAATATTTAATAGTTAATACAAAGTGTAGACTGTAAAAATAGTGTTAATGAGCGTTAGAAAATAAAAAAGTGTAATGTTTTATTCAGAAGTTTGTGGTTGTAATTGTGTAATTACTTGATTACATATTCTGAAGTTAGTATTGGCGATTCAAAAGTTTTGTTTAAGTTGTCTGTTTGTTTTTAAGAGATGTTTTGTATTTTAGTAAAAATGTGCACAATATAGGAAATACATATCTGTTAAGAAATAAAAATTAATTTAAAAAAGAGTTTTGAGAAATACGTAATTTTTGGTATTTCAAATATTCAAAAAGTTTATTATACAATCAATTGACACGTGACATTTATCAAAGCTATCAGTTACTTACTAGATTTAAATACCTCCAACTGTGTTGATTAATTTTTCCAACTAATTAGACAGTAAATAATCGATTATAATTACCTCTTAATATACAGTGTCGCACCGAAAGTTGAGTTAACGTGTCGACGTCGTATTCAAAACTAAAAATTTCTTTAGAAATGGATTAGGAATTGGGTTAATATTTAACAATTTTTTTATTGATTAAGCACCGAATCGAACGGGTGGCGGTTGTTCGTCAAAAATATTTTCTATCAAAATCCCACCGGCAATTATTGTTATTACATAGCAAATATACAATTACCTATTAAACATTTCACAGCCACGTAGATTTGAAGTTGAACATCCTGCTGTCAGTTCGATTTTCCTACATTAATATGCAAGCGAAACCTATTTGTGGGTAAATAAGGGAAATTTAATTATTGCTGCATAAATAACGCTTAAAATGATAGGGCGTTATCCTTGATTAATTTATGATAGAAAATATCTGTAGAATTGTTGCTTAATTTAAAGTACTTTTCTTTAATCTATACCTAAGTATTTTTTAAAGAAAATTTATGAATTTTCGATTATTGAGTTTTTTTAGAAATGTTTGCAGAATAAAATAGGTAGGATACAAATTTGTCTGTAATAATACATCTTTCATTTTTAAAATTAAGCTGTTAGTAAAGATAAAATATTAATACAATATTTTAAGTTCAGATTTGAGTAATATCTTTGCAGTGTTTAAGAAGTTTCTTTCGAACGTCTCTCAAAACTCTCATTCTCAACAGTTTTTTTATTTAATTAAAGAATCTTTGAAATGTTTTAATGAATTAGGATGCTATAAAAATATTAATTGGCACATTTATAGTCCATAGAAAACCAACCCAAATAAACACAACCAAACTTGATATAGTCCTGCAATTTTACCTGCTCGAAATTAGCAGACCTTGAATAAAAACAGTGGCGTAACTAGAGAAGGGTCCCTCAATTATATCCTGGTTCACCTGGTATATTTATTAATAAAACTTTACACCTTAATTACATATAAATCTAGGTAATATAAAAATCGTAATTTTTGTGTAAAGATTCATTAAGAAGTTATTAAGAAATTAGCTTTCTTGCTATAATTAATTAGTAAGCTTGAATTTGGGTATCACCCTGTAGGTATCCAAAAAATGGCGAATCTGAATGAAACCCAATACGATTTTATTCTCACGAGACGCGTCTATTATAAATAGACTTTGTATAGTAATAGTATATTATTTTAAGCATTTACCATGCCGTTGTAGAAGCTATAACTATAATGGCTCTTAATCAACGACAATTCAGTACTAATTGTGAATATTTACTATTTTTCAGATAAATGTTATCGGAATTGGACATTGTGGTTTCATAAACACGCGTTATCAACGCTATTTACTCGAATGTTTATAATGAGAGTGCGGGAAAAATGTGCCAAATTAAAATTTAATCTCGTCAAATTAAATTTCGAGCAGAAAAATACTATAAGGTAATGGAATAAGAGACGCAAGTGCGATCAACTTGGTGAAAATGATGACGAATTCCGATGAAAATGTTAGATTAAACCGTAAGTAGATACCTAATAAAATTTTATGGATTCCATGCATATTTGTTTTGTGCAGATACATAATATTTTGAAATTGTATTGTATTGTTCTGAATGTGCTCATTCATGAAGCACGTGCTGTGTTGTTAAATAATTTCTACTAGATTCCCGGTTAGTTCATTTAAAACAACGCGCGTTTTGATTTCATTCTAGTCGATTTTGTTGCAGTTAATTTACTGTTTGAGTAAGTAGGTAATTATTTTTTAATTCGAAATTTACTTTGGAAGTAAAGTGACAAATTTTAATTTAATACGGAATTATTTCGGTAATTTCGTCAGGTTTTGTAATTTGTTCGTAATTTTATTGCTGTTCTTGAAGCAAATTAAACATTTTTATTTAATTTGGAAAATTATTCTTAATAGCTTTTGATTACGACGTTTTATGATTCTGACTGATAAAAATGATATTTGACTAATTTTTGAGTTGTCATACGTTTTCTTGGCCTTTTACTTGTTTGCCAGAATTATAATATTTTTTCTCAATGCTGGAATAGTTCGGATTATCTTGTATACTATTAAACTATTTAGTGTTATCAAACAAACATAATAATCGGATATTGAACTAGTAAGTTTCGAGTAAGTTTCTTCAAATATGGCTTAATTAATAATTAAAAAAAAAAAAAAACAATTTTAAAATTTTTGTAATTTCAGCTGAAGAATTCAAAATCGCTTATAAGAAAGATGCGATGACTAAAGACAGTTATCATTTGGTGCACGGGGTGTTTTTGATATTTGGAATAATACATTTATTGCCAGTATCATTTTTTGTCACCGAAAATAATGTAAGTATAACGAGCATCGGTGAAAAAACTCACCAAAACCCCTCGAAAATTCCCCATTCAAACTCAAACTCTTCTATAACTTGTTGTACTGGAAGTTCAAATTTTAAAACATCTCGAAAAACCAATAACAACCCACCCAAAATTACTAAAAAAACCTCCATTAAAATTAAAATTATTCGTAGTACTGGATGTTCAAATTTAGAAACACCTCGGTATCGTCCAACGATCCAGAGTACCGATCCTCGTTACAATCGAATTTCGCATCCGGTACCAATGTAGCCCAATCGATACCAACAGTAATATGCATGATATTAGCCATGGTTTTCGGCTACAAAATAAAGGCGAAGCTCAGAATTTTGACCGCTTTGTACGTCATGGCTGCTTGCTTTGTAGTTACAACATGCTTCATAAGAGTCGATACGGATAATTGTAAGTGTTTGTTGTTGTAATTTGCTCTGGATAATGTTGTTTGTTTGTAGGGCAAGTTGGGTTTTTCGCTTTTACAATGTCTACTTTGGCTGTCATGAATGGTAAATAGGTATAGTACAATTGAGTATATAAATACATGGATAAACAAGGTGCAAATTAAGCATAAAACTTTAGATACCCATTCGAAACGCATTAGTGTCATCTCTTATCCGATCAATGTATCTATAATTTCTCCAATTAACTCGAGCTGATTTTTTTAGGGATTTTGGCTTTGTTCCAAGTGAGTTCGTTGGCTTTGCTATCAAAATTCCCGCCCGCCTACATGAAGACTTTCCTCGTGGGGCAAGGCGTAGGCGGGATATTTTCATCAGCCCTTCAAGTCATCGCCTTAGCGGCCGGTACTTCATCCCAAGCTTCGGCTATGGTTTATTTCGTAGTCGGTACTTTGATTTTAGTGTTAACCATCGTTTTGTACCACTCGGTGCATTACCAAGGTGAGTAGATGGAAAAAATTGAACGGTATTATAGGCAGTGTTAACATTTATGTTGTTAAATTTTAAGACTTCTACAAGGAAATCTTGGAAACTAATACAGAAGACACTAAAAGGGATTTGATAAGTGTGGCAGATGTGACGGACATTTCTGCTAAAATCTGGTCGAGTTTGGTGATTGTAATATCAGGCGCGCTGGCTTATGTACCAACCCATCCCGCTATTGCTGTTCTGGTGGTGTCCGAGTACAAATCGGAGTGGGCAGGTAATCGCCCTCGTTTATTCCTCGTCCGCGAAACATACTTTTTTATTGTTTTTTTTTTGTAGACAAATACTTTGTAGCCGTGGTAACTTTCTTATTTAGCGATATCTGTTGCGTCGTCGGACGAATCTTAGCCACAGCCATAAATAAGGTAACTTTTGATAATATTCAGTAATAGAGTATAATAGTTACTCGTAATTAAAACACTTGCGAAAAATTTCCAGAGACCTCACCATTCAATAATGGCTTTGTTAGCAGTACTGAGAATGATAGTATTCATACCATTATTTATGTTTTGCAACGCGTGGCCCAGGAACCACCAATTAGCCGTGTGGTTTCCCCACGACTGGCAGTATATACTAATTTTAGGCAGCTTCATGATATCCAGCGGGTACTTTTTTAACGTCGCTTTTCTAAACGTTATCAAGTAAGTTAATTATATCAGTTTATTTACGATTAAATCGATCTATTCATGCACCAGTGAAAGTTCCAAGATTTATTCGTACGAAAATGGTTCTATGAATATTATTAATAACATTTCTAATATTTAATACTTTTTATTCATAATCATATTTAATTCTAGTTAATAGTTAATAATATTGTTTTAGATTGGCTCCGGAATCAGAGGAAAATTCCTATTTGATAATGCAGACTGTTATAGGTATCGTGGGGGCCGTTTTCTCCCCATTGGGAGTATTGTGTGTTAATTTATTATGAATTAAAATGAATTAATAGAAAATTTGATGTTTATTTAAATTTTCTTGGGATTGATATCTCACAAATTTCACAACTGTCAAACCTAACCGGCAGATCTGTGTGATTTGCATATACAAAAAAGACATAATACTCAAACATGAAAATTAAAGATAATAAATTCGATAGAAAGTAAATAAATTGAATAAAAAAATCTTAATATATACAAACATTAACTAACTACAATATGTATAATAAATTACAATAAAATTAATTTCCAAATTTTAATACAACATTACAACACCGTTCGTCTTTTCCTCTAACACCGGTATTATAGTTTCCACGTCCTTGTCCATATTCACTATAAATATCACGATTATATTGACAAACGACGTTCCTGCAGCGCCAACTACGAACCTGAAATTACAATAAAAATTGGCAGGTGTCAAAATACTGACAATTAAACTGTCAAAGTTGATTTAAACGACACAATGACTTACCAAAAGGAATATCCCAACTCAGCCATATTCTCCGAGGTCCATTCGTTATCCCGATCTTCGCGGGATAAAACGCTGTACTGGATGTTCATGAAAAACTGCGCCGTCCAAAAACATATGGCGATGACGTCGCAAAGGACTAATCGAAGAAAAAATCCAGTTATTAACAATATTTAAAAGCAAATAAAATTTTGAATACAACTGTAATAATTAAACATTAATAATGTTGAACTTCTAATGAAGTAGATAACTATAAGGTAATAATTCGTGTAATTGAAGTAATTGGGGGGTTTACCTGAGAGAAAATTCCATAAATACAAGCCGGTGAATTTGGTGAGGCGCCTGGAGGCGGCTGTGACTGTGTTGATGACGGCGAATAGGCCGCTCAAACTAGAAAATAATAAGCCCATGCAGACGAATATCAAAGTACCCAGCCATAATTCGAAGGAGAGAAATTCGGGTTCGTGTTTCAGGAGATCGATAACTGAAAAATACATATAAATTATCAATAAATATTTGATGTATAAAATTCGGTTTAATGTTATTATTATTTTTATGGTCTTTAAATCCGAAATTAGATCATTAAATATTTTCCACAACGTTATTAAACACAAATAACTATATTACGAAACGCGCGTAATGATAGCTTTCACTTGAAAATAAAAGTAGATGTACTTATTTTTTGGAAAATCCAATGTGCATGGCGAATTCACGCTTCTGAACATTAAATAATTCGTTCTGGGAGAATCGGATTATCCATTATTTCCGCCACTAAAGTTTCTATAATATTCTCTTATTTCGTATAGAATTACTTAATCATATTAAAATGGTTGAATGGCAATTATTGAAATACATTTTTTACCTATAACTTCAGCAATTTTCTTTAACATTATCTACCATTTCATGAATTAATGATTTAGTGAACAAAAATTAGCTGGAATCTCTATATTTTCCTAGAAGTGCTCATAAATGTGACTATAGAAATGAAGAATATGCTTATAAAGTAGGTTTGCATTATTTATATCTACTTAATTAGTTTCTATATTTGTAGAGAAAGTGGGAATTAATTATGATAAACCATAAATGGTATAAATTAGTTAGTACCCCTAATAAGGTATTAAATATTTCCCATGGGAACTGATTATAAAATTTTTACTTTAATTTGGTAATTTACGTTTGAAAATACAAATACTCTTATATCCTCCTGAGTGAAGAATGTTCTAATTCATAGATTAATGCTTCAAATTGTGCTCTTAGTACCCCTAATAAGGTATTAAATATTTCGCATGAGAACTGATTATAAAATTTTTACTTTAATTTGGTAATTTACGTTTGAAAATACAAATACTCTTATATCCTCCTGAGTGAAGAATGTTCTAGTTCATAGATTAATGCTTCAAATTGTGCTTTTAGTACCCCGAATAAGGTATTAAATATTTCCCATGTGAACTGATTATAAATTTTTTAACCTTCATTTAGTACTTTACGTTTGAAAATCCAAATTCTCTTATATCCTCCTGAGTGAAGAATGTTTTAGTTCATAGATTAATGCTTCAAATTGTGCTCTTAGTACCCCTAATAAGGTACTAAATATTTCGCATGAGAACTGATTATAAATTTTTTAACCTTCATTTAGCACTTTACGTTCGAAAATCCAAATTCTCTTATATCCTCCTGAGTGAAGAATGTTCTAATTCATAGATTAAGGCTTCAAATTGTGCTCTTAGTACCCCTAATAAGGTATTAAATACTTCCCATGAGAACTGATTATACATTTTTTAACCTTCGTTTAGTACTTTACGTTTGAGAATCCAAATTCTCTTATATCCTCCTGAGTGAAGAATGTTCTAATTCATCGATTAATGCTTCAAATTGTGCTCTTTAATACAATACGTACCATCGATATCGTAAGTCCTCCAGCCGTAAGCCACGTTGAGCTCCTTCTTTCCGCCGAACAGGCCGAAGTGGATCTTCCCCTGGCTCTCGGCGGGGTTTTTGATGCGCTTCGCCCTCGCCTGCGCCCAGTGCTTGGTGCCCAAACTGGCCACCAGCAGCGCGACGGAGGCGCAAGCGATGAAAAAGGTGACGAAAATCGCCGCTCGTTTCGCGCGATTCATGATGAGGTCATCGCATTCGGTTCGCATGTACAGAGGGTTCGGACTTCGAGGGGTGGCCAGCGGAGCTTGAATCCTCGAGTTCTTGGGTCGTTGGGTTTTTGGTTATGTGTTTCGGTACCTGTGAATGAATTTATTGTGTAGACTGGAGAGGTTTCGGGGAAATTAAATTATAGTGACAGTTTTTGGGGAATGATGATGAGGCATTTAAGATTGGGTAGAATGTTAGATTAGATATAGTATACCTAATTGAGGATAAAGAGATTATATTTTCTCATTAAATACTAATATTTATAATAATCTGTCATCTCTCCAATCTTAAATGAGACTATATATGGGTACTTTTTCATCAAAGAAATCAAAACATCTACCTAATAGAAAATAACCGAGAAACAAACAAACAAATTTCTTCTAAACTTTTTCGGAACATCCTGTGCATATTAGATTAATTATTTGAGTAGAGCAAAAAAAATAATTTCCCTATTTTTATTTTTAAGTCTTATTTAGAGGAAAATAGTTCAATTTGGGATAACCATTTCCCATTTCCTCAAGGAACAATACCTATAAATACTCGTACAATATCCCAGTACTTTAACTCAACTTTACATTGTACTAGATATTTTGTAGAGTAAATAAATGTCCACTATGCAAAACTAATTAAATTTATAATTTAATATAACGCTACAATAACAATTTACATCACTTACCTAATAAAAAATATGTTCTCATCTAACGTTGAAATCCCCAATAAACACCATTTCACCAGTTTTCATAGCTCGCCCGTCGATTTCATCTGAGTACCTACATTTTCGTGCCACATTCTCGCCATCCTCGTTATCACCACATCACCACGAGTTCTTACCGATTATCCACGCGAGTGTCCACAATGGTACTAGACTCTGCTAATCCCAAATCGATTCAAATTGATGATCAAACCGCAGAAAACCCGGATTAATATTTCGACGACGAAAGTTATTCCGGTCACACAAAGGTTATTCAACATTTGTTAGACTATTTGCACTCGTACGTGACTCGTCCGAGCGGAGCGAAAGAGGGAGAGAGAGGCAGGTGAAACAGGTACAATTACAGGTAGAATTCTGTAGATGGACAGAGGTGTATTAAGGATTTGTCCTTCCCAAACAATTCTTATTGATTGGACATTTTAAGTAGAAGCGAATTAAATATACCACACTATAGTAAAGACCAAGCGGCAGCTAACTAAGATAGTATAGCAATTCTTTCTAATACTATATTTGGACTAGATAAAGTTCTTGCCTGTTTTCTCTAGGTGTCTCAATAAGTAGGTTGTTGAGCGATATAAAATCGAATAACCCGGTCCTGATATCGCAGCATATTGCATAGATGGTTCGTTGGGTTCCGGATTTTCTCGTAAAACGCTAACTTAACGTTGAACTAATTAATGAATCGTTAATTATGAATATTTGTTTTACTATGCCATGCGAGCCATTCACCCAGAAATTGGATTGCTGAAGAAGACCGGAAAGGACACGCAGATATTTCTTAATTACAGTCATAAATTTGTGTTGAACAAATTGATTGTTAGGTATATTGTAACGATAAAAATATAGCTGATTTTAAAATAAATATAATAAAATATATTTTTGGGGTATGTGTATGTTATAATGGGTCGTTTTGTATAATTTAAAATTATTAATGAGATGTTTCTGAAGTGTTTAGTGACTATTGAGTAAAATTCTTTTTAAGAATTGAGATATAGCCTGAGAGTATTTATTACAACGCAACATTTCATTTGATTACTAAACAAATAGAAAATCACAAAATATATCCATTCAGTCAGTCAATAACAGGTGCAGCTTTAAGGTTTAACTGGAGAATTGTTAATTGATTTACTATTCCATAACTTTCAAAAATCTAAACTTAGACATTGCAATAATTAGAAAATAAAACTTTAACTGTTCAGTAAATTATAATTGCACCGTCCTCGTTCCTCACCACAATTTTTTCACTCGGATCCCTAGATATCAAGTACTGCCTCAGGTACAGTACGCAAATGCTGACTATGTATAACACAACAGGAACCAAGTTCAACCTAAAAATGAGGAATAGGAGTAACATTTTCGACTTTAAATCGATAAATAACGGACTCACCAATACGAATACCCTAATACAGCAGTTTTATCTGACGTCATTTGGTTGGTTAAAGTCGACTCAATGGCAACGTTGTGATATATTGTTTTGTGGTACAGAACGCCCCAAGACAGCATGGATATCATAAGAGTAAATAGAGCTGTGGCGTTGTAAACGTATAAAGAATACACGCTCAAATAAACTTGTGTCGGATTCGTAACTGTATTATAAAATGCCAGAGCAGCGGAAATTGTACCCAGTAACATAGATAAAACTAGGAAAAGTATCGTTGTTACCCAAACGCCGCAATTGATAAAGTTTGAAACTGAAAAATTGGAGGATTAACCGGTTACAAGTATATTTATACGAATAATATAAACAGATATAAAGATCGTACCTTGATTGGTTTTCGAAAGTTGGTCGTAGATTTGGGCCAAAACCTCTTGCCTTTGATCGCTCGTAGGTTCACTTAAGTAGGCGCATATGTTCTTTTTGGCCCAACAAGTCACTAAAAAATATAGTGTACACGTAAATCTTAATCATAAAAACATATTGCATTTAAAAGTAGGGCGAAAAAGTTTTTAAAAATTGTTTATATAAAATGATTTTTATAGGTTACCATTACAAAATAACCGGTTATAAAGTAACGGTTCGTAATTTTCCTCTTGCTTCTAATACTCCTGCATCAAAAATGTACAGTTTTAAAATTTTTACAAACCACTTTAACCTTGTGTAAATATTTTATTAGTTATTAATACTTACTAGTAAGAGGCTCAGTCGCTAGAGTATAAGTCTTAGTAAAAGTACCATCGAATAATCCATATTTTACTCTTTGAAGAGTTTCCGCAAATTCAATTTTATCCGAATGCACCCACTCTTTCGTTATAATCGACACCAACGACATCAAAACACCAAGACTGGATAAAATGCACGTTACGAAAACAAACATTCTTTTAACTGTCGCCATTTTCGATTCTTATCAGCCCCTGCGGGGCTAAATTTTCACTAGTTTTCGACAACAAACCAGGAAAATAGCCGAGGCTTTACTAATTCGATAGCACGAGATAAATGCGAGATAAACAAGAGTTACATACGAACCTACTTATTTCTGATTTCATCATATTTTCGTATCTGGTGTACCTATTGTCATTTATCTTATCTAGGTATGCTATTTAATCGATATTATTTTATGGAAGTGCCCGATTTCGGATTAATAGAGTAGATATAAATAAAGCTGATCCAGATTAGTATTTCATATCTATAAGATATTTTTTAATTTGTTACAATTTGCTCTTCTGTAATGTAAGTGATTGTATCCTCTTGTAGTTTCATGGTATAACCTACAAGGTAAAAGACCACGAAGTCACATTTTTAGTATGTGTATATTAGTTTTTAGTTGGTAATATTTCATCTACAGTGAATATTTTTTGTGGTATCGTCTTTCCATTGAGTTATTCTTAAAGAATGGATGCGTTTTTAGGGATCCCATTTTTAATATTTTATTACGAGAATAAATTTATGGGAAGGGGAGAGGATAGCAATTAAAGTGTCGTATATTTTTACATTATATATTTATGTCTTATTTGATTATGAAACACTTTTGCATTTTAGTTATTATTATTGTTTGTTAATAGTTATTGTTATTCTTAAAATCCATTATCTTTCTTACATATACAATACATTTCGGTTTGATTTGATTATGAAAAATAATTTTGCACAATTACTTTAACCAACAAATAAATAAATCGGTGTGTGTCTACTTCAAAGTAGCACTAATTTTATCAATGTTTAACGAACTAATTAAGTTCCATTAATTAGTATTACTGCAGATGGATTTACGAAAATTCTAGTGGATACTGTTAAATAGACACACGACGTAAAACAATAATCGATATCACAGAACATGAAAAAATTATACAGCGTAGGTATTATTAAATTTAATCTAAAACTACATAATTCATTTTTGGTGTTTCCAATTTGTTGGGTTAAAATTTGCCCTAAAATTCAGGTCCACGTCCGTTAAAGATCTGAAAATTATATTTTTCTAAATATACAAACATTAATTTATTCAATAAATTAATCAGAGAAAGGAAATTGTGCAAGACAAACAATAAAAAAGGCTATCAAAACATTTATGGAATTGACCAAAATTGACCTAAATACTCATTGACTTTGGCAAAGTACTATTAAAATGAAAGCAAGGTGAAATTAAAGATAAAAAATTAAGGTAAACTGCAAGTTAAAAATCACTAAAATTAGCAAAATAAACTCACCCTAATGCTGCTGTTCGCCTTCTGCTGGTCTTTGACGAACGAATCCCGATTAGCCGAAGAAGTACCGACGAGTCCGCCGCACGACCGCGAAAAAGTACGCCCCAAAGAACCGCCCAGGACTCTAGATTTCGCCCTAACTCGTACATAGTGCTCTAGTGTCGATCTGGCGTAGGTAACAGTGGTGCAAAATAAAAAACAAGAAAAACATCGAATGAAAAACAAGCAGTGCGGGTTGTACACAAGCATTCTATGCTATACGTTTACCACACATCCGGACATTATGTGGATTGTATCCAGATATGTTGGGGGAAGGATGCATATACTATATGCTATTTGTTATTAACCAGGATCTCCGGGATATCTGGTTATTGTTGTGGTAAGAGGTAGGCAATTGCAATTGGACATAATTGGTTCAAATATGAATTGGAATGGATACCATACAATCACCATATCCAGAATATCCAGATATTGTTAAGAAATTAATATTGTTAAAAGGATGCACGTTTAATTTAATAACTTATTTAACAATCGACTAGCATTGCATGTTGGACATTTAAAGCTTCCTGTACTTACCATTAGAGATATTAGTCAATTTTATTCAAAGCTTCAACATTTATTTACAGCAAAGTTTTGTAAATTTGGCGGTTGGAGATTTATGTTTTCTAGCATGAATTGAGCTTGATTAGAAAACTAAAATCGCCAACCAGCTATTAATTTGCTAGTCTAACATTTAAACATGCAAAACATCCTCCACATTTCGAAAACATCCCTATTTAAATTTTCGTTTAATACCTAGGTATTTTTTGAAGGTGAGAATCTTTTCGAAAAGTGGAATCAACAAAACACTCATTAACATTTTCGACATCGAGTGCTCTAACAAAATCAAGTCAGCAGTGCAATAGGGACCACATGGCATTTAAAATAACATAGAATGTTTGTGTAAATTACAGTGTTCGTAAAATATGCGCGTGTGGAATCAAAAACGAATTTTCGTTCATTCGATAAATCGTTTATTTTTAAAATCAATAAAGATTTATAAATTATATTATAATTCATTAAATATATATTACCTATTAGAATTCTGCAAATTAGTTTTTTTTTTGATTTTAATATTATTGTTATAGATAGATGTAGATAGATTCATCTGGATATTGCACATTTAAAAAATTATCTATTTTTATACAAAGCGATTTTTTTAATTAAGTAAATGTGTTAGTTTTCGCCACAAGCCCGATTAGCCTTCGAAATAATCGCCTTGTATAAACGTGTTTTCGAGAATCGGAGCGGTTTGAATTCAATTTCAACAGATAAAACAAAAACTATTGACAAATATAAAGCTTCTACAACTCACAGTCAATTACTTGAATTTTCCCGTAAAAATCCCAAAATTGCACTACAAGCCCGCTCCAAATGAGACGCAAGCCATCCACCTCGACTACCGATTCTCAAAAAGCACCATCTAATCGGCGACAACAACCGAACAAATACAAATCATATTTCTTTTTTTTGATTGATTGATTATCTATGTTTCGATATGACTCTGGCCGCCTCTGATTGGAGTTCCTCCAGTTGGCAAAAAATGACGTACCTGGCTGGCAAGATGAGCGCCTCCAGCTCCGCCGTCAGGTGTCTTCTGATGATGTTCTTGCTGGCCGGGATGCCCAAGGCGGTTGCCATGGTGTCGCCGTTGAAAGACGGCTCCAGCACCACCAGGCCCCCGTGTACGCCGCTATCTGCAAGTTCACCAAAGATGGTATACGATAGAAGGTACAAATACTGATGAGAAAACTGTTCGTGAAGGAAATGTTCAGAGGTAATGAAATGCAGAGGTATTCATTGTAGAATAAGCAGTAAAGGCAGGAATTAATGAAGAAGAATATACTGGAATGAAACTATTGGAGAAAAATCAACTTTTGATGATGTTAGAAGAATCTACTGAAGGAACTGTGTGGATGAGAATTTTCTGAAAGAGTGGAAAAATCTTTGGTAATTACCTTTCAAATTTTCCGCGTACTCGCCGAGATCGATGCTCCTGGCCCATCTAACAAACCTCTGATTGGTCCACACCAAGGGATCGGCGTCCATGGAGTCGCATTGGTGCCTTCTAACTGCCAGCGCCTAGATTTAGCAACAATAAATGAAAAACCGCGTTTATAAAATGCAATTTCTCTGGAAGAGTGCATGAAGGTAATGTCGATTTACCTGTCGATCGTATTTCATGATTCTCAGAAGGTGAATTCCGTGTACGATTGACGCTTGATGGAACTTCCTGGTCACGCCTAGATATTTCTCCAATTCCTTTTTGCTCAAATGCTCCAACATTCTGGCGTCTACCATGTTAGTAGCGAAACTTTCCGAATACTAAAACAGAAATTATACAATCAATCATCGTTTCCAATTCAGCGATGCAGGGATTATTAGATATGAATTACCTGTGCTAATCCCAAGTCGGGCAGCCATTCGTTGCATACCCAATTGTGGCCCAATTGGGCGACGCCGGGATACCTCACCAGCGATGGGTTCCGGTGCTCCTCGATGGCCAGCCGGATCTTCTTGCGGTGCATCGGATGCGTCACCCCCAGTCCGCATTCCAACTCCAAGTCGCTCAGCTCCAAGAGCACCTGACCATGCAAAGGACCAATCTATAAGATTTTTAGATAACATTCACACCTTTCTCTCCCCGGGATTTTTATCGCTAATCGCCGATATTAGTATGTTAGTGTTTGTTGTTTGATAAATGAAAGAAACGAATGGTGAACGGTGAGGTAATGAAGATGCAGGAGTAGTTTAGTTAGTACATAGTGGTGATCACCTTTCCGCTTTTGATGTTCTCCGCGCATCTGGTCCCGTACTGGGCCATACCCAAAGCTATCTCCAACCAAGCCAGTACCGTGGAGGCTCTCCATCGCTCCATCGGTATGCTGTTCGCTTCTCTAAGCAGTCTTAGTTTCTCCGCGTAGCCCTCTTCTGTCAACGGGGACCAACTTCTGTACGGATCGTACGATTCACCTGCATTAAAATAAGTTCCATGATTATAGAAAGTGCGAAATAATAATCTACTGGAAAAAACCCTTAATTAAGTAGGTGTACTCACTAGTTTCTTGCAAAGAGTTGGATTTATTCCGGTGTCTCGATCTGGCGAACACCCTGGATATGCTGCCCCAAGTGCCGCCCCTTCCGCTCGACGGCCTGCTGGATTGTTTGATCCGTCTACCTACGGTGATTGGTTCTGGTTCCATCGGTGAATTGAGTTGTTCCACGGATCTATGTGATAAACAGTTTAAAAAATAAGAACTAAGTTTCTCTACTACATCTAATAACTTCTTAATAATGTCTGGAAATATACGATGTAGTGTAGAAGCAAGTGCATATGAGCAAGCGCCAATGTAGCACCACAGAGTACCAACCTTGAATAAGATGCCGGATCTACTGACCTAGAGAACGCGTTCGCATTCAGAGGAGACAGCGTCGGGCTGCAGTCTTTGGTCGAAGCTGAAACCACGAAACACCGATTCACCGAAAATACCAACGATTTATCTTTGGCAGCTTACATTGGTACATGTGCGGCGGCGGCACCGACGACATCAGCGATATGGAATCGACGTCCTTGTGGCCGTCGCCGCCGCCCAGCGTCACGGTGGGCGCGCCGTCCGTCGTCGAATCGGACAGGTTGCCGGCCACCGAGGTGGCGCCGCTCTCCCTGTCCGAGCTCACCCTCACGCCCGAATCGGCGCTGCAGCTGCCCCGGTCGCCGGGCAGCTGGCCCAGCCCGTGGTGGCCGGACAACAGGCCGCCGGAGCCCGGCGTCAGCGCGCCGCCGTTGATGTTGTGCCGCGGCAACGACGCCAGCGACTCCTGGTCGGAGAGGCAGCCGCTCGACGCCAATAATCTTCTGGCCTGTGAACAGTAGAAATGTGAAGAATAGTGAATCATTTGGGTCGAGTTTGTGATAAATATTATTATAAAATTGTGGATCTGTGGTGATTGGCAAGAGGTTGTAGAAAAACACAGTTGAAGAAGAAGAGGATCTGGGGCATATACAAACGGTTGATGACTATTTGAGTACCTCTTGTAGCTGGTCCTGGGCCTGTTGAAGCTGCAGCTCCTTGGCGTTGAGCTGGGCTGCGAGGGATAAACTCCTTTCGGCCTCGTCTCGAGCGTGCCGCAGCAAACTCCATCGTTCTCGTTCTCTTTCCTCTCGTTCGGTGGAGAGTTGTTGCATCGATGTATCGTTGTCCCTCGACCGCTGAAACAAATTTCAGGGGTAGACCGTGAAAAACTCTCGCACGATGCTTCGTAGGCAAAATTTTAATTTATCAAAGCCATAAATGTAGGGAGAAACATTGCAGAATACTCGTGTTAAACTCGTATCTATATCTCCCGTTTGCAATTGAAACCATTAATCCTGTTTCACCCCCTTGCCGTTTTTCATTAAAGGTAAAGTTCGAAGTTAGAAAGCCATTACCTCCTCCTACGCTTCTTCATCGCCCTCGATTTGAGTCAATATTAATTATCCTTAGCGACGTTCGGCCGTTTCCACGGACTTCCCCCGCTTGCTGATCTAATAAATTCCTCGCGGCAGAGGAGATTCGTCCCCTAGACATGCGAACGCTACCCAGGGGCGGCTTTTTCGCCCCCCTCGGGCGTATAAAATATTTCGCGAATGCCGCCGGGCGCTAGACCTGGCAGGTGGGCCAAGGAAGGAATAGTTATTGCTACGGTTGCGGAGGGGTTGGCGGTGAATCGGGGGTGAACGGCAAGGGATTTTTGCCGAGATTTCGCAGGTTTATAGTTGGAAAAAAAGGAAAAGTAAGGGGTGGAATGGATGCGGTTGTGGCGTTTTTATGTTAAAAAGTGGCAATATTGTTGGGGAGGGTGGAACGCCGAGTTTATAGCGCTTTGTAACGTTGAAATATTAAATAAGTTGGAGAAATTGTTGGTCGTTTATTTCGTTGTTACTTTAATTGGATAATATTTTGAAAATCTTTGGGAAAAACTCGGTTGTAAAATTCTTACCTGGCCGTAACTTCTGATAAAGTCGCGCAACTCTTTCTCTTTGTCTTCGAGCGTCAGATACAACTGTTTCATTTGATTGAGTAGATCGAATTTCTCGGCTTTCAGGCGTCTTTTGTCCGCTTTCAGGGCTGAAATAATATTCGAAATAATATATATTTGAGTAACCCCAAACGAAATATTTCCAGTTTTTTATTTCCAAATTCTCTTTGAGTTTCTGACCCCTAATTCAAACGGAATTTGAAGAGGATGAACATTTTTGTAAGTACTCTATGTATTTGTCCACATTATTGCAATCATTACTAATGGCCTCAAGCATATGCTAAATAGCCAAGTTTCAGTAAATAATACTTTAAACATAATTACATCACGAAATAAACATTTCATGTAGGTATCCGAATATTCAATTTCAATAGACTTCCGAATAGGACGGGAATGTATTGAATATACCTATACACCACCTATTCATTTATGCTGATGTTATATTTCAATTACACCTAAACTAGGTCGAGGTACAAGCACAATGACGGCACAATAACAGCCCCGAAAAGGAAGTAGCTGTATAGCCTATAGTTCATTCACTCCTATCGCAGCGATGATATCACGAAGGCTGGAACACATTGTACAAAGAGGTGTTGCCATGTTGTTCGATTTTGTACAAGGATGTACACTAATTTTACTCCAAACAACCGCTTGTTTTCGGGCTTTATATCCCAATTTTTTGAGTCAAAGTTTCATCATATCTACTCAGTAAGCACTAATAATAGTGAATGAGATATCAATATTTCTAAATGAGTAGTAGCTACTGACTGACTCACTCACAACTCAAACCCTTTACTTCTTCTTCTTTAATTTTATTGGCTTCGACTGCTAAAGATCATTTAGCCGTATAAATCAAGAAAAAGAATTTCTTGAAGGTTAGTATTCTATAATTTGTATATTATTTCAGATTTTTAACGGATTTTATAAAAATTTCACTAGATACACTAGATACAGCATTGCAAATAAATGGCAGTTTTTGATTGCAATTTTCTTAAATATATAACGAAGTAGAAGAGATTAAAAATAGGAGATATCATTGCTTGGAGTCTCTATATTAGGTATAAGAAAGATTCAAATCAATTGAATGAATGATCCAAATTTGAATCTTACTGGAATTACTGAACCTATGTTTTCCCATTTAAAAATCATTAAAATAGATTTCAGATGGTTAAGGTATTTTATGTTATGGTTAAATATTGTCCCCGAACCCTTTAATCCTCACTTACTAGACAGCGCCTCTCTGGCCAGCTGCAGCTCCAGCTCCAAGGCGGAGGCGGCGCCGCCTTCGTTGGCCTCCTCGGCCTCCCCGTCGGCGGCCCGGAGCTTCCTCTCGGCGAGGGCGGAGGTGGCGCCGCTGACGACGAGCCGCTTCAGGCGCGTCACCTCCGCCTGCAGGCGCTCGTTCTCCTGCCGGACGCGCCGGACGGTGGCCGTCGCCGCGTCGGCCGACGGCTTGGCGTAGCGCGACGGCGACGGCAGCAGCGCCGACAGGTCGTCGCGGTGGTTGCCGTCGGAGCTGCGCGGCGACCGCGGCGACGAAGAATCCGCTGCAAAATATCGCAGATGAAGCTGTGTAAGCGAATGTATAGCGAAGAAACTCACCGATGTCGACGTCGAGTTGGCTGCTGCAGCCCGGTTTGGGCGAGTCCGAGCCGGTTTCGAGCGACGACCGGCTGCTCTTTAGCGGATTCGAGGCGGCTGTTTCCTCCACCGGTACATCAGCTTCCCGGGGATCATCTTCCGGCGGGTCGTCCTTGTCGGATTCCTCTTGGTTCGACTTGAATTTCTTCGCGACGCCGTTTTTGTCGGGCGGCGGGAGCTCGGCGGCCGTCGATTTGGCGTCGATTTCGGCGGGTTTGTCGTCGGGTTGGTGGGCGATGGCGGGCACACGCGCTGGGGCGGTGCAGTCGGTCATTTTGGCGTCGGGGCCGGCGCAAGCGGGGGTGGCTGCGGGGTAATCGGATTCTATCCGGGCGGACAGGTCCGAGGAATGTTCTTCTACCATTCTGCGAAGCTTTGCCTGCGATGAGACGGATCGAGCGGTGAGTTTGGATGGCGAGCCGTTGGGATGAGGGTGGTAAATGGGATAGTTTTACCTGTGCGTCTACGAATAGACGTCGCATTAACAGCGCCATGGGGGCACGCCGACGATTGTCGTGCGCAATTTCCTCTCCATCACGGCCATTGTCTCAAACATTAGGAAAATAATCTGGAATCAAGTAGATATTATTACAATGTTTTCGTTGCTTCCAAACAATGTTATAAAAATTCTATTCTATTCAATGTATTTCTTAAATTGAAGATAATTAAAATAGTGTTTTAAAATTATGAGACTATAAACCTACTCCCTATTGTATATAATGTTTAATTTATTTTCACATCACAATCTCTTTCTAGGAAGTTAAGTTATTTTCTTAAAACTTTAAATAGAAGATTTTTCGGCGAATTAAATGGAGATGGCTTTAAAAATAATAATAAAAAAATAATCGAAATTTTTCTCGACTGTTCCTGTTAATAAAATGTTCAGCAAAAGCGATTTAAACACTCCGAATTTCATAAATAAATTTGTAAGTGAAGGTTTTAAATATAGATTTAGATATTGGAACAAACCAGAAAAATATTCTTAAAATAAATAACACTTAAATACAGACGAAATTTAATATGTCTACTCGGAAATTCGCTTTTCGATCTCAATAAAATAAACAACATTTCCAGATTTTTACTGTAGTATTTTTCCTCTAGTACTTTTGAACTACTCACAATTTAACACGTTTTTTTTTTATATTCTGTTATAATTAAATTTTATATCGGAATAATAATATCCCTAAAAAAAGCTTTACGGACGCCTTTGAATAAATAACAACAGTTTTTTTTCCACATCAAGATCAATTACATTCTCAACGCACCATATTGTTATATTCAAAGGCGAGAAAATTTTAAATTTTAGCCTATTAAAGTAAATTGAGAACAATAAAATTCTTATACAGTTAATCTAAAGAATGTCCCATTATCAAGACAGTGGCGTTACAAGTAAAATACTCCATGCACTTGGATAAGTGTAATTTAATTCAATTATTTTGAAATCAAATTGATGTTGTTGAATATCTGCCCTACCTACAAATTCAACTGCAGGATGAAATGTAGAAAATTTTATGATTTTTAGTGTTTAAAAAAATTCTAAATTGAATCTTTAATAAACTAAATACATGAAGTATTTGATGAATTTTTGGGTTTACGGTAGGTGTATGAGAATTTTACGATTTTTCAGCGAGTTTATTCGGGTATTTAATGAATTTTTTTATGACTTTTTGATGAATATTGGTGCTTTTTAAGTGAATTTTAATGAGTTTTTGATTTCTCTATAACCAATTTTAATATAATTAGTTATAAAATCGGTATTCCATTTGTGAACAGTTCTGTTATATTGATGAATTGCGGTTTTTATGATTTACATACAAGCTGATATCCTGTATGCAAATTTCATACAAATACGGGGTGATTAATAACCAATGATGGATAAAAACTGTACGGATATTTTCAAATTAAAGAATGTTAAAAGAATATTCACTTTTGAATTAAATATCTGTACATTTGATGTGATTTTTTAATAGGTTTTATTAGAAATTGGGGCTCCTTTATTGAAGGAAATTGATGAATTTAAGGTCTTCACATTAGTGTTTTTTATGCATATTTTCAGCCATTTTTTGTAGACTTTTAGCGGATTGTCATAAAATTGATGGTTTTTATAAGAAAACTAACTTTTAACGAATTTTTAAAAAAATTGAATATTTTAATTTTTTGATGAATTTGGACTCTCTTTAAGTGCGCATTTACAACATTTTCCTTAAATTTGGTTTGCAATATCGATTATCGCACCAATTTCACCCATACTTTAAAGCTATTTTAAAATATTATAAACGAGTTTTAACGTAATCTTGTATTCGTGATAAATCCATCTAAACAACAGCATTATGAAATCTGCTTATACACTCACCTTTATATTATAATTGTCAACATATAGGTCAGCATTTCATCATATCATCCGAGATGTAGGTAAAACAGGTGCGTGTACAGACACGCCCTTTAATTTAAAAAAATAAATAAATTCAATTACTCATCCTCAATTATCTCTCAAACACAAACTCAACGAACACACTCAATTAAACCTAATACAGTTATCCAGTTCAATACCTTAATTATATATCACCGTCACGATCGAATATATCAAAGGAAACTTTTTCATCACACTAAGGAAAAATCACAACCGTTGTTTCACTAGCATTATCTCCGTGGAAATCACAAACTGCACATTTCGTCATTCATTATGTTCATTCATTCCTCAGGCGTTTGTTTTCGGTGAAAATTCGCGACGACTCCGCCGTGCAGCGCTCCTCCCGGTCATTTTTTGTTGATTTATTGACCCACAAATGGCGGAAGTGCACGCGAAAATGATCGAATTCCGCGCTTTTTCCACCGACGAGTTTTCCCAATTTTCAATTCCGACTATCCAGCGGTTTCGTCAACCGCTTCGATTGGCACGCATCGAACGGTCACCGTTTGTTAATTTATTATTAATATTATTTACGCGCATTTAATTCGTCGGGTATGCCGTGATTTTAATAATTAATCAGCACGTTGAATGCGAGGAGAATATATTTATTTGATTATTAGTAAAAGCACTCACTTACGCACGTTTCATCCAATTTAATTTTAATTAACGCACATACATCGAGCGGGTCCCGTGAACTGTACGAGCATTCTTTGATCACTTTGCTTTTTTAACTTAGGGCTTTATTGTTGCACTAACTACGCGTTTGTTCCAATAAAGTTGCGTTTTCGACGATATATCGAGCGGGCTCCGAACTGAAGCATTCATAGATCACTGCGTTATTTTCGTGTGTTATATTATAATTGTAATACTGGTAATACGAATGTAGGTGATGGTAATGTATTTGTGTATGTTGCGTCGGGTTTGGTGTACTTAAAAGCAGGAATAGTGTAGTGTAATTTCGTAGACGAGAGGGCAGGCGCCTGCGCCTCGCGTTGATTTTCGCCCCTTCTGGAAGCGCACCCTTCGATGAACGGCCGTGTCGTTAGGTGCAGGGGTGGGTGGAAAATTGTAAGGGAAAATGAAAATCGTTATGGAGATTGAGGTTTTGCGCGATTTCATTTCATCGAATACGATGTTTCAAAATCAAGTTTCTCTTAGTATTTTGAAACATAATTATATAGGACATCCTTTATTACAATCTTTAAAGATGCCAATTGTTTGCAATATAGAATATGGGTGCAACAAAGAAAACTTACAGTATCACATACAGGTTGCTCCATTTTTGATTGCAACATAGGTTATACCGATTGCTTCAACTCAGACCGCAACATGGTCGTTTCTATGAGTTGAACAAAGAGAGATTGATAAAATGACTGTTGTCAGAGTGAAAAGTTGCAATGACACAAATATCACTCTTTCTTTTTCTTTTATAAGTGTTTAATGGAAGTTTTCTTTATCGCACCTATAGCTTATATACCCTATGTTGCGATCTGGAATCAATCACAGTGTATACCATGTTGCAATCGGAAATGGAGCAAGGTGTATAATGGAAAAAGAAAGATATTGTGGGTTAATTGCAACTTTTTCACTTTAATATATTTTTATTTTTATATTTCTTTGTTCAACTCATAAAATTGGTTATACAGATTGATGCATTTAAGTTTGCAATGTAGGCTATGTGTGCAAGAGAGACAACTTACATTAGACACTAATAAAGGAAAAATATAGTCAAACCTATGAGTTGAATAAATAGTTTATAGAGTAAGAAACTTGGAATTCCACAATATCACTCTTTCTTTTTCCTTCATATGAGACTAATGAAGGTTATCTTTGTTACACCCATAACCAACATTGCAAACAATTTTGCATCTACCTGTATGCATTAAATTTCTTAAACATTCCTGCTAAAAGGGCTCCATGTTCCATTAAAACAAACCCTTCAATCGATGATAATTCGCTTTAAAATCCAATCGGTTTTATCGTCGAATTTTTTACGCCAATTTAATTCTCAGATGACGCATCCTGTTCAAACACGCATCGCGTCCTCCCCTTTTCGCGTTACCGTAAGGTGCACGGAGCGGTTGAAACAAGTTACAACAAGTGTTAGTCATGCAGCCCTTTGTGTTTGTTGTTCCATAGCCTACTGCAAGCACCCTCGCTGCGGGAGGGTCGAATTCGTTCCGTGTGAATCACCTGCGTATGCGGCGTTTATCAATTATGCAGGGTTTTCCCGAGGTTAATGCAAAATTAACTCGATCCTAAACGAGTAAATAATAATAAATCTCGATTTTATTTGTGTTCATGTTATTTACATTCAGTTAATATCTCTACGCCACTGTCCGTAATTAATACAGTGTGCTCGAATTGGGCTGTTCTTGCGTCATCGACTGTGACAGCTGTCCAATCGTCATTCAAAATGGTGATGCCATCTTCTCCTTCTGTCAAAATAGGCTCTATTGTGAAGGTCATTCCGGCTGCCATAACACCCGGATAAACGTTGGCTAATAAAATAGAAGTACGAATATTATTTATAACTCACAAAGGTAATATAAATTAACGTTTTCTCAATAAAACGTTGCCTGTCTAAACGAAAATCCTAACTCAATTATATTCGAAGTTGTGGGGAGTAGCATATGGCGAGTTACCTATATGATAAATATCAGGAGGGCCGTGGAAGTAACTTCCTATTCCGTGCCCAATGAAAGCGGATATTATATTAAATCCCGAGCTGGTGGCCTTTTCCTCGATGCGACAACCGATCTCTCGAAACGACGCACCGGGTCGGCAGAGTTCAATTCCGGCGTGTAAACATTCTTTCGTGGCTTCCACTAGTTTTTTACCCTGTTCATCAACGTCGCCTATTAGAAACGTTTTCGAACAATCTCCATGGAAACCGTCATGGAACACCTGAAATGTAACACAAACATGTTTTTGATAGTTTTGACATATCTGTCAAAAGCTTACTGTTATGTCAACATTGATAATATCTCCGTTTTGTAAGGGTCTATCATCAGGGATGCCATGACAGGCGACATTGTTGACTGAAGTGCATACTGATTTGGGAAAATGCCTGTAATTTAACGGTGAAGGGTAAACCCCGATTTCCATACAAGAATTGAAAACTAATCGGTCAATTTCCTCTGTGGTTTTGCCAACCTAAAATAAAATGAAATGTTTAATTCGATTACCTCAATTTTTCAAAAAATAGTCATAAACTTTAAATACTGTCAAAAGTTATAATGAACATTCTATCATAGTTCTGTGTTATATTTAGCGAATCGTTGTAACAATCGCCTACTTCGATTAAATTAAATTATTTACATACTGTCACTGTGACTGTCATTAGAATATCAGCCTACTTGGATAAAATCTTCAACTCTCTTTAGGACATTTGCTGCTAATTGGCACGATTTCGTCATCCTACGAATTTGTTCAGGTGACTTTATTTCCGGTGAAGATGGTATAAAATCATTCGGTACTCCTTTGATGTGATAACTGGGTTTTGGAATGTGTTTAGGTATACTAGGAGCATTGTTAACAGTAACCTTTCCCGGTGAGACTATCTCGTAATTACCGAAGGGTGATCTACAAAACAATTGATTGTTCATTAAACTAAGAGGAGTAGAATTTGCTTAAAGTTTAATGTTTGGTCTCTAAAATTAAATAAAAATAAAGCAATTATCACTTCTGATAACCTCAATGTTAAGCCACCAATAGGCCTTTTAAATCACCTTTTTTTATCAATCAAAGTGATTTACATGTTTACTTACGGTTTTTTCTGCCAAAAAAAGTTCCTTACAGGGATAAAATAGCGAGCTGTTGGCATTTTACTGTTAAATTAAAATTAAAAGTTTACCTAAAATCTTTGAAAATCCAAAAATAAACATTTTATTGACATTTGACTTTGACATAACAATTCCCTGCTTTGTAGATTTATGAATGAATGACAGTTTAGTATCTTTCTCTTTTTAATATCAAGGAATACATATTTCCATTTCACTTTTTTTGCATTAACAATATTGTGACAGTTGACTTGACACTTGACATTCGCCATCACAGTGCAACGCAACAGCGACAATCGACATTTTAAAATGTGTGTTTTTGTTCCAATTTTATCAACTATACATGAATAAAAACTGGACGATACAAAAAATTTCAAGTACTTTTCCAAATTATCGTTTCCTGAATCTCCTCAAGCAACCTACACCGTAATGGAAAACTCATCTCTCAATAAGGTAAGTAAAACAACCATTAACCCATCGTGATCTTTAAATAGGTCACAAGATTAAATCGATATGTTTACAAATACAAGAGCGTGTTTGCAGGCCCACCAGCAACAAAGGCGTGCCGAAGCTTTGTTGCGGCAAAAAAAATTCGACGAATGCATAGAATGCCACAAGCAAGCTGTCGAGTACCTCGAAGACTCTCTCAAATTAACCGAGAACCCGCGAGCCCTCGAGTCCCTGCGCCTCCAAATAGCCTCTCATCAGAAACAAATAGAACTAGTCAAAATGAAAATCGCCCAAACGCAGATAAACAACAGCAGAAAAGCCGCTCAGTTACAGAAACGAAAGATTTCAATGCCCAGCAGCGATGGGGACTTGGAAGGCAGCGAAGAGGGCTTAGAAGCTGCTATATATCGCACTATTGAAGTCCACGATTCGTTAATCGATTACCTCGGTTCGTATTCACTTCCAGCTATTTAACTCTTATCGAATTAGTGTGTTTTAGGTAAACGCGGAGGTAGCGATAACGATAGCGTAAAATCGTATTCGGCGAGTGATAACGAAGAGAAATTAGAGAAGGAAACGGCTCAAATCATTGGCTGTAAACACCCGAAGGACGATGCCGATATAATCGAGGAATTGAAAGTACTCAGCGGGCAGCTCAGGGACTCCGTTAAATGCCTTCTACTACAACTCGACGACAGGAATAAGGAGATTGAGAAATTGAAAAGCACCATTAGGATTTTAGAAAGCGAAAAGCAAAAAGGTACTGAATTGTGTTACTAAGAACTTTCGTTGCTCACTGTATAGTTGTCGAGAATGTGCGAAGTTGTACTTTTATTTTAAATTTTTGCCATCATGACATTATTTGTTTATGTGTACTTATTTATTAGAATCTGATCACTTTTCGACTTTGAAATACTCAGTATTTTGCGTTATAATTTGTTTCATTTTCATTTAGATTAGTTTGGTTGTGGAGGCCGCTCGAAATGGTTTCGTCTCACATTAATTCATTTTAATTTTGCAGCTTGCCAAGCAAAAAATAATGCGAGCTTAAAAGTCGTTACCGATTCATCGGGGGGCACGTCTCCGTACATATATTCACCTTGTAGTGAACTAAGTCCGGATATTGTAAACGATTGTAGAAGCTTACCCCCGCTTGCGCCCCTCGAAATGCCGAATTTCGATTTTTTCGATTTTATTAAAAGCAGTAATAGCAATGCTGCCGGTAACGAGTGAAGATGTGTCCGGCGGATTGTCGATTTGGGACGGGAAAAGCGCCCTTAATACTCGGCATTTGTAGATACGAGGAATGTAATTTTGTAGGTTTATTATCGACAAGAAGCTTGATGCATCTTGCTGGGTTATTTTTTAACTTTGGTGCTCATATGAGACATCATTGTATAAATAAATTTTTTTATGTATGTACAATTTTAATGTTTATTTTATTTACATTAAGGACAATTTTCACTCAATGTGTTGTTTTTATAATACACTTTTATTTCGTTTGTTATGAATATCTTAATTTTAAGTATCACATCTTGAGTACAAATTGTAATGACGATTAATATTTTTGTAGGTTTAATGCTTGTTATTTCGGAATTATTGCCATTTATCGACTTAAGGAAATAAAATGAGAAAGTGTTAATATATGTATTTTATTTGTAACCTTTAACTGATATAATCAATAATCACAAAATAGTCAGTTCAAATAAACTATAAACTAAAATTTAATCTATCATCTTTACAAAATATGTTAAAATAATTATAATTGAGATTACATTACGTCAATTTGGAAATACCTACATAAAAGCTTTATTAAATGTCAACAGAATAATCACAAACTTACACTAAAGCCTATACAAATATTTTGAATACATAGAAAAATAATTTGTTGTGCTGATATAGAAAACCTGACCGACGTAAATCAACGATCAGGGCATATCGTAACTAGAGTTAATTACTACATTTAACTTCGTCACCCTGTATTATTTTTAATTATAAACATTTCTACACTTCTACGTTAGTTACGCTATACCCCTTAGGAAGTTCTAAATAAGGGCGGATAGAACTAGAAAATAAAGTAATTTGAAATATGAAGTTAACACTATACATTGGAATGCAACTGAAGCTTGTGGAATGAGTAATTGAGGAGCTACAGAAGAAACACTATTACTTGAGTTAAGTGTAGAATAAAAGAAGAAATTCCCGAAAATCCGCCCCTGCTTCTAACAATCGGACACGATACATTCGTCAATCGGTTGAAAACAAGTAATGAAATCATTTTAAGACTAGATCATTAAACCGTTCTATCACATACATTTGTTTCACATAGTTATATAAGTTTCTCTGTTTTAGCAAAATATACAAACTACACGGTCGAAGGAACAATACGCCGCCTCGTACGTTTGTCTAATGTTACCGATAAACGAATCTATGAAAATATTCTCTCGATCGACGGCGGCGCATCTCTTAACTATTCATTTTTATACAGCAGAAGACTATCAGAATAAAATCCCAGCGTCAACAACAACAACGTGAGGTAAAATCTTAATACGTAATGAGATAATAAATAAAAATATCTAAGTACAATTCGAGTGAGGGGGCATTCGAACTTCCATTCCGGGTCCAGCCCTCCTAAGCGATTAGGGGATGCCAATGGAAGCAAATAATTAGCAAAATGTACAAGATTCTTAAAACTTAGCTCAAATTGTCATAATACTCCGAATTAATAAGGTGCAACTACGAAAATTGGTCATATTCCTTTAAAACAAGAACAAATAGGAAACAGTAAACGTGAATAATACAAGCGAAACGTTCGTCTACTGTGCTTAAAACTAAATCTACGCGCTAAACTTTGGTACTTTCGGTTCGAGTTTCTGAATACTGAATAAGTTGAATCCTGTTATATTGTCAGTGAAGGCGAAGTTAACTGTTACAAACAATACACTAGTGCAAATTAGACATCCGTTTATAAGTGGCAAAACATCGACAGATTAATAAGAAATTTTCAACCTTAACCTTTACATAACAGGTACGGTGATCAAGGAGTGTACGGAGGAGGTGGGATATAGTATGGCGGAGGCGGTATCGGATGATGGAATGTATCCAAACCGTCATCGAATGCATCCAGAAGACATCGATCGTCGTCTCGCAAATAACGAGCCGTATGGAATGGAAGAACTAAAGCGTATATTATTCCACAGCAGGTTATAGCGCCTGGAAAAAATAGAGATTTTATAACTGTAAATAACTAGTGATTACCAATATGTGGGTAATGGAGAGGAGTATGATGTGAGATATACGGTTTTTAGCCAAATATATGAAAAGATTCATTAGAACCCAAATCAGTTTTCAGTTGATCAAACTATTTAATATTTTAGGAAATATAGCCTATCTCGATAGCTAAATTTTGCTAGAACTAATCCATTTAACAAGTGGAATTAATCATGATTTATTATCGAGAAGTCATAAAAACAATTTCCCGGAATATTTACCAATGACAAAAATATGCTGTTTAATTTAATGGTATTTTGTTTTTAGAAATCTAATAATAACAAGTACTATTTACGTTATAGTTTTAACTTTTTATTACCTGCAGTCGCAACGAGATAAAATCCAATTCCGTAGGTAACTGTATATTCCGCTTCGGGATAAACTTTATCTAAAGTTTCCTCCAACAATAATGTTATGTAATAAGCCATTGCGATTATCACCATTACCCAAATAACTGAAACATGAATGTACTGTTTATTCCACGAATGCTAATAAGCGATGCAACAAAAAATACCTGTAAAAATGCCCATTATCGCGTACTTCCTCAATGTTTTGTACAAGAGATGCTTAGGGCCGATTATCTCCAAAAAGAAGCCCATAAGAGCGAACAAAATCGCCATGAAGCACAGGAGTATGGTGATTCTCATCGCGTTCACGAGCTTCGGTGTAATACAACCAATATCTACAAACACAAAATTATCTCTATACTCGATTACTTACACGATTAATACACGTTACCTGCGTATGCAATACCATCATTGGGGGTAAGTCCGTACCAGAAAAACTCCCCCAAGGTGAGATACGGAACGCACACGGGCCCACCGATGAAAAACCAAGTCAAATCCACCAGAGACATGCTGATTAATGTTATCGAGAGCATGTGAAACGTAGCTGCTATGATGTTGCTCTCGTCGTACTTTGGATGAATCCATTGGGCCACACACGTTAAAATCCTCTGCCTTTGAGACATAATCTACGCTGCAAAATGTTAATGTTCTAAACGTCACGAATTTTAAAGAGTAGTCACTTTCACTCACGAATATCAACGCATTTAATTCGTAATGAAATGTTCGTTAGAGTTAATGAGATATTAATATAGCGTGCAATTAGTAATGCGAAGTAATCCTTACTTTTTTTTGATGGGAGTACACTTCCTGGATATTCTATTCCATAATTTGTCAATCGGTACGATGATTCGATGCGGTAGTTAGTGTCTTTAAGAGTACGAAATTTGATGAGTGCTTGATGGTACTAATTTCTATTAATTTATATTTGATTTCGAATTGGGAATACCTACTGACTTTTAATCAATTATTTTGATACTCGCACATAAACTGACAGACGACAGCTGATTTTCATTGTTTGAAAGTTGACAGCTAGATCGATATAGTCGTGGCCTCTAACAAAACTAGTATACGCCTCATATATTTCATTTAAATTTTTAATTAAAATTGTGCAAAATGAATTGAATTTTATATTAATGACTCGCTTTAAGCTCGGAAAGGGGGCTGCGCCCCCTTTCAACCCCCCTTTCTTACGGTGGCGGCTTCGCCGCAAGACAGTTTGCTAGCCGGAGCCTCGCTCGCTGCGCTCGCTCGGTCGTGATCATCCTGTACATCAAATTTTCACATTTCCTTAACGAAAAAACACCCTGTACATCAAATGTCCCGTCGACGTTTCCTTAGAAACGTCAGTGACATTTTCAGTCAATGTGAGGTTGGTTCTTTGTCGCTGTCATTAGTGTACACTTTTCGAAATTAATTTAAACTTTTCTCGGTTATTCGTCAATAAAATGAGGAGAAAACTCAAAGGTTAGTAAATTATTGTATATTCTTTCAGTTTTAACCGTTGAAAGCGGCTAAAAGGTACGAATTAAGAAAAAATCTTGCACCGCGGTAAAGTTCCACTCAAACTAAACGAACGCAAATCGTCCATCAAATAATTTTTTGAAAAATGTGTCAAAAATTTCAACTTTAAATCGATATTGTGAACGAAAACGAATTTAGCTGGGGAAAAGAGGTCGATTTTCGTAATCAGCGAATTTTTTCACGTCCCCCCATCTACCTCTCTACGCTCAAGTAATTCATTTTGCATTTCTCTCGCCAATCGGTCGTTAACGCCTGGGGTTTTATATATATAGTGACTCGCTTATCAGCTCGGAAAGGGGGCTGCGCCCCCTTTCAACCCCCCTTTCTTACGGTGGCGGCTTCGCCGCAAGACAGTTTGCTAGCCGGAGCCTCGCTCGCTGCGCTCGCTCGGTCGCGATCATCCTGTACATCAAATTTTCACATTTCCTTAACGAAAAAACACCCTGTACATCAAATGTCCCGTCGACGTTTCCTTAGAAACGTCAGTGACATTTTCAGTCAATGTGAGGTTGGTTCTTTGTCGCTGTCATTAGTGTACACTTTTCGAAATTAATATAAACTTTTCTCGGTTATTCGTCAATAAAATGAGGAGAAAACTCAAAGGTTAGTAAATTATTGTATATTCTTTCAGTTTTAACCGTCGAAAGCGGCTAAAAGGTACGAATTAAGAAAAAATCTTGCACCGCGGTAAAGTTCCGTTCAAACTAAACGAACGCAAATCGTCCATCAAATAATTTTTTGGAAAATGTGTCAAAAATTTCAACTTTAAATCGATATTGTGAACGAAAACGAATTTAGCTGGGGAAAAGAGGTCGATTTTCGTAATCAGCGAATTTTTTCACGTCCCCCCAACTACCTCTCTACGCCCAAGTAATTCAAATTTAATTTCTCTCGCCAATCGGTCTATATCCCCTGGGGTTTTATATATATAGTGATTGCTACTTTTATCACAATATATGATGTATTGAATTAGTTATTCCAAATGTAAGTAAATAGTATTGACATTTGGCCTTTTTCTACAAGAAATTTCAGCATATATACATTTTGTGATTCACCTATACTTCCAATAACTCCTAAACACGAATTATTCGTAAAAGCTGTATTCTTGCAATAAAAAACACGATCGAACACACAAGAAATTTAATTACAGACACAGACGTAGGAAAAAGTCACATTGAATCAAACACCACGCACGATATCTACGACACGAGGTCCCCAGGCATTTTCGAAATTCTCCACGAAGCATCCATTTTATTCCGTCCTTCCGCTTCCACGTCGGCCTTCATCTATAAATGTTAGCATAATCATTCTCTCCCGTTTAAAATTTAATTTCCTCCGATATGTGAATTACCCCTGGGCCGCTGGACACGCTCAAGCGGGATAATTCGATAACAAAATGACTAAGTGGATGACTTGCGCCCACATATTTATAATTAGCCGAACTAAAAAGCAATTTTCTACAAGTTATTTCCGGGAGTATGAAGTCGTTCGCTCGAAATTCGCTGAAGTTAATAGATAATAACGGCCAATTCGACAATATACTAGAGATTTCTGCTCGAGAAATATAGAAATATTGCGACAGGAAGAATTTTTAATAGGAATTAATAGGAATAATTGGACAATATGTTTCGAATTTATCCCTTTTAAGAGAATTAAAAATCGACGATTTTTAAGTTTAAAGTTTTGCTGGTACGTGTCCTGCGGCATGGATCATTTATTGGCTAATCAAATAAGATTTTAATCAATTCGTGCTCAATGTACACACATAGCCGAACTATTACCTACCAGAATTACTGTTTATTGTGCTATCGAATCAAACCGCACACTCATGCCGAATTATGTAATAATAATTTGTTTGTTTCAATTACAATAGCCAATTAAAATTTAAATTCCTTTGTGCAAATACACCAGCGTAGGAGAGTTTATGTTTGTTCCATAAATAAATTCAGATCGAACACCGAAGTGTTTTAATATTTGAATTGTAAATATGGTAACTTACATTACATACATTTTTTTCTTTGATATTCTGATTAACTATTTACATAATTCGCTAAGATGTCTCGTTGCTACTTCAAGCTCGAAAGCACCCTGTAGTGTAAGTAATTAAAAATCAAAGAAAACAGGGAATTAACTACCTAAGACACTCTAGCGATTATTTGCATTTAATTAAGCTTAGAATCTGTCTGTGTAATTGTTATGCAAAGTCGACGACGACCGCTCGAATCAAAATAATGGACAGCCCGCCATCGAAGCGGCGGTTCTCTCTTCCTGGAGGGCGGAGGATCGAATGAAGTAAAAGCTCTGCTAAGTTTCGGACCGTGATGCAATATTCGAGGGCGGAAGTTTGGCGTCTCTCAAGAGTCGGGAGATTGCCCGGAGAGGGTCCGTCCGAGACGCCTTGAAATATTGAAGGGATTGGAAAGCGCCCGTAATCGAGGAAATGGTTTAACGTGAATGTGCATGTGCTTAACGCGATTTCCTCTATGCACAATAGCCGAGGAATCGCCGAAAGGGCGGGTTCGGTTCGATGGAAATTTCGGGCGAGTTTGTAATTTTTACGAGCCGTTTGGGAATTTTTCCGGAGCACGGTAGAGAGAAATAATGAAATTATGAAATCCGGAGTATCTGATGAAACGAATTTAAACGACAATGAAAAAGTTTGGCGAGCGCGCCTCTCGAAATTGATTAATAAAGACGCCGCCGACGCGCCGAATAAATTAGTGGAAGCATTTATTTTTTTTAACGACGTTTCGGAGATGCTGCGACCTGTTTCTCGAACATCATTAAAAGGCCTTAAACGAAAGTAAGACTACCGCGTCTGTTTCGAAATTGTTTCACATTGGCCTTTGGGCCATTTTTTTCTCCCCGTTCTTTTCCTTCCGTTCTGTTGCCAGCTGCGCGACCATTTTCCCAATGAAAATTAATTAAAACCTCCTTGCCTTTTTAACAAGGAAACTTCCAATTAGGGCTGTACTTCGACCAAAACTGGAGATAGGTAAATTAAGCAATATATTTGTCGAGCGAGCAATAGTAAATAAATTAAGGCTTTTAGACGGCATCGAGAAAAAAGTAAGTGAATCAAGTCGGCAATCTTGCTTTATAGGGTTAAATATTGATGTCTGCTCAATTTAGTATAAAAAGGGAAAATTGGATTTTTATTCGTCGCGACGTGGAAAATAAATGTAAATTGAATCATCCACAAGAAACAAGATCGTAAAAAAACAACCATGCAAAAATAAGCAAGCCCTTAAATCATGCACAATTTTATTAAAAAACTCACTAAAACTACAATTTTCGTTAATAATTCCACCTCCATCTCTAGTACCGATATCCGCCGTCCCTTTGCTTATTATTAGGCGTCAAGTACTGCCTGCTGACATCAATTCCCGTCCCAACTTCAACCCCATTTAAATCATCGAACTCGTGATAGTTTCTGGAAGCAGCGCTTCGATAATTCGATGTCCTGCCGTTGAATCCTTTATGGTAATCCTCGTGCGTCCTGCCGAAATTGGACCTTCCATAACCCACGTTACTACAACGTTTAAAATTAAAAATGAAGACAAAACAACTAATGGAGAAAGTGAGAATAGTAGATTACTAGATAATTCTGAAGGATAAAATGATGGTAAAGCAAGAGATTGGTGTGCTAAAAGAAGACATTTTGCTTCCAATTGACCAATTTTTACACATACCTCTCTGTTTCGTATTTTTCAGCAGCATTGTTGTCCTGAATAGACTTCTGTATGACCTCAGGAACGGGCGGGGGAGTGGGCAAATGTTCACCAAAAGCTCGAAAGCCATTCTCGTCAGCGATATAATTAACTGTGTAGACGTGCCCGTCGGGAGCTTCGAACGAATACGATCCCTGCACGGAATTGGCCTCGTGATCGGTGCCCAGGTTCTCCAAATGGCCTTCTTCCTCTTGGATTATGCGGTTCTCCGTTTCGTACCTGTTCCAACAAAATCGAGCAATGAAAGGGGTAGAAAGGGAATGAGTTTCACATACGCAAATCTGTAGCTTCCGTCTCCGTTGTTGTCGCTGTTCGATCGAATAATGGAAATGGCCGGTCCTGCGTAGGAATCGGTCGATTGAAGCGATGCGCTTTTTGAAATCGGACCATTGAACGAATTTGAATGCGATCGTACGAAAGACTGGCTCGCTGATGGATGGGAATGTCCTGGAAGCAAACATTTATACTGCAATTTCGCTAAAAAATTGCTTTAAGGCAAAAAAAGCAGTACAAAAAGTTGCCTAGTGTAACAAGGATTTTAGCAGGAGTGAAATCGCATTACTAGTAAAAATATACCTTAACCAAAATTAGCTCAAAATGTTATTTTTTACTTAGAAGATAGAATAATTTGAGTAGACTAAAAAATTAATTTATATACACTCCAAGAAAAACATTATGAGTAATATGAATAGATAAATGGGCGGGTAAGTTGGTTTAGCATTAAGTTTTCCGGATCCGGCAAAAAATCAAATTCAACCGGGTTTAGTCCTAAAATAACCAATTAATACGATTTCCAGAATTCGCTACTCCTTTGTGCTCGGCGTAGCTGCACATCAAACGAAAACTTATAATGAGTGTTGATGTTAATTAAAATAGGAAATTCTCGGACGAGGAAATTGCAAATTAACTTGTTGTAATAATTAACGATGAATTGCAAAGTTTACTTTAAAAGTCGCAAGAATTGTCGCGCGCGTGGGGATTTGTATAGAAGCAATTATGATTTAATCAAACTGTAGATTCGGTGAAGCTAAAATTTCGGAGGAAGAAAATATCAAGATTAATTTCATTCCTAGAAATAAGCTATTTTAAAGTTGAGACAATTTAATATTTAGGAAACATCCGGTAGATTTCTAGCATACCTCTAGTTTGTGCGTGAATTATCCTCGATGGGGCGGTTAAGAACTCGGAACCCCCAGCACTTCTTGCATTAGAAGGTGGTAGATAACTATTTTGTAACTTATCCGCTAAACTAGCACCCAGAAATATTGAAATAATCAACTATAAAAATACAAAAAAAACATTATTCGAGTACACTAAATAAAAAACTTCACATCGCTTACCCACTTCATATTTTTAATAATATTATACCTATGATATCTATTTAATAACGCACTTGGAACTGTTGATCCCACTTCCACCGTGCTTCTTTTTATACCCAAGACAATATTCGGGTAGGCCCATTACCCATAGAAGAGCAATTATATTTTGGGAGCAAAGGCAAGGTTGCATCAACATAAATCCAAGGTCTGTTCTACATAATCCTATCATCGCGATCATCTTCTGCTCCTTATGGGCGCGATTACGTTGACAAGGATGACTTTGATTTCGATCTAATACAATCGAATTCGTTGATTGCCGATGCCGCAGCACAAACAGATAATTATTTCGATAGTAAATAACGATGCAAACGTGACGAAATTCACCACAAAAGGACGATTTTTTCGTATTGATTCGGCTCGGAATTTATACATTGTTAATTTTCAATGCAAATAATACCAGTAGCAATAATAAAATTTATAAGTATACAGGGTGTTTTTATAAATTAACTTCTTTATTTAACAAGTATATGTAAATTAATGATACACCAGTTACAATTTTCTTGCAATTTCATGTCAATTAAACACAATTTTTGCGGGATCATAATTTTTCATTTATCGGTTTTATAGTTAGCTCGTGAACCTGAAAAATAAATGAATAATTTCATTCGGCATATATCCCCTAAAAAATTTACCTGGACGTGTAAAGGGGTGGACAAAGCGTAAACAACCCCATCCGCAATATCCTCGGGCTTCAATAATTTATCCCCTATCAGCTTTTTGAAACCGGGGGTTCCTCTAATATTTTCATCAAATATAGGTGTGTCAACAGCACCGGGACTGATGCTCTGAAAATTAACCAATTATCAATATGTTTTGGTACCTATTAGATGTTATTAATCTTCTGTACTTACGGTGATTTTAATTTTCAAGTTTAATTTGTTGATATCTTGCCGGAAGGTTTCGGTTAAAGCTGTTACAGCGTGTTTAGAAGCTGGGTACATATTGTGGAAGGGTATCTGGGGCACCGAGTGACCGGTTATGCTGTTAATATTAATGATATGACCGTTAATGCCGTTTTCTTTCATAATTTTGATAGCTAAAGTAGTAGCAATGCTCAGTCCTAGCACGTTGACCTCAAGAGTTTTCCTCCAAGCGGGAATGTCTTCGTCGATAAAGTCGTTTCTAACGTGGATACCTGCAAATATTTAGGTAATGATTTTAGTAGGTGAAGTAGTGTGAATCTGTACCTGCGTTGTTGATCAGGATGTGTACAGGACCGAAATTTTCTGTAGTCCATTTGAAGAGATCTTTAATTTCCTGCTCATTGGACAAGTCGAGTTTGTAGCTGTGAAGTTTTCCGTTTTTTCCTTCTAAAGTTTTGGCGATTTCGTCTACTAAGTTGGCTCTTCTAGCAGCACCAATTACCTGAAATTAAATACTTGAATTTTCGTAAAGAATTTGTGAGAAGTACTTACAATGAGACCATTTTCTACGAGTTGTTTCGCAATAGCAGCGCCGATACCAGCACTAGCTCCTGTAACAATAGCCACTTTGCCACTCCATCTTTCCATTGATAGCACCATCTTGAGAGGAAAACTACAAAAATTAGATTAAAATATTATTTTTGATTATTCGAAAAGTGTACCAAATGATTTTTATAAAAAAGCAATCATTTTAATGCTGTATGATGTTTGCAATCAATATTAGCACTCTGCTACTTGTATTCGGAAATGTGAGTGATCCATTAAAGCGTTTATCTGCAGTAAAGTTTCCAAAGGAGATTCACAAAAGGAGTCTATAAAAATCAAAGGACTGTAATGAATAGACCAGAGCAAACTTATCCGATTCGATGTCTAGCCAGCTGGGTAGATTTTCCGGTAGTGACTACCCAACCAACTATATCTAATAATTATAGTAAAAAATATTCAATGTGTAAATTTTATTTAAATTTATTCATGATTGTAATGATGAATATTCCATAGTTTAAGGCGCTTCTTGAAAAGTTTTATGTAACTTAATTTTAGTCAAGAAATCGTTTTTAGCCAATATTTGAAAACTTTTATTATTAAATGTCAAGAATATCAATTTTAAATTGGAAATTTACAAGAAACGTACCTTCGTTAAAATTGAAAAATGAACACGTTCGTAGGAAAGACCTTCACTAGTCTACAACAAACTAATATGTATATCGCTTTGTTTAATCTTAGACGAAATCACTTAAATTTTAAAAATATGGCAAATATTTCAATTAGTTTTTGTTTCATGCACGAATAAAGAGGGTCACCTTAATTTGTCATTTTCTGTCTTCAATTTATAAAACATTCACAAATCACAATAATTAAAAAAACATATCAATAAACAGTAAAATGTCAACTGTTATCAAAAATTGTTAACTATAATCTTGTAAATACAGAGTGATTAAAACATAAATTTTTCCAATACTTAATTGAAACTTCCCAAAATAAATTCTATAATATTCTCCCCGTATAAACAAACACTCGTTAATTATGATTTGATAAAAATTCTATTATAGAAATTTATCAAAGCGTTCATTAACATCGGGTTTATCGCCATAACGGATGTCTCGCTAGTCACTGCTCAAATAGATCGAACTCTCTAAAACTCCCTTCAATCGGACGCTCGCCGGCTCTCCGTTCAATTATAATTAAAGCGATATCGAAGTGGAACCAGATAAACTAATTATCTTCGAAAATTTTACAATCTAATGCGCGACGTCGCCCGAAGAATTCGTTTAATAAGCGACCCTTGGAGATAATAACGAATAAAATCGTAGAGCACATGGATGAAAAGGATTCCATAATTCAAAAAAAAGAAGCGCATTCCCGATTTTTTGTTCATTTTTCGATATAAAAAGCTATTGAATAGACGAGTAGTAGCCAAATATATTGTAGTTTTTAAATATATATACGTATAATTCGTTTCATATAAAGTTTAAAGATGATTTACCTACTTGGCGTAGCAGCTTAATTAAGACAATTACAAACTTCCCCAATAAATCCTGAGCTTTTCGCTTTGCGAAAATAAACAACAACAAAAGGAGCGAATCCATTTCGCGGGCGAATGTGATATGTTAATATTCATTATTACAACAATCACGATAAAACCCTATCCGTATGCCGCATTCGTTCGACTAGCTACCGACTTTAATTTCGTTCCTACCATTTTTGATTTATGCTTTAATTAAAAGCAGTCATTATGCTTTCTGCTATCTACGGTGCAACTCCTATTTCTAAATAATGCCTTGCAGGAATTTTTCGCAGGAACAGACCGGCGACTCTCTCTCCTATATGCTTTTATTGCAGAAAATTATGCAGTATTTCCGATTTTCTCGACAAGCTTCTGTTTTAAACCTGTTTTACGTTTATTGGAAGTTGGGGAAATTTTGTTTAAATATTCAGGAGATTTTATGCATACTTTTCTTAAATTTCTTAAATATACATTTCTACAATTTGTCCTTAACTCTTAAGTTAGTCCATAATTAGTGCTTATGATTCCTTAATGGAATCCTTCAAGCACTTAGACATTAATTTTTTATCAACTCATTTTTCCTTACAGAATCCTTCTTACAAAAATATTCTACTTTATCAAACTATATCTTGTTTACAAAAATATTTACTGCATACGTGTATTCTCTTATCGAATTAATTCCGCTGACCCGTGAATAAATAAGGCGTTAGAATTAAATATAAACGAACCTATCTCAATGTGTTCCATTCTAAACAGGATTTTCGAAGAATAATATCTGATAAATTGCAAAAATGGTTCTTTCGATGGAAAGATGGGTGGGTAAAGTGGCTGTTGTGACGGGAGCAAGTGCAGGAATCGGTGCAGAAATAGCGAAACAGTTAGTAGAAAACGGCTTGATAGTAAGTTTGATAAGTGTTTGGTACATAATAAACTTTATCTTCAACGTTTTACTGTATTTAGGTGGTCGGAATCGCAAGAAGGAAGGAGAAAGTCGAGAATTTAGCTAAAACATTGAGCGACAAAAAAGGCAAATTGGTCGCATTCAAAGCGGATATTTCGAAAACCGAAGAAATAGAAGCGGCTTTCGCTTGGATCGCGCAAAACGTGGGACCTGTCGCGATTCTAATCAACAACGCCGGCATCCATTTCAGGGATTCCTTGATAGGTGAATAAATCAATTTCAAATTTCAATTTTAATAAAATTTCTGATGATGCTTCAGATGGAAACGTGGAAGCCTGGAGGAAAACCATCGACGTGAATTTATTGGCTACGTGCGTGGCATCGAAAGAGGCCGTTGCAATCATGAGAAAGAACAACATCGACGGCCACATTGTCAACATAAACAGCATTTTAGGCCACTATATTTATGATTTAGCGAATTTAGACGTATACCCAGCCACGAAGTACGCCGTCACGGCTTTCACCGAGACCCTAAGACTCGAAATAAACAGTTTGAAATTGAGAATCAAAGTGACGGTAAGCTCTTATCATAACACTAACATAAATATTAGCTCCATTAAAAGCTATTAGAAGCGACTTTTATACTCGATACACATAATGCTGGGTTTTACTTGGAAAAACTTAATGTATCTATTAATATTTTATTGAAATTCTTGAATTATGAACAAAATACATTTGCCATAAGTGAAGCTTTAGTTTCTCGAAAACTTTGTGAGCTAAAGCACATTTAATGTTTATGCATTTACAGAGCGTTAGTCCAGGTTGCGTTGATACCGAAATATTCAATAATATGGATAGAAAAATCTACGAAGAAATAAAAAAATGTATGTTAAAGCCTGAGGATATTGCTGACGGTGTTATTTATGCGCTTTCAACTCCACCTCATGTATTGGTAAATCACAGCTCATTTAAATCGAATAAACGTAAAATTTCTACTGTTGAATTATTTTTTAGGTCAAAGAAGTAACAATTAAACCTGTAGGAGAACCGTTTTAAATTCGCGCAGCGTTGAATAATTTAGTTATATTTTCGTGAATTTTATTGAAATAAAAGTATTGCATCGACGCTTTTTACTCGGTAGTAAAATAGAAAATTGGAATTCACACCGACCTGTCGCCGTAAATTCCGGCGAAATCCATTATCCCGCTATCAATTTTCGGCAATTGATTTATCAGGATTTTCCGATCTAAACGTTCCTACAATTAAAAAAATTATTTACGACCCGGTAATACGGTTAAAAAATAGCGAGAACATTATTATCGCGGACGGGAAAAGGGCTCGGAAGTCGAACGCGTGACAAAGAGACCGTAAAACCGATAAAACCCGGTAGAAAGATATGCGCATTTCTGGATGGTTTTCCGTTCTATCGGGAATAGATGAAAAATTAATTCCAACAAGCGAAACTAACGCTTTTATGAGTGACTTTTCGTCGAAAACAATTTTCATTTTATAAATTCTTACATTATGAATATTATTTAGCATAACAGTTGAGGCAAATAGATGTAGGAAGTGCACTTATTTACAGCATACCTATTTAACTTGCTATCTCAGTTATGCCGTTATCCATTGAAAAATAATGAGCAGTGCTTTATGAATTTTATCTAAATAGTTTGATTGTTAAACTGTTTATTTAATACTCTGATTTCCAGCCAATAGTGCGCTATATATTCCGTCAAAACATGCTCCAATATGCACTATTTATATCACGCAGCTCCCCTACCATCATAAGTCCGTACAGAGGCTCGGTTGATAAATTTAAATAGTCTACTCACAAACTGCATTTGCATTGACCTCTAAATCTTTGAAACTCGAATTAAATCGTGCAGTAATAATCGTAGTAAAAAATGGTTCTATCCATGGAAAGATGGATCGGGAAGGTAGCTGTAGTGACCGGTGCCAGTTCTGGAATAGGAGCAGCCATTGCTAAGCAACTAGTTGAAAATGGTCTTTTGGTAAGACTTTTTAATTATCTATTTAACCAACAATTACACTAGAAGTTCGAACAAACTTTAATCTATAACTTAGAGTAGATTATTTGAGTTAGGCTTGGTCTACAATTTTTTAATTTTAAAGGACTCGATAGCTCCAATAAAATTCGATACCTATTACAGGTGGTAGGAGTTGCCAGAAGGGTAGAGAGAATCGAAGATTTAGCCAAAACGCTGGGCGATAAGAAAGGGAAATTGTTGGCTTACAAAGCAGACCTGTCCAATCGAGAAGAAATTAAGCTACTCTTCGATTGGACCAGCGATAATGCTGGACCGGTTGCAATTTTGATCAACAATGCTGGAATTCACACAAGAACGACTATAGTCGGTTAGTAGATTTTGGCCAATCACTTGATTAAATTGAATTAAAAATTAAACGAATTTTATTCATAATATTCTGTTAATCTCTGATATTTTAGATGGAGATGTAGAGGCATGGAAGAAAACCATTGATGTGAATTTAATGGCAACATGCGTGGCTTCCAGAGAAGCGATTAGCGTAATGAGAAAAAATAACATCGATGGTCACGTTATCAATATAAACAGCATTTTAGGCCATGGGATTTGGAATTCTCCGAATATGGATATTTATCCAGCAACGAAATATGCTGTGACAGCTTTTACGGAAACTCTACGGTTCGAATTGGTTAATCTGAAATCGAAAATAAAAGTTTCGGTTAGTCCACGTTGGCTCGCGAGCTTTGCGGAGTAATTTATTTAGTTGTTTTTTGTAGAGTGTTAGCCCAGGTGTGGTGGATACGGAGATTTTCGAGAATATGGACAGAAGTGAATTCGAGAATATAAAGAAACGCATGCTGAACCCGGAGGATATTGCTGATGGAGTTGTTTATGCGCTTTCCACTCCACCTCACGTTCTAGTAAGTAGTCTATTATTTTATTATTTTATTTAATACCATATCCATTAGTAATAATTAAGTTTTCTGCTATTGAATAAAAAAAATGATGCACGGAGAAAATTAAAAACATAATCTGGACATCAATTGGAAGAGAAAATATTGCAAAGAAAAATTGCAGTGAGACTCCATAGAAACATGTTCGTCTCCAAAAAAAAATGTATTGAAAGCTAATGAAAGTCTCCTTTGAAGGTTTTTTATTCAATCCTCTATGTTTAATTTGCAACTCTTTTATGAAAGCATAGGACCTACATACATATTATTTTTTAAGGTAAAAGAAGTAATAATCAAGCCTGTTGGTGAACCATATTAAATAAACCCTGGAATTTAATCAATTATTTACATACAATAATCCGCCTTTGTGTTTTTTTTAACCTATCAAATAAAATTATAAATTATTTAAAAAAATATATCTACATATTTAGTTGTAGAAATATATAACGGTTTCGTGGAGAATTCAGTGTGTTTTTCTTATTGAAACTTAGTATTAGGTAAACTTTCAAATTTTACGTCGCGTGATATTAAAAAATAGAACCAAGGGAGATAAAAAACGCTCCCGGCCCTCGGAAACTTCAGGGATGTTCTACAGGATGCTCGACTGAACAATTGTGCCAAATTCCGAAACTCCGGGCTCTTTTTATACTTCATTTTGGCTCGATCGCGTTACAAAGACACCGTAAAACCGAGAAGAACTCGGTAAAAGATGTGGGCAATTCTCGATGGCTTTACGATCATTTGGGAATAGGTGAAAAATCAATTCGACACGGGGCGAATAAATGGAAGTAACTCATTTTTTTATATTCATATTTATTCAATTTTATTTATTTAAATTACCTAATTTTCAGTCAAAACACGTAAGTGAAATAAAAAAGTTCATGTAGTTTTTTTAGACGTGACCTATAAACATTGTTTAACACTCAGTTACACCGTTATTACCTATACATGTTTTATGAGTCTAATGTCCACTATTTGACTAAAATATTTAATAGCTCTACTTGTGTTTCGTTAAATTATTTAAACCTCACCAAACAGTAGTAGATTCTCAGTTATATTCTAAATTTTAAAACAAACCAAAAATGGTTCTATCCATGGAAAGATGGGTCGGGAAAGTTGCTGTAGTGACCGGTGCCAGTTCTGGAATAGGAGCAGCCATTGCTAAGCAACTAGCCGAGAATGGTCTTTTGGTAAGAGCATTTAATTATTTACTCGTGCTGTAAAGGTAGTGTGAATATTGCAGGTTGTTGGGGTTGCCAGAAGGAAAGAAAGAATCGAAGATTTAGCAGAAACCATCAGCAATGCTGAAGGTAAATTAATCGCTTATCAAGCTGACTTGTCCAACCACGAGGAAATTAAACCCCTATTCAACTGGATCAGCGACAATGTTGGACCTGTTGCAATTTTGGTCAACAATGCGGGAATCCTTGCAAAAACAAGCATAATAGGTAAGAAGATAGATTTACATAAAACATTAAATCAAAGTAGAATGTTTATTATAATTAATCTTCCTACTTCTACCGACGTAAACTCTTTCCCTGTTAATACTCTTACCAGATTCATTAACAGAGCTTATACTCCTCCAACTTTTATGAGTGTTCTCCAGTTTCCTCTACCTTTTAGTACACATAATATTTTACTGCTCTATTAAGTACACTTTGCTACACCTTTTAATGAGTTTTCCGCTATTCATACGTATTTTTAGATGGAGATGTAGACGCTTGGAAGAAAGTAATCGATCTAAATTTAACAGCAGCTTGTATTGCTTCAAATGAAGCCATAAGCATCATGAAGGAACATAACATCGACGGTCACATAATTAATATCAACAGTATTTTGGGACATATTGTTATGAATCTACCGAATTTTAATGTTTATCCAGCAACAAAGCATGCTATTACCGCTATTTCAGACACTCTTCGGTACGAATTGGTTAATCTGAACTTGAAAATAAAAGTTTCGGTTTGTTCACGTATGATTTTGAATGTTGTAGGAATTTATATGAGCTTGTTTTGTAGAGTATTAGTCCAGGTGTGGTAGATACAGAAATTTTCCAAAATACAGAAAAAAGCCATTACGAGCATATCAAAAAGAATATGTTAAACTCAGAGGATATCGCTGATGGGGTTGTTTATGCGCTTTCAACTCCACCTCACGTGCAGGTAAGAATTATCAGTTGTAACATTTTAACAAATTAGTACAAGGTTAAGTTAATTTGTAGAGATAACAGCATATTATATTTTTTGTAGGTTAAAGAATTAATAATCAAGCCTTTGGGTGAACCACTTTAAATAAACTTGGGAATACAATTAAATATTTGGGCACTTACAAAAGGCATCATTTTTAATTAATTCGTAGTATCAGTTGCACGATTATCTTCACTTACTTCTGCCTCATTATCATCATTCTAATTTTAAATAACAGCCTCTGTGTGTAATGTTTGAACTAATTTGTTGCCCCCAATTGAAAATACAATCATTCATTCGCCTACTTCTAATCAATATGGTGCTATATCATTAAAACACGCTTCATTATGTTGCTATCTATAGGGCACAGATCCTCTTTCACCGCAATTTAATTGGTTTGTGTTTGGTTGATTAATTTAAAGCTCAACACAACCCTGCAGTTATCTTCAAATTGTTACAACTCAAAAACAATTTTGTTAATGGATAGTGAAAACAGCTGTAGCGATGAGAGGTTATATATTTTTTATTTCCTATTATAGTGACACAAATTGTATTAATTATAACAAAGTTACTAAGAATAGAAAAGTACATATAAAACAATTAATTTTCATTACCCAAATACTTACCTGTTCAATGAAATTCGTAACACACAGGTATCTATGAATATGTAATGTTCGGTAAACACATCAATAACCGCGTATAATCGTAAAAACACGACTGGTTATTACACACGCATCCTTGAAATATTCCGACCTGCTCAACCTAGAAACATTTTTAATAGTATCTCGTTCGTGCGAGCGTGTGTAAATCATCAGTGTTTATATTCGTTTTCGAAATTCGATAAAATGGTACTATCCATGGAGAGATGGGGTGGAAAAGTGGCTATAGTAACAGGAGCAAGTTCTGGAATCGGCGCTGCAGTTAGCAAGCAATTGGTTCAAAGTGGTGTTGTGGTAAGTGGTCCGACTGAATAAATTATTATTATAATTATTTTGAACAAGTATAGTTTTTCATAGGTTGTGGGAGTAGCCAGGAGGATGGAAAGAGTGGAAGATATGGCGAAAACTCTAGCTGGTGAAAAGGGCAAACTAATCGCTTATAAGGCAGATCTTTGCAATCGTGAGGAAATCAAACCTATATTCGACTGGACCACCGAGAACGTGGGTCCAGTTGCAATTTTAGTTAACAACGCCGGTGTCCACATGAAAACCTCCATTATAGGTCAGTTTTAACCAACAAAATAGCACTAATAAACCCTTTTTACCTACCCAAAGGTGGCGATGTTGACGCTTGGCAAAGAACCCTGGACCTTAACGTAATGGCAACGACCATAGCCATAAAAGAAGCCATCAACATCATGAGAAAAAACAATATTGACGGACATATAATTAACATTAATAGTGTATTGGGTCACCAAGTCCCGAGTTCCCTGTCTATGGACATTTACCCGGCTTCTAAATTTGCTGTAACTGCCCTAACAGAGTCTCTCAGATTCGAACTCACTGATCTCAAATCAAAGATTAAAGTTACAGTAAGTACCAATCAAAGTATCTTAATCAATACATCTATTAGGTGATAGAACAAGAGGAATAAAGAATGTAGTACAGATCTTGATTGAACCTTGATATTTTTTGTTAGAGCTTGAGTCCAGGAGTGGTAGATACTGAAGTATATGGAGATTTGCCTCCGGAAGTACTGGAGCAACTGAGAAAGACAGCTTTGAAAGCTGAGGATATTGCAGATGGCGTTATTTACGCGCTTTCTACGCCACCGCACGTACAAGTAGGAATATTTATTGTGTGGAAAATTGGGGTTTAATTTAATTTCGTTTGTGTTTTGCAGATAAAAGAACTCACAATTAAACCGGTTGGTGAACCATTTTAGAGGAGCTTGGGAAATTATGTGCGATATTTATCTTGTGCTTGAATGAATTTATTATTAACAATTTTTTTATTTTGTAAATTTTTAATGAGATTCGGCTATAAATGAGTGCCTCGGAGATTACCTTTAGTTGTGCCTAATTTTTAACAGTTTGTTGCGAAATGGGTCAATTCCCACGTTATTTTCAAGCGTTTCCAAATTCATTATTGTAAATCAAAAACCGGCGCAATACTCGGAGTAATTCCGATCGAGTTATAAATCATGGAAACGTTCACAATGGTTTTTAACTTTGAAAAACAGAAATCCTTCTGTTCGGCTCGAAAACGTCACGATAACGATTTGTCTAAATAATAATGGAACCTATTGAAAGATATTATTGGATGGTCACGAAATGTTCTGTTAATGTTTCATTCAAATAAATGAGAAATGATTTACCCGTTTTAAATATCAATCGACTCTATTTTATTCGTATTACTTAGAGGAATCGTCAAAATCTTTTAAATTTCTTCATACTTTAAATGCTAATTTTAGATTGGAAAAACCCAAGCGGAAACTTCATGTAAGAGAATGCGTTTGATAAGCGTTTTACTCGGAATGGAATAGTTACATGAATAGGTACAAAAAAGGTATATTTTCTTTCTATTACTACACTGAGTTTCTTTCAATTTTTATCGATCCCAGTAGCGCATTTTAAAATTTAAAATAATACCCACAACAATCGTACGCGAAAACTTTGATTTCTCCAATCCGGCGCGACTTGATTTTGATTCGACCAAGAAAAATATTTTCTTTGCGAAGTCTAGCGGTGTACCAAGTTAAAACATTATTAGCAAAGAAAATATCAATTCGAAAAACGGGGCGCAAGGTTCGTGGAAGTTTTCGATATGCCCCGGAGTGAGCTAAAGCGCAAGGGAAAACCGATATTCGACCGGAATAAACCGACCAAGGCACAATTGGAATTCCTATTTTCTAATTGCGTTTCCAGTGGAACTCAAATTTTTCCACAATTTTCATAAACTCCCATTGTGTGCGAATTATTCGAGGTCAAGATGTTTGTTAATTATATAAAAGTCGCGCACGTCGGGTCTCTAGTTATTCTTGTTGAACTGTAACATACATACCTGATAGTTTTTGAGTGAAGAATTCTAATGTTCTTTAATAATAAAAGAATAAAATTACTAGCTATTTGATTTAGGAATTTTGTCCTATAGTTGCCCAATATTCGGATTTTACTGATGTCGTTTTGTTCTATTATTGATGCTTCGAAGTATTGGTGAAAAAAATATATTGAATTATGTGAAGTAAATATACCGTCGAAAAAGTTAGATACCTCATAAAATATCGATAAAAAGAGGATTCTCGTATATAAGAAACGTTTTTATGATCGGTGATTTTATTAATCTAATAAAAAGGATCCGTGACATATTTACTGAAATTCATTGGTGTAGTTGAGTATAAATGGATCCAAAAATATTCATCAAAATTGCCAAGATTGAAACTAATAAAATAATTGGAAAAATATTTCCTTAAACTTAATTTTGTACCTATGTACATTGAATTACCCTTCAAGAGAAATAAGGCAAGTACTTATAAAACGCTTCAATTAATCTAGAAATGAACAAAAAATTCACGAGAACATGCAAAATCGTATTCACTCGTTTACATATCCTATTGTGATTCTTTTTTCTTCGCAGGAAATCATTAATCTCGACTTTGTCCAGATACCGAAACGTATTTGTACGAAGTTGAAAGGAACAAAATTACGCAACGTTCGATTTAATTTAATTTTAAATCGCTTTCGGTACGTCAACTTGCCGGGAGAGTTTATTTAGCCGAGTGAAATACAGTCGAATTTTTCGTTTAAAGTGGAGACATTTTCGGGCACTTTCTTTTCGCACACAGCAAGTAGCGTTCTTTTGAAGGAGCCGTTTCGCTGATCTACAATCTCTTATCCTGCAGTTAAATTCAGCCGGAATATTCTTTTCTTATGTAGCAGGAATATTTTTATTTATAAAGTGATTTTTAAATTGGTTATCTGAATTATCTCGTTGATATCGATGTTACAAGATTTTTGAGTTAAGAGATAATTAATTGTTTGAGTATACAAATTTGATTACATTAGGTTATTTTTTTAAAAACATTGTAAAAGTTTTAACGATAAAAATAAACAATTTTTACAAACTTCTTATTAACGCATTATTTTTATTTAATCGCAATAATTTACTCAAGATATACTATCGAAATTTAATCAATAGCATTGATATGCAATCCTTCCTTGCTATGCAAAATAAAATTTGAGAAACAAACAATTTATTCATAAATAAATTATGCCCCTATTAGCGGAACCAGCAGATTTTCCCTTATATTAACTCAATTACAATAAAGGGTAATTTAAATACATAACTAAACACAATTACCGAGTTGTTACATGAAATTTTCATTTAAGCGATTAAACTAAATTCACCCCAAGAGTTATAAATTCCGAAGTAAGATTCTCCAGGCACAGCCTCGCTGGAATCAACAAGGAAATTTTAGAAAGTAAACTAGTTATTTCCCTAATCAACCGAAATCCCGCTTCATTAGCATATTGCCGTTCCCCTTTCCTTTTCGAAAACACTGCCATTGTGTCCGCGCCGAGAAAACTGATTTGAATTACGTCGCAAAAGGTACAGTTCGAGCATTCGTCACCGAAAAGACCTCCGATATTATAAATCGACTGTGTATTCAAGCGATGCTCCAACAAACGATCTAATTACTGAACTAATAAAACTACTGTTTAAAGTTAAACGACAGACATTACTCAAAGGGAAATTTCCTGCGGGTAAAATTACACCCAATAGATATCCGTCGTGTTTCCGAAATCGCTCGCTATTGTCTCCAAATCTATTGTTTCTCTTCGCTTTTCTCCCGCTTGTACTTATTATATTTGAGTGCAGGATTTATATATTTAATGATTCCTAATGCCGAAATTCGGTGAGTTGTTTCTCTGGATAAGCAAATGGATTAATAGATATCATCTTGCCCTTTTATATTTAAAATAGTTATCATAAATTCACCATTACAATACACTTCTAAGTAATGTAGTGCATAGATTATTTATTATAGGAGGTTCTATTAGATTAAGGGCTCGTCGACGGTGTTGAAGACCTTCTGAAGGCCTTTTGGAGGTTTATGAACAATATTCATTTGATGGAAGTCATGTTCAAGGAGCTTTAAGACCTAGGCCTCACACGAAAACTCCAAGTAAGAGTAACACCCTGTACAATAAATTAATTATACAGGGCGATATTTGGTATTATGATTCAACTGCCAAATGCTGATGCAGATGTTCCGAACCAATTTCGATTAGGTATTTGCATAAATTACAAACTCATTAGGTTCCATTAAAACCTCATTATCGGTGGAATTTATGTAGTACAGTTAATTATCAATCCGTAAGGTTTTGTTTGTACAATTCTTGTTGCATGTGCTGTACGTAATTGGATGTATGCACTGATTTAATGCCTTTGTTTTTTAATCTCATACATATTCAAGCTGGTCACGAGTACGAATTTATTGCATATATTATACGATTCCTAATGAAAAAATATGCTCATTTCATCGTCTATTAGTTAACTAGAACTTAATGAAGCAAAAAAGGCGCCGAAACAATTATCCGGATGTTCAAATCTTCCGCATTCTCGAGCTCGTTGTATTCGAGCAACGATAACAATAACATAAAACAATTAGATACGCGCGAGTTCCATGTGCGCAAACCGAAATTTCATTATCTTTCGGCGCTACCCCCTTTATGATATCGCCGGGAAGTTCGCAGTATTTCGCGAAATAGAAATATAATCAACATGCAGGAACCGGCTTACATGCAACGCCGGACCTTCTGTTAAAATGGATGCCTAAGATTCTGGTCTGGAATAGTTTCTGGAGGAAGTTTTCGCTACAATGAATGTACGCGAGTCGAGCGTTGCGGGCTGTAATAGTTCGAAGAAATTTTAAGCTAAAATTTGGATGTTATGATGAAAAATACAAATCTAAATCCCTGATGGCTGAACCTGCTCGAGACACTTTTCTTAAGTATATGCGCTTTTGTGCATTATTTAAAGAATCCGTAAACGGAATTTCATATGTCCAATACATATGTATTACGCCACAAACAGACGTCTGAAGGAACGTTAATGTTTATTTTATAGTAGTTTTCAAAAAGCGTTTTACCTACTATGTAAAGTTAGTAGCATGAAGAGTGCACTTCGCACACTATTGCATATCAAGAGTGACGAAATTCTAAAACACTACCAAAAAGTTAAATAACCAATTTAAATATCTTCTACTACTTTTATTAAATTCAAAATTGAATCGAAATAATTAAAACAAAAAGAATTTAAAGCTCTTTAAAAAGTTTTCAAACTATTTCGTCTACCTATTTACTACGTTCGAAATTTCTCACGTCCTGCTGCTTCTTTGTTTCTTCGCCGTCCTTTTTTTACACTTCTTCAAACGAACGAACAACAACGCGGATATTCGGAAATTCCTTTAGGAAAATTCTTTTCCAGGATGCGCCGGGCTTCTCGGTTGAAACTTTTATCAGAGAAGTTTACGTGACACTTAGATCTTCGGTTGCAAATTCTCGCTCGTATATGTACAGCGCGCCGTGTAAAGTCCGATCGGTTTTATTCCTTCCATGGGAATTCGGAATGTGCGATGAGGGATTTCCGTGGGAATTTAATTGCAGGGAACTTATATTCATTATCAGGAGTGCGGGTGTCACGGGATTGAGATCAGTTTACTTCTGGAATTAAAATTATCGAGTAATTTTAAATTAAGTTAAAATAGAAAATTAAATGTCTTATATGATAATGATAAAAATACAGATTTTATAAAATCTGAAGACGTCGTCAGGCGTCTTAAAAGCTCAAAAGCTACCTACATTTTACGCTAAAGATACATTTCTCCTACCGCAAAACGGATACCTTACTTTATACGATTCAACATCCCTTGCTATATAAATTTGCAATGTTAATGACCGCATTCATCCCCGTCTCACTTAACAAATTACCCCCGAAATCCTCGGTTAATGCCGGCTTTTTTATACCTCAATATACCTGTTGGAATAAGCTGATTAATTAAGTATAGACTTTAGTTGAGTGTCGGATTTAAAGGATGGTTTTGTGAAGGTTTTTTATTAAAAAAGATACTTTATGTTGTAATAATGTTGTATTGCGTATAAAGTGTCTCGTAGAATTTTTAGCATGTGCAAATCAGCCCAGAATACCGGCAAATAAGTTAATAAAAATCCGGAGAATGAAATACGTTTCAATATGCCCTGTTTCAATATCGTCTCCTCGTAATTTACTCCAGTTTTAGGCTGACATCGCTATCGACAAAAACGGACCGCATGACACCCCAACTGGTAGATACGAGTGTTTCACTGGAAATCCGGAATGTATCCGAATAAATTTCCGGATAAAATCCATTGGCACAGAACAGTACCCAATAAAATTACCCAATCTCTTCGAAAGTTCAATGATATCAAATCTTCGCTAATAATGCGCAAAACTATTGAACGTCTGGATAAGTCGGTGGATAAAAATCGAGCAAATCTTCTTACAAAGGAAGTGCACAAATTGCGAAAAATAGGGAAAATTCGCCGGGTTTAGCGGACGTTCCGTCACTGGGAAATCCTCCTCGTGTTTCAATATTCAGAGATGGCATCAGACAATTCAATCTTCCTATACGTTCCCCAGCGAATTTCTGAGACTGAATGGCCGAATACGTGTACGCCTCCTCCGATTCGATGCATTCCCATGCTTTATGACGGCTGAAGGAAATCCATATTTCCAAAACCGAGAACAATCGGTTCCATTCCATTATGCCCCGGCAACATCATGTAACGTATTTTTTGTATAACTCGTCTCTACATCATCACAGCTTGTCCTGTATCTTCTTAGGCAAGTTGTAGCTTGTATATTTACAATAATTCCAGTAGCATTCAAGTGCGTGAAGCTGTTTAATCATTCTAACCAATACCATTTCCGAGCCAATTATGTGCTCTTAACCTCGATTCGACTTTACGGAAACTCCTTTAAACGTTACTTTAACGTCGTCTGCGCTTCCATTAAAATAATTGGCATAAATCTTGCCGGTCGATTCTAATGAAGATGTACGAACCGCCGTGGCCGGTGCGCTAAGAATAAGTGAAGTTTTATTCGTTTAGAGTATTCCTATCGGATTGCGCGGGATTTAATCGCGATTTTATCCGGATCGCCGGGCTAATTTGGGAAAATATGCGCTTTCGAAACGCTGGAAAGGAAACCGATATTTCGATTGCGATCTGATATTTTAACACCGGATGGGTGATTTCGATATATAAATATATGCAACTCGATATCAGTCGAGTGGTTTTTTTCTAGTTGTTGCGTACACACCGTGGATTTTCCAAACTTGCAATGGACGCGGCTTTGGAGAATGTCTTAAAGGATTGCGTCGAGCAGAAAGAAAAAATGGTATTTTGTTAATTTCTTTTAAACCAGTCTCTTGCTAATCAATAATGTGTGTTTCAGGAAGCTGCTCTTGAAGAAGCAGTTACTGCTACGGTAATTATACTACCTATTCTAACTAAATCATTCACACAAGGTGTTCTGGAAAACGACATTTATCTTCTATTTTCTCGAGCGTTTTTCCAGAGCTCCTTCTTCAATTAATTCAATTAGAGACCTAAAAATTAATGTATAAATACTTGTGTTATTAGACTCACCAAGAGGTCAATGCTGGCTTGGATCTCTTCAAGCCCAGGGAACCCAAAGAACCGGCCAAAGTTGAGAAGGATTCGCCGCCGAATGTCCTGGAAACCTTCGGCAAAATCGCCAGGAATCCCTTCAATGTTGGGGTAGGTGCTATACTTTTAATTAACGCTCGTTCGATTGATTGAAACATTTCCAAACGGTATTTTTCTCCTGCATGTATATTAGATAACTATTAAAGTACTGAGTTTAGAAATCTATAAAGCTATTAATTGAGCTTGGATACTACAAAGCTCTTGTATACAAACACAGTTAGAAGGTCAAACCTCAAACAACAATCTATTAATAAAAACTAATTAGTTCATGTTTGATTTTTAATCTTACAGTTATTTATAATTTTTAATAACTGCTGATATCAGTATGGATATGTTTCACTTAATCAAAAAAAATAACGTTGCTTTTAGCAATCTTATCGTTAGTTCAAATGAGAAAATGTGATAAAATGCAGAATTAGGACGCGGGTTGAAAATTTTAGCCATATGAATATATTTGAAATTTTTTCATCGAATTATTTATTGGCTAATAAGACGGTAGGTACTGGTTTATAGGTATTTGAGTGCATTACAAAGTGGCCTAAATTTGATTAGAATTTATAGTAAAAAGCTTTCCGGTTTTTTTATTATCGGATGTTAGGGTAATTTTTTATGAGGAGTTATCTTCGATGGTACGCTTTCAGGGATTAATGGAGAATAAAAATGAAAATGGAGGAGAAATTAATGAAGAAGGGTGTGTAAAAAAAACCGGAGATGTAGTTGAGAGCGGTTTAGATTTTTTTCATCCTAAACCTCTGTTTTTTAAGGTAATTAATTCACAGAGAAAATTCATCAATATTTTTTTAAATTAGAGTGTTTGTGAGAAAAAAAATATTTTTTTTAGAAGAAAGATGACGAATTAGATAATGAAAAACAAGATCAAAAGGTAAAAAAAAACTTTAAATTTAAGTAGGCAATCATAAGAAATTAATAATTTTAGGATAAACCTGGTTTATTTGATTTATTTAAAAATAAAGATGAAGAAATTAAAGAAAAACCACCAGATGAAATTCAAGTAATTACCGTAGTTTAGGGAACATCATTTTATGTAATTATTGCAAAACTATTATTTTAGACTAACGTTAAAGAAGAAGAAAAGCCTCCACAAGATAACAACAATATATTTAATATTTTAAATAAAACCAACGATAACATATTCGATCCTTTCCATTTAAAGGTAAATTAATTCCAATGATTTTAGTTAATTTTCTAATTGATTCAAATTGTAGGACAAAATTAAAAATACATCAGATACAACCAAAAATGACAACGAAGGAGGTAGTATCTTTAATAATATTAATAAAAAAATGCGAGAAATAAATGAAAATTTACCTGATCCATTGCATTTAAAGGTATAGGGTTAACAAACTTAGGCATTTAATTTTAAATCTTTTGTTTCAAATATAAAATTGTAGGATAAAATTGAAAATACACATGATTCGGTTAAAAATACCAATGCAGGTGGAAGTATATTTGAAAATATTCAAAATAAAATGCAGGAAATTAATGCAAATTTACCTGATCCACTACATTTAAAGGTAAAAAATTACATTTTCTTCTAATATTCGACTGAAATACTAAATTGTAGGATAAAATTGAAAATATACAAGACACGGTTAAAAATAACAATGAAGGTGGAAACGTTTTTGAAAACATTCAAAGTAAAATGCAGGAAATTAAAGAAAATTTACCTGATCCATTACATTTAAAGGTAAAAATTTACATTTCTTGCTTTTATTTGACTCAAATATAAAATTGCAGGAAAAAATTAAAAATACGCAAGATTCAGTAAAAATGACCGATGAAGGAGGAAATGTTTTTCAAAACATTAACAATAAAATGCAAAAAATTAAAGATAACTTAACAGATCCATTGAATTTAAAGGTACAAATTAGCATTTGTTATTTGTATGTAAATTGATAAATTAAATTGTAGGATAAAATTGACAATATCCAGGAAAAAATTAATACCAATGAAGGTAGAAAACTTTACGAAAATATTCACCAAAAGCTGCAAGAAATTAAAGATAACCTACTAGATCCATTAAATATAAAAGTACCTATACTTTTTTTTATACTTTCAAATATTTTGAGTAAAATATAAATATTCTAGGATCAAATTGAAAGCATACAAGATGCAGTTAAAAAAGCCAATAGTCAAAATATTTTTGAAACGATTCACATTCAAATGGAGGAAATAAAAGATACTTTAATTGATCCCTTACATTTAAAGGATACAATTGAGCATATACAGGATACTGTAAAAAATACTAATGAAGGTGAAAAATTAATTGAAAATGTTCAGAAGAAAATGCAAGATGTTAAAGAAAACTTACTGGATCCATTACATTTAAAGGTATAGGTAAATTTTTTATATCTTGAAATTCAAATGAAACATTAATTTGTAGAATAAAATCGAAAATCTTCAAGATACCGTTAAAAGTACAAATGAAAGTGGAAATATATTTGATAATATGAATAAAAAAATGCAGGAAATACAAGTAAAATTACCCGATCCTCTACATTTAAAGGTATATACTTTAATTTCCATTTCGCATATCCTCTGAAATAATTATTTTATAGGACAAAATTGAAAATATACAAGACAAAGCCAAAAATACTACTGAAGGTGGAAATATATTTGAGAATATTCATAATAAAATGCAAGAATTTCATGATAATTTACCGGATCCTTTACATCTAAAGGTAAAAAGTTACATTTCCTGTCTTTATTTCCTTTGAAATATTAAATTGCAGGATAAAATTGAAAATATTCAAGAGTCAATAAAAAATACCAATACTGGTGGAAACATCATTGAAAATATTCAAAACAAAATGCAAGATATCAATAAAAACTTACCGGATCCATTAAATTTAAAGGTATAAAATTAGGTTTCGTGCTTATATTTCCACTGAAGTATTACATTATAGGAAAAAATTGAAAACATACAAGAGACTATTAAAAATACCAATAAGGGCGGAAATGTATTTGAGACCATGCAAGAAATTCATGAAACTTTACCAGATCCACTACATTTAAAGGTATATAGTGAAATTTTATGTTTGAATTTTGAATGAAAGTATTAAATTGTAGGACACACTTGAAAACATACAAGATACCATTAAAAATACGAGTCACGGTGGAAATATTTTTGAAAATATTAATAATAAAATGCAAGAAATACAAGAAAAATTGCCGGATCCACTACACTTAAAGGTATTAATTAACATTTGCTTTGTCATTGAACATTTTGACTGAACTATTAAATTGTAGGTAACAATTGAAAATAAACAAGACACAGTCAAAAATACCAATCAAGGTGGAAACATATTCGAAAATATACACAACAAAATGCATGAAATAAATGCAAACTTACCGGATCCATTACATTTAAAGGTAGGTATAAATATATAAATAATATGATCTACTTGAAATTCGATTGAAATATTAAATTAAAGGACAAAATTGAGAACATGCAAGATGTAATCAAACATTCGAATGAAGGAGGAAATATATTTGAAAATATTAATAATAAAATGCAAGAGTTTCAAGAAAAATTACCAGATCCACTACATTTAAAGGTATACACTACTTGAATTACAATTGAATTACCTTTGTGTTTCTTTTAAAACAATGGTTTTATAGGACGCAATTAAAACTACTACTGAAGGAGGAAATATATTAGAGAATATTCATAATAAAATGCAAGAAATTCATGAAAATTTACCAGATCCCCTACATTTAAAGGTACACACTTGAATTTTTATTGGGAATTTTCTCTAAAATAAATATTTTATAGGATACAATAGAAAACATACAAGATACAATTAAAAATACTAATCAGGGTGGAAACATTTTTGAAAATATTAATAATAAAATGCAAGAAATACAACAAAAATTACCGGATCCACTTCATTTAAAGGTATACTCTTTAATTTGTTTCACGCATTTCCTTTGAAGTAACCATTTTATAGGACACAATTGAAAACATACAAGATACAATTAAAAATACCAATCAAGGGGGAAATATATTTGAAAATATAAATAATAAAATGCAAGAAATACAACAAAAATTACCGGATCCACTGCATTTAAAGGTATATACAGTTAAATTTCATATTTGAATTGAATTTTGAATTACCAATAAAAAATAAAATTCTAGGACACAATTGAAAACTTACAAGATACACTTAAAAATACCAATCAAGGGGGAAATATTTTTGAAAATATAAATAACAAAATGCAAGAAATACAACAAAAGTTACCGGATCCACTACATTTAAAGGTATACTCTTTAATTTGTTTCACGCATTTCCGCATTTCCTTTGAAATAACCATTTTATAGGACACAATTGAAAATATACAAGATACAATTAAAAATCCTAATAAGAGTGGAAACATTTTTGAAAATATTAATAATAAAATGCAAGAAATTAATGCAAACTTACCTGATCCATTACATTTAAAGGTTGGTAAATTAATATGTTAAATTCTATAATAATAATTGCACTAACGAATAAAATTGTAGGACAAAATTGAAGAAGTAAAAGATAAATTAAAAATTAACAACGATAGCGGCAACATTTTCGAAAATATTCATAATAAAATAGAAGAATTTAAAGAAAATTTACCTGATCCGTTAAATTTGAAGGTTAGTAATTCTTTATTATTATAGGCATACTAACAAAATAAATTACAGGATAAAATTGAAGATGTAAAAGATAAACTAAAGATTAATAATGAAGGTGGAAACATCTTCGATAATATTCAAAATAAAATGGAAGAAATAAAAGATAATTTACCCGATCCATTAAATTTGAAGGTACCTAAATTAATAGAAATTTTACACACATCGAATTTAAAATGAAATTTTAGGACACAATCGAAGATTTTCAAGATAATATGAAAAAGATTGTAGATGTTAATAACATTTTACCAGATCCACTCAAATTAAAGGTAATTTATAAATAGGTAATATTCAAATTTCTAATAAAATCTTATAGGAGGACGTTAAAAATGTTGAGAAAAAATTAAATGATGATGTTATAAATAATTTAAACCATATGGTATTAAAGGTAAGAAATAAATTATTAATAATCGGTTAATTATTTAAAAATATTGCAATTCAAGGAAAACGAAGATGTTATTCCATCCAATATATTCCAGGTAAAATTTAAATTACATATACCTACTTACATTTTTCTTAATATTTTTTACGAATTTTTAGGATATCAATGCAGCAGGAGTAATTTATCTCATTACTGAGACTTTAACAGAAATGCTCAAATCACCTCTAAACATTCAGGTAAAAAACTCGTCGGAAACGCTTTTAGTTGCAACTGCATTTTATCACATTCCTATTTTGAACTTTACCTTTATTTTGCCAAATTTACACATAATATTCTACACAGATTCTTATCTTTTACAGGGTAACATCCAACTGACCAAGGATCTCGTCAAGAACATCGACGAAAACAACAAGAAGATCATCGCTGCTCTACCAGACCCTCTAGGTCTAAAAGTAAGTGAAACATTTTATTACACGCCGCCGAGAATATTCTCGGGAAAATTACGACATTCTATTTATTTATTTTTTCTCATTTCTTAATGCAGAGCAAACTCCCCGACGTCGGAAAAGCATTCGCAGAACAAGGCGTAGCAGGTGGCTTTAGCGCAATTGGAAAAAGCTTCCAGGTAAGTCGATTTAGATTCACGACAATACAGGGTGTCCCAAATCACATCTAAATTTCACACCAAACACATCATTTTTCCGTATATTTGTGGAACACCCTGTATACGGGGTATACTATACAAACTTGGCAATATATTTAGTTTGATAACAGTGGAATAGGTTACTCGGCTCTTTTTCGGAATAGGGCGGTTTTTTGAGACACCCTGTACACGCATTGAAACGAATTTAGCATTGGATTTTTGGTTTTTAGATAATACTTAGCGAAATTACGAAAGTTGCCAAACCGGGTCCCCATCAGACTGTCTTTTTAGGAAACTTGATGATCCAACTAAACGTGTTGAAAGAAGCGTACAAAGAGCACGTCGCTATAACTATCACTAAAAATAGAGAGTGGGTAAAGAACGCCCTCGAATCCCAATAAAAGTATAATACTGTACAGGGTGTTAAACACTAAACAATTAGATAATTAAGGAACGCTTTGGGACATCCTGCGACTTACAGAAACGAGTCTAAAAGCCGCTTTTTCAGTTAATAATAGCCGCTCTTATATCGGCGTTGAGAAACCTAGATGCAGAAGCCGTAAAAAAATGCCTGGAAGAATTCAAAAAAGACGAGCCGAAGTACAAAGAAAAACTGGCTAAGGGCATCGCCCGGAACGCCACTTGGCCCATCCGGACGGCGTTCGATTTGCCCGCTGAAAGCGATTCCACGTGAAAACCCGCTCGGCAATCGAAACTTACACAGTGTTCCATTAAGATAGGGCTAGATTAGGTGTTAGGTTTCTCGATCTATCGCATTGTACTCGAAAACTTTCGGGCGTCGGTGTTGTGAGAGATGTTTAATTTGGTTTCTTTGAGGAATATAAATTCTGGTTCGATTAGGTGAAGTTAGCGTCTAAAGCACTAACTCACTCTAAGTTGATTAATAAACTATTATTAATTTAGTGTTATTTTTTTTATTTTGCTATCTGTTAGAAAATTACATTTCTCACAACACCACTATGCTTCTACAATTTTATATTATTCTAAGAATGAGACAATTTTGGTCTCTTATCGGTTTGCATACAGCCTTTATTTGCTTTATTATTATTTAATTTTTGAGGGCGAAGTTCTATACTAGTCATTAACAATTATTCTCTAGCTTTAAGGGTTCAATTAATTTTCCACAATCGCTCGTTTGTTAGACCTCTGTTCATAAATATTTGGGTGATTTGGGGATTTGTCGAATTAAAAATTGCTTGTTTTTAGACGTTGTTTAAAATGATTATGGCCATATTAAAGGAGCACAACGTCGAAACAATGAACAAGTTTTATATCGCAATTACACCGCTATTCAAGGACCAAGGCGATTTCTTAAAATTGATGCTCGCTAAGGCTATTCCAATGGCTGCAGAGCAACCTATATCATTCGTATTAGGCCGGTAATTTTATCACTTTAACAACAATATTAATTGGTCCAATAATTATAATTATTATTATTTACTTTATAAAAGTACTATCTGTATATTAAGCTATTCATCGCAATTATTTAGTAACTTAATACTGTAATACTGCTGTTTGTTGGTAATAAAACATTTATATCGCAAAAATCACGTTTTATTTGATAACGCACTTTATCAAACAAATATATTGCCAAGTAGCATAAAGTTCGTGTACGAAATTGATGATTACCAACCGGTCGCAATCCGAATTGATCCTCGTTTTTAGTTAATCAGAAATCCCTCTCTGCTATTACAACCCGAGACACCGTACTTAACCTTAGCCCTGGCCGATATGGAATTATCCAGCGTGGTTTCGCTGTTGCTTTTATTCATGGCGCAAGATTTGCTCTGCGCCCCGTCGACCGTGCTCATGAAGATCCTGTGGACTGTTCTGAAAAGCGCCATTCTGAGCTATTGCCCGCCCTTGGCGATCGTTTTGAAATAAATAACTCCCGTATATTTCACCCGAACGGTTACTGTGTAAATTAATTCGATAATACGCAACTTGCATGATGATTTTAATTGTTCCTTTCGCCGTTTTAATTAATGCTTTGATGTTTTTAGAAGGCGATTACGTTGTCGACGAGTGCCCCGGTGCTCGAGGCGTTGCAAAAATTCGAAATGATTGTACTGCTTAAAATTTGGTTAGAAATCGTGATTCAAAACATTTTAGTCAGTCCTAGCGTTTTCCTGTCGAAAGCAGCCATGCCGTTGGTTAGGAAAATCCTTGGTTTGTTCGAGCCTTTCATAAAATCCATGTTCCTGCGACTCGTCTGAGTGTAAAATTTTGTTGTACCCGCAACTTGCATGTGTATTTTGGTTTACGGTGCGCGAATCGTGGTTCCCTTGCTTTCCTGACGGGCTGTATACTTATCGAGAAATTGTTTTTTTTTTTAGGAAGGACTTGAGAATCTTCCTCATGCCGGCGAAATAGCTTTGCTCCGTTTGAAATCGATTATCGAGCTTACTAAATTGTGGATTGAGTCCGTCATTGAAATCTTAAAAGCTTTTCCGCACTTTTTAACAAAAAAGACCATACCGCCGGAAGTTATAGCGAAACTGGTTGGTATGTTTCCAGCGTTAAAATCAATTTTGCAATAGATTGTATTTGGTATTAAATTGCATTGTTCAAAATTTTAGTGTACGAATAATAAGGTAAACAACAACTTGCGGGATTTTTGTAAATTACCTATTTGAAAATTGCCAGTTTTGCCGTGAAAAATAATTTTAACGGTTTATTTGAAACTTTAAACAAATAAATGATTTCTTTGAAATTTTTTAAGCATTGCAATTAAACATTTTTAATATCTAAAATTGGAAGTTTTCGTGTAATTGTATTACACCATGCAAGTTGCGGATTACTTTATTAATTTGTAACTTTTTTTTATCAAATTCAATAAATATTTCGTTCGTTATAATATAGAAATAAATACTTTTAATACTTACTAGTATTAGTTTTTTATTTACCTTCTTTTAATTATAACATGTAGGTATAACAAACTAAATTTAATTAATCTGTAAGTATGAAATACTAAAATACCAAGAAACTTTCACCAATAATCTATTTTCTCAAAAACAGTAACATTAAACAAGTTACAAAATTCATTTTTTCGTATCATCTTATCTTTTACTACCGCCTGTGGCACCATCGCTATCCCCCGACAGTAACGAGACAAAAAATCCCTTAATTTGCTCGTAGATGAAGTTGATGATTCTCATCGGTAAATCGGCCAAAAATAAAATAGATTTCGGTATTTGAAGAGGTAGCGCGATTAAACTAGCGCCGGTTCCGTTGATGAGAGGAAACAGGAAACTCGCCACACGGTACATTAATATTGAAACATCCTTCGCATTCCTCGGGTAAGGGAGATCATCCACGTCTGTAGTAGTCGCGTTTTGAGCCAGTAGAAGTGTAGAAGGCATTGTAATCAGTTTAAAGAAGATTTCAAATTTATAAAGATCTGAAATTTAGGAGTAATTATTAGTGAAAAATTAATATTGTGGGATACCGAAACTGATGGATAAATAATCATATTAAAAATTTAACAACAAACATTCACCAATAATTATCTATTCTCTCAAAAATAGTAACATTTATGTAACAGGTTACAAAATTCAATTTTTCTTCTTATTTGCTTTTTTATCACCGCCGCTGGTACTGTCATTGGTACTGCCATTGGTACTGTCATTGGAACCGCCATCGCTGTCTCCCGGCAGTATCGTACTTATAAAGCCCTTTATTTGCTGGTAGATGAAGTTGATGATTCTCATCGGTAGATTGGCCATAAATATAATATATTTTGGTATTTGAAAAGGGAGCGAGAGTAAATTAGTCGTTCCGGCGATGAGAGGAAACATAAGGGAAACCAGCAAACGGCACAATCCAAAGCAAAGTGATGATAATTCCTTCGGCAAGTGCATAGGATAATCCATTTCCGTAGTAGTAGTCGCGTTTTGTACCATTACAGATGGCATTTTTATTAATTTTTAAGTAGGTTTTACAATTCGTTAATATCTGAAAGTTAGTTAATAATAATTATTATTGTAATATTAATATTGTTGGGGTAGTTGAAATTAACCTTTTCAACGCTACTAATTTCCTAAGGGGTTTTAAAAACTTGCGGTAGTAGTAAATTTGTAAAAATCCTTTAACATTTTGGAACACAAAAAATTTAAACACCTATAAATGAAACACCATCAATGAAAACAAGGAGTTTTGAAAACTCTTTAAAGCTCGGAAACCTCAAAAAAAAACCTTAAAAATTGTCCCTTCAACTCTCCTAAACCTCCCTTTTACATATACTATGTATAACGCATTACAAATCACATTAAAATGATGATACATAACAGACCGCCCGACCATTAATTAAGATTCGCCAGTTAATGGTGGCGTTAACGTTAATTTTTCAACGACGTCGAGTTTCTCGAAGGAAATTACGTTACCCGCCAGGCGCCGTTTTCCCGTTGAATCTAGTTAAACACCTTGTAAGTTCCACAAAACAAAAGCGGCATAATAATCTCCAACAAGGTTTCACACCTTGTCTTCCACCGCTGGATCATCAATTATTAAGTGCTACAACGCAAAGATTTCGAGTATCGGATGTAGCGGAGCTTGTTAAAGTTGGAAATTCAATAGCAAAGAGGCGTATCGGATTCGCGCCGAAGGGATTACTTTAGGTGTGCAAATTTTTCGCTGTCCAAAAACTGTTCAAAAACTTACCTGAATATGCTGCAAAACTGCTGTTGTTTGTTTGTTGAGCTCCTCCGAGGCTTCGGGTATTTATTTAGTTCCGGATTATGGTTAAACTAAAACGTAATTTCACAACCACTTTGGGTGAAAATTAAAAATTATCACATGTTTTATTAGCTGGATAATTAAAAATATTAGTTTCATAAATATTAAAAGGGTTTTTATACCTGTTTTATTAATTTAAATATTGTTTATCGCGTGTATAATTTTCGAAAGTAGATATTTAATTAATGTTTCCACAGGGTGTCATAATTACTTACTAGGAATTAGTGTAAATTTTCAAGATTTATTTGATGCAAAAGTCCTGTTTATAAAACCCTTATGATTATACATTTACCAATGATACATTCCGGATAACAATAATAATCGTAGGTAATTTTTTCAAACGAAAAATAAGGCTTATCATTATTAAAAATTCCTTGAATGAAATATAAAAAACTTCGTCCTTCAACTGTACAATGATATTTAGCGAATAGGGTGGAAATTATAAAAGTGAGGACAAAGAGACTTTGTCGTTTTGGAGTATGAGCGCCGAAGGAATATGAAATAATAAAGCAAGGATCCTTCTATTGTTGACATTCCGGGTCATTTACGAAACGAACGCATGTTTTTTTCTGCAAAATGACTATAAATTTCTTTAAGCAAAGTGTAAATTTCATTCATAACATCCGCACTCCGAGAGAATCCATTCCTCAATTCCTTAGAGCGTTTACAAAGCTTTTAGAGTAATTAACAACTATACAATCGATTAAAATAATAAAACAATGAATTAGGACCGTAAAGCGAAAATCAATCAGTAGAGCGGGATCTTCGCTTTATTAAAAATGTTAATCTTTTATCTGGATCAAGAGGCTCTCGTCGTTAATCTTCATCGCCCTTTTTTACTTTCGTTTAACTCAGTAGCTAAATAACCTGTAGTTAAAAGGAGATTTGGCTTCCTCAATAAAAGGGGCATCATCCCGTTCCGGCATTAACTTCGAACGGGATTTTTTTTCTCTCTGCCGTCTAAACGTCGGTTTAATAGGATTGTGTGTTATAGGGTGATTTAATGACTGCGATAAAACGGCTACGGTTTGTCGCACATTTGCGAACTCGTAGGCTTTGAGTTTATCCAAACGACTCATTGTACCTACTCGTAATTGCTATACCTTCGTTCACAAGCTAGAATTTAGAACCATAGTATCCCTATGAGAAAGTTTTTTACTTATAAGTAACTAAGGAATGACTCTTTTAATAAGTGGTTCAATAACTGTTTCAATAAGTGATTCAATAAATGGTTTAATAAGTGGTTCAATACTTGGTTCAATAGCTAGTTCAATAAATAGTTCAATAACTGGAGAAGAAAAAGCATTTTAAGTTATGCTCAATTTAAAAAAAATAGTAAAATAGAGCGTAAATGTTATTATGATGTAGGTTTGTGAATTTTTTATAGTGTTTGTTTGTTCAAAGGAAAATGGGATAATTGATGATTTGCGGAAATCGGTGAAAAGAAATTTAATTTAGACCTCATTTTAGACCGCGATTTTGTAGCAATAAGGGAACATCGGATCGGGAAATTCGATTAAAAAGCGAACGAATTCGAGGCGAATTGAATTTAATGAGTGAAAAATGGTGATTTTCGTTGGAGTTTATTAAATATTTCAATAAGCCTCTCCGAGCGATTGCCGAAGAAAGGAAACGAAAATCGATAAAAACAGAGACGAAATTTTATTGCATCTATTAATCGTACAATAATAGCGTTTGATCAAATCAAATCATATATACACAATTCGTAAAATTTACCTACAGACATTATATGTACAAATTCAATTAATTATTAGGTATAACATTTATTTTACACAATTTCATCTAAAGCATTCCGACGGGCGCGTTTCGAAAAAGGGCTCAACGATTTCGAAATGTCTCGTCGACGAATTTCAACAATTATCTAGTCGAAATCTCCCAATAATCACGAAAAATTCCTAAAATTCTAATTTTTCCAATTAGCCCGGTCCAAAAAATTTTTGACCGAAAAATTGGAAAAAAATCAGGAATAATAAAACTCAATAAAAAAACTTAAGAAATAAGCTCAATAAAGAGCTAATATCATTACATTTTCTCCAATTTTTTTCGACTAAGTATATCAATGGAATGAACAATTGTACCAAATTTCGAAATTCCTGTACTTTTTTCTTCTAATTACTTCTAATAGTTATGCCCAATTTGACCGGGCTATTAAATTGTCGAACATCGAATTTCACGGTAAAGCGCAATTATTTTTCTCGTTTCGCATTGTATTGAGTTAATTGGTAAAAGAAGTACGATTTTCTCTCGCATCATTAAATTCCAATACAATCGGAGAAGCCAAGAGGAGGCGAATAATACGGCTGCATCAATGAGAAACTTAAGTATTTAGAGGGAAATTATGCTTCCGGCGACATTCCTAAATATATGTATAGAAGTATGGCTGGTAAATATTTTTCCGCGGAAATTCCTTTCATTTTGCTTAAAAGAACTTTTTCTGCATCTTGTATATTCTTAAAATGCCAAGTTGGTATATTTTTCTGGAAAGTTGTATAGTTTAAGAAATCCGCGTCTTTGCAAATTTAAATAGAGGATTGCAATGTAATTTTCCTCTCCAAAAATATGGAATAAAGTTACTCTTATTATGTTTGTTTAAATGCCTTCTTTTTGATTCGTTAATTTTATTCTTTGTATTTTTATATTAGTGCTTTTTTATATATTTACCTAGACATAATCAAGCTTTTCGATGATAAAATGTTGTTAGTCGACCAAAATGCATTAGCTAGAAATTTAAAAAATATATATTCTTTATAAGTACCGAAAATAAATACCTACTTCGAAGAAAACATCAGAGAATACCTAATGTATTAGTAATCGGATATTTATCCAGCTTGTTTTTCTGGGAATCAAAACAAACGAGAAGAAAAACCGGCGGTATCATCAATATTCTAAGAGGGGAAACTGTATCGTGTCATCATTAAGTTAGTAAACTCCTCTTTATATTCATTTGAGACCCGTCTCAAGGTTTTCTCTTTATTTTGTACCTTCTAAAAAGCAACACAGATTCTGCCTAAAAAAACTATGCAGTTTTTTATCATAAACCGACGAATAATTGCACCAGAAATGTGCTGAAATCCTCAAATTTATCATCATTAAAATTTGCAATTGCTTTTGCTTTCAATAATTTGTTTAGTTGGATATTTATAGCTTCACAATGTCGAATCTCGATAAAAATACAAACACAAACAAAACAAGTACGAATACATCAAATTCATTTCAACCATCGATTTCTCTTCTCCTCGTTCTCGCCTAAAAAGAGTCCTTAACGCCAGAAAAAAAATTACGCTCCATTAGTACGTCCTCGAACCATTCTTCATATAATTACTTTGTCGTCCGTCATTATAGCTGACAGTCGGTTTCCGTCGCTACGCTCTAAAGCTCTATTTCCCGAAAGAGGTCGAAGCTGGGAAATTCGAAAACTTCTAATGAGAAGCGAAGTCCGAACGGCGGAGCTTTGCAAAACGAACTTTATTATTTTCGAATAAATTCTCTTCGAGACTGCCTGAGGAAACTCTATCGGCACCGAATCGGGTACGTACTCGGTTAAAAATTGACATACAGAGTGTCCATGTTCGAGCGCTGCAAACAGTAGAAAGAGAGAATCAGTCGAACTGTGGAGAGGCGCAGCTTCGGCGCGATGAATCGGCGGACGAATGTAGCGCTCGACTTTAGACACAGTGTATATTACCTAATTATTTGTTTGTCGACCAATATACATTCGATTGTCAACTAACATTTGTTTATCAAGTAATATAAATATTTGTTTGTCGACTTAAAACATGAATTAGTTGACCAAATACATTCATTTATCTATTAATAAACATTAGTTTATTGACTAATAAACTCGACTAACAACATTAGTTCACCGACTAGCAACATTTACTATATTAATTAACTGCATCATTCATCATCGAAATAGTCTAAACATCACGCAAAAATAAGATAAATAATATGGAATCTTTTACATTGCGGTGAAAATATATCAATAGTCTTTCAGGATACTTCCATTAGATGTTTGAATGAGTTTCAGTGCAACATTAAATATCAGGTTCGTAAAGTAACATCGACGGCTCCATCCAGTCGTAATTCCCCTGCTAGTTTAGCGCCCTCAAAGTTTATGTATTTGAAATAGATGTCGCGAAGCGCAGTATAAACAGCCTTTCGTCGGGAAAATTCACCAAGGGAAATATGGGAAAATCTCGGCTGCAATGTCCATTAACGGCGTACAACTGTATTTTACCGAAATATAAATTTATTACTTCGCCCGGACGTTTTACTGTCGGCGGGAGTGAACGAAACGTCCGCGCGAGAGATTTCTAACGTTTAATTGAATTTAATTGCTTTTAATAGCATTAATCAGTCAGTAGACATTCGCTTAGCGACTAGCGGGAGATTGTCGAGTATCGATTTTACCTATCTTAAGTATACACAATTTTTCTTTTATATTTCTACAAATTAGCTGGTACTTAATCTATAATAAATAACTATATATCTTCAGAAAACTATGTATGTACAATAAAAATCAGTCTTACGAAAACAACATAAAACGGGAATATTCAATTTTAAAGTTGACGACGGATTCGTTCTGAAAAATCGATCGCTTTACCAACTCCAACAAATCGTTTAATTCGCATTTTTCTGCGGATGTGTAACGTTCAAAAATAAATCGAAAACTAATAAGTACGTTAAATTCGCATGAATTAATTTAGCTGAAAACTTCGCCTAGCGTTGCGGGTGCGCAGTTAAATAGGAAAAAAAGCTCGTCCGATCCGCCGAACTTAGTTAAACTCAAATGAAATACAAAATCCATTTTCAATCGACCATTAATTCGTTTTCCGATTTCCATTCGATGTATATTTACATTTACTTCGTAATAAGCTAAATCCTTTTACTACACTCATAAGCCTGCAGGATCACGTTTACTATGTTGGTTTTGGACTTGTTAAATTTATTTAATAACTTGTTCGTATATACCCAACATTATCCTATTCCTAATCCGAGTGTTCTGTTGATAAGATGAGACCCACAAGATTTCCAGATTTAACCCTAATAGATAGGTTTATAAAAAGAATATTTACATAAACTTTAATCATAAATCATGCCAAACTGCGTACCAAACTCGCTGATAAGAAGAGAAAAAAACATTAAATTGATTTTAGAAAGACCATACATTACTACTCGAACGATAACAGGCAAACAAATGCGCTGTAATATGTTGTCGAAGGTTTCCAACAGTTGCTTTATTTTCGCGAACAACGTTCCATTATACGGTAGCAAATATTCGCTGCTGTTTGAGGATCTTAAAACGTAAAAAGAACCTTGATAAATGCACTCGGCTAAAGCCTGCTCGTTATTCTTCATGAGTGGGCTGTATTTTATTCGGAATCATCCAGAGCGTTTTAATTTATTACCCACCTCTAAAGTTGATAAATTAGAATGGATCTAACGCGACGTAGGTATTTTAACGAGCTGTTATTTTTCTTTGCTTTATTTTTAATAACGTGTTTACTTATTTTTGTTCTCGCTTAAAATACTCATTAAACGTTCGTTGGAGTTTCAATATTAAAATACTCACTTACGCGTTCTTTAAAGAACTTTTTCATATCAATTAAAGTTCCTAGTGAAGTTGACCACCCAATCCCAGCAGCTTCCTGAAAGCTCGCCTGAAATCCATATTGAATATGGTGTAAATGATGGGATTGAGGAACGAATTGATGTATCCCAGCCAAGTGATAAAATTCACGAACCGCCTCGACGGGCAACACACCGGACAGAACGGTATGATAACGTACATGAGGAAGAACGGCACCCAACAAACCACGAAGACGCCCATAATGATGCCCAACGTCCGGGCCGCCCGTCGCTCCTTCGACAGCGAGATCTTCTGCTTCTCCTCGATGAACTGGTACACGTACCCGGGCTTCTTGTTGTTGTCCCCCAGCACGACCTTCGGCACCGGCTTCGAGTTCGAGATGGTCACCGTGGTGATGGTCGTCGACGAGCTGTTGTGCGGCTTGTGCTCGGCCACCTGGTGCGAATTCTTCCTCGAATACGACGAGTTCTCCCCGACGTCCGTCAGCGAGTCCTCGTGCACCAAGGCGGGCTTCAGGCTCGCCTTGTCCGCCTTCTTCGCCTTCTTCTTCAGCAGCTTGTTGGTGGACTTGCTCTGCTCGGCGAAGTGTTCGTTGTGGTTCGTCTCGCTGCTGACGCTCTCCCTGTCCTTGTTGTCCTCGTTCCTGTTCGCCTTCGATATGTTGATTTTGGCCGCCTTGGCGCGCTCCCGCAACCGCCTCTTCGTCGCTATGAATATCTCTATGTATACTATTGTCATGATCAGCAGCGGTATGAAGAACGAGCCGGATGAGGAGTAGATCACGAAGCCCTGGCGCTTCGTCAGCACGCACACCTGTTGCAGGGTGAAGTTCTCGGGCGACGGCCAATCGTTCCAGCCGATTAGCGGCGGCACGCTGATTATCAACGATAGTATCCAGACTATCGCTATCATCATCAGGACTCTCTTCACCGTTCGCTTCTGGGCGTAGTTTATCGGGTCTGTTATGGCCCAGAAGCGGTCCAGGGCTATTGCGCATAGGTTCAAAATGGAAGCGGTGCAACAGAGGATGTCCGATGTCAACCACATTTTGCAGATGTAAATGCCTGAAACAATGAAGTAGGAGGTGGTAATTTTAATCTTCGGATACAATTTTACTATTACTCACCAAAAATCCAGCTTCCCAAGACTGAATAAGCCACATTCAAGGGGAGTACCAGCACGGCCACGGTGAGATCGGCGACGGCCAAGGAAACGATGAAGAAATTCTGCACGATCCTCAAGGGTTTGTAGGTGAAAACGCTGAGTATTACCAGTATATTGCCTATGATAGTAAGGAGTATGAACAGCGACAGTATTATAATGGTGATGGTGGCCTCCCATTCGGGAACGTCCGTGGTACCGTAGACGGTACTGAAGTTGCCGTGCGGCTCCTCTTCGCAATTCGAAGACCCCTCGTTGCCCATTTTTTGCGGCGACGATAACGAGTTGAGGGAGATATCTGCAACAACGAGACGAATTGTCGGTGATTTGCGAGCGATTTTTTAAAACTTCTGAAGGAGACGTTGAATAGCTTAATAGGCAAACAACGCATCATTGTAAATGAATTGATTAATAGAAGGAGAGTAGCAACAGGGATCGAGCAGGTTAAGAGGATTGAGACGAAAACAAATTTGCGCCGAAATTGAAACGTCGGGACATCAAGCGCGCTCGACTGAGCGCAAAAGGCGAATTTGACTGTCTTGTATATTAATCATTCGGGCCTAAATTAGAACGTCAACTAGGCGTCTTAGTTCAGGACGGCGGGAATTTATCGGAATTTAATAAAATCGACGTCGATTGGGATTTTGTCATTTTTTATCCGGCATTGAAATTTAATTTTGGACGAGATGTTTATTTGAAAGGGCGATTTTCCACCCGTTACTGTTCATAATTCGAGCTCTCGTAATGCCGAATAACCGGAACGTATAAATGGCGGATTCGTGACAAAACGGCAAATCCCAGACATTCAACGTCGAAACGCTTTTATTTTCGAATACAACGTATTCTCGTAACGCCAAAAAGGGCAATTCGCATTTCGAACAACCCCCGCACATTTTTTTCATTATTACAGTTTATCAAACATGCATCACGAATATGTTTACTCCCCACACAGGGTGATTGATTAATGTCACAATGTACAATTAACGTACATGTGAAGCTTAAATTACTAACTGACAAACTATTGTTTTGCAGAAAACTTGTGTGGTGCTTCATTTTAGGTTTTGGAAAATCGCCAAATAAGCTCGATAGGGGAAACCTATATAAAAAATCGTATAAAAAAGCATTTAAATGAACCGGAACGCGCATTTGTACAACGCGAAAATCCCTTTTAATTTCGTAATTTAAAATGGCCCGGTTCTTGCCGTCTCGAAGGCACTAATTACAGAGATTTCGACCCATTTTTTTGGGCCGGTCGATCGAGGCCTACTAAACTTTTCAAATTAAGTGTTGAAAACCGCAATTAACGAACCGAAATCTGATTGAAAATAGATCTGAAAGGTTTCGAATCGGATAATTGTGGAGAGTAAAAGGGGGCGTTCGAAAGGTTTTAGAATTTTTCGTCGAATTAATTGATACTCGAATTCGCGTTGTATAACCAACTCACTTTACTAAACGCAGAGTTTTGCAATAAAGCTTGTTGATTAAAGCTCAAAGGTTATTAAATAGTATGTGGTTAGTTTAATACAAAACACTGCGTAGTGACGTGAGTTTATTGTTGTCAGTAGCTTGTGTCAGTGAAATTAAATCCCTTTTGAACAATATTTCTTTGATTCAAATTTTATTAAAAATTTTTTTACTTGTTACATTCGAAATTCGTGTACATACTGTAGCTTAAACTTCAGGTGCTTAAAACACAGGGCTTAAAAGCGCCGAGAATCCGAGAATGATTCAATAAACCCGGAATCTCGTTACTTAAAAAGCGAATTTTCGCCTTTTTTGTTTCGTTTCGCTGAATGTCCCCCGAGGAAAAGTCCAAAAATTAGAAAACTTTTAGGCCGGACGCGATTAGAGAAAAGCGCAATTCGAACGTCGTCGACATTAAGACAAACGAGAGAAGGAAAACCGTGATGAATAGCAAAGTGAATTAGCGGCGATGCAAGCGAAAACACACTCGGAAGAAGTTAACAGAAAGTCCCATTAAAAACGCTACTTCGAAATCCCCGAAGGAGCTTTTTGATGGATTTGAATTGCGAATTGAACTGAAGTAGTTTTCTGCGGTTTGGTGGATTTCCCACATTAGCAGAAATTGCGCTACCACGCTATTAGTCGAATTTACATTACCTAATCTATGTTGATAGAAGGAAAGGTTTTAAGCGCCTTAAAAATTTTACTTCACTATTATTATTTTAGCATTTCATCTATAGTTTCGAATAATAATAATAATAAAGGGCTTTATAACTTCGACGTGCAAACCGAGCCGGCGACTTTTCGAATTATTCGCCCGAATCCCGGAAAGCGTTTTCTCTGAATACAGTCCGCTAGCTTGGAATTGAATCCGGTGGAATAAAGGGCCGTAAAATTACCTAAACTCGAAAATTAATAAACCATTTCGTATTTAACAAATTCGCATTATGGCGAATAATGCGGCGCGCCGTATTCCAAAAGTCACGCGTCTTTGAATTGAATGTATAGTCTTTGAATCCGTCGAAATTGTGTTCGTTATTCGTTTGTAAATCAAATTTATTCTCTACAAAACGAATTAATTCCAATGTTAGTTGTAGTAAGGTACAGTGCGACAGTTCTAGCAGTACATGCTACTTGCGCGAACTTATCTGCGCATAAACTGCTCAAATCTACATACACGTGTATTTGTAGTTAATGTATTATCACATAATTTATCAACCTGTGATAGGTAATACTTGTAATAGCCAATAATTTCGAGCGATTAATTTTTGATGACGCACTGTCGCTTTCGGCTTTTCATTCTCTAGCCTACTCTATTATGCCGAATGATTTATGGGCTTCTAAAGTTTAAATATAGCGTCATAAAGAAGAGTCATAGACTAGACGGGAAAACTGGTTAAAACGCCTGCTAGTTGTTTTATGGTTTTAACGACGCCGCGTCGTTTAAAAAGTTTGAGGCGCAAGTAAGAATACAAATTGTTACATCTAATTTTTCTATAGCACCGTTCTGTATTTTAGCTGCTATATAATTTCAAAAGAAACTAGTTTATTTGAAGTATGGTGAATATTCCAGGGATGGTTGATTGGCAGGTTTGTTTCAGTATACAAACGATGAGAAATTATTAATCGCGTTTTTAATTTCGATTATGCTTTCGCAAAAAATGCGACCGTGAAAGGCATAATTGTTTTCTGCTTCAATCAATTTTTTTACTCGACAAATTCGATAGAGAAGAGCAATTTTCGAGCCTTCGGCATTCATGAAATATGGAATGACATCCATTGGAATTCCCGAAAAAAATACTTACAATTAAAACGGCTCATTCTCGGCCGAAAATTGAAAATTTTTGAATCTACATCGATAATATGTAAAATGAATTCACCGAAATTGGCAACATCGAAATTCCTACCTCTCCTATCCCATATAGAGTTGATTGGAAATTCCAGCGAGTCGATGTGAAGGAGCAGCGAAAACTCGCTGTCGGGGTCGCGAAAATTCCGAATTTTTTATTAGATAAATATCCAACATAGTCCTATTAAAGTTCTAATTTTTTCAACGAACGTCCAAATTACTGATAAATTACCAAACCGAATTATTAATTCAGTTAACCATTTTCCGCCTCTACCCGTAATTAAATCAATGGCATTTTAATCAGCGGTTTCCACGGGCGGGTAAGCAATATTCCCAAATTAGAAAATCGTTTAAAAACGCTTTCCTCAATTCCGATGTCGTTATTAGAATGTCTTGTAACCATCATTCTTGCTGTAGAGACTATTAATTTTAATTCCCGTTTTATTCAACGATTAATATTAATGGATTTATGGGATGAAAATTCGTAAATTATTCGCAGCTTCGGATGGATATTGAGGTTATAGGGTGTACTATTTAACTAGTAGCAGAGCAGAAAATTATCGCTTTCGATGCTAAATCCAGCAGGTTTTCCGGCAACTTTTTTTTCAAATTGCGCACTCCGCCCTCGATAATGGCAGAGCTTGGAACTTCGAACGGCTCGAAAGGAGCTCCTTTTGAAATGTAGATTAGGATAAGAAAAAAGCGAATTCACTTTATTTCATTTTCCTTTACGGAGACGAATTTCGACTGCGATTGTTATTTTTCGAGTAGGAGATAATAATCCGATCGCTAGCAGGCAAAGCCGCTTTCTCTACGCGTGGTTGCGACGTATTAATGATTCGAGGATTTGAATAATCTCTAAATCTCGGATGATACAGAGGAAAATAAAGGAATAGAGTCGGTGGTTACCAAAGCGGGGCGCAAAATAGGTATGTATCATATCATAATCTGGTTATTTTTCATAAACCAGAGGTTGGTAATACAAAAATACCTTTATTGAATTCGTTTATTAAAAGTTGGTAATAAATTGGTTATCTTTATACACTGTGCTTCATTCCAAATCGCAACATAGGTTATATAGGCAATGGGTGCGATAAAGACAACTTCCATTAGACACTTATAAAGGAAAAGGAAAGAGTGACATTTGTGTCATTGCAACTTTTCACTCTGACAACTGTCATTTTAATAATCCTTCTTTGTTCCACTCATAGAAATGACCATGTTGCAATCGGAAATGGAGCAAGGTGTATATTTCACTAATACAAAAATCCCCAATTTAATCCTGAAAATCCCTATGTACTCCATTAAAAATTGCGATTCCTAAGTGATTTCAAACTTTATCGTTTGAAATATTTTTCATTTCCTTTCCGTAAATCAGATTACAGCGATTTTCAATTCTTTAAACATTAATTATTCAGCGCTTTGCAACGTTTCCGCTTCGATTCGTCAGGATTTATGATCGGTCTAGTTTCGCCTTTTCAGTAGCGAAGGAAAAACGGCATATTGATTGATTTACCCACCCAAATATTGACTCTTGCTTCTTTTATCGTTTTCCTTGGTAAATTATCGCGTGTTCGGAACTCCGAAGTTTAAACAAAAAATAACTAAAGTCGATGCGTCAATGTCAACCTGTTTGAAAGCACTGATACCAACTCAAATTTTGCTTTATTTATCTATGTATTAGCGATTAATGACATCACTAAAAAGCCTACTAAACACATAAAAAAGTACTAAACATAAGTCCTTGATAGTTTTACTCGTATTAATCTTGGTAAGTTCTCCAATGTTTTTCCTTGGATTTAACTCGTATCCTTGAGGATTTATTTCTAGCCGGGCTAGTTGCGCCTTTATTAGGAATGGAAAGAGCGGAAGTTGATTGATTTGTGTGTTCCAATATTGACTTGTACACTTTTGTTCGGTCCTTTTCTGCGGAAAAGGAGAAATATCGCCCGTTCGAAACGTATCGAACTCCAGCGTTATACAAAA